CTTCCCCCCCCCCCCCCCGCTCATTAGCACACGACTCCCAGGAGAATTTCCAACACGTCTTGGCTTTTTTTTACTTTGACTTGTTACTCGTTTGGTTGTTGCCACTTTCCTAATCTCATGACCGTTGGCTGCAACCCCCGAAAGCCCGTTTCCATGCGTCTGCTCTAACAGACACAAGCTTGACTCGGGTGCTCGCCTCGGACATTCCTTCTCTTTCTGGCAACTCGCAATCTTCCCTTGCTATCCTAAAAAGACCTCTGTCGACCTTATGATTTCACCGCCACTCTTCATCCTGCTTTCCTTTTGTCTGAATCTTGCAAGGTCACAGTTATAGCGCCCAGTCCGGCAAGCTCTTCGATGGCGTGATACTGCGCCCAACCAACTGCGCATCTCTCCTTGACACTACTTTTTCAAAGATTCGAAGCTACTATTCTTCCTGGATTCGACACTATATCTTATCACGTTGAGCGCCTTTCTCAGAAAACATCGATAGTTGTTCTCGCGGTGTCCGGTGACCTTGGAGGTGGGCCTTGCGACAACAGCTCACTCAGTCTAAATGTCAACTCCCGCAGTAAGTTGGCGCTCCTTCTTCTTCGTTTTGGACTTGCGAGCTTCTTCAAGCAATTCTCTCTTGTACGAGCACGCAAAAAGGTACAGCTTGAAATGACTAACCCATGACCGATAGCAAAAAGCCAACCTAGCTCGCATCCGAGACAACCAGCGGCGCTCCAGAGCAAGAAGGCGAGAATACCTGCAGGAGCTGGAGCAGCGCCTTCGCCTATGCGAGTTACAGGGAATCGAGGCCACAACTGAGGTCCAGGTTGCCGCGCGCCGTGTCGCGGAAGAGAACAGGCAGCTGCGACAGCTCCTCAACAAGCATGGGTTCAGCGACGAGTACATTGCCCGCTTCCTGCAGGCCGCAGCTCCCGCAGGCGGCCCTCCGGACATGAGCCACGGACAGGGCTTTGCACCCGTCGAGCCGGGTATGGCCGTGCACGCGCTGCAGCAAGCGATGATATCGCGACGACCGGCCAGCCTCGACTCCAACACGCCCTTCCCCGTCTCGAACCAGGTCCTATCGGACTCGTCTATCTCGAGCACCCCCTCCATGTCCAACTCCACGCCCTGGGACTCCATCCCCGCCGAAGCCGCCTCGTCGTACGGCCACAACCCGGCCATGCATCTCCAGGCGGCCGCCAACACGATCCCAAGCCAGCCAAGTCCGCAGCAGCAGTATCCGGCCGCCGTGTTCATGGGGAACCAGCCTCGCGGCGGACCGGGGACTTACATGAGCCAACCAGCGCAGATGGTGGTGTCGACACCCGGCATGGCTCAACCCATGCAGCAACAGCAGCAACATCAGCCGAATGGCGGAGGGCCGATGCAGTATGACGGAACATTCAACACCTATCATGCAGCAAACGACGGTAGCTACGGCGATGGATCTGCGGGTGGATGGTCAGGATAGGCAACGTTCCATGCGCCAGGAACGATGCAACTCACCAAAAAAAAAAAAAAAAGCGGAATATCTTCCGCCAAGGATCACACTGCTTCCCGAGTCAGGCAGGCCAGGTTTCCGCGACACGACGACCCAAACTCCCGCAAAACATCGCCGACTACAAAGGATAAAAGAAAAAAACGGCGCACAGTTACGGTTGGCATCAAAGTTAATGCCGGATGTCCGTTTGGCACAGTGGATGACTGACCGCTCAAAGACGGCCAACCCGGGACGGCTACCTCGGAAAGCCCTGCCAAAGACACGTGGATGCGTGCGTGTGCTTGTTGCTCTACCGAGGAAGAGTCCATATCTACTACTGCGCAGCTTTCAGGATAAAGCTCGGTTGCACGTCAATTTAATCCCAGACCCTTGATAATCTTAATTCTTGAAACGAAGGGGGGTTGGAAGAGAAAAGGATACCAGCCCGGCAGCGGCGGACCGGGAGCAGCGGACCGGGATATCTGCAGCCTCGCCGGGACATTTTAATCAATCTACAACAAGAAAACGACCTTGGAGTGGAGCGGAGCAGAACAGGGCTGACCTTGTCACGGCCATCATCCAAAGATAAACAAACGCATTACGCTTACAGTATAATACATACATTTATTTTCATTCGCAAAAATACCGCGCCGAGTGCCATCTCTTTGGCTTCTGTAATGCGATGCTGAATAAAGGCGTAAAAAGGGACAAAACCACACAGTAAAAAAAAAAAAAAAAAAAAAAAAAAAAAAAGATTGATTGATTGATTGATTGATCCCCAAACACGTTTGCTCTGATCCCCACGAATTGGAGTAAGAAGCAACCCTCCCAAATGCCTGCCCCTACGGGGCACACACTCAAAGACACACCGACCGTCTAGAGAAAATAGTCCGCCACCGGCTTCTTTGCGGGCATGCCGCGCGAATCCTGGGGCGCCGCCTGAAAGACGCGGTACCGCCGCGCCGGCCCGCTGTTGGGCACGTTGTGCGCGTCCGACTCCATCATCAGCCCGCGACCATTGACACCGCCCCCGCCTCCTCCGCCGTCGCTGCGGCCGACGTCCCCGTTGCTGCGCGCAAAGACGCCCGTGCCGGACTCGTCCTCGCACAGCTCCAGCACGGCCGCAACGTTGCCGCAGCGGTAGCAGTAGTTGGGCGCCGACCAGACGGTCACGATGGACGAGTCGAACATCTCCTTGAAGCCTTCCATGACGAGCTGGTGGGCGCGCGCAATCAGGCTCAGGTCGTTGCGGTGGTTGAAGACCTTGACGATGTCGGCGCCGAACAGGAACCCGGCCCCGCGCGGCGACAGGCCCCAGCCGTCAATGTCGTCCGGGTCCGACCAGAGCAGGTCGCACATGGCCCCTTCGTGCGGCACCTCCTGCTTGCGGTCTATGAGGCGGATCTTGTCCACCGAGTCGATGAGCGGGCTCAGCCCGCCGTGCACGCAGAGCACAGCACCCGCCGGGTTGCCGATGCTCCCGCCGCTCGAGCCCGACGCGCCGGAGCCCGGCGGGCCGGTCCTGTTTCCCGTACCGCCGCCGCCGCCGCTGCTGCTCGGCCCTTGGCCTTGCTGCTGCTGCTGACTGTTGTTGGCTTGGCCGCGCTGGCGCGAGAAACGACTGATAATCGATCCGTTCTGGTCGCAGACCTCAATCTCCGTCTCGTCGTCGACCGGCTCGCGCTGGTCCGAGAGTGTGTTGGACGCCCCGAGGACGATGGCGCCGAGCGCGAGGTAGTCGAAGACGTCGCAGCAGTATCGCCACACGTTGGCGCTGCCGTACTTGCGCAAGCACTCGTCGTAGAAGCCGTAGACGGTCGTTATCTGCCGCGATTCGTGGTTGCCGCGGATCAGCGTCATGCGGTCGGGGTATCGGACTTTGAGGCAAAGCAGGAGGAGGAAAGATTCGAGAGAATAGAAGCCACGGTCGACAAAGTCGCCCATGAAAAGGTAGTTGGTGTCGGGCACGTCGCCTCCCACCCGGAAGAGCTCCATCAAATCATGGAACTGTCCGTGAATATCGCCACATATCTAGAAAGTCATGGAGAATCAGTACTCGGCAGCTCATCCATCAGATATGCCACACAACGACTGGGGGAATGCGCACCGTCACTGGCGCAGTCACGGTGACCACGTTTCCTTCCTCGATCAACAGTTCCCTGGCGCGGTGGCAGATCTCTCGGACTTGGGGTTCGGGTATCGGACGACAAGAACGCAGTTGCGCGATAGCTCTGCGGGCGCGTCGGATTAGCCAGCTGATTACACATACAATATCCCGCCCGTGTCCAAGCCACATACTTGTCGACGTCACTCATGATAAAGACTGGCGAGGCCGCAGTCGCACGTGGCAACGTGCCGGGCGCTTTCCTAGTGCAATGGGCAGGTTGGAAGCAGCCTTACACCATATCTCGAGGTCCGAATGAAAGATGGATTATGCAGGCAGCCACTATCGGAACCACAGGCGTTGGTGATCGCGCGCGCTTTGGGTGAACGTGGAAAGGCTGCCCTTGGTCGGCGCCCAAATCGCGACTCTGTTTGGTGGCCCTCAGACTTGCCCAGCGATGCTCCATCGCCCCACCAATTTCGAGATTCCAACGCTTTTGCCGCAACGCTGACTCGGTTGGTACCGGAGACTGGATTTTCCGTCCCGAGTTGAGGGTCCCTACTTGGAGCCAATCAGGAGCCCAGGAATCCAAGGTTGTCAGGATTGCTTCAAGGCAACGCATTCGAGCGCTTTTTCTAGCTTGGGCCGGCAGAACCGACGCGCCACACGAAAACCCAGCCAATCGCTCCTTGGTGCCGCAATTGGTTTTACCATATCGAGGAAGACCGATTCATCATGATTCTTTGATCCAGTAGGCTCAATGGACGCCATTGAACGCTCTGGTTACGTTGCTGACTCGGCTATGACAGTCCCCTAATCTTTCTTCACTCGACCGCCGGTAACGCATCACCCATCCACAAATCTCACAATGCCGCCGCATCTGCACCCTAGGTCTCGAATGACCTCGTCACTCTTTGCCACGACGGTGGTTGCCAGTTTCTTTGTCGTCGGATTGCCACATTTACTACCGTGTCCTGTACCGCGAGCACGATACGCCGACGGGGAGGTCGTGGTGGACGAGAACGGCCGCAAGCGAATATGGAGGCGAAAGGATTCCCCGCAAATCACAGACGGCCTTGCCGATTTCAATCAAAACTCAACAGACAACGTGACGCCACGATCGAGTCAATCGCGAAGAGAATGCCCCGTTCCTAAACCGGGTGGAATACTAGGGGAATGGCTCGGCTTCCACGATTCCAACGAAGAATCCCGGAGAGCAACTAGATGACGGCCGATGAAAAGAGGGAGGAAGGGAAACCCTGAAAAAGAATTATATAATACTTGTACAAATATGCTCAGGCCTGGGCAACCCTCGGAGGCGAGAAGGATGACTCACGACCAGAACACAAAGGAATACATATACATTGTGCCTATACAAATTCTTAGAATCATCTTCTTTGTGTTTTGTTTTGATCATATCGGAAAATCTCGTGCAAACAAGGAACGACCTCGTGTGATCCCCGCCGAGCTGGAGGTTTGCGTCCTGGAAGTCCGAACGGGATGTGAGGGATTGTCGAACGCCTCCGGAATGTTCGCGAACGGTCAGAACCAGCCCCTACGATGGGTGGCGCAGCGCGAAAGAGAATCACCTGGGACGTAGTGAGGAAACCAGGGGGCAGCGGTCTCATCACATTACAGAACCTCACGAAACAGCAATCTAACGCTTGATGGCTTCAGCTGCTTAGCGCATTTACGGTGGCTTCATGTGTGTCAAATAGGAAAAAAAATTGCACTCTAAGTGCCAAGAGCGAGAGAGACTTCCGCTGCTTCCGCGCTGGGAAACTGCATGTATTCTTTACCAACTGGACTGAAGTTTACTGACTACCTCCTAGAGACTGGCCAGAGTTATGGAGCATTTCAATGGGTATATCCCTTTCTTGAAAGCTTCGCCATATTTTCCCCAGCTTTCAAATATCCATCTTGAATCTATATGCGGCATAGAATCTGATGACCCAGTCTGATCTGATGTATGCTGGGCCTCGTCTCTCAAATAATTACAGATTAATTACAACTCTAAAAATCGGCGCCACACTCAAAAAATCACATGAGACCAGTCATGTCGCAAAGGTCTGCCAGTGACCAACCAGCGTTCGCAATGATCGGTTCAGACAGATACTGGACTGAGATGAAACGCGGGGGGGCGAGGCATGAAACCCCACGACACCAGACTAACAGTAGGCGAGACGCAAATGCCGCCCCCAGATTCGTCTAAAAGACGACCTGTGACGCTTCAGTACCTGGCTATAAGGCTAGAATTATCCGACAAGGGGGTATCTGCCACGCCACGCTTGGCGTCATCGCCTTGGCCCTTGGCCGACGATGGTGTCAAGAGCGCCTCCTTGCGCCAAGATGACTGAAACTGTCAGCAATGCCGTGAGCATGATTCAACTGGTGTCTTGATGCCCGATGAGAGCAGCGTCAGCCTTGTCCAAGAAGTGACGGTGAACCCTTGTCCCGCTCTCTGCCGTTCCAACCAACCCAACCAGCTGGCCAAGGTGTCAAGTGGGTTTGCATCATCAGGAATTCGACAGATCCGGTCTCAAGGAGACCATGTCGCTTGGCGATTTGAGCATGATACCTACTGTCGCATAATCGTTGGTTTCCTATTCGAGACCTCCAACGTGACTGCCTCTCCAGATCTGTCATTGGAGGTGTCGGCTCAAGGGTTGCCTCACCTCGCATGATGAGGATCACGGCGCGAGTATATGATCACCAGACTCCCCAAACCAAACCGAAAGATTTCTAATAGCCAAACACGCTGCACTACCACTCTCTTCCACTTCACCTCCTACTATTCTCTCTTTAAAACAAGAGCTGCGCTCTGTTACCTTCCGTCCCGGCGACTACTACTTTCCTTTAACAGACTCTCTCACGTCCAAAACGTTCCCTTGATACCACAGCAGCGCTGCTACCTTCCTTCAAATCCTTTCAAGATGAAGTCATTCTCCATTCTCCTCCTCACCGCCGGCCTGGTCTCGGCCGTTGCCGTCCCCGGCGCTTCCATTGCGGACCGCTCCGCCGAGGTCGGCCACGTCTCTGCGGCCGTCGAGGCTCGCGACGCCCCCGTCTCCAGCCTCTTAGATGAGGATGATGAGGAAGAGTTTGCCCCCCTTGATGCCCGCGCCGAGGAGTCCCAGCAGTCCCAGAACGGCACCGCCTCTGAGAGCGGCCGTGGCGGCAAGAAGGGCGAGCAGGGCCAGAAAGGTGGTCAGGGTCAGGAGAACCAGAACCAGGGCCAGGAGAACCAGGGCCAGGAGAACCAGAACCAGCAACAGAACAACCAGGGTCAGGAGAACCAGAACCAGCAACAGAACAACCAGAACCAGCAACAGAACAACCAGGATCTCATCAACCAGCTGCTCCAGAACGGCAACCTGAACCAGGGCATCCTCAACCCGTGGCTCGTCAGCAACATTGGCCAGCTCGGCGCCGGCCAGACCATCTCCATCGGCGGCCTCAACAGCATCTCCCTCGCCCAGCAGCTGGCCCTCGTCTCGCAGGTCCAGCAGCTCCAGACTCTCCAGCAGCTGCAGCTGATCAGCCAGCCCCAGATCGTGACGGTCCTGAACCAGGGCTTCGTCAACAACGGCGCCACTCTTGGTAAGATTGCCTCCCATTTTTCACAGCATCATTTGATCAAAGCATATACTAACATCTTGTTAGCTATCGTCGCTTAAGCTAGTAGCGTAGTGTAGATTGGGTCAAGAGAAAAATTAGGGCGGGTGATGGCGATGCGCTGTGAAATAGGCCAGGTTGACGATAACGATTGGGTTAGCTAGCTAGGAGTTTCAGTTTCAGTCTATTTTTTTTCAGTTCAATACAGGGATAAAGCTGTATTCTAGGGTTATAATTTTGTCGTCCTGATGCTTTCTCCAGTGAGACCGGATGAAGTTGTCCAACAACAGTCACAATTACGCACGGAGCGATAAAGTAGTTCACGCCGAACAAGAAACTTGCCTTCTCTCGTATTTTCGTATTCGCTATCTATGAGTTGATTACAGAAATCTCTTCAATAACGTCATGGCCGTTCTCACTCTCAGAGAGCAAGCAAGTCGTTACGGAGCACATGGCCCCTCACTACGAGGTTTTCTTTATGCCTGTTCGAAAGATTCCAAGATTTACAGTCACGCGCCTTTTGGATAAACAAGACGCTTTTTCACATCTGTCGTTATATGCTTAATCGATTGCGGACGCCTATATGCCGGAAGGTTGTTGGCTCATGCGAGGCCCCGCCTCCACGCTTTTTGCATGTCGCAGAGTCAAAATGCAAATGCAAATACTTGCCTCTCTCTCTCTCTCTCTCGGGATGTTCCGGTACTTTAGCGAGAAGGGGAGGGGGGCTTCTAAGACGAACAATTGGCCCCTCCATCGCATTCTTGCTTTTCTTCATCTGAAACGCCATCCTAAATATCCGAAACAGGACCTCAATAGCCGTGTCGCAGCTGCATCCCAACCAAACCCTCCCCCTCCCTTCCCTTGCCTCCCCAGGCACCATCGGCCATCGACAGCTGAAATCTCCGTTGGCCTAATCATGAAGGGATGGAGAACCTTGCTGCGATAGTTGAGATGGAAGATGGTGAGGGATAGTTCGGATGCAACTGTTGGAATAGCCGAGGTGATTAGGCCAGCAATCCGCTCATCCGCGCCCTGCCCTGCCCTGCCAAGGTGTCGTTTCCAACCCGTTGGACACATCCGGCTCAAGGTGGCGAATATCTACAAAGGTTTTCCCTTCACTTCCATGTCAGCCCATGCCACCGCGTGAATTTGTCACAGTGTAACAATTACGCCATGCACACGGACGGCTGGGCTTTTTGGCCGAGCACTCAAAGCGCGGATCAGACATCGGCCGTGGTTGGCACTTTATGCGAGCCCATGCCCCCATTCATCCTATCAACCGGACTTTCACCAGCCCAGTTAAGCAAGCCTTGGCAAGTTTAGGCAAGCTCGAGTTGCTGTGGCGCTGCACGTTGCCAAATGGCTTGTTCCGTTCTCATGGGCCAAGGCCCTTCATATCGGTTCACACCTTATCCGGATTAAAGATTTCCGGGGTAGAAACTCTCCTGTTACAACTCTCTGCCTAGGATGCAATTTAGACGCTGCCCAGCCTTTGCTGCGCACCAACGATGGGGGAGGGGCTGCCATCGGATGGAGGGCTTACCGTGGATGGGGGGCAATGCGAATGGTCATTGTCCTACGCAACGGGGCACAGATTGAGGCTGCTTTCATGGTATGGGGGGATGAGATTTCGCCCTTGGCAAACAGATTCGGGAACGTCTATAAAGGCAGTTGGATTCCTGCATGCTGCTGTTGGACCTTTTTGTTATCATCACAAGCAGATCAACCACTTTCATCTTCGCCTTCTTACATTCTCTTAAAGAGGCAAGTCCCGATCCAAGAGAACATGTAAACATATTTATCTACATATGGACAACTCATGCTAACCTCATCTTACTCTTCTAGCTGTGCTCGATTTCCATTCCGTTCCTTCTCTATTTATTAATACTTCTGAACTTGCGGGCTGTGCTCCATCAGTTTCACCACACTCTTTCTCGACTTCTACATACAAACCATTCCAATCTTTCTTCAACCTACGAAGTCCCCCCTTCTTTCAAATCTTACAAGATGAAGTTCTCCACCCTCATTGCTGCTGCCTTTGGCGCCGTCGCCACCGCCGCTCCCGCCGCCGAGCCCGCCTCCGCCCTGGAGCCGCGCCGGAGCTTCGACTTTGGCGGGCAGTTCAACAACCTCATCTTCCGCCAGTCCGACTTCAACTACCTGCTCAACATCAACTCGCTGGACCTGGGCCTCTTCCAGCAGCTGGGAATCAACAACAACCTCAACCTGCTGCTCTTCCAGGACATCTTCAACGTCAACAGCTTCAACCTCAACTCGCTGCTCCAGTTCCAGCAGCTGCAGACGCTCCTGGCCATCGCGGGCACCGGCGCGCTCAGCGGCTTCGACCTCGGCGGGCTCGCCCTGGGCGGGCTCAACCTGGGCCTGGTCAACGGCATCGGCGGCGTCGACCTGCGCCAGTTTGTCAGCTCGACCTCGATCCCCCAGATCGAGAGCATTGCCAGCCAGGGTACGTAAACGTGAAGTGATGAGATGAAATATGATGGGGCGCTAACATGGGGATCAGTTTCTACCACCATTATTTAAGCAATCTTTGCTTTTTCGCTGCTGCCAGGATGGGGTGACGACAGTTCAGTTTCTTGGATGGCGAGCCGCACTCGGGGGTTCCAGAGCAACACAACAGTAGGCATATAGGTTGTCGTGATTTTTTCGCTCTCATGTCTTCTGTTTAGTTTAGGTGATTAATGAAAATCTGGATTTTCGAAATTGCGCGCTCGAAAACGACATGCAGTGAGTGTCCCGGTCGAGAGACCCCATGAGACATGATGGCTCGGTTAGCACATGATCCTCTTCCTTGGCTCCCGCCTTGCCCAGCCTCTGAAATTTGTTGATGGAATCTCTCACCATGTCCATGACGTTCGAATTCCCAATGTTGACGAAATTCGGGATTCCGCCAGCCTCGCGTGGCCAGAGTAGCACGCAGGACAGCCAAGAAGGTTATTACTATAGATGATTTATTACCTGACCTGTTGATTACGTATGAGAGCCAAACCAACGTCGCTGGCTAACACGTTAGTTATTATTAGCAACTAGGATAGATGGTTGAATACTCCGCCTCTTGGATTTTCTTTTTAGAGGGTCGGTCCCCTGCCGATCCCACCTCAATTACGCACCGTCTTTAGGCTTGATTAGCGTTCCCGTCTACCAGTCAGCGATTTCGCCTCCATTTTGGCTCAGGTGAATACGGGAATCACAGCACTGCCTCGTTGGCGCCTCTTCTTTTAACTCTCTTCTTCTTTTCTTCTTGAGCCTTGGCTTGGCTTGGCTTGGCACCCCCTTGATGCCGAATGGCCGAAGCCGCCGTCCGCTCCGAGCAGGTCAAGTACCCAGGGTTTATTGCTGGTACGAGAACCCGCCGCTTTGTCCGAGTACAGGGATTGATCGTCTATCCAAGATGAAGCTAAAATAGGACCCCTTTTTAAAATCACCAGATACACCATTCACCTACTTGTCGCTTCCCTTGGGGTCGGTCTCATTGTCCAATTTCACTTCTCGCCTACATGCTCTAGCGCGCACGCCTTTGGTTCTTCCCCTTTCCATATTGCTATATCCTTTGCGATACGTTGATTCATCAGTGCCGAATCCGAGTGTACATCCAGTACATGCAGTGCAGCACAGCACATACAGCACATACAGCACATACAGCACCCAAAAAAAAAAAAAAAAAAGAAACGAAACAGGCTGGCTGGCTGGTGGTCATCGCGTGCTCACCTACCGACCACGTACAAAACCGGGCTTGCATTGTCCTCCCAACTTGCGTCCCAAGCATCGACCATCGACCGGGCGGCAAAAACATGAGCGACGCGGCCTGGCAGCTTCGCATCAGATTGGAAGAGGAGCAGCAGTGACTGTCGAATAAAAACGGAAGGCTACCAATATCACGTCTCTCCCGGCCACCGAATATGCGCAGGTCCAAGGGCATCGTCGCCGTCAAGGACAACGACGACGACGACGGCGACGACAACACCAGCTACTTCACCTACCGCCCACTGTCCAACCTCCCCACACCGCCTCCCACGTCGAGGCAACCTCGCAGCAGCGGAAACTACCATGGCAATGATGATGGCGAGATTCTGAGCGCAGTCTATCGAGGTAGGTCGCTTCCTGGATCGTGATGGCTTTCAGATGCGAATCGGCTGGCCATTTCACCCCGAACCATGCCCCCCTCCTCCCAATGACCCGACCTATACTGACTGATGCAACCTCCTCCAGGCCCGGCAATCCATCTCGTCAATCTCATCCCCTCCTCCGCCTCCCTCGCCCCGGCCTCCGTCCCTCTCGTCCAATCCATCCTCAGCCGTGCCAACCTTCCCCTCGAGACCATCGCCCTCGCCGTCTGCGTGCTCGACCGCCTCGACGCCAAGTTTGGCCGCAAGTGGCGCCTCGTATGCCCTCTCCGCACCAGCACCACCACCGCCACCACCACCCAACAACAACCAACTCCCACCGCCGCCGCTCCTGAAACGACGACGGCGGCCAAGAAGCGACACAGCCTACCCCCAGCCTCCTCGCCGCTGCCAAACCACCCGCCGCAGCTCCACATCGACGCCGTCCGCCCCGAGATCATCGTCCTCGCCGCCCTCGTCGTCGCCGACAAGTTCGCCGACGACGCCGAGCAGACCGCGCCCGCCTACTGCGCCGCCTGGGGCCGCGGCCTGTGGTCGCCCGCACAGCTCAACGCCACCGAGCGCGCCATCGTCGAGGGCCTCGACTACCGCATCGTGCCCCTCGCCGCCGACGACTGCCTCGCCGACGCCATGGTCGACATGCAGCTCGCGGGCCGCCAGCCGGACTCCTGGGACCACCAGCACGGCGAGCCCACACCGCCGCACAGCGACGACGGCGACCTGTCGTCCGTGGAGGATTGTCGTGGCGCTCGCGAGGCGGGTAGTGCCACCACCACCACCACCACCTTTGTGGCTGGCCACGCGCGGTCCAAGACCATGGTGCCGGCCAGCGGCATCCGGAGTGCGTCGGCGTCGGTGAGTCTTGGGCTCGGCTGGGCAACCGCCGTTTGAGCATCGTTGGCTTAGTTTCCCCTTGCTTAGTCCCTCTTGGCGCGGCTCGCATCCTTTGCTTTTTTCTAAACTTGTCTCTCTTGGCGTGGCGTTCTGAGCATGCGTTTGCTGAATCCTACACTGGCTTTCTCGTGCTTGCCACACTATATACCCGCCGACGAGTTTGTACTCTCTCGGCACAATAAGCATGGCTGCGCAACAAAGTGGTTTTGACATGGTTCTTGTTCTTCGACTTGGGTGGCATTTTGGCGTTAGACAATTTAATACTAGACCTTCATTCTCCTGGTTGTTTTTTTTTTTTTTTCATTTATTTACTTGCTACAGTCCGCCGCATTGCATTGATTTGCAACTAGAATTGCCACATAGCTTGATTCAATGAGAGTTTACTTTGACATGAGCATGCATCGACTCTTTTGCCTGTGCGTTTTCTAAGGACTCAACCTGTTGAGCGTCCACTCCCCATCCTCCCTCTCCCTCTCATACACGAACCGGTCATGCAACCGACTATCCCTCCCCTGCCAAAACTCGACCCTCGTCGGCACTATCCGCAAACCCCCCCAAAACTCCGGCACCGGAATGTCCTCCCTGCCCTCGAACCGCCTCTCCGTCTCCCCCACCCACCCCTCCAACTGCGCCCTCCCATCATCCCCCCCGGTGGTGGGCTCCAGCACCGCGCTCTGCCGGCTCGACCACGCGCCGATGCGGCTCCCGCGCGCGCGCGTGTCAAAGTACGCCTGGCTCTCCCCGCGCGGCACCCGCGCCGCGCCGCCCTCCACGCGCACCTGCCGCTGCAGCGCCGGCCAGTGGAAGCACAGTGCCGCGTGCGGGTTGGTCGCCAGGTCCGAGGCCTTGCGCGAGGTGCCCAGGTTCGAGTACACGACGAAGCCGCCGCGCGCGTCCAGCTCCTTGAGGTACACCATGCGCGAGGAGACGCGGCCCGAGGGGAGCTCCGCCGTCGACAGCGTGCACGTCTCCGCGGGGGCGACGCCGCCGCCGCTGCTGCTGCTGCTGAGCTTCAGGGTGGCGTCTTGGGCGGCGGAGAACCAGGCGTGGAACTGGGGGATCGGGGAGGAGCTGTCGAGGTCCGCGCGGGAGAGCGTGCCGAGGGTAAACTGCGCGGCCTGCGTGTCGTTGCCGTTGCCGCCGGGGGCGACTAAATGTTGCGAAGTGAGCGGTCGGTCGAGAGGAGGACTTGTGGCCTGTCGGGGGGAAACTCACAGATGAGCTTGTCGCCCTGTGGTGGATGGAGCGCCATTCTGGCTGAAGTGGTAAAGGCCCGTGCAAACGACCGGATCATAAACCTGGCAACCCTGGTACTGGACAGCAGCGTTTCGCAACGTTGGACAGGACTGGTTGATGACTAGAAGATGAAATCAAATGCTGCCGGCTAAATTAAGAAGCCCGTCCTCTCCGAGTCGACCCGAGTCGACGATGATGGAAACCCGAGAACCGACGCTGCCCACGAGCAATGGAGTGAGTATGTATGACACACACGGCGGGGTGGGTCGAAGGGCGTCGTCCACGAGCGAGGCGCAATTCGGATTATAAGTCGACGTCATAATCAGGACACGACTATGAACCGGCTCCGATATTCACAGACGGTGATATAACAATTCATTCATACCCCTCAGTATATATAGGTAGTCCAGCTGAACAATTCAGTAGATATTCTTTCTATATATGTACAAAATCGCTCATGTCGCAAACACATCCTCCCAACACGCCCTTCAATGTCATACCTCCCCATTTTCACTGAATAATTGCACAGCCGATACCAATTCCAATTCATGAAGCTCCCCACCTGCCTTGACGCCGTTTTTAATCCAAGAAAAAGAGGTCAAAAACACCACGTAATAAATCATACACAGCTGTTTGATACACAAGGTTTCGCTTTTTACAAAATGTCTTGCTCTTATACAAACGGAATGCCCACGCTTCGGCACACCTAGCTCACTTGCGGCGGTGGTGCATTCGGTATCTGAGGTGTCTTCTGCGGGATCGGGCTTCCTTGGAAAGCGGCCTGGTTGCTGAGCTTCTGGCTGTGTTGTATGCGAGCAGCCGATTCTTTCTTAAAATCGATGCCCGGATACGCTGCTTGCAGCCGGCGGTATAGGTCTTTGATAGCTTTATCTCGTTCTTCCCGGTCGGTCGCAGGGTCAATCTTGGCAGCATCACTTCCTTCCGGGGCCATTGGTTGCGCTCGAGGCCGAAGAGACAGATTCAAGGGCGGAGCTGTCATGAAGGTGGGATAAGGTGGCGCTTTGGTTTCGGCTTTGCGATCGGCCTGTGCAGCCATGTATGAAAGATTCGCTTGTAGGCGGCGCATACAGCTATTGGGACATCGGTCAGTTTCACGAGTGAAATGCTTCCGGAAACATCACTTCACTTACTGTACATAATCTTGTTGGAACAGAGTTTCTTCCTCTGTCGGCTTCCTCTCCCCTACGTTGCCATTTGCAGTTGACGCTTCCTTCTTAAGCTCCGTCTGCGTCTGTTGTAGCAGAATGACTTCATACAACAACTCGTGGTTGATGTCAAGTAGCAGCGCAAACCGCTCCTTTTCCCGCGATTCCGAGGCCGGACTCAGCGGAGGGATGTTGGATGCTGTTCCCGCATTGGGTCCCTGATTGTTGGGGAATGTCGGTGTCTGCGGAGTTGCGATGGCTCCAGGCTGTTGCGCTTGCTGCTGATGCTGTTGAGGGTGTTGTTGCATCTGGGCACCTTGCTGTGGAATTCCCTGGGCCATTTGATGAGGAGAGAACTGAGGCTGGCCGGGCATCTGTCCAGCCGGGCTGTTCTGCACAGCACTGGGTGGTCTTTGCGGGGTTCCGACCTGGCTCATGTTGCCTTGTTGAGGGTGCTGTTGCTGCATTTGCTGGTTCGGGTGCGGTTGAAGTTGCTGCTGCTGGACATGCTGCTGCGCTTGAGGGGCTTGGTGTTGCTGATGCTGTTGGTGGTGCGGGTGTTGATGCTGCTGTTGCTGCACTTGTTGCTGTTGATGTTGCTGATGGGCTTGTTGATGTTGCTGCTGCTGGGCCTGTTGTTGCTGCTGCTGCTGGGCCTGTTGCTGTGCTTGCTGTTGCTGAAGGTGTTGTTGCTGCTGCTGCTGTGCCATGCGTTGCTGCATCATCTGTTGAACTTGCTGTGGCGTCATTCCTTGTTGATTCATTGGAAAGCCCTGCATGCCGCCCATCATGTATTGGCCTTGTGGGAAATTCTGAGGTACTTGCCCATACTGAGGGGCGAATTGCTGCTGAAATCCTGCCACTGATTGAGGAGTGTACACGTTAGAAATACAAGAGCGCAGTCTCGTCACCGGTAGGAAGGAGACTTACTTTGTCCATTGGCAGTCATGTTGGGCATGCCAGGATTCTGCATCATGCCTTGCGAGGGACCAGCCATCATTTGAGGATTCGCAGCGGGGTTGAAGCCACCCTGGGGCGCCATCCCAGCGAACTGTTGTTGGTTGAACATCATCTGCTGTTGCTGCTGCTGGTTAGGCTGGGCCCCTGCCTGTGGGTTGAACTGGGGCCCAGCGTTGCCATAGCCAAACTGTCCTTGGAACATGGCTATGGTTGTCGTCGGAGTTTTATTGCGTGTCCGAAAAAGAGCGAGGATAGTTTATTTCAGCGCGACGGGAAACGAGTGGAAGGAGACGACGATCAATGCCCAAGGGTGCGACGCGTCGTACTTGCAATTGGCGCAAGATGAGCAACTGGCGGCGTGCGCGTCGAGAAACCGCAAAGTCGATGGCCTTCTGGGTCGTTCAAAAACAGATATGATGCGTGTCAACTTTGAAACACGACTAGATTTGGATGCGGCGATTGTTTTTTTTTTTTTTTTTCGTTGGAAGCGAGCGTCGGCGCGGCGCGCTGGACGGGGCGGGATACGAGACTTTGGTAAACGGGGGGCGGAGGTTTTGCGCCGGGCGGGCGTCGGTGTCGATGGGATTACGAGGGTAATAGTCGCACGACTATCAACAGTAGAATATGGTCGGCCACAGACTGCGAAGCTCGGAGATGACTGCAGGATTACTTCTCGGCAATGCGCCGGCCGCCCTCGTATCGATGTCGTCTTGATGGTGGTGGTGTGTTGAGAGAGCCAAGGTTTGGCTGGCCGCTGGCGGAATCGGAAAGCGGAGAAGGTTTTCGCCGTTCGCCTTGTCGCGGCACTCTCAGCCGTACTGTGTGCCTAACCTACCCTTGACCTCGGCAAAACCCATTGTGGCCTTGGTATCAGCGTTTGGGAGGAGACTACATCTTGGAAACCACAGGAAAATCTAGAGGAACTGCAAATCTTCGAAATACGGCATCATATCAACTAGTTCCCATAAGATTGGGTGCAGCGGCGACCCGGTATCAAAACAAATGTGAGTTGTTCGCGCCCCACAGGCCAGGGTCACCGCATGTTTGGGCATTTACTTGCTTTCGTTGCCAATCTTGGCCCCTTTTCGGATTCTTTGTATAATAATAGAAGTTAACCCCTTTTCTATAAGTAACTACAGCTAACTTTGCGAACAGTAGGTTGTTGCATATTTACAGTCACCCTCGACCGCCAAAATAAACTCCTTCGCGACAACCTGCATGGTTCTTTCCGATGGATGCAGCGAATCGTACCTAATTTCGGCAAAATTCCGACGACAGTGAGTTCATTTTTGATCAATACACTGATGACACAGAAACGTACCAGAGAAAGCTTGATATGGGGAAACCGGAACCTTCGCAGTCGCCCTCAGCCGTACAGGTAATGAACGACGAGACGACGTTCTCCGGTGGCGAAAGATATCGGCCAGGGTCTGCATGAATGTCGTTGAAGATCGAATGAGCATCAAAGACCGTCACGCTTGCTCCAGGCCAACGTCGTTTCACAAGAAGATGGAGCGGCGAGATGCTCTCAAAAAGCTCATTTACAGCTCGGCTGTACTGATACATCTTGTGCTGGTATTCGGATGTGTTGTATTGAGACTTGGTCGGCCAAACCGGATTATCTCCTGCGCCGCCGCTCTCAAAGCTTGCATACAGTGGCGTCTTCTCCAGTGGCGCGGTGTTCATGACAACGAAGCGCCGTCCACCGGTCTTGTATATGCGGTCAAAGGATTCCCATACGCACTCAACAAGGTCACTGAGCGTCGTTCCTGGCCTGTTTCGGTCCAAGAGAAAGCCCTCCACGCCCAAGTCGTTGGTGCCGATCCACATGGCGTACACGGTGTTGTTTGGCTGTCGGTTGGGATATAATGATGCAAAGGCCAAGTCGGCCTCGAATGCGGGAATCTCATATTCGAGCACGCTCGGTACCGCTCCGGGTATGATCCGCGCTGGCTGCGTCGCCACCTTTTGCGAGCACGTAGAACCGGCTACTGCGTAGTTGTAGTACCTCACGCCGGTCATGTTGGCTACCATCCTGCCCCAGGAGACGCCACCATCGGCTGTTTCATTATTCGGCGGCATGGGAAGCCCTGGAGGCGGCACCTGGCCATGCTTGGCTAGGTAAAGTGCCCTGGATTCGTCTGTGTAGCTGTCGCCAAACGTGATGAGGTTGTCCATCCTCCCAAGACTGGAGGTAAGCGCTAGAGAGGGCGCCGTAATCAACACGCCCCATGTAAGGACTTTCATTATATCGAATTGCGGCGGTGAATATTAGTCCCTTAAGCCTGTGGCGTGTTCGGCTCGTTCAATAAAGCCTTTCAAAGTCGATGAACCAATGACGGGCAGATGGGACATGACTGCGGGTGTGGCATGCATGCATTAGTTATGCGGTTTCACTTGGTAGAGATGAAGCGGAATGCACGGAAGGCGAATTCGTAAAAGTCGAAACAAAAGCATTGTTTACGAGTTGGGGGGTTGCATTCTGCGTAGCCCATCCAGTTCGCTTGGGCACTAATTGGGCACGGAGGAGCAAAGCACTGCCAATGTCTCCGAGCGGCGAACTGAGCGTATCTGAGCTCACAATAAATGTCCGAAATAGGAAATCATGGGATAAAAGTATTCATTGGCTTCGTTAATATGAACACACACTGTAGTAGTATACATAAAAGACGTGTAGGACTCGCGACGGCTTCACGCCAACTCGACGCCGTCCTGGTCGGCTTCCGCATTGTTTCTTCGGCGTCTAAGAATCCTGTCTTCGTGTGTACACTCGGTCTCGTCGCTCTCACCTGCTCTGCTGTCAGCCGTGGCACATAAAAATATGGACAATTTGCAAGTCATGTCGGGAAAAATCTTACCGTCAAAGCCTGGCTCGTCCTCGACGGCTACGAGGTGAGCAAAGCGAGACGCACCCTGGTATATGATTGCTAGGAGCTGCGCCAGGGCAATCATGAGCGGCATGAACTGGCCCGGGTCTCTCAACGAGTGGACACCGGTGATGTTGTTCCACTTCAACGTCATTTCGACAAAGGCAATGACACCTATGTTGACGGTAATCTCAAAGGCCCGCCCGATGTCAATGTTCCAGTCGTTGTCGTCGTCGTCGTCGAAATTGTGCTGCTGGTTGGCATTGCCCTGGGCCAAGGGCCCTATCCGGCCGCGCAGTCGCTGGATCCAGTAAATCGAATACTGTCCCAACAACAATGAGTATCCTGGCAGCAGAGTGTTAGCAGAGCGGCCGCAAGAAAGACGACGTGTACAAGACCCACCGAAAATATACATGATGGCCATGATGCCCGCGCCAATAGCCGTGAATATGGCAAAGACCTTGTTCATGGTGCGGAACCAGCCCCAGAGGCTCACGCTGGCGAAGAAGAAGGCCTTGTCGTCCGGGCAGGGCGAGTGGCCGAGGACGTCCATGCCGTGCCACCAGAACCAGACGAAGAGGGCGGAGAGGCCGCAGAGCTCGACGGCGTAGACGACGCCGAGCACGAGCCCCATCTGGCCGACGGAGCGGCAGACGCCGACCTGGGCGAGCAGCAGCGCCATCATGGGCGCGGCCTCGACGGCGAGGATCTGCCGGTTGACGATGAGCTTGACGAGGACGCTGCCGACGGCGAGGATGAAGATGACGACGCCCTCGCCGAGCCAGTCGTCCTGGCGGAGCACCATGCTGAGCAGGGCGGAGACCTGCACGGCCAGCATCTGGATGTAGATGCCGACGCGGATGCCGAGGCCGTAGAGGTCGGGCTGGCCCTGCACGGGGCACTGGAACTCGCGCGCCGCCAGCGCGGGGAGCGTTTCGTTGAGCATGGCGGCGGCGAAGACGACGTGTTTTGCGCTCCGCGTTCTAGTGCTGTTGCGCGTGAAGATTGTCGTATGCCGACAAACGCGGGAACGAGTTCGAGGGTGAGGGGGTGAGGGGGTTGGCGAGTTTCCGTCTATATCGTGCATGACGTTGGCGACGAGCTTCATTTTAGCCCAGGGCGAAGAAGACGGCCAAGTTCCGCGATTCGACGAGGACCTGACAACGAAACAAGCTTCTACTAGGCGTTCTTTCCAGGCGTGCGGCTGAGAGGGCTGAGAGGGCCAAGCAAGCATGCTGGCGGATATCTGATGGCGCATTCAGCCCCCTGTAAAGCCACACACCACGGGCGTGATGATAATAACTAGTTGAGAAGAAAAACATGGATATATGCATATATCTTTGAATTAATTGCAAAATTTACTAATTGCGAAATATCCACGTGAAATTACTGTGTTGTTGTTGTTGTTGTTGTTGTTGCAATTTACTAGGTATGTATTAGAGTATATTCGCTGGACTATCTACACGCTATTACATCAAGAGACTGCTGGGGTATTCGATTCTATCTGTACTGGTAATGCGGGTGTGGCCGTCCCTGTTGATCTGTTAGCCATGCATGGTAGGAGAAAGGCGGCTGCGAGAACTACCCAGTAGGAGACCCTGGATCTGCTTACCTCTAATTCTATCAACTCTTCGTAGCTGTCGGTCTCTCCCGTCTTCCTCGAGGACCAGACTTGTTGCTGTTTCGGCAGCGCAGAGTGAGAGCGAGAGCCAGACGTATCGAGCTGCTGGCCACCCTGGCCCGTGTTGGAGCGTGGCTTGCTCTGGCCGGACGCGTATCGCTGCGAGGAGCTCCCGTACTTGATGTTGAACATGCCGTAGATGACGGGGCTGTTGGCGACGATGGCTGCGAATAGGAGCTCGACGTTGGCGATGTGGTGCGAGGCGTCGGACCGGTGGTACTTGAGCACGTTCATGAGGAGTCGTGTGAGGGTGACGGCGATGATGGCGGTTCCGACCAGGAAGAGCGCGATGAGCCGGAGCTTGGCCATGAGTGGGCGTTGGATCTTGATGAGGTACCGCACGGGAAGTACCATGAGCATTAGGTCTGTAAACATTTCGAGAATCGAAAAAACAATCAGCTGTAGACTGCCGGCTGCGCATGTGCCTGCATCGCGTAACCAGTTAGTTGGTGAACTCAGGGGGACCTGGCACGATGGAGAGCAGTGCTGCTTACCTGGATCTGGTATTACAACCCAGTATTTGTCAAACGGGTGGCATTCAACAAAGCCCATGACGAGAGATGCCACAAAGGTGACGCCCATGGTAGCCCAGTAGACGGTCAAAATTGAGTAGAGCTTAAGACCCTTGAGCAGGTGCTGGATGATGCTCATGACGACGCACTTTTGTAGCCAAATACTGTAAGCCAAGCATTAGCGTTATAATTGGCACAGCTAGTCGAGCTGTTTGTTGCTTGATTCATCTTTCCACTTACTACACCGTGTACAGAGCACGATTGACCATGGTCATCTTGGCTCCAAGCTCGCGATGGGATATTTCCTCGGGCGTGAAGTGATGCTTGGCCCTTGCCTTTGGGGGCACCTGGTTCGTCCCGTAGACGAGAGGCACCGTTTCGACGGATGATCGCGCGAGAAGGGCAAAGATGGCCGCCAATGTCAGGTAGTCGCCCATCTCGAACTTGCGCAGCCGATTCCACCTCATGATCAGGCGCACCAGCATGATGATGACGGACAAGCCGGTCAGTGCCCATTGCACCGCGAGTTCTGTGTTCTTCCCCTCGGACTTTTCGGCCATGGCGCAGTCGATGGATATTCCGTGCAGTCTCTCTGTTCTCGGTGTACAACAACCCAACTTGGTGAGGCGCGTCTTTTTCTGCGTGGGACTTGCACAAGGCAAGGCAAGGCAAGGGCACCAGCAATATCTATACCAGTAGAACAGGTGCAGCTGGCGGCATGGGTCTTTTCTTCAGCCTTACCAAGTATGCAGGAATCTAGGTTGGGGACCGAGTTGATAAATGATAAAAATGCAGGAAAGAAGCAGAACAAACAGCATGAGGCCAGGAACAAGACCCGGCTGCTCGGTATACTAGATTGGCAGCGACCCTAGCCACCGACCACGTTTGACGCCACGGGGGAGACGATACTGGTTACGGGCTACTGGTAGTCGATAGGTAGTTATTTGGTCGATCGTTTTACGTGATGCCTTCTGAGACGACCGGTCTGGAAGCCCAAGACGAGTTCAGTTCGCAGTATCTGGCCATGCACGTCACCACAACCACCGCCTTTGGATCGACGACTCCTACTCCGTACAACTCCGGACAACCTTTTTACGTTTACAAATGCCCGTCCTACCAGTGGATGCAACGGTGCAAACCCCTGGGCTCTTCCTCTTCCTCTTGCCCGTCGCAGTATTGGGCGGAAGTTCGGCCCGCATCCATGGCGCGCTAATCACCACTTAAGACGGCAGCTCGACTGATGATGTCCCATTTCTGCAACGATGCAAGCAAAAGGCCTCTCAATGGCCCACAAGGCGTCGACAGACTACCAGTAGGGCTCCTGAAAAAGGCAGCCACAGAGGGGAATCCAGGTGCCCTATGTGCCGAATCCCCGGCAAGCGAATCAAAAATCTCTGTCGTCTGGTGTTGATCAAGCCAGCTCTGCAGGTGTGTGACATCCGTTTCTGTACAAGGCTGTTGCTCCGCGCTGCCCGCAGAGATCTAGTTAGACCTCAACCCTCCAGCGACCGCAAATCATCACCTAGCAGACTGTAGCTAGTTTCTACGTGGTTACTAAGTCACTTCGTAATAGGATGTGGTGTGCCTTTTACTCGCATCAAGGGTCACCTTGTTCAAAATAGGCAGCTGAGCACATGCCTCTTATCCACATGCCCGTAACTATTCTCCCTGGCCGTTGCTTCTTGTCCGCGGTGTGGAAATTGGCCGTGGAACACTGGTCGGTAACGTGTGGTCTTGATCTTCCTTCATATTCAAGTGCAATATCAGCCGTCTTCGCAAGGTAGCCTTCCCTCGGGGTATCTCGGGAATCGTTAACGGAGTTCACTCTTTTCTCCTTTTCGTTCGCTCTTCCCAACTTATCGCTGCATCAGCAGCTTCCTGCAGGGGTTATCGACCAGCTCATTATCAATCTGCCCATGATGAATTCTTTGACGCGGATTCTGACCATTGTGTCGCTTGCATTGCTCTCGCCTGTGCTGGCTCGCCGCCATGAAGTGCTCAATTCCCAGGTTCGTCTGGCGTATGTTGGTGACACCGCTATGAGGGTGTCTTGGAACACTTTCCGTCAGCTCAAGAAACCGACTGTCCACTACGGCACGGAGCCCGACAAACTGCACCACCGGGCTTCGTCTCACGAGTCTGTCACGTACGACACGTCGCTCACGTACAACAACCACGTAACCATCGACGGCCTGGAGCCAGACACACAGTACTACTATCTCCCGGGCCATCTGCTGCGCGACAATGCAACCACGCCGCCTTACACCTTCCGCACCAGCCGTCCCGCCGGTGACATGACGCCGTACTCTGCTGCCGTCATCATCGACATGGGCACCATGGGTCCTAGGGGACTGACTACCTCGGCTGGCCAGACCGTGTCGCCCAACAACATTCTCAAGCCGGGCGAGCAAAACACCGTCCAGTCTTTGGAGAATGCACTAGACACGTACGACCTTCTCCTTCACCGTAAGTCCTGAAATATTCCGCATGCCAGCTCTCTTCGGCACGTTCACGACTGCTGACACGAGAATGATAGCTGGCGACTATGCCTACGCCGACGCCTGGCTCAAGGAAATCGCCGAGGGCTTCCTGCCCAACACGACCATGAACGACGGCTGGGAGGTCTACGAGTCCATCCTCAACGACTACTTTGACGAGATGACGCCCATGACCACCACCAAGCCGTGGATGGTCGGCGCCGGCAACCACGAGGCCAACTGCATCTGCGGCGGCTACGACGACCCCTTCAACCACGTCAGCTACAACACCAGCGTCTGCAGCCCCGGCCAGACCAACTTCACCGGCCTGCGCACCCACTTCCGCATGCCCTCGGACGTCGGATCCGGCGGCGCCGGCAACTTCTGGTACAGCTTTGACCACGGCATGGTGCACTACGTCATGCTCGACACCGAGACGGACCTCGGCCACGGCTTCGTCTCACCCGACGAGCTCAACGGCGGCGAGGGCGACCACGCGGGGCCCTTTGGCGCCTACGCCAATGCGCAGACGGACTGGCTCGAGGCGGACCTCAAGGCCGTCGACCGCCGCAAGACGCCGTGGGTCATCGCGGCGGGACACCGGCCGTGGTACCTGTCGCTGGCCAACGTCACGCACACCATCTGCTGGATGTGCAAGGACGTGTTCGAGCCGCTATTCCTCGAGTACGGCGTGGACCTGTACATCTCGGGCCACGCGCACTTTTACCAGCGCTCCGCGCCGCTCAATGATAGCGTGGTCGACCCGAACGAGCTGAACAACCCGTCGGCGCCGTGGTACATCACCAACGGCGCGGCAGGCCACTACGACGGCCTGAGCAAGGCGGCTAAGCAGAAGAAGCCGTACGAGCGCTTCCGGCTGGACGAGAACGACGCGACGTACGGCTGGTCGCGGCTGACGTTTCATAACTGCACGCACATGACGCACGAGTTTGTCGCGAGCAACAACAATACTGTGCTCGATAGCGCAACTCTGTTCAAAGACAGGAGCTGTGATGCAAAGAGCAATTGAGTTGATGTTGATGTAATCTGGCTGCTTGGGGGTTTGCGGGCAACTGCCAGGTATTAACTAGGATGCATGTACTATATACAATTAGGCAGTTGTAGTTACATAGGTAATTGTTTGAAACAGGCATTGTAAACGTAATAGGACAACTGGTTTAATGGCTATTCCCAAGTATAGCCCAACTACTTATTTTTTTTTTCCTGTCCTTCGAATATATGCCAGGGCAGGTCGTCGTCGTACGGATGCGTACATAGGTAGGCAGCTCACAGTATTGTAGTGACCTACAGTACAACCTTGGAGTGAGGATATGCAGGTACTGAATGGTGTGAGTCTAATGGGAAAACCCCAGGGTCAAGCCACTTTGCCAATCTCTTGAAACAAGGCATCGCTGGCTGATTCGTAGGCTGACATGGGCTTGGTTCCCTCCCGTGCTGGAGCCGCCCCCATGGCATGGACGAAATCTGGAAGAGCATCCCGAGGCTGGCGCCATTGCCACGATTGCGGTACAAACCCAACACCCCCTGCACCAACGCGTAACCTTTCAGAGAGCTCCGGCTACGGTCGCTCCTGGAGGCCAACCAACTACTCTGATGCTTGGTCTTGAATGACTTTGGCCAAGGCGACTGAGTGATGCCATGGCATTGGACACTGGACGCTAGGGAGTCACTATTCGACGCCACGGGGGGAAAGCTGTAACTAGTTGATAACTAACTTGTCAGCCCTCGCTCATGGGAGAGCGGGACGTGCCGCTCCACCGCCCGACAAAGCTGAGAGCTTGTTGCCCGCTGTTAGTTCGTGAGGCTGAATTACGCATATTGGCACATGGGAAGACAGCCACCTTTGTGAAATATCACATGGGCCCTTGTCCCCTTTGTAACGGAAAACAGTGATGCTTGTCGACATTGACGTGCCCTCTCTGGACCTCGCTTCACTCTCTTCGTGAGACACACCAACTATTCAACCATCGCTGCTGCTTTGTTTAGGACCCTCAAAGAGTGCGCTGACACCGAAACGCAACCAGACGATCCAGGGTCAACCTCCCCCTCCCCGAACCCCAAGCAGCCCAACCGGCAAGCCGAGTCCGACCGGTGGCGAAGAGAGGACCAGAAAGGAAGAAAGGATGCTCGCCGCGCGGGACAACGTCTGCGGCTACGACGGCAACGCGGACCTGTACGGCGTCGGCGTGCGCGTCGGTCTGTACGCGCAGTGGTCCGCCACGCTCCTGTCCACCGTCTTCGAGCCGCGCAGCGAGCCCGGCCTGCGCACCGCCAACCTCATCATCCAGCTCGCCGTCTTCCTCGGCCTGTGCACCGAGAGCGCCCGCGCCTCCGCCACCACCCCGACCGGCCCCCACGCCTCCGCCGCCGTCATCACCCAGTTCCTGCTCTGCGGCTCGCTCTCCAGCGTCACCGGCGACGGCGTCGGCCACCTGCGCTCGCTCTCCGGCGCCGCCCGCCTGCTCTTCTACACCGCGCTGTCCGCGTACGGCTGCTGGTTCTGGTTCGTCGGCGTCGACGTCATGATGAGCGGCGACGGTGGTGGTGGTGGTGGTTGTGAGGAGGTGGCCTTTCTCGGTCGCGCTTCGTTTGAAGGCTGGTTCCGCGTGCTGGGCAAGGTCGCGTCCGTCCTCGGGCTGGTCACCTGCGTCGGGCTCGTCAAGTACTGGCTGTACCTGGTGGTGACGCGCTTCCGGTCGGGCTTCGGGAGCGGTCTGGCGGCCAACGCGCACCTCTACGGCGGCGCCAAGGCGAGTCGGCCGCGCATCGAGCTGAGCCTGCTGGCGCTGTCGGCGGGCCTGCTGGTGCTCTCGGCCATGACGGTCGAGTATTTGATCCGTGCCAACGGCGTGCAAAAGGTCGGCCCCGCGGACCTGGACTCGGTCGGGCAGCTGATCCCGCTGATTGCGGGCTGCATGGGCGCAGCGCTGGTGGTGTGGCGGATCATCATGCACGGGCTGTTTCTCAAGAAGCGATGCTTGTTTCTCTTTGGCTTTCATTTATGATGGGTGGGTTTCTTATTGCAATTTTTTATGAGCAGGCAGCTAGCTTAGACATCTTTTTGATTTATAGAGCGTGCATAAGTAGAGGATTAAATCATAGATTTATTTTTATTTGTTTTCTTTTGCAGATTCGTCGTCATCATCTTCAACTCACTGCCCGGTGGTGGCCTGCGCTCTCCATCATCTCCGGCCCCACCAGCTCTTTAGGAAGCCCCGCGATGCGATGACCAAAGCTTCCTCCGGCCTCGGCGCAGCCTGAACGCTGCGTCCTCAACTTTTCTCACAGCCCGGCGATTGTCGACAAAGAGTCACCGCATCTACACACAAAACCTCCTATTCTAAGAGGACGCCAAATCGTCGCGTCACATTTTACCTCCCATCGACATCCGGTCTGACGCCAATTGAAGTCTAGCGAGATTTAAAAAATAGAACCACCCAAATTCCTGCTTGCGTTGGCCCCTCCATCATCACCATGCCGGCCTTCAACCTCGCGACCTGCGCGCGACCCAACATCCTCGCCCTGCAGCCGTACCGCTGCGCCCGAGAGTTCGTATTATTCCTCCCCTCTCTTCTTTCCTCCTTCCACCCACTCTGTCCATCCTGCTCACGCCAGCCATCCGCAGCGACTACAAAGATGACGGCACCAACGTCCTCCTCGACGCCAACGAAAACGCCTTCGGCCCCTCCCTCGCCCCCTCCGCCCTCACCGCCGCCTCCTCCTCCTCCTCCGGTGCCGACATCGACTTCCTCGGCCTCCACCGGTACCCCGACCCCCACCAGGACGACCTCAAGCGCCTCCTCTGCACCCTCCGCAACACCCACGCCCACACGCCCAAGACGCTGACCCCGGCCCACCTCTTCGTCGGCGTCGGCTCCGACGAGGCCATCGACGCGCTCCTCCGCTGCTTCTGCGTCCCCGGCCGCGACCGCATCCTCGTCTGCCCGCCCACCTACGGCATGTACGCCGTCTCCGCACAAGTCAACGACGTCGCCCTCCTGCGCGTGCCGCTCCTCCCCGCTCCTTCCTTTGCGCTCGACCTACCCGCCGTCACCGCTGCGCTCTCCGGACCGGACGCGGAGACCATCAAGCTCGCATACTTTTGCTCGCCGGGCAACCCGACCGGCTCGCTGCTGGCGCGCGCCGACGTGGAGGCCGTCCTCGCCCACCCGACCTGGAACGGCGTCGTCGTCCTCGACGAGGCCTATGTCGACTTTGCCGACGACTCCGCCTCCCTCGCGGAGCTCGTCACGGAGCACCCCAACCTCGTGGTCATGCAGACCCTGTCCAAGGCGTTCGGCATGGCCGGCATCCGCCTCGGCGCCGCGTTCGCCGCGCCAGAGGTCGCCCGCCTGCTCAACAGCCTCAAGGCGCCGTACAACGTGTCCAGCCCGACCAGCGCGCTCGCGCGCGCGGCGGTCGGCGAGGAGGGTCTCGCGGTCATGCGCGCGAACCGAGCGCGCATCGTCGAGCAGCGCGACCGCTTGGTGCGCGAGCTGCCAGCGATCCCGGGCGTCGGCCGCCTGCGCGGCGGCACGGACAGCAACTTTTTGCTCTACGAGATGCTCGACGCCGCGGGCAGGCCCGACAACGACGTTGCGTACAAGGTCTACTCGGTGCTTGCTGAGAACCGCGGTGTCGTGGTGCGCTTCCGCGGCAAGGAGCACGGCTGCCTTGGCTGCCTGCGCATCACGGTGGGCACGGAAGAGGAGGTGACTCGCTTTCTCGCTTCGCTAAAAGAGGTCCTGGCACAAGTTAGAGGTCAATGAGGCGTAGACGACCATAGATGAGACGATAGATGGATAGATGGGAAAATACGGAAGCGAACTGGTTATTTCGATAAAACATAGAGACAAAGATTTAAGTATCTGTTAATATTTCCTGCCGGCCATTTATGCCAGGTTTATTATATTTTTATAAGTCTATCCAAGAGTCGCCTCAAGCGTTTAGCCTTGCCACGCGTGGCGGTCATCTAGAGCCGCCAAACATTGAGCACGATAATACATAAAAACTCCTTCCAACAAAAACATTGGAATTGAAAAGTACAAAGGATACAACATAGAAGGAAATTCGTAACATCGTAAAAGAAAAGGAAAAAAGAAAAAAAAAAGCGACGAGAACTGTTAGTCCACGTCCCGGAGACGAAGGCGTTTATACCAGCCAGTTTACCAAGGCTGAGCCCAAGGCAACAGCCAGGGCAAAGCAGACGTGGTTGGCATAACTGGTCGTGGAAACAGACTCGCCGGTGGGAGCTGGTAACGTAGCTATACTATGTGTTAGAGAAGACGGCAGTCCGGTTCCGGGCTTGGTTTGGTTGTTGGGAATGGAAAAGAAGGTGGAGATGGTGTGGTGTGAGGAAGGCGAGGAGGAGTACAATGATGAGCAGGGTCCGGAACAGGAGGGCGTGGGATTGAGGGTGATGGTGATGTCGGAAGCAGAAGACTCAGAGGCGGTGCAAGACGGGCAAGACGTCGTCGGCAACTCACTCTTTTCAGTGGCCGAAGTCTCACTAGTCTTGCTCGAGGGTGTCGCCTGAGTCTGGATGGGAACAGATGATGTGGAAATGGCCAGGGTTGTTGATGCAGAGCTAAAACTCTCGGTGTTGGAACTGGCTGGGCTGGAACCCGTGGTGCTGGGAGTGTCGGATGTTGGCGCACTGGTAGGCGTAGGCTGAGGTGCAGATGATGAGGTGGCAGTGGGCTCTGAAGAGGTAGAAGCTTTATAGGTGGTGGTTGAGGCAGGTGTGCTCGCAGGTGTTGGGGTTTCTGTTGCGCTCGAGGCAGGCTTCTCAGACGTACTATTTTCCGTCGGGGAAATCGTCGCAGAAGTGTTCTCTCTGTTGGGATCAACAGCTGGGAAGTTGGCATCCAAGTTGCGCGTGATGCTGCCAGCCTGCATGGGAGGAGGAGCCGCGTTGATGAGCAGGCCCTGAACGGCTCCGAGAGCGTTCATTTGGGGACCCAGGTTCGCCTGGTTATCGAAGCCGCCGGTGGACCACTTCATGCCGCATTGCGTGTTGGTTGTGCCGCCCTGGCAGGACTGAGCAGCCGCCTTGGCCGTGGGAATGAGCCATTGAGCAACCTTGGAGTGGAGAGAAGGAACCATGACGGCACTCTTCCACATCAGGTCTGCCAGGTAGCCCTTGAAGGTGGTCATGTCGGCGTTGCCCTTGAAGCACGAGTCGACGGGTTCGCAGGCGCCCTCGTACATGACATTCTTACTGTCGCCGTCGGTGTAGAAGAACCAGCTGGCGCCATCAAGAAGCTTCTCGGCGCGGTCAGACCATTCGGACTTGCCCGTGTGGTTGGCCAGGACGGCAGCGCCGTACAAATAGATGCCACTAAGATAGGTATAGGACGCTGGGTTTGGCTTTGTGCACTGGTCGCGAATGTCGACGCCGTCGTAGACGCGATAGAGCTCGTGGTCAATCAGGTTCTTGTCCCAAGACCAGTCCCAAATCTTTTGCGCCCACTGAACGTACTTGTCGTCGTTGGTGGCACGGGCAAGACGGGCAGCGAGCTGGAAGAAGCCGCCGTTGCTGATTGCGTTCTTGTAGTTGAGGCCGTTGGGATTGCTGGCGAGGATTTGCCAGAAGACGCCGCCATCGCAGTGGGCGGTGTCCCACTTGGACTCGAGCCATGCGAAGACGTTCTTGCTAATGTCGAGCCACGAGGGAAGATCCTTGTTGGGCTGAGGGAAATTGTTTTCAGCGGCTGACAGAACAGCATTGCCCCAGAAGAAGAGATCGTCGTTGCCCTCCTCATCGGCGTGCTCGGGAGGCAGGTAGTTGTTGTCGGGGCCGATGTTGACTTTGGCAAGGAGGGCATCGAGGACGACATGGTTGTAGCTGGGGTCCTTGGTAACATGATAATAGTCAATCATCATGCCCCAAAGCGCACCAGCCACCCACCAGTAGTAAGGACGGTTGACATTTCCAATGGCCTTGGGGTCATTGGTGGTCGTGTTCCCCTGATAGTAGGCCATTGTGTCATGGGCAATGGTGGCGGCAACGTTGCGGATAGACCTAACGTCCTGAACGTTTAGGTCCTTGGGCATCATAACGGCGGCGGAAGCTGAAGCCAGCAGCGGCAGAAGGGTAATGGACTTCATATTTGCGACGGAGAGAGCGGTTGCAGAGCGAACGAGCGGCGGCAGGTATGAATGTACCTGTGTAAGTGGCTTCAGGTAGGTTGGATCCGACACAGTAGTCTGAAGACTCCAATTGAGGAGGAGAGAGAAGGGGAAAAGAGGTAGCGCAGAGAGACAAAGAAATATGCAAAAAGTCGAATGAGGAGAAAACAAGCGCAGCAGCGAAACAAGCACGATATGAGAAAGGGGATTGGGGAAGAAGGTGTTGTGATAGCTAATAAGCGCCGACTTGGGGCCAGGGGAGGAGAGGTCGGCGGCAAGAAAAGCCAAGCAAAAAGCGAGAGTATGACGAAAGAGATATCACAAGCAAGCACACACAAATTGAAGCTGGAAAAGAAGTGACAGAAATACAAGAAGGGCAGAAATCAAGCTGCCTTTAAAGGAAGCCCAAAAAGAAGAATACAACGCAACAACAGAAGGAAATCGGTCTGGACAAACTTGTGAATATCAGATGGCAGGGAGTCGAAGGCTGGTGAATACGAAGACCCGCCTTTGGGTTCGCTGCTGCAGGGCAAGCTCGCAAGCTTGGGTGGTACCTAACTAATAGTAATTCGTAGGGGTATGTAGTAGGTTGATGATGTCGTCGATCTCGGCAGGTGGTTAGCGAGGTGGCAGGATGAGTAAAATTGACAGAGAGAATAAGAGGAAAAAACTATCAGCAGGGAGCTGTTTGATGGAGAATAAACCAGAGCCAGTCGTTTGGAAGGTGACAGGTGCAACATTTTAAAGAAGAGAGGGAAGGAATGGGAAAACAGGGCCGTTGGGCGGTTAGACGTGTCAGGCTGGCTGGCTGCCGTCTGTACGGATACTGTACCTGTATCCGTGCTACCTATGTACAGGTCCTAACAAGGCCGTTGTGTGGGTGTGCATTTGCGGGAGCGGTGGGCTCGTTTGATTTTTTTTCCTTCTGATTTCGTTTTATTTTATTGTTTGTATTATATTTTTATTTTATTCTCCTGTTCTAGTTAAACTGTATTTTTTTTTTCTGGGCATGGCTTCTCAACTCCCCGAGTCTATTGACTGGATCGAGGCGGACGCGGGTAGCCGGGATTGGATTGGCTGAGAGCCTGATGGAGAACAAGAAGGCGACACGCCCTGTGGGACACGGCAGGGGGGAATGCTTGACAGCTGAGGGGCCAGACACGCTATAGTTTTTTCAAAGAAAAAGAGAAGACCAAGGAATGGGAACAGAAAGGACCATGGCGCGGCGGAGCTTGTGCGAGAACGCAAGGGAGAGCGCGCGTGCTGTACGGATTAGTGGTGCTTGCTGGCGATGATTGGGTACTGACTGGGTGGTGTCTTCGTTTTCCACCAAAAAAGCCCACCCACCGAACCATAAACACTTTGACGCCATTCGACACCCCCTCGACCACCACCCTCAGCCCGATGAGACGGACCATGTTTGATACGAGCACCGGCACTCCATGGTTCGATCAACGGACGGAGGTGCTCGGGACGAGATATTACCGGGCTATGGATTGTTTTCCTGGATGCGTCCCTGTCCGTGCTCTCCTACGCGCCGGCTTTCATCTTCGCGGGGTTCCTTCGTTTGTTCTGTCCTGTGCCTCATCAGCGTAACAGTGACGACTCATTCATTCACTGACGAGATCACTGCCAAGGTCTATGCCACTCAACTAGTGCACCAGCGAATGCCCATCCCGCCGTCTCTTTTTGTCAGCCGAAGAGTCCTGGTACAGGAGGGCACCAAACAACCCCGCCCCTTCCCTCCTCAATCAATCAATCAAGGTTATGATATCTGACAATGGTCGATTGTTCCTGAATCCGAACCCTCCTTAATCAATGCACCGTCAATCATAATGACCCATGATAACCAGTTGAGGCAATCTTGAACCCTGCCAACCACTCGTTTTACACTGACTGACGCTTTATCTACATTATTAGCCTTTTCATCCTCCCCTTCCTCGTTTCGTGACCCGCACTGGACGTCGCAGGCGGTAGCGGCCCCAGCCAACCAGACAGGGCTGGGAAAAACGAAAAGGTCCGTAATAGTGAAGCCCATTGCTTGCCACGATTCTAGCTGCATTTTCTACACCCAAGGGGAATACAGCAACACTAGCAATTGCTAGCCTTGGTCGGTCCAAGTCGACTGGTGAGGCCGTCATCGCCAGAAGAGAGGAGGCAAGCCAGCCAACGCTAAGGCTTAGCTGGGCGCTAAAACGCTGGCCGGCCACCGGCTTTCCGGCCGCTGAAAGATGCGCTAAAAATACAGCGGCTTTGCCTTCCCTGCTAGCTCACCCGCTGAGCCGCGTCCTTGTCTCGGGCGGGAGATGGGATTATTAGAGGGCCTTGTAGCTACCTAGGCATTTGAACAATGCCGCGATACATTCCAGCCGGCATTGCTTGCTCAGCTTGCCTACCTCAAACCACAATTTCGGCGGGGAAATTAGACAGGGAATTAAAGGAACCCGGGAACACCTGTTCCTGCTTCGGCTGCTGGCTTCTGCACGAACCCAAAACAATGTGCCCGTTCTTGGCTCGGCCCCCTGTCTCGTCTCAAGGAGCACCTCAGTCGGCAGTTTCCTCACGTCGGGGCGCAGCGACCAGTAACGAGCTGTCTAATTCGTAGACGAGAAACCTCTCATACTCAATCTGCAAACAAATATGGCCGAGACAGCTCGCACTCACACACACACACACACACACGCAGGCTCACACACAACCAAAAGGAGAGTCAGTTCGTCCGACTCAACTGGCCTCGATATCGGCCCATATCATGGTGTTACCTGCCACATGCCCTTGTTGATTGGATATGACAAAATGTGTCGGCTTGGACATGCAAGTTGCGCCTCCAATTTGGCTTGGTTCTGCAAGTATTCTTTCCGCTTCATTTTCCACATCTCTTCCATTTCCGGCTCCATCGGCCCATCTCATCTCATACATGCCAGCCTCGTCGCTGCGCCCCCATCCCAGCCAGCCCGCCCTGCAACCAGCCACATATCCCTCGTGTGCGTTCATTTTCCAAGTCTACAATGATGCTGCAAATCTTCTTCCTGTTGTGCGAGTAAGCCCAAGACTCGCACACCCAGCCTTGGCCTCGGACAAGTCATACCCACCAAGCACATATGTACTCGCCGCTGAGCCGCCGTGTGATCCGCATGATCGCCCATGTAAGCTGAGGTGTGCATGCACAGAACTCGGGCATCGCCTACACATCGGCGGCTCATTGCAGTTTCCCGTAGAGACACGCCGAGACAGATCTCAGTACCCATATGCACACTTCGTCACACACGGTCCCAATCTAGTTGCATTCTCACGCCCCCAAATTCAACCTAGGGCATTCTTCTTCTTTGTCATAGCTCCTGGCATCCTTTTCCCAACAAGGCTCCTCGATGCGATCGATGGGCTCCTCCAGGCCATCCACACACACCCAGGCATAAAATAATGCGGCTTTATTATGCCCATAACAATAACTTACTGAACCCCTTCCGCAAGTCCGCGTTGATCCGACCACGCTAACAACCACCACCGGTCTCCCAGCCCCGAGAACTCCGGCAATCCGGCTCTGGGCATCCCTCGGCCGCTGTCGTTTGTGCCCGCCACGGTTCCATCCTCCGTGATCCAAGCTGCCCAACTAACTAGTGTCCAGTAGTTAGATGGCACCTTGGGAAAAAAAAGAAGCAACGCACCGTTTCCACAACTGAAGCCTACCTTGTTAGTTAGTTGCCAAGTTTTTCTCCGTCAGCGCGGGGTAAAACATCTGTGCTCAGTCCTATAACGGATGAGAATGCAGCACCTTCATCCCAACCGACGTCACGACAGTCTCTTCTCCCCTCTATTCCCCCTCTATGAATCCGATCAAAAAACTCACATGTGCCTCCGAGGAATGTCCTATGTGTCCCCCCTCATTCCTTTCTTCTTCTTACCGCCTAGGTCTTCACATCATCCTGTCCGAGTTAGCTGCATCAGTCAGCGCATCGTGAGCTAAACCACGACTGGTATCTTTTTCTCCGTAACCATATTGTCCTTGCGCATATCTCGAAGACCTTGTAAGTACGGTTAGCCAAAACGCCACCGGTGCGTTGGTGAGAGTCGGTCCACCTCGTGTTCGCTTGCTTCGGCCCAGCCACCAAACATGCCGCTCCCAACATTATCCTACGGAAGAGAAAAGAAGGTACATGCGTGCGTATGAGATGGGATCAATATTGGGGTTTCGACTTGATTGTGTTTTGGGCATAGGGCTGCATATTGATTGAGGATCGTACTGCATGCTCAACTACTTTGTTATATTTAGAATACGAGCACCTTTGATGAACCAATCTTGTTTCGCTCCGCCTTTTCAAAATCCCATGTTAAGAGGCGTTTTCCGTACACTGAAATGAGGAAAAGCAAAACACAAAACATTAAAGGAATAACCAGCTCATCGTTTCAGCTCTTCGGGCGCATCATCGTATTCCGCATGGCTGACTCTCGACATGCATGACGCTAACAATGCGTGCTCACCGATATGGCTTTTTGCTTCGTATGGCCCAAAAATTCGTCCACATACAAAGCATCAAACGCCAAATCACAACGGCCAAGAAACGGCCAAGGACGAAAGAATATGCAAAAGAAAAGGGAGGTGCTTTGAGGGGCTACAGCAGCTTCTACAGCAGCCGCGCATCCGTCTATTTTTATCTACTGCCAGCCTTGCATATACGCACTCGTATACCCGTTGCCCTCTGTCGTCGCTACTGCACCCAAGCCGCGACGAGAGACAACGGCTGGAAAGGAAGCCGGTCTCTGAAAATTGGCCATCACCATTGAACCGATATGTAGAATTGCGGGTTTGCGTCTACGTTTGCCAACGAGAACAAGCTCGCCCCCGAATGTACAATGTTGCCGAGCTGACAAGCCTTCAAAATAGTTATTTCGACTTGCCACTATGAAGCTGAGAAAGAATTCCAAACGCCAGGCCATGAGTACCAAAGTACAGAAAACAAAAAAAAAAAAACTCCCAAGATGCAGCCAGATGAGATAAAAACAAAACGCCAGTGCATCCACGCTGGTAGATTGCACTCATGTGTATCGGGGGTATAATCTTTTTCGAGATGGGCCGGTGCCCATACCATGCCATGCAGGCCAAATGCTCGCAAGCCGTTTCAAGCCAAGCTCATACAGGCCTTAATCCTCCCTCAGGCCGAGCTCCGTCGCATCCTCACTCCTGAAATACTCTTCTCTGACCGCCAGAACGCGTATGCGACGAGTCCTAGAGAAGGAGGCCGGCAAAAACGGTACTTGCTGCGACCACAATAGCTGTCCAAGCCTGCACATCTTGCGTGCTGGCAGCACTTTCTGGCGTGTCCGACGGCAGATATAACAGCGCCGTATTCTTAGTGGGCACCATGGTTATATCGGCCGAATTGTCGTCGTCGCCACTGGGTTTGGGGATATCTGTCAATGTCAAGACTCCCCATTTCACGTCCGTTCCGGTAAGAGTCGAGGTCCATGAGAGCTCAGTAGGACCAGTAACGATGCCGTTCTTGTATCCGGACTTGTAGCTCGAGTAACCGGAACATGTCGCTGCGGTTCGTCCGTCGAGATTGCATCCAATGTCGGCAATACTGGAAATACTCTTTGTCAGCTAACTTCTTCTAGGGAATGGAGTAGTGCTTGGAAGCCGCCGTACAAGGTGGATGTGTATGTGCCGTGAAATTCGACCGTCTTGGGGCCTTCGATGATGATGAATGGAAATTCCAGCGCGAGGTTGCACGCTTGCTTGGGCTCTTTGCGGCAGAATATTGTATAGGTTGTACAATTTTTTACGTCGTCCTGTCATGATTATTGTCAGAAAGGGGCTGCGCTGCACTGCGCCACGGCTCTGAGCAAAGTTGACGTACGGATGATAGGATGCTGCCTCGGAGGGCAGACCAGGCTGCGTTGTCATAGTATGGCAGAAAGACGGGCGCGGTCGTGATTGGGCCGGACGAAGTCACTTTGCGCGTCGAGCCTGATACGGCAGAAAATGCAGAGGAAACGGCTGGAGCTGGTGTCGCAATCGTGGATGTGGTCGTTGGTTGGATTGTGCTGGTGACGGTGCTGCCGGTCGGCACCGTGGACGCGACGCAGAGGGCAAGAAAGCCGAGTAGGATCGCGGCCACGGTGCTGTGGCGCACAGTGGCCATGATCGACAAGACGGTCAAGGTCGTTGGTATTCGAGGCTATTTGGCGGCGGGCGGCGTGTCGATCTCAGAGGGCCAATCGTAGTGGGCAGGAGGCGCTGTAACTGGAGGCCCGGCTTGTAAAAGAAGCTCCGAGGCGTGCGCAGCACTCAAGGTCAATTCCACGCCTTGCAATGAAAGATGCGAAAGTGGTCACAACAATCTGGAGGAGGGGCAAAGCATGGAACAAGGGGGGAAGGAGCAGCTCTAAATAAAAGACACTTGCTTGTGCTTGGGTCGGGCTACGATGCGCCGCCAGGCCGACCGATGACCATCTTCTCCCCAATCCCCTTCCCTTTTGCTTGCTTGTCTGTGTTAATTTTTCTGGGCAAAGTCTTGGAGCTCTTGGCAAATTGGGGCTAGAAGTGGCGCCGCCTTTGAGGACAGATGCACCTGCGAGATTAGTAGTGGTCCCCTGGTCTTAGGTGTAATGGGATGATGCGCTGCTGCAGGCAAGCACAGACTTTCACTAGTCATCTGGTCGGGAATTTATATCAATTATTATAGTAATAGGGGGGCCTCTCTTGCCCCTTCTCCGTCTTTTCTCTTGGCTTTCTCAAGAATTGAGCGAGTTGCGGGCGTGAATTGGCGGTGTATTTTGCCAATGGCTTGGGAGCTGTCTTGGCTGTCATGTCACACATGGCGCTGACGTCGCACTGTTCCGCAAGACCCGTGATACTGGATACAAGCGGCTGTGTACGCAGGGTACAAAGTAAAGGTAGGGGAGACCTGCCAATTTACAGGTACCTACATACTTATTATGCGCGGTAAGGGGGCTTGGTACGTTTCGCCAAGACGTGCTGCAACAGCCTTCTGCGTGAAGCCTGCAGTCTTATGCCCGGGGAATTGCTAGCGCGTTGCGCCGTTATTGCCGGGGAGCCAGGATGGCAGGTAGACCTTGTAGAATTGTTGTATAAGATGAAGGAGATGTGTTCAAGGATCCGAACCTAGGTAGAACAGGCCAAGATGGAGGCAACAGCTGATATTGAAGTATCAAATTTTACGCGTTTGGTACTACTTGCTTTTCTTTGCTTTTCCTTTTCTTTTTCTTGTCTTTCCCCTTCGTTTGCTCGCAGCTGGCAACAAAGTTGCTTGTTTGCTGGCGGCAGCTGCCAAGCCCCAGCTAACCAGCAGCGCAGCCGGCCTCGGTAAGGGTGCACTGCCGCTTTACCGCGTCGGCCGAATCATCGTCGCCGCCAAGCCTTCTGTTCGGCTGCCAAGCCCGCCAGAGAAATGCCATGACCCGGCCAAGCGTAAATTAGGTCTCGTAATTGACCCAGTACCCTGCAGACGCAGCATGTTGGGAGCCGCACATGTAAAGTTTGTCAAATATATCCATATCGCTCTCCTAACCGCTATAGCCATGTCTGTGATACTCGCGATGTCCACGTGAAGCTTCGCAAAGTATCACGATCCATGTTCGACTAGGTAGCCGAGAACCGAGCTCAATCCAGGGGGGCCATCATGACCCCGTCTTCCTTGACCTGGGGAATGAATCAATGGCTTGCCCAATTATGTTTTTCGATCATTACGCACTTGTTTTGGATGTTCGAAGAATGATACGGGTCGCTGCTGCGTTGTCCCTTGCAAGCATAACAACTCCCGTTGTCAATGTCCAAGTCGCTATCCGGAGCGCAAAGCTACCTATGACGCAGTGTTTCCCATTGCAATGCCGTACTGCGTCCAGCAGTACCAGAACGCCCCAAAAGGAAAGATAAAGAGCTGAAAATAAAAGAAAAGAAAAACCAAAGACCGCCGCAAATCGGCAACCTACAGGGGAATTATTACTAAATCAGATATATGTATTGCGCAGAAGCTACACGATTTCGCTCTTTACTCAACATCAGTAGCTCACCCACCACCGTTGCAGCAGCGCCTTGTTAATTGACAGAATCGGCTCCAAGTCTTTCGACGTCGGCTCGATAGCACCCTGCTGCTGCCGCCTGTCAATATGTCTCTTGGCGCACTTGAGACTGTATACGCAGCAGGGCGGCAGGGCTTCGACTCCGCCGTGGGAGTGTTGATGCGCTTGGCTGCGAGCTTGGCTGTGAGCATGGCCATGACTCTGGCCATCTTGCTTTTCCTCACTGTGCTGGTGCTGATGTCCATGTTCGTGGCTGTGGCTGTGGCTGTGGTGCGTGCTGTTGTCGTCCAAGATGTGCTGCATGGTCGTTCATCGACTCCGATACAATGTTGGTCACGGTATCTAGTACAGCTTCGGAAACTATCCTTTGCTGAGACGGGCCAATTTCACTCGAGGCAGAGTTTTCTTGGGAAAGGGCCTTTTCGTGCAAAATAAACAGAGCCCTGAGATAATAGGTAGAGTCAGCAACCATGCGCGCCACAGCGCATGCCTGCCGAGTGCAGCCAAGCGAGCCTGTACTAACCTCACTGCCGTCGCTACAACGCTACAGCGAACCTCCTGCAACCTCTCGCACTCGTCCAGCACCATGTTAAGAAACGTCTGAATTTCGCGATCAAGCTGCTGCAGTTCCATCTGCCGCGACTGCGAGCCGCTTTCAAGATTAGAGACACGATAGCCCGATCGCGCAAATGAACAGCCTGCGCCTGACGTCCGAAGCTTTGGACCTGGCTGCTGTCAAACGGGGCTTCCGGCGCGCGCTGCAGCAAGTCTGCGTGAATGGGTGCGATGCCGCTGAAATCTCGACCTGGTTTTAGATCCGTGGGAAGGATGCTGCCATGTGCAGGCAACTCAGCGGCTGGTTCTGAGCTGATTTGCGCAAGCTCAACCAAGACGATTCTGAACACGCGATCAAAGTCAGCACAAAGTAATGCCCAATAGGACACCGGAGCATAGCCGCGTGTTTGCTTGGGAATCATCTTACCTTTTCAAAACAACTAACCCCCACCAGACGTTACAGTCCTCCTGCATCCTCAGCCTCTGCTCCGGCTCCAGCGGCAGCCTGCTGTCACTTAGCGTCGCGCTCGTCTTGTCCAGGCTGAGCGCGTGCGCGATCCTGACGCACGTTCCAATCGATATATAGGCTGGGTTGAGTTTCTGGCAGGCATATTCATAGCCGGCAATCATGAGCCCCGCCTGAACCAGCGCCGTCGAGGCGCATATGACAGCCTGTGTCTGCGCAAACAGCATCTTGATCATCAGATACGCCGACATGCGAGGCGGGGCGCCTGGCCGCTCGGCCGTGTCCCGGCCCTGCGAGCCTTGGGGCGTCGACACCAGGTACATGGCCATGATGAGGAGCGAAAGTCGGCCAGTGGTGTTCCTCTCCCGGTCCCGGTCTGTGCTGCGGCTTCATGGAATCGCGTTGGTGAAACGATGGGGAGCCACTTGTGAAAGCCTCGAAAGTAGCGCTCAGTGAGTTCCGGGAGGGTGAGCTTCTGGTCCTGGAAGATGCTCGCAACCTCGCGGTTTAGGAGGTCGTCGAGCCCGCCGCTCGCGCCGCCACCGCCAGCCGCGCCACCATTGCTGACGCTGCCGAGGAACTCATAAAGTGAGGCCGGTGGTTCCAGAGCGGACGAAGTCGGGCTGTTGCTTGAGCGGCGTCTCGCCCAGCTAATGGATGAGGAGCCCTGCCAGCCCTGGCTGTCGGAGCGGACCATCGACGAGGTGCGCGACTCGGGGTATTCCTGTTCGTGGCTTGGCGGCGCGTCGTGATAGACGCAGGCGAGACCCCGACGCGTGCAGTAGCCGCACTTGGGCAGCTGCTTGTCGCAGCCTTTTTTGCGCCCCCGGCACGTCACACATACCCAGAGCGCGCTCTGGCTCATGCGCCATCGTCGGATCGTCGGATGATGTTGTCAAATGGTCGAGATTCTTCGCTATCACTGGTGTAATCGAATCGCCGGATGGTGCAGAGCCGACGTGCGCAACGTGGTCCAGGTCGAGGCCGTGGCATCTAGAAGTCGTATGCGAAAGTGAGGCAGAGGCAATCGCTTCTGGCGGCCGCTGATTTACGGCACTTATGTCACCCCGGACAAGGCTCGAGGTTAGGTTCAGGACGAGGAGGCGCTTGAGTGAAGCTTTGTGCCAAACTGGTTAGCTGACTCCAAGTTAGGATGGTACCTTGGACGAGCAGCCAATCACCAATTTGGCTGTTCCCGAACATATATGCCGAAACGGGAAAGTTACGCACTTGCGATCAAGTTTATTGCTTTTTATTACGAAACATGCTTCCCGTGCCAACCCTCATGACGGATTGCCCTTAATCCCGAGATCTGGGTCCTCGACGGAGCGGCTCCGGATCGTGACCTCATAGGTCTCTTGCCTGTGCTAGACTTCTTGTCTCATGGCAGTAAGCCGGCAATCTGCTGGTCCTTTTGACGTTCGACGAGTCAATGGTGATGAACCCTGTAAACGAGGCCCTGATCAAAACCAATTCTGCTGCATTGCCAATAATGCGTTTCCAACGACCCCGGTCTAAGTCTATCCGGCTCTGTGCGGGCAGTTTTATGTACATGATGAATATCGCCCAATCTATCTAGTCTCGCAATGCCGCAAACTTGGACGCCTTTCGCAGTCTGGCACCATACTTGTAAAAGATGAACGGAATCGGCAGCGCTGCACACGCTATCCCGCCCAACAGACTAACCGCTGGCCCGACACCCATCGTCGAGAACATGGGGCGTGCTGCCAGAGGCAGGCCGCACGCGAGGAGCGAGCGAAGAAATGTGTTGGCGGCCAAGGCGCTCGCCGCGTACATACCGTACGTGTCTACGAGAAAGTTGAGGCACTGCTGGAACACAATGTTGAAGCCGGCTCCAACAAATGCTGTGAAAATGTTAGACGCGATGGTTCGGCACAAGGAAAAGAACACTCTTAGACATACCTAACGCCACGGTGGGCAGTATCCAATGAAACCTTGGTGCCGCCGTCCACGCAAACCAAAACATACCCACGACGAGGAGCACGATGCCGATGACAATGGGCGGCAGCCGCGCCTCCGGAACGGGCTTGTTGTTGTTCTTGGCCATGGCCTTGGCATATAGCGGCTGGTTGGCGAGGTTGACGAAGACGGCACACAGCACGCCGATGAAGATTCCGAGGTACGGTAGCGTGGAGACGACGGGGCTGAAGTGGCGGCCTTCGAGGTACACGATCGGGATGACTTCGAGGAACATGTAGATGAGTGCGAACACAAATGATGCGTAAATGGCCATGCAGGTGACGGCTGGCTCTGTGAAAAGCATACTGAGGGACATTGTTAGCGACGAGTTGCTTCGCTTGTGCACGACGTGGGCGAGTCCGACTCACTTTAACGGTCTCACGATATACTTGGTCACAATGTTGCTCATGTTCATCTTTTCCTCTTCGTGCGGGTGCCACCACCGGTCATCGCCCGTTTCCTTGCGCAGGCGGGCCGCCTTTCGTCGCAGCAGCACCGGGCCGTACGTTTCCGGCAGGAAGAAGATGCAAATCACAACGACGGCGAACGAGATGATAGCCTGCATATACTCGGTCCCTGTCGCCTCTTGTCAGCCCACTATACAGACATACATACCGCCTGCGAAAACTCACATCGCCAGCCCAGCTTGGGGTTGACCAGCAGGGCGGAGCCGATGAGCGGCGCGAGCGTAGGCCCGCCGACGACGCAGACGGCGAAAAAGGTCATGGCGACGCCGCGAGTCTTGGGGCCGTAAAAGTCACCCATAGCGGCGGAGACGTTGCTCTGGGGCGCGGAGCCGAAGACGGCGGCGAGGAAGCGGGTGACGAAGATGCTGGCGGCATTTGTGCTCGTGGCCGTGCCGACGCTGAAGAGGGCGAGGCCGAAGACGGGCGGCAGCATGGACCATCGCCGGCCAAAGACCTCACTGACCGGCGCCCACAGCAGGGGACCAACGGCGAAGCCTATCATGCACAGGTGGTCAGTCGTGGTTTTTCGTGATGGCAGCGCGGGTTCAGCAAGTTATGTGAAAACGGGGAGAGAACGCACCCAGGACATAAAGTGACAACACAAGAGTCGCGACCTCGGTGCTCGTGTTGGTGTAGCGCGCGATGACGGGCTCGGCCGGGGCGATGATGGAGGTGCCGAGGGAGCCCACCAGCGCCAAGAGCGACATCTGGACTAGAATCGACACTTTTTTGGCGGAGCTAAAGTTGTGTGGGTTCTCCGGGTCGCCGGGCTCGAAGCGAGCCTGGAAGGCTTTCCTGTCATTGTCCGCGCCGCCGCCGCTGCCGGCGGTGCTGTCCGGCTGGGAGGTATCGTTGAGATCCGGGGTCTCGACATCGTGGCGGTTTGGCGAGATGCCCTTCTCGGTGAGGTCAGCATCCTTGGCGGCTTGCGTGTTGTTGTCCTTCGACTGTAAACTTGAAACCGTGTCTCCTTGGGCCATTTGTGCTGTGGAATGTGTGGTCGACATTGCTGGATATGTCGGGCGACTTAGGTGCAACTATGTAGGACGCGTTCTTTGCATCGTGGGGACGTCTGATTGATCGAAGACGAAGAAAAAAAGACAAGACAGATGTCCGGGAACAAATGCAATAAAAGAAAATATTTCATCTCCGCAGGGCTCGGCCAATGTCTTTATTATTAGGTGGGCGGCATCGGGGGGTCAGGATCAAGGGCCATTATTAGCGGCGACGGCCGGCAGAAGTGGGGGCAGGAACTCCAGAAGCCGAAGCGCGAGCCGTGAGAACCCTTGCGGGTGACTCAATAATCAACTGCAAATAAGTAGCCTACTACCAGGAGTGTGCGGGTTGCATTATTAAGAATCTGTGGGCATGCATTGGCCGCTGGAGCCTTGTTGATGCATGGGAGTGCGTGCGCCGCCGTTGAAACCGCAAACGTGCAGTCGTATAATGCCAGTAAGTAGTAAAAGTCGGCAGACCCGAGCTAATCCCCGAGAACTGCTAAACAAGCTGGGCTATCTATGTACATAGTTTCGGATGCTGTCATTGTCGGATAGGCGGCATCCATGGCTGACCAATAGTTACATGGCGAACAAAAATAGCATAGGGATCGATTGGAGGAGACGTCATATTCACGTCGTCTTGTGTGGGAGCGAGGCGCGAGGCGGAAGGGAAAAGCTGAAGAAGCCGTCTTGATTCCGGAGATTCCGGCAGGGCAACCACAACGGTCGGGCCGGTTCCGGCGGGTGGTGATTGTTCGGGGGCGGGTGGTGCGTTCGGTCGGTTGGGTGGCGCCAGCCATGCTGCAGCGGCGGGGATAATAGAAACCGTTGTCAGGTGCAGTTGCTAGGTGCGAGATGGTGCAACTATAAAATAAACACTTATTGGCGGGCATTCTCTTGTTAACGATTTCCCCAGCGTGGTTGGCGGGTCTTGATCGACAACGGAGTAACCCGTAGAATCCGTACATACATATACTAGAAAATGCAATCGATCAATACCTTAACTAACAGCTTATCTTGCTCAGAAACGTGGTCGCCCGGGCAAGGTTGCTTCCGAAATTGCGGCTTCCCCTTGCTTTGCTGTCGCGAACACGGTGGTGTGCTGAGGTATGTATGTATGTATGTATGTTTGTTTGTATGTATGTATGTATGTACCTACCTGTGGCTAGGTACTTAATTTGCGACAAGCTAGCGTGACCTTTGCGAGCATCGTCAAGTGCCGAGATGCACTGTTGAAAGGGCATAGAATGCTTTCATTATCATTTATAAAACGAATTCTCAATTGACGACAGAACTATCATCCTATATAAACATATCAGATAGTGTGGCTATTGCTTTTAATGACTGTGGCGTCTCATTGCCCACCAAAAGTAGCGCGGTCCTGGCGAATCTAGACTTCTGGTTGGTGATATTTTTCGCCCTTTGTCTCTGGCCGTGCTGCGCCAGACCCCACAGGGCTTTTTGTACCCGGGCGCAGCTTCCGTGACCAAGCTCGTATACAACAGGGCATTGCTGGCCAAAGACTTTTTTCTCGTACTCACCATCCATCCTTCAACATCATCCGCCAAGAACGACATCGAAAAATTGAAAAAAAAAAGGACGAAAATAGACGAAATGCATCGCTTCATCCAACTACTCACCAGCGCCGTTGCCGTTGCAGCCGCCGACCCCGTGGTCACGAGCCTCCTGCTGCCCTACAACGACGCGCAGCCGTTCGTTGGCACCGTCCTCAACGTCGACGCCTCGGCGACGACGTTTGCCTACACCTGCGCCAGCACCGTCAACGCTGATGACTGCGGAATGGCCACGCACGGCACCATTGTCCAGGGCCCGTCGACCTGGCGCATGACGCTTTCCCAGAGCGACGACGACGGTTTGTAGTAAGGCCGCCCAACCACCACCAACTGCCTTTGTTGCGATTTCTTCTTTGGTCTTTCACGATGGCTAGTTTCATCGCTGACACTGCTTTGACACAGCGCGCTCACGGCCGCCTGCGCCCTCACCCCGTCCAAGAACGTGGCCAGCTGCACCGTTTCCGAGACCGAATCCGACACCGACACCCAGGGCTCCAGCACCCAGACGGGCACCACGACGAGCTACCTCTCCGACCTACAGGCCGTGACGCTCGTCGCCGGCCTTGACAAGCTGACTGGCGGCGCTACGCCCTCGCCCAGCACCGCCTCTTCCACCCCGACATCAGGCGCCGGCGGAAGCACCGGCTCCCAACCCCCGAGCACCGGCAGCGCGTCGCAGTCCTTGACCTCGGGAGCCGCCGCGTCGTCTTCGGGCGCTGCGTCTCCCTCGGCACCTGCCAGTGGCAGCAAGACGGGCACGCCCAACGCCGCGCCGGCTGTGACCCAGCAGGCTGTCCTGGTCGGCGTCGCCGCCGTTGTTGGCGCGCTTGCGCTGTAAATTGCTCGAGTTTGTTGATGTGTCAAATTTTCCAGCATAGCGTGCCATATTTGTCTTTTATTTTCTCGCTTAATATACGCTTGATACTAGTGACGATACTCGTCTGCATCTCAATCTCTGCTGCATTAATTACATGCTCACGAAATGATGTCCTCTCGCCCGTCCAACCAGCTACTACAGTTGACACATCGCAGAGCCTTGTTCATTAGCTACACGTTCATTGTTGGAGAGGAGCCATGCATACCTTTTCATTGATTCGCTTGCGGCAGTAGCGACACTTTGTCGTGTACTTGATGATGGGGTCGTGCGAGACCAGAGTGTAAATGTGCGCCACACCATATAGACACAGCCCAACCATGGTAAAGGAGACGAGTTGATAGATGAATGAGCTATGATTGGTCAACAGTGTACTTGTATCAAAGAAGCCCCCCCCAGAACGGGAGGCCCCTTTTTGTAGAAAAAGAAAAGAACAAGGAGCACCGCACCCGTATGCCATGACGACGGCGCCATCGTCGAGCGCCTGCTGCACGGTGCTGTACTGCGTGGTCGTGTTGACCTTGTCGCCGCGGCGCAGGACGGCGAACTTTTCCTCAATATTCTTGTTGAGCGGGAAGATGACGGCGATGGGCGGCATCAAGATGTTGCCGACAAACGACTTGACCAGCTCCGTGAACGCAGCCGCGACGCTGAAGGGGGGTCAGCAAGCAAATACGACACGGACCCTTCAAGGCCCGCCTGTGTTGCTGAGTGGACTGGGGAGACTCACATCAGGCCAAAGGCGATTTCTAGAATGTTGCCTTGAAAGGCAAAGTCGACGAAGCCGTGGAAGAAGCGCTGGGCGCGCTCCTGGCCGCGGTGCAGCAGCGAGTCGGCCTCGCTGTGGACGTGCTCCAGGTCCTGGGACGGCATGGCGGGCGACCGACCGACTGGGCGGCGAGTTCGTGGTCTGGTGGCCCCCTCCAAAAAAGAAAGAAAAAGTCTGCCCTGCTGGCAGTTGCTTTCGAGTCCGCCTTGTTTAAAGAGTTTCGAGTTGACTTTGTGAACTTTGAGATGGCGCAGCGCGTATCCCCGCACTTTGGTGAGACCCTGAATGAAGGGGGTGGCTGAATTGGTCGTTGACTCTAGATAAGACGTTGAGCTCCAGTTCGCCTTCGGCTACAATAGCTTATTCGGGGAGAATCGTAACGACCCGGAGTATTTTGTTGAGCTCGTAGCGATTGAATGGCAAGTTCTAAATAGATATAAAATCTAATGAAGGGGAATGCTGCTTTCGGTACTGAGACGCGCCCTCAAACTATGCGCCAATCTAGTGGGTTGGTCGTCCACGTGAGGCGCCATCCCACAAATGATGCATGGCGAAAGCGCCGTGGCTTAGATCTGCAAGTAAATCAAACATTTCGATGCATTCAATTGATAAGGAAGATATTCTGCCTTCTACTGATACGGATCATTGCGACCCCAAAGCCCTACTTCTCTCGTTGCGCCAGTTGCTCCGACCCAGCGGCCACTTGCCGCGACGCACCATTCTTGGCCGAGTACTTGACAAGTTCCGCCCGCCGCGCATCCCGCCTTACCAGAACGTACAAGACCTGCCAAGTAAGCGCGACAATGGTCGTGAAAGCCATCAACGTCCATAGAATGGCCAGAAACGGCCCGCCGCGCGAGGCCACGATTCCGATCCTTGCCGTTTGCTGGTTCAGTTCCCGTATTGACCGCGCAGTCTGCACCGTCACGGCGATGCTGGCGCCGGCGATGATGGTGCCGGCGAGCGCGGTCAGGATGAGCGTTACGAGCACGAGGCTCTTCCTGGTCGGCCAGGCAATGGTTCCGGTGGTGGAGAAGAGGGCGGCACCGATGAGGCCAAAGGCAAGGGATAGGAGAATGACCAGTGCGTAGAGGTTGTCGTTGATGCCTTCGACCTGATCTCGGACCGAGTCTGTCCCGTTCAGGTCGCCGAGACTGACGTTGCGGTTTCCGATTTGAAATTGCCGGTCCAATATCTTGGCAATATTGAAGCGATCTAAAGAAAAATTACAGAAGGCGCCTTAGCCTTTAAAGTGAGTGCAAACTAGAGAACAAGACAAACTCACGCCTTACGTCGCCTGTGCAGCTTGTCGTGTGGTGGCCTGGATTTCTCACCGTGGCGTTTGGCGTGAACTCGCCCTGGCAGGTGCTCAGGACGTGCAGAGAGTACCAGTCGGAAATATTCAGTCGGCGCTTTGCTTCCGCGGCGGCATCGTTGACGAAGCCATCTACACCCTGCGTGATCACGTTGGTGATGTTCTTCGCAACGTCGTCGAGAAAGCCTTGCAGACCGGACTCGAGGTTGTCGAGCCAGCCATCGTCGCTGCGCAGGCGTAGGCTGTTTTGGCCGCCCCCGGTCAATTGATCGATGCCGAGCTGTAGCACAGCCTTGGGGGCCATGGATACATTGACCTGGATCGCCGAGGCGGGTCGTGATTAGCGAAAATGACGCTGCAGGACCAAGTCGGGCGGGTTCTGGAAGAAGGGCAAAAGGCTTACGCGTAGGACGGCGTAGTTTTCGAGAGTGCCGGCATCGCGACCGGCGAAAAGCGTAACGGCGGCTAGGATGAAGCTAATGAGGGTGAGGACTAGGCTCACGACGGCAGCCAGCCGCAATGTGAATGAGCGCATTGGAGTGAGGAGAGTCGGCTGGATTAAAAAAGTTGGCGCTCTCTATTTATAGGCTATATACTGTTGAGTGAAGAGGTTCTCCCGGAGAGTAGAGAATTGCGAGCGCCCGAGCCCAGTGTATCCATAATATTTATTCAATGCATTGGAAATGGGACCAATGCATTGGACAAGAGCCAAAGCCAAGAGGTACACGGGCGAACAACCGTTGATTTTTACTCGCCGGTGGACTATTTATGGCCCGACGTTTCAGTCTGCTTGGATTCTATCTGGAGCCCATCTAAAATAGATGGCGCAACCTGGTAAAAAAAACTATCAAGACGATTGATTAATTGATTGACTGAATGCAAGATTGCCTGCGAGAGATCGGTAGCGTATGTATGTATATGCGTGACGTTGAGTGGGTGGATAAGTAAGTAGCCAGCAACAACAAACCGGCGGTTGACCAACAACGATTCTATACATATATAAGGCACCGAGTTATTTCTTGTTTCTATTTCAACAAGTGTGGCGCACAACAAAGGAAGCTCGAGTTAAAGAGCATGCAGCCACACGTGCTGGTCAATGAGCGGGTGGCTGGACATTGTCCCTCTTGTTCCTGACAATTACCACCACCACTAATAATAATAAAGTTTAGGTATGTGCCTCCCCCCTTCTCTCCCACCTTCTCGTCTTCATTCCCACCGCCAAACAGCCCATTACCACACACCGACACGGCCATGACGGCTCATCTCGCGGGAATGAGACCCTGCATGGCGCCATCTATGTAGGTATTCTTAGGCCCCAAAACGACAGTAGTGTATCGCCAAGGGGGGCAACAAGTTTCTTTGGCAGCACAATGACGTCGGTTGGCGGGTCGAACAGCTCGGAAGACGCCGCAACAGCACCGGAGCAGCACCGGGACATGGTCAGTACAGTCAGGCATCGATGGTCAAGCTTCGCAACTGCCCTGCTGGCCGAAGATGATGGACAGATGATGGACAATTGCTAGCACAAGCAAGCCTACTAATCCCGGATATTTACATTCCCATTATTACCACCGAGGCCTTGCAAAACCTGAAGCAGCAGTGGCGGCGGCGGCGCCAAGGATCTGACTGAGCCTCCCCTCCCCGCACTTTTTGGCCACATGCCAGTGCCACGTGAAGCGTCAACACTTCTGTACAAGCTTCATTCCGCGCAACCATATCGTGCATGTTGATTGTCCGCCTTTCTAGTACAAGAGTCAGTAGAAACCAGAAGCTCTCATACAAAGCGAGCGCTGCAAAGAACGAAGCCCTTTTCGCCGTCAGCACTTGCAGTCGGCATTTGATACGCTGACTCTATCTTCCCCACTCGCTCAAATTACCAGAAAAAAAACAAGGCGTTTGCCGTTCCTCTTCAGCTTCCGCAGCCATCATTCAGCATCTTGCATTCCCCCATCGCACGCAAAGAAAGTCCGCCACCACATACGCCACACCAATACACACAATACAAACACACCTCGACCATTCCATATCCTTCAACACACCCAACTCTCTCGATTTTCCCTTTCCTCACACCTCACGTTGAACGAAGCGCATACAAGGCTGGCGCAACAGCGCACATCCATCCCTGCCTCACGCCCCGCGTCCGCGCTCACCTCGAATCTTCCCACACGACCAACGCCCTGATAATTTTCCTCCATGTCGGTGTGATCATGACGTCTTGCCTCGACTGTCGCTTCGTGCTGTAAATAGCACCTCCGCCCGTTCTTCGCCTTGTTCCATCTTTGCTACCGATTGCCGTGCTCTTTGCCCACACGCCGCCAAACGATCAACAAACCCTATCCATTGTTAGACAACCAGACTTTTGAACGACAAAAAGAAACCATGTCTTCCCTCGAGGCCAAGATTGTTGTCCTCGGCGCCCAGAACGTCGGCAAGACCTCGCTCGTCATGCGCTACTGCAAGGGCGCCTTCGATCCTGCCCAGATCACATCCACCGTCGGCGCCAGCTTCCTCACGAAGCGCGTCGTCGACACCGACACCGACACCGTCGTTCGCCTTCAAATATGGGATACAGGTCAGTCAATATCCCCCTCGGTGGCGGCGAAATCGAGTTGTGTTTGCTGTGTAACGCCCTGGCTAACCAATCAAAACCCAACCCGCAGCCGGTCAGGAACGCTTCCGGTCCATCTCTCGACTCTACTACCGCGGCGCCAACGCCTGTATCCTCTGCTACGACATAACCGATGCGCAGTCCTTTGCCGACATGGGCGTGTGGCTGACCGAGCTCCGACAGAACCTGCCACACGACGTGGTGCTGCACGTCGTCGGCACCAAGGCCGACATCGTCGCGCGCGACCCGTCGGCGCGCCAGGTGCCCTTTGAGCGCTGCATCGCCTACGTCGCCGAGAACCTGGCACCGGGCGTCGGCGGCACCCCGCCCCCCACCGCCTCGGGCAACGGGGGAGGTGCGGGCGGCGGCATCGTCCTCGGCCCGTCCTCGGCCAGCCCCGTCGCGGGCGTCGAGCCGCGCAGCCCGAGCTCCAAGCGCAGTTCCGGCTTCTGGGGTCAGGAGGTCGGCTGGGACGCGTGCCACGAGATCAGCGCCGAGAGCGGCGAGGGCGTCGAGGAGGTGTTCCGCGTCGTCGCGCGCAAGCTGGTCGAGCAGAACCGCAAGATGCAGCAGGCGCTGCTGCTGGCCACGGCGCTGCCGGGCATGCCGGGGTACATCGACGGCATGGACGGCAGCTACTTCGAGGGCCGCGACCACAAGGGCAGCTTCCGCGTCGGCAGGGACCGCAGGAGCTGGCTGTTCTCGCCGGCCTTCTCGCCGGCCATCACGGTGGACCGTCCGGTGAGCGAGGACGCGCATCGGCGCGACGAGTCGGCGACGAGGCCCAAGTCCAAGTGTTGCTGATGAAGCGACGACGCCTGCTACGCTGAGCTGCTGTTTCGGGCGAGGTGCAGCTCAAAGGCAAAGCCTCGCCGCACGCATCTGCCTTGCAGCTGCGCTCATCGGCAAGTGATGTCTTGCCCCCCCGCTCGCCAATATAATACGGACGAGCCCCTTAACTTGCATACATATACCCGATGAAGCCGTTCTCAGGGCTTTCTTCCCATTGACATTTCGAGATGTTTGTTACATGTCCTTCACCCTTGCTTCAGCTTGTGTTGGTTGGCCTGTTTGGATTCTATGATTGCATTGCATTTATTCGACTTTTGATGGCGGAGCTTTTGCGTTGTCTTTTTGTTTCGTTTTTCTTTTGGATTTCTCAATTCTTTTACGGCCTCTTTATTGGCATCATCTTAGCGGTGAGCGGTTCACACATTCATGGTACTGGAATACGGGATGGAGAGCGGCGTCTTTTGGTATGGCGCAGGGGGGGTTCACGGGGGATGAGCCCACGTCAATACATCGTCCCATTTAATTGCAACCACCCAAGCACCGTGTATTGTTAAGGTTTGGACGTGTATGCGCCAGCAGTCGACCTACATAACGCGACGATCTTCTGTCACAACTCAGAGTGGTTGTTTGTGCGATGGCCGGCAGGGGGGGGTTGCTTGCTGACCGGGGCAATCCACCTTGAGCGGGCTGAGAAGTAGGCTATTCGGGATCGTCGTCCGGGGTTGGGAGCGCAGCAGGCTGCAGCAATCAGCCTGGTGACAGCCCCGTGGCCGCATATTGGACGGCATCCAGTTTTAAGCGAACCCTTGTAAATATCAGATCAGCAATGGAGGGATGTTTTTTGAGTCACTCCTTTTCCCCTCCCACACTGTCTCGGCGGCCAGTCGTAGTTATCGCCTCATCAATAGGTGACAGACTCAGACTGGCGGCGATTAAATTCCTAAACCAGCACTGACTAGCCCGTTGGTGACTTAGTTTACCGGGAGCACGGTCTCTACTAGGGCCGTTTCTTCAGCTGCCATCTGCCGACGATGCCCAAAAAATTCTCCTGTTGGTAGTTACTAAAAATGCTCCGTCTCTGACTTTGTAATAGAGTACCTTGTAGGTGAGCAAGGGGAACTAGCCTCGTCCCCCCACCCCCACTTCATCATGGCCTCTCATCCACGGGGTACGACTGGTACAACTGAACTTGTCCTGAGACTCGCATCATTACTCAATCTCTCCCTCTCTTTTCCGTCTGCATCGGCGTCGTCTGGTCTTGTAACACGCTCCTGTATATATCGTGTCGTCATCCGCCTGAAAAGCGCTGCGGCTGGCTGGCATCCTCTCTCTCCAATTCGCGCCACAGGTTCTCGCTGCGCCATCGTCGTTTCCATCTCCCGCCAAGTCGCCCATCAATGGTGTACAACGGGGTGCCCTCCCGGGGCTGCTACCTCTGCAGGTCTCGCAAGGTCAAAGTACTATCACCCTGCTATGCTTAGTCTCAGTCACCATGCGTTAACGGTCAATGCCTAGTGTGACGAAACGAAGCCGTTCTGCAATCGTTGTCGCAAGAGCAAACGCCAATGCCCTGGCTATCCCGTACCGCGGCTCTACAACGACGGTCGCAAGCCAACTAAGAAAGGGACGACCACATCAAGCGACTTGTCATCATCAAGTGATGAGGACGAGTTTTTCAATGATCATTGGCGGGTCCACGCTGCACAGAGAGCAGCCGCAGCCTCGTCCTCCCTCGACTCAACCATCAAGATTCCCCTGCAAGACGCCGCCTCCTGCCACTTCCTCTCCAATTGGGTTCTGCTCCCGCCCGAGGGAACCAATCGCGGCTTTTTCGAATTCCTGCTCCCAATACAGAAGAAGGCCACGCGAGGTAGCCCCTTCTACCTGGCCTTCAAGGCCTGCGCGCTCTCGTCCCTCACCCAGAAAGGCTTCGATCCTACCATTGAGCGGCAGGCCACTTCATACTACGTCAAAGCCTTGGCGGCCACTACAGACGCCCTGTCCCGTCCTAGCGTCGCCACGAGCGATGCCACTCTGGCAACAGTGATGCTTCTCGGATTGTATGAGATCCAGTCAGCGAGTGGGCGTGGAGTTGAAGGATGGGTCGCCCACGCTTCCGGGTCCATGCAGCTGATGAATAGCAGAAGCTGGAAGAAGCTCAACACTGATCTTGGTATGAGTATTTTCGTCGCAGTGCGGGTCAACTTGGTAAGCGACTGATCAAGCATCTACACACCGCTCCGGAAACTGACTCGAACCTCCAGATTCTACTTGGTCTACTGCAGGGGAAGCCTCCCCCAACCAGTTCAGAATGGTGGGGTAAGGGGACGTTCAAGGACAAGTACGCCTTGGTAGGACTTCACCTGTCGACATTAACGACAGAGGTCAGACATCAGCTAGACAATTTGCTGGACCTCGAATACGCTACACTTGATGACTTTGACCAACTGTCCGCCATCATGAAGAAGTGCCAGGTCCTCGAAGCGCACTGCCGCGGCTGGCCCGACACTCTACCCGAGTACTTTAAATTCAACATTGCAGCGTGGATCAGCCACCCACCAACTGACCCGGCCAAGTCGGAGGCGCTCTTCGGTCCCGTACACAGCTACAGTGACCCATGGGTTGGAGCCATCTGGAATATGGTCCGAACCTCTCGGCTCATCCTCCTCACTTCAATACTGCGATGCTCCGCCCTCATACATGAACGCACCGACGTGAAAACGCTACCAGAATATCCCGACGTAGCGAAGCTATGCATAGACGTCATCCACGAGGCCATAGCAGGAGTGCCGTACCAGTTGGGCTGGTTCAAGAACCGCACGGCGCTGCTCCCGACCATGCCGAGCTACGCGTGCGGGCAGAATGGAGCGCAGAGCACGCTCGCCGCGTTCACCGCCATGTTTCCGTTGACAAGCATACGAGATCACGAATTGGCCACAGACGAGCAGCGTGTGTTTGCCGAGGCTCGACTGCAGTTTATGGCGCATAATCTCGGCCTTCGAAGCGCGGCGTTTGTAGAAAAGGTAAGCAGTGACCGCTTCAGTGTTCAGTACCCATGGATATCATGCTAACTGAGCTTTATAGGCGGCGGGATGGATTCCTTCCGCTGCGATACTGAAGGATTTCGACTCGCGGAGTGCGATGGAGTGGCGGCGCTTGCGGGCCGAAGTGTCTAAAGCCGCCGCTGCCGCTGAACCGTTGAAAAACATCCCTGTCGGTGATGCAACTGTTGCACCGGTGGAAGATGCCGCTACTGGCAACGACCGTGCCTGTGAAAGTTCGGAGCTACCTGTTCGCCTTGAGCCAAAGGGGGCCAAGGAAGAGCCACTCCCAAAGCAAGAGCCTCAGTAGTTGCTCCTGGCCAGCTTGAAGCGGTCATGTTGACTGGTCTTCTGCCCGGAAAACGTAGAACTACATGCTTCTCGTCCAAGCAAGACCTGCCGCCGCGCACACAGTGGACCCTGGCGACTCCCCGGATAAGCCCCTCAAAGCTATAAAGAACATCAGCCTGCTTCTTCCAGATGCCTCCACGGCGGACTGATCATTTGGTGACCTGCTCAATCACGAGACCCCCCGGAGCACAGGTGCGACTTTCTGTCGACCTATCGCACGAAAGGCAGAATGCGCCGTCGCCATCGGCATAACAAGTGGAATGACGTTCCCGGTAACCAGTCCACCGGGACCTCGTGGGTTGACGAAACACGGCTGCAGCTACTAGGCGACTCGCAAGTTGACACGGCAGATCCGTTCCGGCCGCAGGGTTGACTGGGAGCCGATGGCAAATGTGCTCTTACAACACCGACGGCTCGCTCAGACTTGTCAGCCGTGGCCTGGCAACCAATTGGATATAAAATGCCTGCAGTATCGTGGCAGGACGTTTCCTCAGCAACATGCCTACCTCCATCGTCTTTGCCAGCACTTTGTGTATAAAACTTGATCGTTCTTGCTCCATATCGCTGCCTGGTTTGGGTATATCCATATAATCTAAAAACGCCCGCCATGAATAAACACTATCACCCGCTCTTGAAAGCCAAAAAAAAACGCCTCCTCATGTTTCATTTCTTTTCGCCGCGCTGCCCGATCACTTCCTCAGCACAGCAAGGCCGACAAGGTCAGCGCCGCGACCAATACCATCGCCGCCGCCGCCGGCGACCCCGTCCGCGCACCCGTGCTCGCCGCGCGCGTCGGCTGCTCCTTGCTGCCCGCGAGCTGCATCGTCGTCCTCGTATCCGGCACCGCCGCGTACACGTCCTCGTTGAACGTGCCGTTGAGCGTCACCGCGCCAACCACCTCGCCCGTCTCCAGGCGGGTGTGCGTCCGCAGCGTGCCGGCGCGCACGCCCTCGCGCGTCGCCACGACCTGCCGCCCGCCGCGGATCCAGTTCCCGTAGCCGCCGTAGCCCGCGTGCTGGCCGTAGCACATGTGCAGGCCGGGCGCGCGGCGCACCTCCACGCCGAGCCCGTCGACGCGGCCGGTCCACCGGTAGCACCAGGTGTTGCCGTGGTCGTGCCCGTAGAACAGCCCGATGAGCCCGTCGGCGGCGGCGAGCGCCTGCATGAACGGCACGTCGTTTCCGCCGTACCCCCCGCGGCCGCCGGAGTGGGCGGTGACGTTGCCGCCGCCGCCGTGGCTGCTGCTCTGGCCGTTGATCTTGTCGTCGTTGATGCCCGGGTGCCGGCGGAGGTCGACGTGGCCGCCGGGTCCCTGCGTCTGCAGCACCTTGGTGGCGTGCACGGGGATGTGCACGAAGGCGATGGACGGGACGACGCGGCCGTACGCGGCGGCGAGCTGCCCGCTGGTCGCGTTGAACCACTCGACGACGCTGACGTCGACCCAGTCAGGCTGGCCGTGGTGGGTGCGGTAGTAGGTGCCGCCGCGGCTGTCAAAGAACCACAGGAGCAGCTCCGGCAGGCAGTCGGTGCTGTTGCCGGACGAGGTGTAGCCGTCGGCGGCGTAGACGGGCAGGTAGTAGTTCGTCACGCCGGCGTTTTCGCCGTCGACCATGCGCTCGGTGTAGGAGCCGTTGTACGTCTTCTCGCGCTGGAACATCTTGTCGCGCGAGAGGTTGTAGTTGGAGTCGTGGTTGCCGTAGGTGGAGGCCCAGGGGAGGCGGCGCGCGGCGATGGGCTTGACGATGCGGTCGACGTGGTCGAGGATGTCCGGGCGCTGGTACTGGTCGCCGGAGATGAGGTCGCCGTTGAGGACGACGAGCTGCGGCCGCTCGGCGTCCATGATGTTGCCCATGAGCTGCGAGGTCTTGCCGTCCCACAACGGGCCCTGGCCGGCCGAGTCTGGGCAGAGAGGTCCGTTAGCGGTCTTTTATTTTTGGAGGGCAAGGAATTGGAATTTTTGCTCACTTTCTCCGAAATGCATGTCATTGAAAACTGAAATGTGAAATGTGCCGTCGGCGGTGAAGCGCAGTGGCGGCTTATTAGACGTCGTTGGTGCGGCTTCGGTCACGGCGCTGGCGACGGTAGCGACGAGCAGCAGTGTCTTGGAGAGCATGGTTTGTTGCTCTTGGCGCGCCGTTGAAGTGCAACGGCAATGTTCCCTTGGGCCGCAAAACCAAAGAAATTGGTCAATCGACCACATAGAAAAGAAAAGAGACAAGACGGGAGCAAGGCTGAGCATGCAATGGGTGATGGGAGGGGCCGCTGCATGTTATATTGCATGGCCACGCCTCCTCGTACAGCAGCCTGAACGACACGCAAGTCGTGAGTCTGGACTTTGTCGGCTCTGGAACGGTCCCCTCGACTCCACGGGCAAACTCCATCGTCTCTGGTTGGTCGGTCTACTTCAAAGGCGTGCCTTTTTTACCCACGTTGGAGGCCAGGCTAAGGCTTGTCGGCCGATGGGCACCGCCCTGTGTAAGCCGTTCGATTGCTTGGTTTACTTGTGGCGTTTGCCAATTGGACTCGTGTGTCTGGACCTGGGCCTAGCTAACCTAACACTGGCCGGGCTGTGTCCTCGATAGGGCTGGATTGCGCCATTTGCTGTTTTCGAAGGGGTCCTTGCTTTGCTACGGCTGATGCGGCACGCCCTCATGTGTGTGAGGAGTCCCTTTCAGGTCAGCTTACTGCATATTTCTGAAGGAAAAAAAGAATGAAGATCGCCGCATATCCCGAGACGAGCGGAATAGGTAACTGAGCACATGTTCCTCTTCCCCGGTTCAAGGGAGAAGCGGGGAAGACGGAAGACGGAAGACGGAAGACGGCTTGCTGTGCCTCCCTGAGCATTGGCCCTGAGACTGCCTGCGCCTCTCTCCATTGCTTGATGAACGAGGGCTTCTATCATCGGCCAAGGGCCAGCCAGCCATACACTGACGCTACTGGGCCGACTTGTCCACAAGCATTGCGCCTCCGGCATGGTCTTGCCGACGCATGGATCAAAGGCGTTGCAGGGTCCCTTTTTGTGCCCCTTTTCTTTGTCCTTTTTTTGGCTGGTTTTTTCTCACACCGTGTCGCACACGACTCAAGGCCATTGAGCCGTGGCGCCCCCGTGTTCCTGGGGCACCGCATTTCACGGCCCAGCAAGGCTGGAACTTTTACTTCTTCCCCAACGAATTCAGGGATTGATTTGCGCATCTTGAAATTGATCGTGATTTTGTTTATGTATTAGTGCCGGCAGATTACGGTGGCGGCATGCTAGATCCGGTGTCCTTGCCCTGACGCCCATCTCACGCGCTTCCAGCACCACCACCCTCCGCCGCCGCCTTCTTCTTCTTCTTCTTCGAATCGACGTCATCGTCCACCACGGGCGCCGCCGGGATCTCGACCCCTTCGATGCGGTGCTCCAACCCAATGTATGCGTCGCTCACCACGATGACGTCCAGTTTCCGCTCCCCGGCGGCCTGCGGCAGCTTGATCGTGCCCCGCGCCGTGGGCTTCGTCTTCGCCTCGACCTTGCGCGGGCCGCCCCCACGAGAAGACGCCCCCGCCCACCATCCCACGCGCTTCACGGCGATGACCTCGTCCTTGGCGGCGTCAGCCACCATCACGAACCACCCTTCCGACTGCGGCTTCGGCAGCTTCGGCGCGTAGATGCGTGCCTCCCGCTCCACGAGCGCGTTCAGGCGCTTGATGCCCACCGTGACCGACAGCGCCGTCGTGGCCTCGATGGAGACGGCTACGTTCGGCAGGATGGAGGCCGCCCTGACGAGACGGGGCTGGATGTGGGCGGGCACTCTGAGGCGCTTGGCGAGCTGCGACACCTGTTGCGGGCTGTACGCGCTCAGCTCCTTGAGCGACAGCGTTTCCTTCTTGGTAGACTCTGGCTCCAGGCCGGGGAGGATGCACACCGGCGGATCAGTCGGCCAACGGGCGCACTTGACTGATTGGAGCAGACTCATCATTCGCAGACAACTCGATAGGTGGCCCATCTCGGTGAGCACGTCGATGGAAGCCTGGATGATGCGAATGGCTTGGTCAAGCACGCTGGTCTGGTCACCGACGTAATCCGTAATGGGCAAATCAATTCGTGACATGTGCGCTTGCAGCAAAAGGAACGCCTTCACATGGGGATCCCACATGGGCAGACCGAACGAGTGACCCGGGAATGGTAAATTGTCAGACAGAGTTTCGTTGACCCGATCCTCGTTGTGGCGCACCGGAAGCTCGTCATATTCAGTTGCTCGTGACATCCATGACAGCACCTCCAAAAAGGTGGCATTTGCCTTGGCGTGACGGCTCAGATGGCGGATCGTCTTGTGCGAGAGGTAGTAGTAACTCATAATCTTGCCCAGCGGCGTAGAGTCCACGTCGCCGTTTGGAAAGACCTCAACGCACTTGGACTTGGCAAGCTCATCGAGCGAGTTGTTCACCATCTCAACCATGTACTCGTTGGCCACTTGCTGTGCAGCAATGGTGCTGTGCTCTTCGGCCGAGATCTCCAGTCCATAGTAGGAAGGATTCTTGTGCAGGCGGCGGAAGAAGAACGTCCACGTCAGGTAGTCCAGCGCATCCTGTTTGGTCAAAATGGTCTCGGCAGAAACCTCGGCGCCTAAATGGTTATCAAGCACCGTGTGCAGCGATGACTCCACAGGGAAACCGGTATGCAAAAAGTGCTTGTAAAAGTCCTTCTTGGAATCTTGGGTGAAGATGCGGGCGACACCCGAGTTGTCGAATTGGGGACGGCCGGCACGGCCAAGCATCTGCAGAACATCGGTGAGATCCATGTCTCTGTAGCCTTCAATCTTTGCATCGTAAAACTGCGTGCCTTTGACAACGACAAGATGAGCAGGCAAATTGACACCCCAGGCAAGAGTACTGGTGGCGACAAGGATCTGGATCTTGTTGTTCAGGAACAGCTCCTCCGACAGCTGACGATCGGATTCAACAAGACCAGCGTGATGCAGACCAATGCCAAAGTTGATAGCCTCCTTCAGAGCATCATCCTTGACGCGGGAAAGATTGAGTTGCAGGTCCTCCTCGTCCATGCGCAGGAAGCGACGGGGGTCTTCCTCCATGCCACAAAAGTTGATAAGATCCTTGGCAGTCAGTCGAGTCTGTCGACGCGAAGCGACAAAGACAATGACGGGTTTCTCAGGACTGTGGTTCTTGATGGCGAGGAATGTCGGCCGGTTCATCGACTGCATGAGAGGACAGAATCCTCGGACCTCGGGGAACCCGTCAATGTAGAGCTCCAGCGGAACCGGACGCACAGAGTGTCTAAAATTGAACAGGCCCTCCTTGACACCGAGCCAGTTGGCCAGGTCGCTGGCATTGGCACACGCAGTAGACATTCCGAGAAGTCGAACCGCGCTCTTGGTCATCTCGGCAATGTAATTCATGCGCGAAACGATGATCTCCAGAATAGGACCACGATCGCCCGCGAGCAGATGAATCTCGTCAATGATGACCAGACTTACCTGTCTGACGTAGCCTCTGGTTTGCCAAGAACGCGAAATACCGTCCCATTTCTCAGGCGTGGTGATGATAATGTCTGCATCCTTGATGGTGCGAGTATCCGGCGTATTGTCGCCAGTCAACTCAACGAGCTTCAACCCAAGAGGTCCAGCAAGGCGCGAGCCCCAGTCTTTGACACGCTCGCGAACGAGAGCCTTCATGGGTGCAATGTACACAACCTTGGACCCAGGTCGCTCGCGGAACGCCCACCACATCGCCAGCTCTGCCGCAACAGTCTTTCCGGACCCGGTTGGCGAGCCGAGAAGCACATTTGCTGCCGTGTGGTAGAGGGTGTGGAAGATTTGTGTCTGCATGGGGTTGAAGAATTGGAAGCGCTTTGCGTACAACTCTTCCAGTGGCGGATTCTTGAGAGCGGAAAGTGGAAGGGGCTGTAGATCTAGCAGGTCCGTGTACACACTTTCCGTGTCAGGTCGAATAAGATGCTGGAAGGAGACTGGGGTGACTGTCTCGGCGCCGAGCCATCTATCAGAGACAGCTCTGACGTAAATCTGCGTAGGCAAGGGGTCTGATAAAGGAATCGTAAAGTTGAGTTCGTGATCATCATGCAGCTTCCGGCGGTTGAGGATAAAGTATTCGTGGTGGTAGATTTCGGACGTCTCCGAGTTTTCGACCCAAATATAGAAAGACTCAGATGTGCCGTGGATGTGGTCTTTCCACTGGAAGTCGGGAATGACGTAGAGCTTGATCCGCAAGACGTCGCGGTTCAAGGGTGCGATTTCGGCCTCGACATGGACGGTGGGGAAGTTCCTGAGAATGCTAGCAATCGTCTTGCCGGCGCCATGATTATGAACCAGTGCTCCAATCTCAGCAGGTTCCATCTCCTTCATGGATTCGATAGTCATGTGCTCCTTCGAGTCAAGCTGATTCAAGATGGGCTTAGCCAAGTCAAACTGATGCAAGGGGTGCTGGAAGGGCCAGATGCGCTTCTCAATAGACTTGGAAAGTGTCAGCAACACTAAGCACTGATGGCCCCAGCGCCGGTTCAACGCAAGCATAAAGAGTGCTCTGCAAATCCGACCAGATTGCTGGGCGACGTAGTTCATGTCGTTTGAGAGCGCAAAGTCCTCGGGTTGCGAGCGCGAGATATATGACTGAAGAAGGATATTGGTCTTTGCTTGCGGCGTGTCGACACCACCCTCAACAGCGCAAGGAATAACTTCATCCTTGAGGTTTGTAAGCTCCTTTGCTTCAGTATCTCGGGACTGGACATTGTCAAACTCCCCACTCATGCTGATCATCCTGAGAATATCTGCTTCGGTCGCCTGCTCTTGCATCATGGCGTTGAAAACCTGGATACTGCCATGTAAAATGTAGTATTGACTGGCAATTCGGCCAATGTCCTTGCTTCGTAGCTCCTCGGTCGTCTCGTTGAAGATGATCATCTGACACTGCTGTAGTGTACGTGCAGCCTGTATTGCTAGCTGTCGACGTCTTTGTACAAGAGTTGGGTCATCTCGGATTTCGGCCCATTCAATGCCGTAAGTAATAGGACTTCTTTGCATGCGAACGAACAGGTAGGAATAACCAATCCATTGCACGGCATCAGGAATCGACGTGACTGTGCCCAGAGCAATTTCGGCATTGAGATTATCCACCAGCTTTGTCGAGAACTTGGACTCGATGGGCTGCTGTTCTGTAACAGCTGTAAGGTAATGCTGCAGCTTATCCTGGGTGGTGCAAATCATGCCGATACCAGTGTCTTCAAACTGAGGACGACCTGCACGACCAAAGATCTGTAAGACGTCAAGGATGCCAAGATCGACAAATTTACCATCCTGGGCGCTGTAGACCTGCGTGCCCTTTATAACAACGGCAGCGGCCGGCAAGTTGACACCCCAGGCGAGGGTTGCCGTACAGCAGAGAACTCTGAGCACGCCCTCGGCGAAGAGTCTCTCCATCAGATTTCGGTCGGCTCGTGCCATGCCAGCGTGATGAACACCAATGCCTTTAGAGAGAAGCTCGCGAATATCTTTGGACCGTGAAGACTTCATGTCCCTTACAGCTTGCTCGTATTTTGGGTGGTTCGACGGGTCAAAGAGATCGACACAGAACGACTCGACTGCTTTCTGGTGCAGCATACGCGCGGTGACCATGGTATCTCGTCGAGAGTGTACAAATACCATGACTTGGTGGTCAACCTCGAGCATCTCCTTGGTCTTGTCGAAGGCCACAGTGTCCAGGTTATCTTTCGATTGCTTGCTGCCCGCCTTTCCCTTGACGCCGATGAAATGCTGCTCTAAAGGAACAGGTCTAAAAGACGCATCGAAGTAGAAGAGGCCAGCATACTTATTGACTTTGAGAAAGTCCGCAACGTCAATATAGTTGGGCAGCGTGGCACTTAGACCGACAATGCGGATCAAGGACTGAGTGCTTTCGACTTGCCGCTCGGTACGAGCGACGAGAGATTCCAACACCGCACCACGCTCATCGTGAAGCATATGAACCTCGTCTATGATCAGCAACCGCACTTTCTGGACGAGCTCCGTGTCGCCAGTGCCTTTTCTGGTGACAACATCCCACTTCTCCGGAGTCGTGACGATGATTTGTGTTTGAATGATTTCCGCCTTTGTGAGCTGCATATCTCCGGTGTACTCTCGACACTTGATGCCGAGCCATGCGAGACGCTTTCCGAGCTTCTCGGTGACTTCTGCCGCGAGTGCCTTCATCGGCGCGACATACACAATCTTGAAGTCCTCCAGGTTGACGGCGAATTCCGTAGCGGCAGTGTCTTCCATCGGATTGGGGAAGACGTGCTGGCCAATCGTGTGAAGGATGGTGAGCATCGCAGCATCCGTCTTACCCGCACCGGTGGGAGCGCAGATGAGCATGTTCTCGCTGGTCTTGTACCCGACGGGATAGACGAGGCTCTGCATACGATTGAGCGCCTTGTAGCCCTTGAACGTGTTTCGGCAGAGGCCGTCCAGGTCCTCAATCTTGACCAGCTTCTGGTCGGGCCCCAGCTTGCCCTTGGCGCCGGCGGGGATGTAGTGCTCCTCGTACTTGTCAAACTGCCTCCGCTCGCTGCCCGCCGGGAGGCCGTACTTCTTGCCCGCGTAGCTGAGCGTGTTCCCGGCCGAGTACGCCTTGTAGACATGCGGGTACTGCGTCTCGCGCGAGAAGCTCGGCGCGAGCGCGGCGTTCTTGTGCTCAAAGTCTTGGCGGCGCAGCTGCTCGTCGCGCTCGGCCCTGGTCAGCAGCCGGCCAGTGAGTTGGCCGGCGGCCGCGACGGTGGCCGCGCTCGATGCGCTGATCTCGTCCTTGTGTGCGAGGAGCTCGATGATGAAGTCGAGGTCGTCGAAGCCGACAAGGTCCGTCAGCTCTACCTGCAGCTCCTCATCTGACTTTCCGGAGCCGATGGCGCTAAGAATCTGCGCCTCAAAGACGTCCTCGGAGAGGCCATTCTTGGACGCAATTGCGACGCACTTGGCTGAGAGCCAGGCAGCGTCGTAACCCGCGGAAGTTGAGGGTGCGGCCTCGATTTCGAAAAGATCGCTGCTGTAGTTGTCCGCTTCATCGTCGGAAATAAAATCCCAAACGTCCTGGCCACTATTGCCGGATGAGTATCCCTCGAAATCGGCGTCCTCAAATTCGGACTCGAGAGGAACGGGCAGGGAGCCTGGTAGGTTAAGGCCAGCAATGGCGGCCTGCATTGCCTCAAACTGTTGCCGCCATTCCGCCTCTGTTTCTTGAGCCATTGTGCTGTTAGGTTTCGTCAGGTGTCGAGTTGTTTGCAGTTGTTGCGTCGATTGCTGGGGTATTTCTGAGGATTATTTCTGCTGGATTTCTGATCTCGAAAATGCATGCACAGGATACAGCCACCTCTTTATCTCTTTTCAGAGTCACCGCTGACTGGTAGATTTTGCTGAAGCGTCAGCTTGAATGGTGATGTAGGAGTCATACCGCTCTCTGCCCCACGTTTCTATTTGGTTGATTTGCCCCACCACTGCTCTCAGAGGCTTGATGAAGAGATGAGCTCATAAAATCAACCATGCCGACAAATTTTGAACGGATTCAGTAGTTGAGTGATATTTATATATTAATATTGCTATTTCTGTGTTTTGGTATCAGATGAAGTGCTGTCACGCTAAATATACAGACGACAATCGCAACCTAGAGTGGTTCTCGATCAAACAGGAAGCCGCCCACAAACGCCGAAAGATGCCAAGATATGAACAAGTATGCTATGTAGTTTTGCGATCGTTTGCCGCCTCCATTTGGACGGCGGCGATGAAGGCTCTGTCCTTGACCCAGAGGGGCATGGCCTTTATGAGGATGTGTTGGAGAGCATGAGCCCAGTATCCAACAACGACACCATGGCCGTAGCCTGCTTTTTCCAGGGCGGCGCGAGCCATAGTCTGAGAATCCGGGGTGAAGAAGGATGGCTTCTCCGTAAAGTACGCCGTGTTGGTCGTCTTGCCAACACGGATGCCCAACAGCTCAACGTCGCCACCCCTGCCGAGCAGCTTCATCTCACGCACAACAGCCTCCGTCATGGTGAGCAGGAAGCGCTTGCTGGCACAGTACGACACGAGTAGGGGCAGGCCGTTGTCGGCCAGCGAGCTAACATTGAGGACGAGCGAGGGGGAGTTGCGACGCAGCGTCGGGAGCAGGGCGCGTGTGAGATGTAGAGGGAAGAGGGCATTGAGGCTCACGTTGCCAGTAATGCGGGCCTCTGAGGATTCACCAAGAGAAAGGAAGGTCGGGTTGACAGCACCTCCGCCAGCGTTGTTGACGAGGACGGTGAGGTTGAGGCCATCGAGGGCGGTGCGCAGAGCATCAAAGTCAGTCGGGGACGCAGCCGCGACGGCCTCATCCGGCTCGTGTGTGTGAGACTGGCCTTGCGCTGGGCGGATACAGTTGAGGCAGGCTACGCGACTAGCGTCGGCGATGAGGATGCGAAAGGACCTGTCAGGGTGGCGCTCCCGCAACAAGGACATGACGGAGGTGAGCTTGGCACGGTTACGGCCGTGTAGCACAACGTTGAACCCTTGCTTGGCGAGCTCAGCGGCAAAGCCACGGCCGATGCCGTCGGAGGCGCCGGTGACCAGGGCCCAGGGTGGCTGGCCATTGGTGGAATGGGCGTAGCGGGCTATGCGGGAGGGCAGCAGGTAGACGCTGACGAACTGCAAGGCGCGGGTGACGGCAACGACGGCCGTGAGCAGGCCGACGGCGGCGAGGAGGCCCCCGAGGCGGGACGAGTCGGCGGTAGTGTTCATGGTCCAGATAAGAGAAGGGGACAGGACCGGTTGGCGGGCGGGCGATTAGACACACGGGGTGGGAGAGAGCTGTTGAGCAAAACGCCAGAGAGGGCGAGGCGATGGAAGCGAAATGCTACGTGGTCCGAAACAGCCTTTTTTTTTTCGCGGTTGCACGAGTTTGGGTTGGGGCGCGACGGGGAAGACGAAACCTGGGCCGTGGTACCTAGGCGACGGCGCGGGCCATAAGTATGAAGGGGAGGGAGGAGGAGGATGAGACGAAGCGCGGCGCGGCTTGCTACTGTTGACGTTTGAGCAAGACGAGAGAGGCGATGAGTTCAACGGGCGCGTCGAGGAGGATGAGGCCGAGAACGAAACATTGTTTGGATGGCGGGCACGGGTCGCGCGATGGGAGGAAGCAGACGTCATTCTTATAACTCGGACCAGCCAGCGGCGGCAGCCATAACGAGCAAGCCAGCACAGGCCGGTGCCCCGTAAATCATCGCAAGGACTGACGCGGGGGGGGCGTTATTGGCTAGTGTTGGAGCTTGGAGAAAGGCGACGGAGAAAGGCGAAGACGAGAAAGGATAGGCATGGCGCCGAAACGACGGGTACTTTGTGTGTCTTGATGAGGTGGTGCGGTTGTGCGTTGTCTCTGATTAGTAGGGCGGTCCGGATGGGGGGCGAGCCATGTCACGGTCGCAGAAGGTAGAACGCGAATTGGGGCGATGGTTGGATGGGAGAGGGAGAAGGGGGGGGGGGGTCGCGGCTGATGAGGTTGCAGAACGTGAGCCCGGAACTGTTTCGAGCCGGCCGATGGGCCCCGCCCGAAGCGGGGCTGGTGGTGGTGGGCTCTGGAGGAAACCCAAGGAGAGGCAAGGCCTGCAGATGGATGGGAGACGGCGGCACGCCACGGATCCGAAGAGGTGCGGGAGCTGGATCTGGACGAGATACGATGTGTTTTTGTGACACGAGGCTGTGATGTTTATTCTCGGGATGCAATATATTATTCTGATAATCAATTATTTCATGACCAATAACCGGTCTCAGTCGGCTACCCTTTCCCACCGTACTAACGTTGTACAGCACATTACAGGGCATCAACGCGCCCGGCTAGCGCCGTCCTCCCGCTACGGGGGAATGGAAAATGTCAGGTACACCGTACCTCAGCCACCTCAGCCACCTCAGCCTCCCCTCTCAGGGTCTGATCCCCTATAACTAATCCTTGTAGCACCAGGCCCCTGTCCTTTCCCTTCAGGACCCAAGCAAGGCCAGCAGCAACCTCGCGAATAGCATCATCACAACTCAGGAATCATTCCGTCGTACCACCTAATTCCTGCGTCCCGCTAAAATTAACTACCCACGGCATCTTCACATACCGACCCCCCATCAATTCCACAACCGTCCTCGCTTCTCTCCACACCTCCCGGATCCTACAGTTGCCGCGGCCGCTAAACACAATCAATCACTTTCTTTCCCACCGCGCCGCCGCCATCGTCGACCTTGTTCATGTGAACGAGCCCCTCTGCAGCTCACTGGGTCAGATTTCGGCAGGGCTACATCCGGGGCAAAGAATCATATGTTTCCCTGTCAGTGGTAGAAACCGGGGAGAAGATCCGCACTATTGTCGCCTCACTCACAATCTAGAAAAGTACAAGAAACTCTTTGATTCAACCTAATCCCAACTTACCAATCAAAAATAAAACTACAAATGTTAATAGAAAACAAAAGCCTTCACCGCCTTCACCAGCCCGCAATAGTAGATGCATCCTGAGCATCCCCATCCCTTATCTTCGTCGTCTGCGCTTCCTCGCTGGCGCCGGCGCCGCACTCTTCGGGTCTGTTGCCTCGTCCTCTTCCTCTTTTATGTCAGCACGTCTTTTCCCTTTCCATTCCCTCGCTGGCTGGGTGCGCGTCGGCGGCGGCGCAGGCGGAGCAGGCTGCTGTGAAGCCTCACGTCGTCCTCGTCCTCGTTCTCGTCCTCGTCGCCCAGCAGCCGGCGCCGGCGCCGGTGGCTGCGTCACGGGTTGCTGCGAAGCTCCCCGTCCCTGTCCTCGTCGTCCGGCAGGATGTGGCTGCGAAGGCGGCTGTAGCACAGGTTGCTGTGAAGCTCCCCGTCCCCGTCGCGGCTGCGGAACGACGGCGGCGCTCTCCTGCACCGCCGCCGACTTGGCAGCCTCCTCCTCCGTGGCCCGGCGCTTTCCGGCTTGGCGCTCCACGATGCGCCGGCTGCGTTTCGGCACCGGGTCTCCGTCCTTGACCACGCGGTCGGCCATCTTGAGCGTGCGGAGCGTGTCCTTGATCCACCGCAGCTCCTCCAGGTCCGCCCACCCGGGCTCGTCGCCTCCTTCGTCTTTCCCTTTTCCCTCGCCCTCGCCCTTCCACCGCCACCCGGGGATGGGCTCGCTGCGCGTCCCCTCCAGGTAATCCCACTCGCGCCTCCACAGCCCCCTCTCCATCCACCGCCTGCGCACAAAGTCCCCCGGCGCCGTGGGCCAGCGCTGCTGGTCATCCAGCGCGACGCCGCCGCGCCGCGTCCACTCCACCATGCACTCGGCGTCGAAGACGAACCACGGCCGCGAGCCGAGGAAGTCGTCGCCCTGCGTGGCCGTCCAGTCGCTTCGCGGCTTCTGGTTGCGGGCCCGGTGCTGGACCTGTGCCCCGTACTCGCCGGGGCTAAGGGCGCCGCACGCGTCGATGGCGTCGCGGAGGAGCGTCAGGTTTCCCGCCTCGTCCTGGTCGGGGCGTGCCTTTTGCCACGGCCAGGTCCAGTTTGGCTTCGGGCTCGTCGTCAGCTTCCACCTGTCGTTCCAGATCCTCATCATCTCCCAGCGCTGTCGCACAAAGTGCCTCGCCATGGCACGCCGGTCGAGAGAGTCCATTTCATCCAGCTCTTTCTTCGTTGTGGCGTTGCACCGGTCGTCCGTCTCCTCAAACATCTTGATTCTCTGTGCTTCAATGTCCGCCTCGGTGCCAAGTCTTGCGATTGGTCTACCAACCGACGCACACTCCTTGTAGGGATCTGCCCCATATGCTGTTCTCTGTTCGTATTCCATAACATCCTTAATTGTGACTGTTCGTCCTAATGCGGCCTCATGCTCCTGATAAATCTTCTTCTCTTCGGCTAGAATGGCATCCAGAGCACCCGCGTACTCGATCACCTCCAAGTTCAGCGCTGAGAACTGGGGCCCGGGGCGTTCCGGACTTGCTGAAAGGTTACGGTCCTCTCGTCGTTTTCCGAGCAGATCCGGATCCTTTTCATACTCAGCAAGTGCTTGTATGGCTTGCGAGGCAAGGGCCCTGGTAAAGTCATCATGCGACTTCTTTGTCGTCGAAGGCTCACCGTCCTTCGACCTGCTTGGGCTCACCATGACCAAGTTGGACAAAACTTTCCAAAATCGATATTGTTGTCTTGCATCTGTGAGAGCCAAGGAAAAATTTTGGTCGTTGTGATCCGGGCCTTTTATATCCAAATCAGAGAAAGGGCTTTGCGCCGTCACTGGACCGCCCATCGACCTCGCGACGGCCAATGATTGTCCAAGGATGTTTTGAACTCTCCGTGTACGATCTACCACGCATCCTGTCTTACTCCAATTCGCATTTTCACTGGTGATTTTAAGCGCCAAAGAGCTGCGGCTACTTCTGGTTTCACTTGCTCACCGTGTCGTTCGAGCAGCCGCAGCGCGCGTGCACAAAGTGACGGTACACAGCCGCTCTTCTCCTCCGTACTATCCGCTTTCCACTTGTACAGCTAATATCTGCATTTAGCGCTTTGTAACACCTGTTTCAGTATGCAAGTCTTATGCAGTAGTGCTCCAATATAGTCCAGCAAGCAAACCCGTCCATAGATTGTGTTGGCGGAAATGTATCTTCAGAAGTCCGTTGTACGGCGCTTCTCTCCTTCACCGCCTTGCTCCTCGATGCTGTTTTAAATGACATTGAGACACAGAAAATTGATCTTTATATTCATAGGAAGCTAGTACAATTTTTGTAGTATTTTATACTGCTGTTTGCCATGGGGGCGACTCGCTCTCGTGACTGCAGTTACTGCCTGTTTCATCCACAGACGTCACTCAAAGAGGGAACAAGTGGGATTTCCTTGCAGCGTCTAGGAAGTTGCACTGGGTTATTTTGCAGCCTGGTTGCCGGTGTGCTGCTTCTCGGTCTTGCTTGTCGAGTTGGCCGGCTTCTCCCCGTTGGTTGTGGTGTTGCTGTCGGATCCGAAGGTTTTCACCGTCGTCGAGCTGGCCTTGGCCAAACCGGTCGTAACCTTAGGGTGGCACTCCATTTTTTTCTAAGAAAAATAGATGTTAGTCTTCGTTTTTGTTGATTTCAGGATCATGGTGACGAACCAAGTTGTAGAAAATTGTAGAAAGTTGTGAGTCGGCTTCTTCAGCAAGGCTAATTGTAGGATCCCAATAGAGGTTCTTGGAGAGATGGGAGTTCTGAATCAAAAAAAAAACTCGAGGCTCTTCGTGCTATTTTATACGTAACCCGGTACTTTACTGATTAGATTTTGGACGCAAGGCCATCTTCGAAACATGTGCAGCGTTGTGTAGGACGACGTTCGCTGCCGAGTGGCCAACTGCAACACAGCACGTCTTCTTTCAGGGCTTGCAGAGGCTTTTCCAAGCCCTTTCATTTGTTGAGCCTTGAATCGAAACTCTGAAGATCCAGTCAACAGCTACTTTGGGTTGGCCGGATCATCCCTCCGGCGACTCAACATGGCTCTGTTGTAGAACAGCCTCGCGCGGTCCGCACTTTTTGCCATCTTTCCAACCATTGGGCCCGGTAGCAAAATAATACACGGGGAATTTGTTGTTTCTGATTGAGTTCTTAAATTGTTATTGGTATCACAATCAAGCCTGGTTCGCAGTCAAGGCCAAGTGTCGCGAGGACAACAGCCGTGCCTGAAGAATCACATCCTGACCGAAACGGGAACTGGATGTAGCGAGGAGTGACAAGCCTCGTAATAGTCCCTATTTAATACTTGAGGCATTTCACTAGCGTTGTATTACGGGCAAACTCTTGGGGACTCCCGGTCCGTGGACTCTTTAGAATGCGTGCCAATATGGGCATAGATGCGATGTACAGCGATCCAGCCTCGTAGGGGGGAACTTGGCCGTCGCCTGGATAACCCTTGCAACATCTTCTCAACTAGTTGCCAATTCCAATTCTTAGGTGTATTTGATCTGAAATCTAAGAACACTATAAATTGAGCTTCAAGGGTAAGTAGAACTTCTGTCAATGTTTTCAGTGAAGATGGGTTTCGACGCGAGGATGGAAGAAGAAGAGACGCTCCCTCCACACAGCTGCCATATTTTCAACATCTCTTTCTAAACTCTCGACCGTCAATAATGCGTATTCAACATGCCACAAGCTGAGCGTCGCACTCAAAGATGTCGTTCTCCTCCTTCTCCCCATCATCGCACTCTTCCAAAGCTCACCAGACACCCCCAAGCCCAACCCTCCTCCGCTTCCACCACACGACTTGTCTTGGTCTTGCCCGGGTGCGACTTCGGCGCCTCTGCGCAGGGCCTCGAGGTATCCAAAGCTTTTCAAATTGTGTCCAGCGGTTGTAAGACGACAGTTACCCTAGAAGGACCCGATGGTTTGGGTGCGTAGGTATCTTGCAGCAGATTAGCTATCATAATTGATGTTTGTGGAGCAATTGAACAATGATTTTTTTTTATTTTCCCGCAGCATACATAAAGCTTAGTCTGCTGTCTTGTTGTGATTTTTCTTTCCCATCGAAGTGGCTATTCATCATCCTGCTTGTAGCGAGCCCTTCTGAAGGAGACGTTTATTTGTACTGAATATTCAGATATAATCATGCAGTAGTCAATTCTTCCTCGAGAAAAAATCGTTTTCTTAAACTGCCTATTTTTCTACATTCATGTATTTGTCTGCCTAATCGAAATGCGACGTCATGCGACAACTATCATTTGTCGCTACCGCAGCCTACCCGGAAACGGTACCAACAGCCAAAACTTGTGCCGTGTTTAAGGAAGCTGACTTTAATTGATAATGAATTTCATTTTTTAATTGTCTTGTTGATATTCCAGGTACTCATAGTTTGTTTCATTTTTCCTTTGTTTTTCATCACACCCTTTCAGTGCCCGTCATTGTTCTGTCACCCACCTACCTGATTTGGGGGGTTTCGAATCGAATCGTGGGGCATGTGACGAGACACCACTCTAGACTACCGTCACCGACTTCGTCGCTCCGTTGCTACCTAGTTTCCGGCCTACGTTTCCATCTTCTTTTCCTCCAAGACGACTTAATACTCGACATCAACGTATTTTCCGACAAATTTACTCCTTCAATCGCCACGACCGTCATCATGAAGCTGCATTACATTGGCGTATGTTGTCCCGGACCCCGCGCCCGCCTGGGCAACCGAGGGCGCAGAGGCAGAGAGCTGACCCGGGTCCTTCGCTTCCCCCCGTTCGCAGATTATCCGCAACGCAGAGAAGCCCGCGCATGAGCTCGTTGCGGAAAAGGAACTCAGCTCATACTCTCGATTCACGCGCAACAAGTACGCTACCGCCGCCGCCCTCTGTACCCCGACCCGCCCGACCCCCCAACGTTTGCGGCCGCTTCACGAGGAGGCTTCGTCGGTTACGATCCCGAGCGACCCCTCCGCTAACCGACCTCTAGTTATGGCGAGTTCATGACCTTATTCGCAAAGACGGTCGCTGAGCGCACGCGACCGGGCCAGCGCCAAGACGTCGAGGAGCAAGGTGGGTGCTGAACCCCCCCCCCCCCCCCCCCCCCCCCCCACTACAGAACCGGACGACTGATGCAATAGCCTCACCGGCTCTTGACCTCAACAGATTACACCTTCCACGCCTACGGCCGCACAGAGGGCGTCTGCGGCATCATCATCTCGGACCACCAGTACCCCGCGCTCGTCGCGCACCAAGTGCTCAGCAAGGTCGTCGACGAATTCCTGGCCAAGAACCCGCGCTCGTCGTGGTCCGCCGGCCAGCCGACGCTCGTCATGCCGGAGCTCAAGGAGTACCTCGCCAAGTACCAGGACCCTCAGCAGGCCGACAGCATCATGAAGATCCAGAAGGAGCTCGACGAGACCAAGATTGTGCTGCACAAGACCATCGAGAGCGTCCTGCAGCGCGGCGAGAAGATTGACGACCTGGTGGCCAAGAGCGACGGCCTGAGCGCCCAGAGCAAGATGTTTTACCGTGCGTGTACCCCCCCTACTCTTCTTTGGGTGGAGGTGCTTCCCCGGAGCGTAGTAGCAGATGGAGAATCGAGAGAGAGAGGACTGATATATGCTGACATTTTCTCCTCACAGAACAAGCCAAGAAGCAAAACTCGTGCTGCATTCTCATGTAGAGGAGGGGGCCTTGCGGGGAAGGCCGATCCTGTTGGTCGGCATTGGATACTCAAACTGTTTCAAGATTCCCATCTCACTCCCACCGCCACTTCAGCGTCGGGGCGCCATCGCTACGAACTCGTCACATCTCACATTCGATTCTTTGGAACAGATTCCGCGTGTGACCGGCTCCTGAAAGCCTGCCACCTCTGGTTTCTTCTTTGCTGATGGGGCAGAAAAACCCCCGAGTCTGATAGACGCCTTATTTACCGCACCCACTATAGTTAATACTACGAGACAGAAATTTGGAATATGAGCAAAAAGAAAGAAACAAGAATTCTTCGTTGCAAAAGAAAGACCAACTTGTCATATTCAATATGTGTGTACCGCCGCTACCGAAAAAAACCCAGACTGATGAAAACAACAAAGGAGAACGAGGTTTCCGCCAGCGGACCATGACAAGAGAGTAAAGACAGTGTGATTTGCCGAAACGGGGAGACAAATGAGCGTATAGAAAAAAAAGTATATAATCGTCGTAAAATGTCATCGATGTTGCATCGGCTTCCCCGAATCGGAAGGAGCAGTCTTTTTTGTTGTATCCCGACTCGCGGAGGACGAAAATCCAGACCGCCGCCAGGATACGAGGGCCCGTTTTATGCTGTGCATCGTGCCCTGTCTCATCTCGAAACAAGGGCCCAGACGCCGCGTGGTGTATGCTCGGAGAAAAGTTGAGAGAGGAGAGAGGGGGCCATAAACAACCGGGAAAGCAAGGATCAGATCCGTCATGCCCTCATCCCCATTGGCTAGATTTGGAATGGGGGGTGCAGAGAAAAGTCGCCGGGGTGGTGGTGTGTGGCTGGCATTGACCGAGGCCGCCTCTGCTCATGAGGGCACGCCCTCAATGGTCACCAGCTCGCTGCGGCGATACATGTGCTGCTGATGCGGCGACTGCAGATGCCCGGCGGCGGCGGCGCCGAGGAGGACGGGCCCCTGCTCCGGGTGGACCAGGGTCGGCGTGGCCGTCTTGGTCTCGGCGAGGCGCTTGTCACCGTCGTCGAGGGAGATTTGGCTGGCCGCCTTGATGTGCTGGTTGGCGCGGGCGCGGCGGCGCTCGCGCTCGTGCAGCGGCTCGAGGAAGCGGCGCTGGCCGCGCGAGATGCTAATCTGCCGCGCGATCGACACCTCGGCCGCGTCCTCGAGCTCCTCCTCGCGGCTGGTCGGCTTCGGGTTGGGCTGCGGCGGCGGCGGCGCGACCCGGACCCGGTGGTGCGGGTTCTTGCTGTGCCGCAGCGAGGTCGACCGGCTCGGCACGTCGACCTGCTTGGCGGACCCGGTCATCGTCGTCGTCGTGATCGTCGTCGTCGTCGCTGTCGCTGCCGCCGTGAAGGAGGGCGACACGGCGCTCCGGTTCGTCGAGGGGCCCGAGGGAGGCGGCGAGAGCGCGGTGCCGTTTTCTCGCTCGGTCGTCTGCCGAAAGTATGGGCTGCTTATCGACTCGACCGACGGCTTGTGGAACCTGGAGCGCAGGAGCGGGCGGCCGTCGCCGTCCGGTCCGGGGGAGAGCTGGCTGCCCGGTGATAGCAGCGACGTCCCGGGCGAGTCGACCTGGTCCTCCGCCTCCGCCCCGTCCTCCGCCTTCGCCGCGGCCACCGCCGCCGCCGCTTGCTGGGGTGACAGGCAGTCCGCTTCCCTGGCGAACACGGGGAACGTGTTCGATCGTATCCGCAGCGGCGCGAGGTCGATGCCGGACGCCGCGGTGTCGCCCGGCAGCTCGGCCACGGGCGTGCTGGAGGGCGTGACCGCCGGCGAGGTGGCCCGCCGAGACCGTAGCAGTTCGGCATGGTGGTGCTCCCGGCGAGTGTCGTCCTCGACGGCCCGGATCCGCGCAAGCGTCGCCTGGCGTCGCGCCAGCAGGCCGCCCGCCGCGGCCGCCGCTTGCTGCTTCTCGAGCAGGCTCCCGAACATGACGCTGTACCGCTCGAGCCTGATGTCGGGGATCTCGACGTCGAGGAGGCCTCCGGGCCGCCACGCCAGCGTTTGCTGCTCGGCGTTGCCGGCGGACGACGCCGCTTGGGGGTCGGTCACGGAGCGCCGCGCGGCCAACTTGGGCTTCTTTAGCTTGCCGGCACGCGCCGGAGCTGGTTTGTGAACGGGCGAAGGTGTAGAAGGAGTGGCGGAACCGATTGTGTAGTTGCCCTGGCTGGGGTCTGGGCGGGAGTAGTTGACGCCGCCATTGTTGGAGGTCATCCGTTTGGACTTTGAGCGGCCGAGAAACGGTATTCGTTTAGAAATTTGGCGAGAAAGTCCTGTGCTCTTAGATTGTTGTTGTTGTTGTTGTGCTTGTTGTGCTTGTTGTGCTTGTTGTTCGGGCACGGCGCCGGCTGGAGAGTTGATGGTCGCCATGGTCCGGGGAACCCTGCTCGGATCTTGGCCAAGCAGTGGTGCGGCTGTTGGACTTCCTAGAGCTACACCGATTTCAAGGTCGCTATCTTCAGTGGGAAACTGCGAAGGAAGTTTCGTATATTGTGCGTAGGGAGAGATAATGGCAGGCATTGTGGGAAGCAGTAGGATGTGCCTGGTCGCCGTTTGCTGTCGAGGTGAGGTTGGGTGTAAGCGGCGGGTATCACGTCAACATGCTCGCGGAGGGGCGGAGTGATGGAGAGGCGAGTTATTCGGCGGGAAAAAAAACGTAGAAATGAGAAGAGCCGCTTTTTTGACCGTGCACATAGAAATACAGGAAAAGAAAGGCGGGAGGGGGGCGAAATGAATCGAATCAAGCGGTGACACCTGTGCTGAGTGAAGTACGAGGATGTTTGCGGCAGGGTTGGTCGGCATGCAAGCAAGATTCCACGACACCACCACGTACACCCACAAGCTTCACTGGCGGTAAAGAGCAGCAGCTGAAGGATGGAAAGAAGAAAAAGAGATGCACACGCTTACATTCCAAGTTTGGAATCCAAAAGACGATTCCAAAAAAAAAAATGGGCAGGGGTTTAAAAGAGTTCCCCGGGGTGACGCACTCTGGGTCTCGATTCATCTACTTGACGAAAACATCGGCCACATTTACTTGTTGACACAGCCAAGTGGACAAGAGGCACACAAAGGACCAGGGGCTACACCATGCTCCGAGAAGGGAAAGAAGAGCTTGAAGTTGAGTTTCTGGACGGATCCCTGCTAGGGCTGGGCGGGACGCTCGTCCCTGGGCGGGAAGGGGAGCGAGGTATGTGCTGAAGAAACGTTTGAGCGTGCATTTGGGAGAGTTTGGGCTAGAATGGATGAAGAGCTGGTAACTAGGAACTAACTGATTAGGAAGGGATTCGGGATGGGAGGGGAGGGGTGTGTAGACGATCCCAGGGGAGCCGAATCATGAGAGAAGGGAAAAAAGGTACGGGCTGATGATAATACTACTGGTAATGATTATCATGGCCATTAACAGCAACTGCTTGCTTGCTTGTCTGCTTGCTTGCTTTAGATGAGGGGCGTCAAGCGGACAGAATTTGGTAGGTATAAGATTATAAGCCGCATGCATGGCCAACTTCGGCACGGATCTCCCCCCCCCCTCCCCCCTCTGGTCTGCTTCCCACCAACGTTTCAGATTTTCTGGACTCGTCCTCGTGGGTTGCATCCACCAGGCGGGTTGTGCATGTTTGCAAAGTACCCGAATTTGGGGGTAAGGTGATGTTGTAAAAAGAAAGAGAGAAAAAAACCCCAAGAATAATTGAAAATAGTAAAAGGAAGAAGAAGAATACGAGAAGAAGCAGCAGATGGGCGTGACAGTAACAGATGACCGCGAGGTAGACAAATGCATATATAACGATGCCCATTAACTTATTTCCTACCTAGTACAATAACAAGAATGGACATGGCATGTCTGCCTTGCATTTATTTATTCACCGCCGACCTGCATAACATAATAAAGGGCTTTTCTCTTAATAACTGCTTGATGCCCCCAATCACATCACTGCCTACTAACCTGCCTGCCAGCACTGACTTGTTTTTTGCCACTACCTATGCACTGCACTCTGTCAAGTCGACGCCCGAGCATCATTCTTTTCCTCACCGACACAAAGAAGACATGCAGAGAAAAAGCCACCGGCAATGCCCCAAACGCGCCTGGAAAGAGGGGATCCTCTCAGTCCCCCTCCAATATAAGAATCGGTATCATAATCTGCAACCCCCATTCTGCTGCGAGTCGACGAGGCGGCAGACAGCTGGCGACCAGTGATCTGTTGACCTCGTCGACGCCCGCCGATCCACAACACTACCAGCAGAGACCCCAGCGGCCGGCGCATTGTTTGAGATTAAACATGCGCACCAGGGGACTTTCAAAAAGGGCTCATCAACTCAGTCATTCATTCATTCATTCATTCAGCTAGGTGGACATGGGCCATACCCGCTTATTATTAAAAGTATAAAAAAAAATAAAAAAAAATAAAAAAGGAAGGAAGAAAATAGAAAGAGAACAAGAGAACAATGGGAACAATCCAAAACAGCTGACCGTGCTGACATGCCATGCTTCGCGCCCCGTGCCAAGCAAAATCCGCTGATCAGGGCGCGCGCCAACGACTGTGGCTGGTGAGAGCCTCTTTTTTTTTGCTACTTTTCGACTTTCCTGACGACCACGTCAATACGCCACGTTTCTCCCATGCGGTCCTGGATTATGATGATCCCGTCTCTTCTCCCGTCATTCTCACTCCATTGTCCCGCCCGGTTCCGTTTTTTTCCAACACGCAGGACCAAAACCACCGCAGCTCCCGCGCCGCCTGACCCGAGCATGCGCCTTGCCGTCGCGACCCAACTCTCGGACGGGACGACGAAGATTCCATCCCCCAGCTCTCTGCTCCCCTTTGTCACCCTACCAAGAAGAAAATCACTGTTCTTTTTTTTTCTTTCTTTCTTTCTTTTTTTACCTCTTCCATCTGATTCCCTACACCACACAGTGATACTTGATTACACATCATCTTCAAACCTCATGGAAACATTCTTCCTTTCACCAGCTCCAAAAGACTGACGGCGCCCGTGTCCGCTCCCTTCCAATCTTACTCTCCGACGTCGCGCAACACACGCTCGGCGCCTTCTAGATTGCCGCTTTCGCTCTGCGTGACGCATGCAGGGATTGGCGTTGTTTGGATTGGATGACTTTGTTTCGACGAGAGTGACCGTCGCTGACTCGATTAGCCTCGCAGCCGCCACCTACGCACGAGGCCGACCATGTTGCATTCGCGGTCATCCCACGCCTCTCTGACCTGCCAGTGCATGCATGAACTTGCAATCAGACACACTCCAAGCCCATTTATGACTTGGCCTTTCGATCGGTGATGGCTGCGTCGCTAATACACACTAACTACGGAGATCAAAAGGTACGGCTGATGCACCCAAGACTGCCGTTTGCAAGTCAAACGGCCAGAGTCTGGTATAGGCTGATAGGTGAGACGAGTTCGTTTCGCCAACACGATCCAAAAATAAGACTTGGGCTTGCCAATCAGCCACGCCACATCTATTTTGATCATGTTTGGGATAATTCCCGCGAAACTTTATGGGCTTGAATGGCTCCCAAACCACGATTGCGTACGCAACCATGCAGGCAGGCATAAACATGAACTGTGAGTTGTGCGTGGCGCCAGGGCGCATTGTGTTCTCGGTGGCTGGAGAAAGCGGCCCTGTCGTCATTTTGCCGCGGCGTCACGGTTGTGAGCTTTGTGAGTCCGGTCGTCTAATATCGATGCTTGTGAACTCGGTCGGGGGCTTCCGCTGCGCTCGCGCTCTTGGAGTATCGCTATTTTCAGTCGGGCAGACCCTCGTGCAGGAGCCGGCTTCGCGCAGACCAAATTTGTAGGACCATCCAGCAGTCGCACCCGCCCGCTCCGCGTCGCTCTTCCAGAAATAACATGGAAAGTAAAATTGCAATACATTGGTCAATTGTAAGTTGTAGGGTAGTGAATTTGCCACGAGATAACTAGTACGATCAAACCAGCTCGACTCCCTTGCGTCGCCAGCAAGGCGTTCAGCTCAATAATAGTCATCGTCATCATCCAACATTATACCTTCCCTCTCAAGTTCCTCACGTCGAATGCGCCTTTGGCGCTTCTTCGCTCGTCTGCCTGCCGCAAAAGCCTCGTTGATTCGAGGATAATCCGTCGTGGTAACCACGCATCGGAGTCGGGCATCTTCTGCGGACTCGGGCATTGACCCTCGTTCCCAGCTGTCCCTGTATATTCCCGTCTCTAGAATAAACTCTTCTGGGTCCACCCTATCAAGATTGTCATCTCCAGGCGTTAATGGTAACGGGCAACTTTTATGGTCATCGCGGGCATCCATTTTGCGCGTGTCTGGGGATGTATGTAGGTGCGTTGTGCGTTGCGGGCGTTGCGGCTGTGACGGCGTGCGCCCAGAAAGACAGGAGATAGAAGGGTGGATGGGAATATCTCCTGGACAAGGGAGAAGTCGAAGACCCTGAAAATGCTCCCTGGTCTTGTCGGAGTGGTCGCCGGCCTATTGATGTTGGGGGAGCGATCGATTAAGCGCTGGACCAAGCTCAGGACCCCATTCAAGTCGCGGCGCGGAGGGGTGAGGGAGGAGGTGCCTGCTCGTCTGCCTAACGAACCCGTGGCCAGATACGCGACCGACTGGAGAATTGGAGAATTGAGCCAGCAGATCAATGACCCATGAATACAAGGCGTCTCACTCTAATAGGCTTTGGAGCCTCCCATTTCCCCAAAGACACAACCCCTGGGTCGGCTTTTGGCCAAAGTTCTAGGTCGAGTTCTGACAGCTCGCCAGCCTAAAAAAATGATGGCCTTGCTGGGCGTTCTAGCAAGCCTGACATCTTAACTTATCCTGGTGAATGCTAATATTAGAATCCATTTCTAACCAGTGATTGCTGCCATTGCTGTCGTGGTAGAGCAGGCAATGAATAGCAATCAATGTAGAACACATAAAGAGGCGATGCTCTTCTGCCCTTTCTCAGCCATCAATTACACAAACACTCCATTCTCAATCATTTCACATCACTTTTTTTATCACCTACTCATATCCTTTTTCCATTCATTCCACTTCGCTCATTCCACTTCGCACCATCCTTAGACACCATGTCTCGTCGTGAAGTCCCCGCTACACGCGTTGGTGCCTTAGAAGTCTTCTTTCGACAGGCATCGACCAACCATGGCCAAGCTTCCTATCACTGGACGCCCTTCGAACAAGTTTAAATTGAGTGGAGGGCGCTGGAGTCAGGGCTTGATGTTTCCCTCGGCATCCACGAGACGACAGCTGGCAGGGCAGCCCTTACAAACCTGGGCGTGCGAATCGTCCAGGAACAGGAAGGCGGTACCAGGACTACATTTGGCAGCCGAAGCATGACTGAAATGGGTTATCATGTCAACAGGTTCCTTGAAAAAATCCGTGGCCGTTTTCCGCGCGTTTCCATCACACCAGACGTCACTGGTGAAGCGGTGACGATTCGCAGAACCTGGGGTACGGATGTTTATAGCTACGAACCCAAGGATGCAGCCGATATCCTTCTGAAACCATGGGTAAGTTTCAAATTCGTATAGAATTCTTCGGGGTTGCTAACTACTTTACTCTTTTTGTGAGTGATAGCTCCTGCAAGGTCTTATCAGTAAGCCATGCCTCCCGCCACGGAGAGCCCGATCGAGCCAAGAACTTCAATTTCACCTCGCGATAGCGCTCGCTCACGAAATCGGGTATCTCTTTGTCGGATATCTCACTGGACATCAAGGAGTAGGAACACCCCCTAGGGTGACTGCTGGAGGACACGGCGATGCAGACATGGGTGAGTCTGGTCGCTATTGGGAAAAGCACTTTTCTCGGAGGGTTTCCAGAAATATGGTTCAATCGAGGCTCTGGCGGTGTAAACGATGCCGGAAGACTTTACCTGCTGCTGCCAGCCTCGCGTGGTAACCGAATGTCACGGAGGATAAGCTCCAGGTACATCGAGGACTCTGTACATCGCCGTCAGTCGCGCCTCAAGGACCCCACAACATGCATAGTTCAAGCATTAACTCTCTATTAGGCTTCTCTTTCCCGGTTCAACTCTCTCTCAACGAGGGTGAGATGCGCCGCTCCGAGCTGGAAGCCCGATTCCGCCCTACCCCAAGCAGGGCTGCCCTGAATGCACAAGTGGTGCCAAGAGTGATGACTAGATCGGGGCGCGAGGCGTACAGATTCCGAGAAACTCTAGCAGCTGAGCATTATCAGGATCCCTACCACTCTCCACCTTCTAACTACAGGTACGTACTATTAGGGAATTTGTCCGGGGTAGCCTGATGCCAGATCTGGGCGCGAGCTACATGTCACAAGCAAGCAGGCCTTGTGTTTTGCTGTTGGTTATTTTTCGCTTTCGTTGGACGTTTTTAGTTTTTGTATGTGTGCTTTGTTGTGTGCTATGAATGCTATGAATGCTGTGTTCTTGTTCTGGTTATCTGATGTTCGTATGTGAATGAAATTTTCATTTCTGCTTCTTCCCGATTACTTTTGCTCAATTGCCTTGCTGAACCTTATACCTTACATGCTCATTTTGCTCCATAAATATGCAGTTTGTACTAATACGACACAGTTTCTAGCTCTAATAAAGACGGTAGACTGAAAACAAGAAAGCACTCTTCCAAGCCCGGAGTCGACGGATGCCATTAAGGGCCGGGGCCATTCTTGCATAATGGTAGAAAATAGTAGCAGAATAAAACACAATCATGCCTGTACCTAGGTGTGTATGTCTGTATGTATGCATGTAGGTAATTAAATTGGCGGGGTTCACTGGTCTGCGCTTTGTGAGGCCTGACGTTGGCCAGAACCAAGGTCACTGCCCACATGAAAAACGCGGTGTGATACTTTGCCCCGCCGCAGTTGGCCGTTACCAGCAAAAATCGCGGTCGATGAGGGGCAATACGCCTTACTTTTACACTGCACAAATAAACCTCGTGATTTGCTTCAATATCATCTGCTCTACCTCCAAAGCTTATCGGTCTTCTCCTACCCCCGCCTCTCTCTTTTATCGCCCGTCCAGCTTTGCAATAGCATATTCCCCAGCTCCCTCCCATCTCACAATGTCGTGGCAAGGTAAATTCGCCCCAACCACCAACAGAAGCGCTGTGATGCTGTCGTCTTGCCCCTCCCCGCCGCCACGGGAGAGGGGAGGCGAGGCGCCGCGCCGTCCGCCGCATCAACCGCCATCCCAAGCAGATCGCTAACCAGCAAGCTCTCGCGCCGCAGCATACATCGATACCAGGTATTTCACACTACCGATATCCCCGTCCCGATCATGCACCGAACGAGAAGCAGCCCCCTCCCCGCCGAGGCCTAGCTGCCGATGGGATCCATATTAACGCAGATGTGAAAACAATCTAGCCTCGTCTCGACCGGACACATCGCCAAGGGCGCCATCATCAGCGCCGCCGGCGACAGCGTCTGGGCTACCTCTACCGATCTCCAGGTAAAAGATCCCAGACGACAACCCCCTCCCCGCCGAGCGAGGGGAAACTTGAGAGAGGAAAGCTCCGCCGGCTAACGCGAACATCGTGGGACGAAAAACAACAGATCAAACCCGAGGAGATGAAGGCCATTGCTGCCATCGTCAACGGTGACGCCGCCGCCAAGGACAAGGCCTTTGCCGACGGCCTCTTTGTCGGGGGTGAACGATACGTCATGGCCAGAGCTGAAGAGCGAAGCATCTACGCGCGATCCGTAAGCAGCCCACCCTCCCGCCAGCCCCGGCTTACTCATGGTGAGCTCGCAACAGCGATCCTTGGCTAATCACAGCTTTTGCTATCCAAATGCAGAAACGCGACGGCGTCGCCATCGCCAAGACGAAGCAGGCCATTGTCATCGGCCTGCACGGCGAGGCCCAGGTTGCCGGCAACGCTAGCTCTACCGTCGAAAGCCTTGCCGACTACCTCATCAGCCAAAGCTACTAAAAAAGAGAGTAAGCTGAGGGAGGGAGAAATAATCAATCTTGGTCGGGACGTTGGTGGAATTGGGCAAAACTTGTTAAGCGAATAGTCAGTCCAGCCGCTGTGGACGGTGCTCGAATCAGGATGTTCGTGTTCGGCTAAAAGGGCACGTCTGATGCAGACTCGGCAACAAATTTTCGTCCAAGGAGCCAGCCACAAATTGTGCATATTTTCATCAATCATGGGAAGCGAGTCATATGTGTCGTGAGGGAATCATAAAATAGAACCATCTACCTTTGCGCTGTTGTTGTATCTTCTTTTGTAGCTTCACGAGGATGAGACTGCCATCATCGAGTCATCTAGCCTCGGAGTATGGATAATCATTGCTCTCTATTCACTACAAAATCTCATGACAGCATTGTTCTCGTCTGTGATATCGTGACAATATTTGCCAGCCTGTTTCTCATGTCTGATACGCACATGAGATTGATGACAACTTTCAGCTCTCTGTGACGCATATTCAGGATCTTGACAACCCCCGTAGTATAAAACGCCCATTGCTACTTCTCCTTTCAGCAACCGCGCTCGCTAACTTTTGACCCATTTCCCGCCGTCCTCGAGAGCTGAAATAGAGGAACGGCAACGGGTATTTTATACTACCGGGACAGTCAACAGGTCGCTGCTGAATGTGTTCCCACATACGACGTCTGGGTCGAAATTAAAAAAGAGTATTAAAACGTTATCCGCTCGAACCACCCGTTCGCGTCATTATGGGGAGGTTTCCGAGCGGGGCTTCGAATATTCGAATTTCGAAAGATATGGGCGCCAATTTCGGCACAGTTCGCCCGCAATGTCATTCGCACTCTCGCTTGCTTCTTTTTATACGGGTAGCTCCGCGTTGCTGCGAGCGACGCCCAGGCGGTCGATGGCGACGCCAATGTACGGCCCAACGACGGGGATGCCGCGCGCGAAGCCGGCAATGGTGCCGAGGAAGTCGCCAAACAGGATGACTATACCGTAGCCCTCGACGAGGAAGCCGATGATCGTCCAGCGCAGGAGGATGAGGATGAGACCGGCGAAGAAGGCGGCAGTGCCCTTGGCCTTTTGCTTGCGCGCGAAGAAGGCGAGCGTCTTTTGCGGACCAATGATGATGGTGAGGCCGATCAGAAACAGGATCTGCGGGTTTTCAGACGGTCAGCGTATACTCTTTGTCCCAAACTCGGCTTCGAACGTTCGAGGGCGGGTAGCTCATTTGCGCGATTCATACATTTCCCATGGCGAGCCTGTGAGTCATTGGTCAGCGTTTGTAAGCCCCTATTTGATCAGTTGGCAGGGGTCCTACATGGCTCGATCAAAGAAGAACATCACTCCTCCGACCAGAAACAGACCACCTGGTGGCGACGAGTTAGTGACGTTGGCGAAGGGGCGAGGAGACGTCCCGGCTTTGCGCCGGCGCCAATCTTTGCAAATCGCAGCATACCTCCCGAGCAGAAAACAACGCCGATTTCTGTAGACAACAGTCAGCTTCACCTTGGTCCAGATGCCTCTACGAGCCGCCACGTAGCTGGAGGTTGCGCGCCGCAGCGGCACAGCAAGCACCCCTCTAGCTAGGGCACGCGAATGCGCAGACAACTTACTTTGCGTGTCCGAAAGCCACATGGACGACATGATTGCGGGTGTATTGAGAGAAGAGAAAAAGTACAATAATGTGCAAAAGAGAAGTAAATGAAAGAATAAGAAAGATTTGTACGCGTGCGAAAAGGCAAGAAAGGCAGGGCTTGAAAAAGGGATGATGCGAAAACGGTTTTGCTCGAGGGCGTGGCTAATTTCCAGGACACCTTTTCAGAAGGAGATCGCCTAAATTTAGTAGCCTTGTCCGCTGTCAGGAACGGAATGTCCGCGTTGGGCTCCTGGTGCGGTGCCGCTTTAAAGGGCCGCTTATCGCAACGACCCATCGCTGCCATTTGGTAAGGAGGCCGCTAAGGCGGCGGGCATTCCTGGCCACAACAACCTTCTGCTCCGCCTTGTCAAATCCACCAACCTTCTTCCTTCATTATCAAGTCGAGCCGTTGCATGCTGCACTTTTCTGTGCTCTCGACGTGAGCGCCCCGATCGAATGAATGACTCCTCAATCCGTTGAACTGTTTTTGCCTACGGTACGGGGCATAGGAGCAGGCCTTGAACTCGGGCCATCCAGCTGTTATTTTCACGCAGACACGCGAGGAGCAGTCATCGTTCGGGACGAAGCCAAGACTTCGAAACGTAAAAAGAACTCTCATTAATTCAACGCTATATCTATTCGTGGCATGTTATTACATTCCGCTTTGTTTCTTTCTTTTTCTTTTTGGTATGCCTCGACAGCCGAGCCTTTGAAGTTCTGGCAACTGAGGGAGCCTCCCATGTTTCCTCGGTACATGTCGATCTATTGGCAGAGAGCAAAAATGATCACGATTAAGCCGGAGCGTCGACTGTCATCCCCCCGCCGAGAGGCAGAGGGTGCATAGTCGGGGCTTGACTTTGTTGGCCAGACACTCCACGTATAAAAACCCATTCCTCCTCTCCATGTTTGCTGTTTGCAGGTGGTAATAAAAACCAGGTTTTTGCTCTGTGGTCGTAGAAGCCCAAAGTAATTCAACCTCGTAGACCGGCGCCGTCAATCATGATTCTGTCTCTTCTTGTCCAAAATGCATCACTACTCGCGTTGCATCACTTCAAGATGGTGTGGGCGCCTCGAGCCTCGAGGTACAGCTCGGCAGTGCTCTGAGGCAGCGAGCGGATCAGCGCAAACACCTCCTTATTGTGGTATCGTATCCTCGTCTTGGGATCAAAGTACGGCGCCGGGAGGCCCGTCACGTCGCAAAATCGTTTCGCGTGCGCCAGCGACGGCGCCGACTCAATATTGGTGTACGTGGCCGCCGGCGTGGTGCCGCCTGTTCCCAGCAGACCACCGGCCGGCTTCAGGCTCTTCTCCAGCACGAGCTTCGACAGGCTGCTGGACGCCTGTGCCAGGTTGGGCGCGGCGCTGCCGCCACTGCCGTTGCCCGTGGTCGCGGGGGTCGAGGTGCCGCTGGTCGAGAGGCCGTCGTCGCGCGCGGGCGTCACCGCGCCGCTGTGGTCTGCCGGGGTCGCCAGCGCCGAGGCTTCTCTCTTAGAGGCGTCGCCGAGGATGGCTTTGAGATTCTTGTTGCGTCGCTGGTTGGGCTTCCACGTCGCGCTGCGGAACGTCTTCTGGATCGCGTGGGTGTCGAGCTCTTCGAGAAGCTTCAGGTGCGCGATCTGGGCTTCTGTGGGCGCCGCCATCGTAGATTGTGATTGAAGTCGAGTAGCTATGTGAGGATTCGGGTGTTTTTTTTACGATAGTCACCGTTCTTGATGCGGAAATTCGGTGGCGAGTCGCTTCTCGTGTTAGTTAATTGGCCATGAAGGTTGGCGGCCAGGTACATCCGTGCTGTAGCTCGTATTCTGCCGATGTTCACCGCTTGTTGTATGGCGTGTCACCGATGCCGTGGCTCGCGACTCTTGAGCCTTGTCAACCTACCTTTCTTGGCTTAATTTTTCAAATTTTACAGAATACCAGTCAAGATGGTTTGTAAATGTTTCCTTGTTCATTATTCAATCTCTGACAGCTCTCTAGGAAAGCCCGCACGAACACCAGCAGAACCTACTGCTGTCTCGTATAATCAACAATGTGGTATGTGGTTCCAATACATTTTCATGACGCTTCGCTAATTAGTATAGGAAAAACTCAACGAAGCCGTCGTTGTGATGAATAAGAGCCTCCAGGTATGTTTAAACTATTTGTTTGAGAAGGTGCGAGGTTGACGTTGAGTGAAGGAAATCAACATCCAAAACATGAACGTCGAGTTGGTGGCACAGATGTTCAAGAATTATCAATCAAACGTGTTATTTCATCTCGAAGGTAATGGAGCAATTGTGCTATTCTGTTTCATAATTCTTTTTGCTGACTTGTAAGTAGCAACGGATAATCTAAAGCCACCCTCTTAAGTTGGTGACGCGTTTTGGAAGCAATAGAACAACCTGGGCTGCGCACCCACGCCACGATTACATGAATGAGACTCAGAAATTCCAATGAATATAGACTTCCATTAGTGCCATTAACTCAAGGTTTCGTCTTTCTGCTCCGAAACGTAGTTCAACATGCTCGAGCAACGCGTGATAACAGGTCGAGGCTCGACCCACCAGCGACTTCTCAGCCTTGCAGCCTCGCCAGTGGCCGCTGTGCGATTTCAAGCGTGCGACCCGGTGGCAGCGACTCTAATAAAACATCCGCCAACACACCCATTGAGTGGGCAGCCATTTCGAATTTGCCACCGGCAGCTCTCTTCATCACCCGCACCGCCTGATCATGATCATTGATTTCCCATAGTCCGCATCGCCTGCTTGAACAACCATCTACCATGGCTCCCTCGGCCACGAGCGAGCAGCCCGCCGCTGCGCAACCCCAGGAGAAGACGTACCCGCCAGCCAAGATCTACAACGTCAAAGAGACGCGCTTCGAAAAGTTTATCGCCCCCGATAGCGAAGGTCGCAAGAAGGCCCTTCAGCAAAATGGCAACGCTGCGATCGTCATTGACAATGGTAGGTCGCGGAGCGCGCAAAGCCCAGCTTGGGCCGGCAAACAATGCTGCATCGATTCTGATACTTCGCCCTTGTAGGATCCTCGGCCGTCCGCGCTGGCTGGTCGTTCGAGGATGCGCCGCGCTTCAGCATGCCTCCGATCATGGCCAAATACCGCGACCGCAAGGCCGGCAAGACGTTTTCTTTTGCCGGTGCCGACTGCTTCGCCGATACGACTGCCAGAGGCCATATCCGCAGCGCCTTTGAGCCAGGTACTGGAATCGTTAGCAATTGGGACGTCATGGAACACGTGCTTGATTACATCTTCCTCAAGCTCGGACTGAACGACTCCGATGGCGGCGTCGATGTGCCCGTCGTCATGACCGAGGCTGTCGCTAACCTTCCCTACTCGCGGAAATGTACGTGCAGTCGCGCGTCCCCTCGACATCGCTGTATACATTCTAACCATTTTATCAGCAATGACGGAGATCATTTTTGAATGCTACAATGCACCCTCACTCGCCTACGGCATCGACTCCCTGTTCTCATACCGACACAACCAAGGAAAGACTGGGCTTGTGGTGTCGTCATCTTACACCTCTACACATATCATACCTGTTTATAACTCCAAGGCTATGCTTGCTCAAGCAACGCGACTGAATTGGGGAGGATATCACAGCGCCGAATATCTTCTCAAGCTGATCCGTCTCAAATACCCTGCCTTTGCTGGCAAGCTCAATGCTTCGCAGGCCGAGCACATGCTCAAGGATCATTGCTACATTTCTGATTCATATGAGAACGAGATCAAGAGCTACTTGGACTGGACTGGCTTGGAAGATCGCGATATTGTAATCCAGTACCCGTTCACAGAGGAGGTCGTTGTGCAAAAGTCGGAAGAGGAATTGGCGCGCATAGCTGAGCGCAAAAAGGAAAGCGGCCGTCGTTTACAGGAACAAGCTGCCAAGATGCGCTTGGAAAAGTTGATGAAGAAGGAGCAGGATCTAGAGTATTACAAAACTCTTCAGCAGCAAATTACTAACGAAACCAAGAAGGAGACGCGACGGCTTTTGGATAGCAACGAGATCAAGGATGAAGCCCAACTCGAAAAGATGATCAAGGAACTGGACAAGGCTATCAGAAAAGCCAGAATAAAGGATGTTGGTGGAGATCCCGAGGAGGAGGAGGAAGCGCCCAACTTTGATCTACTCGACATACCTGACGACCAGCTCGATGAAGCGAAACTGAAGCAGAAACGCCAGCAGCGGCTGCTCAAGTCCAACCATGACGCCCGCGCTCGTGCCAAGGCCGAGAAGGAGGCCGAGAAGGCCCGAGTTGAGGAAGAAGCGCGGTTGGACACTGAGCGCCGCACCAACGACCTGGAAGGGTGGCTGGACGAGAAGCGCCAGGCGCGGCTGGAGACGCTGCAAAAGATCAAGGAGCGTGACAGGCTGAAGCAGGACCTAGGCAACCGCAAGTCGCTAGCGTCGCAGATCCGCATGAAGAGCATCGCGAACCTAGCATCGGACAACCCGACCAAGAAGAGGCGGCGCGGCGGCGACGATGACAACTTTGGCGCCGACGACGACGACTGGGGCGTGTACCGGCAAATCACCGTCGGCGACAACAGCGACGACGAGCACGAGGAGGTGGACCTCAACGCGAGCCTGCGCGGGCTCGAGCAGGAGCTGCTCCAGTTCGACCCGGACTTCACGTACGAGCACACGCAGGAGGCGCAGTCGGACTGGTCGCGCTCGCTGCTGCACGCGTTCGCGCGCGGCCCGCGGCCTTTCGACGCCGGCTCACAGGCCGAGCTCAACCAGATCCACCTCAACGTCGAGCGCATCCGCGTGCCCGAGGTCGTCTTCCGGCCGTCCATCGCCGGCGTCGACCAGTCCGGCGTCGTCGAGATCGCCGGCGACGTGCTCGCCCAACGGCTCGCCGGCCTGCCCGGCGGCGTCGACGTGGACGACTTCCTCCGCGACGTCTTCCTCACCGGAGGCGGCACGCTCTTCCGCAACTTTGACCAGCGCATGCGCGACGGCCTCCGGTCCCTGCTCCCCGCGAACGCGCCCCTCAAGGTGCGCCGTGCAGCGGACCCGCTGCTCGACGCCTGGCGCGGCGCGGCCGGCTGGACGGGTACGTCGGCGTGGAAGCAGGCGACGGTCTCGCGCGAGGAGTACCTCGAAAAGGGCGCCGATTACATTAAGGTACGGGCTTTCTCTCGTTAAGCGATGAACTCTGAGAGAGCCATCATTTTGCTAATATATTTGTAGGAGCATGACATGGGCAACTCGTATGCTTGAACAGGGAGTGCTGTGACGGGGAAGGGGGTTTTGAATCGGTGCAAGTGGGAAGGGAGTTGCCGCTTTTTTTTTGCCGTTTCCCAAGTTTTGGTGTTTATTGCAAAAACGACATGTCTGGGTATTTAGGAATTTTGCTTTTATATGAGTTTTTGTCTTTTGTCTTATCAACGAAAGGACCAAGTGGCGTGCGAAAAGAGCTTGCTACCAAGGACCTGTAGAATTTTGAAAAGCTCTGTCGAGCAATGTCGTCTAAAATGCATAATCACATATACGTAGCTAAAACTCCCATTTTCCATCACTCCTCATCCCACCTTAAAAACAAGAGAAAAGGCAACAAGCCCCAAACGAATACCATAGCATCGACGTCGTTCACGTGCCGTCCTCTGCCAGAACCCTCTACTCTCCATGTGCAGAACGCCGACAGGCAAAGGCAAGGCAAACTGAACGGGAATCCGTCAAACCAATTCGCCCAAACAAACAAACGCCAGAGTAGATTAGATGTGAGACAAAGAGGTCAAAATAGAAACGTCTGAAGCCCCGCGCGTTACCGGTAACGCCTCGCAAATAGCAAAGAAACAAAGTAGAAATGATGACCAACAAAGCAAGGACACCAAACCAAAAAAAAAAAAAAGCAGCTGTACATCTCTACCGACAGAGAGAGCGCCAAACAAGGCATAGGCATAGGCAGGAGATATGGCCCGATTGTTAAAGAAACGAACCCGGGCCCTACGCCGTTGTTCCCTCTTCCGCATTCAGGTGCCGGTTGATCTCGTCGGCCGTCCGCGTGTCCTCGTGATGGCCGTCGGCCTTGTATGTGCCGGCCGCGGCCGCGTACTGCTGCGCGCGCTGCTCCGACGACAGCTGCTCCTGGGCGGCTAGGCCGGCGACGGCCTGAGCGACGGCCTCGAGCGGGGTACCCGCGGCTGCATTCTCGGGTTGGGCCTCGGTGGTGGTGGCAGCCGCCGGTGCTGCTGCTGCGGATGTCGTCGCCGCAGCCGACTGGCTGTGGGATAGGTTGACGTTGGAAGGTGGCGGGGGGAACTCGCCAAGGGTCTCGAGCATTCGCGACTGCAGCTGGATGATGTAATCGCGCAGGGCAAAGTTCTCCGACTGATACTGCTTCAGTGTCATTTCAATGTCGGTGTAGTCGCGGACCTGTTGCTCCAGCTTCTTGATGTAGCCCTCTTTACGTTGGCGGAACGCTCGCTGTGAAATGTGGTGTCAGTGAACATTCATCAGCAATGCGCCGAGTGGAAAGGAGTGGTCTTACCTGGGCGGCTCTGTTTTGCGCGGCGCGCTTCGACTGCGACAGCTCTCGTTTGTTAGACTTGCGTCCGTCGGCGGAGTCCAGGGCCATGGGATCGCCGCCGGCCGGTGCCAGCGGGGGCGCCGCGGGGCCTTGCGGGTGGCCTCCGGTCGACACGGGGCTGTGGCCGTGGTGGTCCTGCTGAGCGAGCTGCATCATGGCGCTCGTGGGCGAGTGCTGGTCATGCACGGCACGGAGGTCGGGGTGGATGTGAGAGTCGGCGTCGCTCTTGGTGGCGAGGGCGCGGGCGGCCGTGTCCTGGACGCTGGCGGCAAAGTGCAGGTCCTCGTAGCCGTTGGCGGACCGCGTGGATGCGTCGCGGGAGTCGTGGGTGCCGGAGCTGGGCGATCCGGGTGAGTGCTCGGCTTCGTGGCTCTGGAGGAGCTCAAGCTGGGCACGCAGTTGCTGCTGCTCTGTGGACGGCGACAGCATGTTAGTACTCGGGTCGTAAGAGGGCCGGCGGAGTTTGAAGGATCGCAATTGCGAAGGAAGGGTGTTGCCGGGAAAGGAATCGGCAAACGCGCGGGATGCAACACAATATAATGACGCTCATCCACGTGCATGTACGATCTCATGGCCGGAGAAGCGCAAAGGCAGTCGACAACGGGTATGTCACATACAACCTGCGATACTGGACGGCGGGCGGGGATACGTGAGGATTGAAAGGCCACACGGAAGCAAACAAAAAGGCGGCGAGAGCTGCCAGATTGAGTGTGAATTATGAGAGAACGAAGAAAAGGCCAAATTGAAAATGAATAGTAACTCTACTGACCTTGGTTGCTTGCGCTGGTGGACGACATGGCGAACGAGGGCGTTGTCGACGGCTAATTGATTCTGACTCAGCACACATTCCATCAGGGCAGCGTTTTTGGCGGCCAACAAGGCTGGGGTAAAGCGAGAAGGCCGAGAAGGCCGACCAGAGGTCATGAGGGGCTAGGCAGGAATGATGATTACTCACCCTCGTTGTCGCTATGATTTTTGGCTTTTCAGACAAGTAACTTGCTGACGTGATGAAAAGATGGACCGTTTTTTGGGCGAGGCGGGATGCGAAATTATGTAACCAAAGGGGAGCCCAAAAAAAATCCGAGGCCAGGGAAAGTTGATGACAAAGCAACAAATTGAGCTTGAGACGTGAGGGAAGAAGAAGGCGAAAGAGGTGGCAGAAAGAGGGGAAGAGGGAACGGACAAAAAAGGAGTTGGCGGGCGCGTGAATTTTCCGTCGCCTCGCTCCTGTTTTTTTCTGTTGTCCTGCCTGCTCAACCCCTTCTCCCTCCTCTCACGCAGGCAGCAAAGAGCAGACCTTCGGTGTTAGCGGAATCACATTGTACTTTGAAATTGGTGCAAGAATGGTGGGAGATCAATGTACCTCTCTATTTGGCTCACGGAGTGGACGTTTTAGTACTAGCGTGAGCGCCGCTCTTACCTCCCTCGCCCACTACTTCGGCCATCAGCCTGCAACGGAGCAGCAACATCGTAAAGGCAGCATGACCGAATTCCGTCTGAATGTTGGCGTGCTGCGACGGCTGCAGATCTGAGTACAAGGCGGCGGTGCATTCAGAATTCAAGTGCCATGAGTTCTTTCACTAACTCGGCGAGATGCTTATTGCCTAAAAGCGTCCCTGAGACTCACCATGCCCTCCTCATCTGCAGGTACACTCACCCTTTGTCCACCATGCGGTGTATCGATCGCACCGGAGATTCAGCTTACACCCCGCGGCTTGTTCCCTGAAATAAGATAACTGGGCCGATGATCAAGGTGTGCGTGATGGCTGACGCGCCTCTGAGACTGTGTCCGTTGCAGCCAGTCTGCCTGCATCTTGTTGTAAACCCCGCCCTGGAGGCCTCGGTATAAGGCCGCTACGTAGTACCTACCCAGCTTCTGCAGAAAACGTGGTGGCTACTTGTGATGTCTCTTGTTTCGATTTCTTCCGTTTCGAGTATCTTGTCTATCCGTTTCTACGCAGGCAACTATACTAGTTAGCTACTGAGCAGCGACATACACGCCCGCAAGGGCAACATTTCAATCGCAGTTCTCTTTGATAGGAAGAGAAGCAAAATCCAACTCTTAGCCATCTTTAATTCATTTTCTTCCAAAAAGAACGCGGATTTCGCCCGCACAACCAAAGACCTGCGGTCTTCGAGTCTTTTATACGCCGTTGGATTGCCTTTCGGCCGCGGCCGCCCACCTAGCGCGCTCCTTGGCAGGGGACGCCACCAGGACCGATCCTCACTAACTCTCGGCGGAAACGGCCAAACTTTTTTTTTTCTCGTGAGACCACTTTTGATCATTGAAAGACGGGTACTTCTTTGCCACTCGCTCTCACCTTTAAAAGACCTTAAATAAACAAACAGCTTCCGCAACCTCAGCATCTACCCCGAGGCGCGTTGTGATGCTTCGAATCGCCGCTCGCAGCCATCGCACAGTACTCAGGACATCCGCCGCCACCACCACCGCCGCCAGAGCCGCATCAGGAGCCACCATCATCACCGCAACGGCCGCCACCAGACCAACCGCCGCCATGTCCTCAGACGTCGCCAGCGCGTCGCCCTTCTTCGGCGCCGTCGGCTCCTTTTCCACCATGCCCATGCCGCCGTCTTTCGCCCCCGGCACGGACAAGAACGCCGCCACCGAGGCGCTGCGGCCCCTCATCACCCCCGACGCCGGTGGCCGGTGGTCGCTCACCGCCGACGGCTACGGCATCGAGCGCAGCTTCAAGTTTGCCACCTTTGCCAAGACTTGGGTGCGTTCTTCTCCTTTTTCCCCAAAATAATAGCGGCCAATGGAGAAAAAAAAACCATGCCCATATAGCAGCGTTCCTATCTTGCTAACAGTCTCGTGAATAGGAGTTCATGAACGCCGTCGCCGCAGAGGCCAAGAAGAACAAGCATCACCCAGAGTGGTCCAATGTAAGAGCCCATTTCAAGCCCTCCCTTGACGCTCATCGGATAACTCATCTCGCGGCAAAGGTCTACAACACTACTTTCATCCGCTGGACGACGCACAACCCCAAGGGCCTTGCCGTCAAGGACTTGGGCATGGCCACTACCTGCGACTTTCTGGCCAAGCACTTTGGCGAGGTCGAGGCCGACAAGACGAGCTGCAACCTGAGTAGCCTCGCTGACACGGCCGCTGCCTCGGCGGGAGACTGCTGCGTCCCCAAGAAGAAGTAATGTGCAGCAATGATTGAAACCTGGATACCCACACACCTTCAACATGTATTTTATGTAGCCTTTAATCTCGGCCATTCCTCTTCAACACATATACCACTGATTTAGAACGAAAGCCAAGTCATAATCAACCAACGCAGAGTATTATTAACTAAAGGTCTAGTCCTTTCCCATGCGGGCGCGCATAGTATATATACAAGAAAAGCGTAAAAGCAACAGCATTCCCCATACTCAGTTGTCAATGTCCCAACGCCGTAGATGATGACCCGTGCCACCTATTATCAGGTTTTTGAACCTGTTCTTGTTTATATCATTCGTTCTATTATCGCCCTGTCCCCGGAATATGCCATACTTCGTGAGTTTCCATCTCTGTATCGCCCTCTGAATAAGCGTCCGGTGAATTTAGTTTTGCTTCTTGGCCCGAATCTTGGCGAGCTTTCTCTCGCGGCGCTTCTTGTGAGCCTCGGCACCAGCCTCGGTGTCCAGGAAGTAGTCCCACCAGCGGAAAGAGGAGGCGTAGTTGCCAATGAACTTTTCGTGATGGACATCGTGGTGGTCGGCGCCGGCCCAAACAGGGAGGAAGTGGCGCAAGCTCCAAGGGAAGTCGTAGCCGCTGTGGGCATCAATGGCCTGGAACAGACGCAAGACGATCCAGGTGTACATGGTGACCAGATGCAAGTGGCCCGTGATGCCAAGCAGGAGAATCGGAGATCCGACGGTGCCGAGACCGAGGAGCATAGTCTCAATAGGAGAAGCATACTCGGCGGCGAGACCGAAAGGAGCAGAGTAGGTGTGGTGCATCTTGTGGATGGCCTTGTAGAGGGGGCCGTAGTGCAGGGCACGATGGAACCAGTAGTGCCAGGTATCCTCCATGACGAAGAGAATGGCAATCTGCCAGGCCATGGTGGTGAGGGCAGGGAAAGGCGTGCCGTAGTCAATACCAAAGTAGGTGGCAATGGGGTGGAAGAACCAGATCTGAGGGAGTTCGGCGGTGAAGTGGCTGATGAGGACGATGGCAGCGCAGTCCCATTGCTCCTTGAGAGTCGGGATCTTCTGGGCCTGGAGCTTGTACTTGTGGAAGTATGAGATCTTGTCGAGCAGCATGTAGGGAATGCAGCGGCCGAAGTATACGAGTTCGTGCATAACGAAGCTCAAGATTCCGGTCGCGAGGGTATCGTTTTGCATCCATAGGTACCAGGCCTGCGGTCGGAGTGTGATTAGCAAACGGAGCGATGGCGGCGATGGTCCAGGGGCTTTCGCAGGCAACTTACGGCCCAGAGACGCTCAAAGTAGTTGAGATGGATGCTGTGTTTGGTGACCTCCTGCAGGACCGTGAAGTAGTCCTGCGTCTGGTTGGCAGCGTGGATGGTGGCGTTGCTAGAATGCCACGGATTAGTTTGTTGATCTTGGTGATGGCGATGGCGATGGCGAAGCGATGCGGGATAGGTGCGCCACGAGGAAATACTCACACCACGTCCATGTTGGAAAGCAGGCTGTCCGAAGTAGTTGCGACAGTGTTTAGGAGAAGATGGACGAATCGCAACCTCCAAGGAAATAGAAACAGAAAAGGAACGAGTGCCCAAGTCGATGACAGCTGGAAGGGAGAGAAGGGTTGATGATTAGGGGCCTGCAGTGTGGGGGGATGGAGATTTTATCTTTCAACTTTTTTAGGGCGGTGCCTTGTGCAGGAGGCTCAGGAGGCTCAGGAGATGGGCGATGTGCCTGTCGCGCAGAGTGTTTAGCGCCATGCCCCACTGCAGGAAGTGGCAAGGTCAGACCACTCGAAAGGTGTGCTTCCGACTCTCCGTACGAATGCGCCAGATCCTGCGAAACCCCAGAGTCAAGTACGATATAGGCGCAAGATTATTTGCTGAAAGTCAGGCCAGATTATTTCCGTTGCGGGTGTATATCTTGTTCGTTTTTGACCTTCATTTTTTACTGAGAAATAAGTTCCGAGAAGCTCGGGCCACAGACGCTGTGAGAAGCATGTACACAAAGATACTGAACACTCGCAGTGACAAGACTAGCCAGGCAATGCCACAACGAGATGCGATCACCCAGGCAAGAATCATATCATTTAAGAAGCGAAAACAATACGAATTCAGTACAATTATCTAAAAGTCCAGGGAAATGATATATGTTGCATAATTTACAGAAAGAAGTGTCCCTAATTGCAAAGCAGAGGAGGTACCTGTGCAGGTATTCGTGCTCGTTCTGGCAGATCTCTTTGTCGCAGGCAGAGAGCGGCTAACAGCCTTCCGAGCGACCCTACTCTTGGTCGAGATGGGGCCGTTTTGTCGTCCGTAGCTACTCTGAGCTGTTAATAGTTCTGGAAAATTTAAGGCTAAAATCATGAAAGAGCCTGAGGTAACAGGAGAGTAGAGTTCTATTTTATTTCCATATTTTCCTTAATCAATTAGTTGGGACGACGCGCATTCTGAGTTCTATGGCAGTGCCTTAGCGTCCCCCGCTATCTTGGTGGCGGACCTGCGATCGCACCTGAGCCCGTATTCGCTTTCGTACCAGGTACCTGATTTACCTAATGTTAAGGCCCGGATTTTGGCTGGAGGCTGGCTTAGCTGGGTACTTCGATAGGAAGAAATCGCCTGTGATACCAATTAGCTTATCACGTACTTATTTATTTGTTTTCTGTCTCACGCGCATTGCCTTAACAAGCGCCGGTCTCTCTCTTCCCATCAACCTTTAGACTATCTCAGCACAGTGCAGTGTCAACAGAGAACATCCATCGTTCATGTGAAGCTGAATTGTATCCGGATCCACCTTCAAATTAACCAACCAATCAGGGTTGACTTGTTGCCCTGCAGCAAAGCTCAACGTCATGCAACCAACCCATTCTTCAACTTGTGACGCCAGCGGCTATACATCTTCCGATAAGAAACACCATATGGTGTGATTCCGCTTACAACACAGCCTGTTTCATATACCCACCAGTCCGCCACACACCGAGATCGATGCTCAATTGAGCGCGTTTTGGTAGTTCCCCGACTATCCGACGGCCAGCGGCTTGATACCCCCGCGCCAGGCCTCAACCAGCGGCTATGACGCTCGTCAGTGAGTACGTCACGCCACTGCCTCATCCACATTCCGCGTGCATGGTATCTGATCATCATTATATAGCCAAGTGCGTCGTCTCGATGCATATCTGGACCGGCTACCAGTCCTGGCCGACCTGACGCCAGATGACACCGCCTCGGAATCTGCTGACCAGACGGTCGTCGCTGCTCGAGCCTTGAGCTCACCCAGGATTGATCAGCTTCTTCACCTTGTCCAGTCTCTAAGCAGCACTTCTTCATCTCAGGCTCTGGTACCCATTGACCTTGTTCGCTCGCTTCTCATACAATCGGATATTCTAACGTACCACGCCGACGGAACCACCAGCCTTCCGCCCGTCGAAGCCAAAAGTCACTACGAAAACGAAGCAGAGTGGCTTCTTGTCACAAAGGCCACGGTCCAGGTATACGGTGCCATTCTCAACACCCTTCTTGACCGCATCATTCCCCTGAGCGACGACATTTGGTACTGGTCAGAGGTTCTTAATTCCTACACGTACAGCAGCCTCTACACCGTCCAGACTTCGCCTCTACGGCTCTGGGTATGGACACAAGAGGTCTACTCCGCAAGCAAGACCCGCATCGATTCGTTTGATGTACGAGATGCCTCGTCGGATCTCGTACAGGCTGGATCTGGCATGACGCAGCAATGGCGCAAATTCTACGGCATCGTACGAGAGAGCATCGTTGAGCGATCACTGGCCAACGTGCAGCGCAAGGTTCTCTCGCCTCTGGCATACTGTCGGAACGAAGCTCTCAAGAAGCTAGCAGAGCTCCGGAAGCTGAGAGAAATCACTGCCAGTGGACTCGGAGTTTTGATGGACGAGGGTCTGCAGTTCGATTCCAACGACGGCAAGGTTCAGCTGCAAGGCGCTCACCTCAAGGGCGTCGTCGAGCGCAGCGTTGCTCTGATTGACATGGTGCTGAAAGAGGTATCTGCTCTGGACATGAGCATACACGACTTCGAGGACAAAGTCTTTGCAGGGGTTGAAGAGGATGCCGAGTTATCCGTTCACATTGAGGACACAGCCACACCTGGAAGATCATCTGTGCTGGCACGACGGCTCCTGAACATTATTGACAAGGTTCTGCCCCAGCACGTGTCGACTATGAATCAACTAGCCGTCGCCAACGGCCGTCCGCATGCTGTTGTACGGTACTGGATTCCTGTTGTTGTTGGTGTCGTCTCATCAAGCACAATACTTCGCATTCTTGTGAATCGGAAAGCCGAGATTGTGGAATGGATAACCGACTTTGGCGCCACGATACGAGACTTTTGGCTCAACTGGGTTGTCGAACCTACGCAAAAAATCGTCAAGACAATTCGACATGATGCGACAAGTGAGATTGCCATCATGAGCCGAGACAGTCTCAAGGCTGATCGGGAAAGCCTGGAACGCATGGTGGTTGAATTCGCTCAAGATAATCCGCAGTTTGTTGTGGAAGGTTCTTCCATCACCGACGCCCATGTTAGCGAGATTCGCCGCAAAGTCGCTGAGGGTGACGTGACACCTGTGTTGCGCGCCTACGAAAAATACCTGAAGAAGCCTTTGGCTGGCGCCGTCACCGGCGACCTCGTGCGTTCTCTGCTGATCCAGGTGCAAAAGTCTAAAGTTGACCTGGAAGTGGCCATGACCGGGATTGACTCTCTGCTGAAGAGCCAGGAGCTTGTGTTTGGTTTCGTTGGCCTCACCCCAGGCGTTCTCGTTTCCATCGGCGTTGTCCGCTACCTCTCCGCGATGCTGGGCGGTCGTTCGGGACGGCGGCACAGCGGCACAGCCGGTCGCGCGATCCGCATTCTGCGCAACATTGACCGCATCCTGTCCGACGCCAGCCCTACAGACAGCAACATGCTGTCGTACAAGGACCATGGACTGCTTCTGTGCGAGCTTCACGTGCTGCGCAGCCTGACGACGAAGCTCCTCCCGAGAAGCGTGCAGCAGGACTTTTTGGAGGATCTGGACGACCTGGCCAACATCAAGGGTATTAGCTTCCAGGCTAAGGCTCTGGCTCGAATTCGCTGGGCCTATGCACGATGGCTCAGATAGATTGGATACTGTAACATGTAGGATATCTAGAATGGAGGCACAGCATGTAAAGAAAACGAACATGGGTATACAGGCCACAAAGCCTTACAAACATTGCATAGCATATGAAATTCAGATCAATACACACGCAAGGATATCACACAGGTACAAATCGATATAAACTCGTTGCATAATCCTAAATGCTTCTTTGTAAATGATCAACTATTAAGTTTTCGTTATGTACCCAAGCTTGGTATGCAGTGTTGAATGGCTAGATGTAAATGCACAATAGATGAAAACATTTGCGACAACGCCGAGAAAATGCTGGCCCAAAAATAAGAACACGCCCATCATGCTCAGTTTTCAGTCTCCGTCTGGCTCGCGGGCGCCGCGTCCTTCTCTCGCAGCGTCTTGAGGCAGGGCGCGACAAACATGTCGCCGCTGATTGCGAGCTGCAGCGTGCGGGCGCCAACCATGAGCCACAGCAACAGCACCGTGAGCGAAATAATCATGGTCGCAATCTTGAAGAAGTCGCTGTCGAGGTTCATCGCGAGCGCGGCCGTACAGGTGCCCCAGACGCCGAGCGGGAAGGTGAACCCCCACCAGCCCATGTTGAAGGGGAAGTGCGCTGTGGTGGCGAGGCTGATGAGCGCGAAGCAGACCCAGAGCAGGGCGAACCCCCACATGACGAGTGCCAGGAAGACGCCGAGGACGTAGAGGACCTCCGCGGCGCGCGCGGGGTCGAGGCCGATGGAGAAGGCGGTCGTCTGGGGCAGGCGGGCGAGGGCGACGCGGCCGAGCTGCTGGATGCCGAAGCCGCCCTGGCCGAGCGGGCCGACGGGCAGGAAGACGGAGACGATGACCTCGCGCGGGGGCAGGTCGTGGACGGTGAGGCGGTGGAAGTAGAGGGCGAGGACGCAGGCGGAGAGCGCCTCGCCGATGCCCCAGAGCACGTACGAGGCGACGAGCGTGGTGAGGGCGCGGTCCGGGGAGGGCAGCGCCTCGGCGACGATACCGCCGGTCGCGGCGGCCACGATGGTGGGCACGATGGGGAGGAGCAGCGCGGCGGTGGTGTGCTCGAGGCCGGGGCGGTGCCAGTGCATGACGATGAAGGGCATGGAGATGCAGGTGGCCATGGAGAGGAGCGCGTCGAGCCACCAGAAGGCCCAGGCGAGGTGGATGAGGCCGCTGCCCCAGTGGCCGCAGGCAAAGATCATCATGTTGATAATGGCTGTTTATGTGATTAGCTGGGGGCCTGGCGCGGGGGGGGGGTGGAGGGAGGCGGAAGACGTACTGGCAAAGCCCATGGGGAAGCAGCCGAGAAAGAGGGACTGCCCCGGGTGGTCAATCATGGCTGTCCAAATCTCCGGGTAGAGCGTGTAGCGGAGTATGCTTATGGCGAGGAAGGTGGTGAAGAGGACGACGTTGAGGGCGAAGATGGCGTAGGAGATGTACTGCAGCCACTGGGCGTTGTAGGGCAGGTTGTGGAGGAGGATGGATACAATGCCGGTGCCCATGTTGACGGCGAACCACCTGACGGATGAGAGTTAGCATTTCCGACGTCTGAGTAGACTCTATCTGTTGCCTTCTCTGAACAAGTTCCAGCCGGTGTCGCCGGGGTTTTGGTTGGTCTTGATAGCAGAGGTGGCGAGGCTGGCAGAAGGACTCACGAGGGCGTAAAGTTGCGCACAATCTTGCGCCAGCCCCGCGTGTTCTTACACGGCGGACGGCGGGCGGCTTCATTGGCGCAGGCGCTGCCGCTCGGCGCCGGCTGTTGCGGCGACATCTTGCTGTTGCTGTTGCTGTTGGTGCAGGTGGCGATGCTGCCGTTGGCGCCATCACCGCCGGTGGCAGCGACAGTGGACGACGATGACATTGGTAGCTTTCGCGTGCCTCGGCAAACCCGAAAATCTGTATTTAGCAAAAGAGATTGAAGAAGTCAAGGGGTTTCAAAATGAGTAGATGATATAATGGGGAAAGACTTCCGAGGTTTCGAAGAAGACGTGCTTGGCGACAACCCTCCCTCTTATTATTAGGTACTTAGTTATTAGCCAGTCTCGTCATTTTTGCGCCGGCCCATCGGCAGCGACCTTCCAAAGTGTCAGCGGGGCTCGTTGTGTTTTTTTTTTCTCTTTTTTCTGGGGTTCACCAACGCCCGCCCGTAATAGGAACAGGAAAACGGGGCAAACGGAGTCATGCGGCGCGACATGCTTTTCTCTTTCTCTTTCTCTTTGACAACGGTTACTATTAGTAGTTGGTTTGACCACAGACAGGAGCTTGCTGAGGGCTGCTGCCTGCATCCCCGAGCCGCCACAGGATCAACAAAAGGGAGAATCTGTCTGCAAGTAGGAAGCATGCAAAAAGCATGTCCTTGTACATCGCGAATTCTCCATTGAAACTGCCGAGCCCAAGCGTCCCATTATCAGATCCTATAACTAGTTAACAGGGCAAAACGGCCTGCAAATTGCTAGGCTCCCGCATATCGACAGAGCCGCAACAACGTCCAACGGAAATCACCCCATGTAACCCCGGATGGTATTCTCGGCCGACCACGGCTCGAAAAACAGCATCTTCATTCCCACCCCATATCCGCCTATATCACAAAGGCCGTTCTCGGTGCCCCTTGCGGAACCCGGAATAAAGAAGCAACGGCTGTTGTGCGATATGACCGCCGCTAGACCGGCCCGACATCCGCGACAACGTCGTTTCCTCTGTGCTGGGAGTTACCTGTGTACTTTGTACAACAAGCAGCCCCAGGCCGAAAACCCGCTCTCGTCTGCTCCGACGCGCATGGACACGGCATTAGGATCAACTACATCAGCTGGCCACTATTTATTATCCCTCCTTAATCAACATGAGCAAGATATGCAAGCCCCCGTGCCTCCGTTCCTCTCCCTCTCGTGCAGGTCAGCCACACAGAGTGACGTCTGTCTCCACTCGCCGGCATCGCACTGTGCGTCAACACCGTGCGTCTTCCACGACTTGCACGGTGCTGTCTGCACTGCTCCACTTTGCTCTGCTGCAAGACCCCGATTTCCTGGCCGTGCCGTCGGTCATTCAAGGTGCATCTTCACGTATAAAACGGAGGTAAAATCGGTTCCAGTCTCATTCAAATGGTCTCGGCGACATTTCTACATGAATCTACGCGCAATTTGATGCCTTTTCCAGCTCTTTCGTCTGCTCTACGCCTCTCCGTCGTCTCACACCTGCATCCGCTGAAAAGCAGGATGCTGCTATCCACTTTTCTGCGTGTTTGGCCCCCAGCCCCTCACCCTCAACCAACTAGGGAATCGTAAAAAAGTTCCAGGTCCGAGCCCGCCCATTTGGCTTCTTTGCTGGCGCAAACTTTGAAGGAAAAATGTGTCAACAAACACGATAACGTAGGGTGAAGAAGGAAAAGCGGAAACCCCTTTGAGGCCACGTTGACCACTCGACAGGCTCTGCCTTCTTCGTCCCCGATAGCCGGCAATCTCGGTGGAAGTTCTGCTCTGCTTCAGACCTCTGTGTCACAAAGGTCCTCACGCCTTGCTGCGCTGCCCCACCGTCCACAGTGCGGTCTTACTATCACCCGTAACATGAGGTAAGAGCAAGAACGCCAAGTCGTCTTTCCCCCCCTCAGGTGACCGCCGCCCTGCATCGCCCGGCAGCGTTCTGACTTTGCGTAGAAAAGCGTCCGTCTCGCAAAGCACTCTTTGATTCTCGCCGTGCACTGCTTTCTTATCAGTTTAGAACCACTCGTCACATACTCACGTAACCTTCCTTGCCTTCCAACATGATGGCTGTCAACGTTCTTCCCACCGCTTTACCCCTCGATTCCATCTATGTCCCCAACTCTTTGCAGGTCGACGACGACCTTTTCCAAGAACTCGTCCTCGCCCTCAAGTCGGCTCTCGGTCCCAGCTCGGGTTTGACCTCGGACGATATCGACGTTACATTCCTCACTCGTCTCATGAAGCTGTACGATGCCCGTGATAGAAACTGGGCAAAGTATGCCTTCGGTGATGCCAGTCGAGGGTACACCAGAAATCTCGTCGATGAGGGTAACGGCAAGAGCAACTTGGTAAGTCCGCTCCAGAGCCATCCGGCTTGCACCATCACGGCTCGCTCCCCTCGTTGCCGCCACTGACACAACTCCGTATCAGCTTGTCCTCGTCTGGTCGCCTGGCAAGGGTAGTCCCATCCATGACCACGGCAATGCCCACTGCCTCATGAAGATTCTCAAGGGCAACTTGACTGAGACTCGCTACGAGTTCCCCCAGGAAGGAGAACCCAGCGGCCCCCTCAATATCATCACAGAAAAGACGTACAAGGAAAACCAAGTCGCGTACATGGCCGACGAGCTCGGCCTGCACCGCGTCTCCAACAGGGGCAGCGACTTCGCTGTCTCCCTCCACCGTGAGTTTCCCTCTCATCAACCCCGCTGACACTTGTCGTCGGTTCACTAACGAGGGTTCTCCCGGTCCAGTCTATACCCCTCCCAACGTAGCAAAGAAAGGCTGCCACATTTTTGATGAGAAGACTGGTCGCCGTAGCCACGTCCCGGGATGTGCCTACTACTCCGCCTATGGAAGGCTTCTCAAGGAGTAGAGTCGAGTCGGGCGGCCTTGAAATAAGTGCCTCTCGGTTTCATGGTCGGCGTTCTGTTGAATTTCTTGGTGCTTTCTGTATTTCGTCTCATTAGCCTGCGACTCTCTTCATTTTCAGCCAGGTGGGGCAAACCCCAGCGCATGGTCAAGTCGTCAACAGCACAACATCTCTTCCTAGCGAAAGAAATGTATCACATATTGACATAAAACGAACCGTCTCAGTCCCGCTGAGAGTTCCCTGTCCGTGAAATGACATGCAAAGAGGTTGTAGAAGTGAAAGAGGAGGAGGTCCTGTCACCGTTTGGCAAAACCCTTGACCTAAAGGCGGGCTCGTCGATTGCGTGATTGACGCTAGTCCTAGCCTGGACACGCCCGTTTGTTCGCGACCCACTCGCAGCAACGACGCCGTTAGTAATCCAGCCGCCATACCCTATATCAAAGTCATGACTTTACAGTCACTTTGTGCTCGGTTCCATGATATTTTCTTCTTTTTCTGGTAGCAGAAACAAAGCTCCTGGTGGGAACCGCATGCTTGATTTTAATTTGACCCTTTGTAACTTATTTGTGGTGCTGTCATACCGCGGAAGTGCGTGATGCACATATACAACGTCTTGGTTTGATGTAAATGCACAGGTGCTTCTAGGTTAATGTACAGAAGGTTGTGTGGCCACTTGACAAGGACGGTATCTAACCTGGCTCACAACATCAACGGAGATTTTTAGAAAGTGCCAGCTGCCCAGTAATAGTCGTCCCACTTAGGTAGAAAGACGGGACTATCATTAGTTTCTACAAACGGGGGACGTATCTACTGCTCTATCCAAAACAATGCCACTCCCACCCAGGTGCATGCAGCAGTGGTAGGCGAATAGGGTAATCATGCAGCGCAGTATCCCAAAAAAAAAAAGACTGACTATGATAGGAAACATGAGAAAACATGACTATCCACGATAGAAACGCCAAAGCCAATAAGTGAATTTTATCAGTGAATAGTATATTGAGGCATCCCATGACAAGTTAACTCTGCCTCTGGCATCTTGACATCCCACCTATCAAGTGGCTGCTAATTCGCCCCGCCAAAATTATTCCATGGCGGGGAGTAGTCAAAACTTCCAATTTAACAACTGCACCCGAACAACTGAATTCGCCATGGATCATCTGGGTGGTGGATACGAGCAGTCTGCTCTTTTCAATGCAAATGGTGAGAGTGAAATACAAGTCATTTTGTCAAACCAGTTTTCTCTAACAGATCCAGGGCTGCTTGATGTCTGGCACACAAATCGAACTCCCATCATTCTTCTCGCGCTCGGCGGGCTTCTGCTGTTTCGCCTCTACATCCACGTATACGAAGAAAAACCCGACTTAAAGACGATTCCAAAACTCTACGAAAAGGCGCCCACACAAAAGTTGGAAAATGTGCCCCAGCGACAGGTACAAGAGAAGACCGCTGTCAAGCCCGCAGGCCCGCGTAGGATCAAAGGCGGCGTTGTGAAAAAGCCTGAGACGAGCGAAGAACCAATCGATCCTACAAAACCCGTCAAAATCCTCGTATTCTTCTCATCAATCACCACAAAGACGGAAAAGATTGGCCGGGACTACATTGCGCAGCTTGAAAAGTCTGTCCAACAGCTCGCTGCCGAAACCAAGCACCCAGTTCTTGCGCCCGAGCTTCTCGACCTGACCGAGATCGACTTTGACGACTACTTCATTGCGCCACCTAAGAGCGACGATGGAGCACAATTTCTCTACCTCTTCCTGATACCCAGCTATAATATCGATTCCATCAATGACACATTCCTCGAGCATCTCCAAGAGACGCACCACGATTTTCGAATCGATACAGCGCCGCTCTCGCCGCTGCTGGGATACTCGGTGTTTGGATTTGGTGATCGCGAAGGATGGCCGGACGAGAGTGAAGGCTACTGCTTCCAGGCCAAGGAGCTGGACAAGTGGATGGCGAAGCTTACCGGGCGCAAGCGAGCATACCCCGTTGGCATGGGCGATATGAAAAGTGACCATGCTAAGCGCTTTACTGAATGGGCGAGCGGTGTTGAGGAAGTATTTGCCCAAGTCATCCGCACCGGGCACCTTGGACAAGGTGTACCAGGCAGTGGCGCCGCTGTGGAGAGCGACGACGAAGCGGAAGAGGAAGACTATGACGACGGCGAGGTGGTATTCGACAACGAGAAGCCCTCAAAGCGTGAAAATGGCAACAAGTCCGGTAGTCTTGACGATGTGGAAGACCTAGGACGCATGATTAGGTCGCAAGGTGGTGATGCCAATCCGAAAGCTCCCATAGCTGTTGATTTTACCACCTACAACAACTCCAAGGGTACTGCGCAAAACAAGGCCAAGGAGATGGTTGCCAAGAACTCTCCCACGTATGCCGCCCTCACAAAGCAAGGTTACGCTATTGTTGGATCGCATTCCGGCGTCAAAATTTGCAGATGGACCAAGTCCGCTCTGCGTGGACGAGGCAGTTGCTACAAGTACTCGCTGTACGGCATCAACTCCCACCAGTGCATGGAGACGACCCCATCACTCTCGTGCTCCAACAAGTGCGTGTTCTGCTGGCGTCATGGCACCAACCCCGTTGGCACCACTTGGCGCTGGGTCGTTGATCCGCCAGAGATGATTTTTGACGGCGTCAAGGAAAATCACTACAAGAAGATTAAGATGATGCGCGGTGTACCGGGCGTTCGTGCGGATCGTTTTGCCGAAGCTCTCAAGATCCGCCACTGTGCGCTCTCCCTTGTTGGCGAGCCCATCTTCTACCCCTACATCAACGAATTCCTTGGCATGCTGCACAAAGAGCGCATCTCCTCGTTTCTGGTGTGCAACGCGCAGCACCCGGACCAGCTGGCCGATCTCAAGGCCGTGACGCAGCTCTACGTCTCCATCGACGCCTCCAACAAGGACTCGCTGCGCAAGATTGACCGCCCCCTCCACCGTGACTTTTGGGAGCGCTTCAACCGCTGCCTGGACATTCTGCGCGAGAAGCGCTTTCGCCACCGCACCGTCTTCCGCCTGACCCTCGTCAAGGGCTTCAACGTCGAGGACGAAGCCGAGGGCTACGCCCGGCTCATCGAGCAGGGCCTGCCCTGCTTCGTCGAGATCAAGGGCGTCACGTACTGCGGGACGTCCACGTCCTCCAACGCCGGCCTCAGCATGTCCAACGTCCCCTTTTACTGGGAGGTCTGCGACTTTGTGCGCGCGCTCGACAAGCGCCTCCAGGAGAAGGGCCTCGCGTACGGCATCGCCGCCGAGCACGCGCACAGCTGTTGCGTCCTGCTGGCGAGCGAGCGCTTCCACGTCGACGGCCGGTGGCACACGCACATTGACTACGACCGCTTCTTCGAGCTGCTGGAGGAGCGCGGGCCCGACGGCGACTGGACGCCGGAGGACTACATGGGTCCGCCGACGCCGGAGTGGGCGCTCTGGGGCAATGGAGGGTTCGACCCGCGTGATGAGCGCGTGGATCGCAAGGGGAGGAAGAAGGAAGCCATCGTCATTCGGGAGGCCCCCGAATAGACAAAATGTAATTGAGAATTATGAATGAAAAAAAGAAATGAGAATCACCTGCAGTACAAAGTACGAGTTGATACTAAAATTGTGTGACCTCTCCAATACACCTGACAATCACTGAATACTAGCCGTGGATCATGATTTTATTTATTTGGAGACTGCTACCATAGCTGCCTTTCCCAAAGCCCCCGTAGCGGTATCTCTGACCGTACACTGTTTACACAAAGCTCTATCTGAAGCCTAAAAGAAGGACAATATGGTACACTGAGGCCAGGACCGTGGTCGTCTGGCCTTGAATTTCCGAATTTTTGAATTTGTTCATTGGCGGAGCGCAAGAATCGAGACGGACCCATCGAAAGGGTGCAGCTTGAGTTCCTCCGGCCGCCGGTCAGCCCAGCTGTCATACATGCCGAAGACGATAGTGGGATTGTTACACACTCCGTTGGGGAGTAGTTGAGATTAACATTAGTAGGCATTTAATCGAGGCCGACATTGGGGATATCGCCCAGGTTGATGCCGCCGGGGGCGGCACCAGCGGGCACTGCGCGGATGTCGAGGCTGGAGTCGTATGCGATCATCTCGGCGAGAATGTCCAATATGGGCTGGGGACTGTCAGCGGGCACCGACCGATCTATTGATAATGCCACATACCTTGGGAACAGTGCTATCGTAAATTTTGATCAGGTCACCGGGGTTGGGGTAGACCTTGAGGCCGCGGTAGAAGGCAAGAGCCGAGTCGATCGCCTTGGATGCTGCAACGGGTTTGTTAGTCCTGCATCGGAGTGTGTGGCAACGCTGTCGGGGTCTCCGGAAAGCTGTCAGGTACTGAGAAGGGGGTTAACAGGGACTTACGGTCGGCGCTCATGACCTCAGCGGCCATAATCTGCTCGCTAAAGTAGGCCTCGCGCTCCTCGACGCCCTGCGGGAAGCCCTCCTCCTTGGCCTCGTCGACGCGGGCCTTGACGGTGGCGCGCAGGTTCTGCGAGGACGCCTCGGCCTCCTCCTTCTCGGCCTTGGCCTTGGCGCGGGCCTGCAGGCGCTCATTACGTCTCAGATCCCGGCGGAACTCGGCCTGGCTGCGGCGGCGGTAGTCGAAGTAGATGGCGTAGGCTAAGAAGGCAGGGTTAATGAGCGGCTGTGTCATCTTTAAAGCGGACAATTGCGTCTACTGCCAATTGCAAAAAAAAAAAAAAAAAAAAAGGGAAAACATACCGACGACGGCGGTAGCCGCAGTGGCGACAGACGCCGTCATGATGGTCGAGCTTTGCACCATGGTTTTCGCTGTGTGGGAGAGGGGAGGGAGGTATGGGAGTAGTTGGGGAGAAAAGAGCGCAGTCTCGGGGGGGGGAAGAAGAATGCAAAGCTGTAGAAGACGAGGCAGCAATCCGACGATGCAAGGTTTCCAAAAAGGGAGGGCAACAGTGTCGCGGCTTGATGGACTGTTGGTAGACGAAAGGGGAGATACGGGGAGAGAAGTGAGGTTGAAGCTGGTTGCGATGCGCTCACCAGCAAGGCCAATTTTTTTTTTGCCTTGCAATTGGCAGCTGGAGCCAAGTCGGCGCAGCGCGTGGAGCTCGTTGCAGTGGGCTCCATTGGCTGCTCAGGGGAGCTTTGGCTTTGCGTACCGCGGCGGTGGAATTTGATGCGGACCGGGAGAAACTCGGGTTAAACCACCCCGCTGGCAGCAGAATTGGGTCCATATACAGAGGATGCAGCCCCGTAAAGGTCACTGGAGCGTTTACTGTACCTGAAGCAGCATCACCACCAGCCTCGTCGCAGCTTGGTCTGACGACAAACAGCCCCCTTTGTGCTCTGCGAGGCCTCTTCTCTTCTTCTTATATTTGCCGCCTTCTTGGACAGTGCCTCGCATTGCATTATGTCAGAAGAACGCAGCAAGATCTCGCTGCGAAGCGGCAAGCGCAAGGCGAAACCCACCATCAGCGCGCCGCGACAAATCTCCAGTCCTATCCTGCAAGATGGCTCCGGCGTGGCCGCCATCCCGGGCCCTCCTGGTGCGGCTGGTGAGCCGCCAATGCGGCCTCGGTTAAGACCGCCGCCCATGGCTGGCGGGAAGGTAATTTGAGAGCAGTTGTGATGGGCCGGCCGTTGTAATGGACTAACATGGGTGGTAGACATCGGACCTCGTCAAACAGCGATACTCGACACGATTCAACAATACCCCCTTGGACTTGGATGGCCCAATCCCTTCAGTGCCGGCACTGCCGTCAATGGACAAATACGAACAAAAAGATCGACGCCCACCTCCCTCCCGAGGCGGCGCTGCTCCGGTTATAGATATCAAGGCGCTGCGAGACCCCGCCCTCGTGCCAGACCAATATGTGGCAGCCACGCTGGGCGATGCCACGGATGGCCAGATCCGAGAATTTGAGGACTCCCTCAAGAAGCTCAAAATCCGTGCCGCATCCGACCTCCAACAGAATCTATTACAGAACCGCACGCAATTCATCAAGATTAGTAAAGAGGCGGAGAAGCTCAAGGGCGAGATGCGGACGTTACGGAACCTCATGTCAGAACTCAAGACGAACACCACGGCGTTGCGCTCCGCCACGGCTAAAAACGACGAACCCGCCAGCATCCCAGGCCAGGGGTCGACGCTGAGCAAGCGAGACAAGCGCAGCTCCGTGGCCGACAGAAGCGCGCTCTGGAATTCGCAGATGCAGGCCTTGTATAAGAATGTTGAAGGCTCTCAAAAATTCCTGCCCAACTCGTCCGGCCGCCACGTCGTGCAGAACGCCGGGCCATGGGTTGAGCTCGACAATGCCACATACAAGTCCCGCAGGGCGATGCAGATCTTCCTGCTCAACGATCACCTGCTCATCGCGTCGCGGAAGAAGCGCAAGATGGACGCGCCCAACGCGGATACGCGTGGGCCCATGACGAAGCTCGTTGCCGACCGGTGCTGGCCGCTGCTCGACATTGAGGTCATTGACATGCCGGGCGCCGGGGACTCGTCGTCTGGCGGCCGCAATAAGCTTGCCGACGCCATCATGGTGCGAGGCGGCGGGCAGGAGTCATTTATCTACCGCACAGAAAAGGCCGACGACGACACCAAGAAGGCACTGCTGCTCAACGTGCGCAAGGCGGTGGAGGAGCTCCGCAAGGGTCTCGAGTATGAGATGGAGGCCAACAATAAGGCCAAGGAGACGATCAACTACTTTGCCTCGCGAGACCCCGGCCTGCTGCAGAAGACGGAGCTTCTCGAGACTCTGTCAGACATTAAGGATATGCTAATCGAGGTCGACGGCAAGCAGCAGAACCTGCGCTGGGTGGAGAGCCAGATGGACGAGCTAGACATCAACATTGCGCTGCAGAGCTTCGAGCCTGCTGTGGCGCTGGTTGAGCAGCTCAAGAGCCTATCAAGGGGGCTGAAGAGCAACGCGGTTGCGCAGGACTTTATCAGCTTCAAGGTGGAGGAGCGGTGCAACCGGCTGGGGGATATTGTCATTCGTGAGCTCGAGGCCACGCACAATGAAAGGATGAAGTCGAAGCAGAATGTGTCGTGGCTGACGAGGCTGGGATATCATGATAGAGCGAGGGAAGCATACTTAAATGCGCGAAGTGACACGATCCATAAGCGTTCGAGGTACGTCGAGCAACGGCTTGTTGGACAGTGGATGAGGGCTAACGTTTGGTCTACAGGCAATGCATCTTCCAGGGAGACTTGCATCTATACATCTGGCAGTTGTCATATGTCTACTTCACCATCATTCACAACACAGTCTTGTGCTTCCAAGCGTGCTTTCCGCCGCCGATGATGAGCGCGTGCGTCAAGTGGGCGAAGCAAGAAGTCGAGGCGTTCAATGCCATCCTGGCGAGGCAGCTCAGTAGCACGGAGCGCCGCGGCCCGGTATGGAAGGAGTGCATGGACAGAGCAAAGGAGCACGCCAAGAAGCTGTCTGCCGTAGGACTTGACTTTCAAGACCTTGTCGGCCGAGATGTGTCCTATGAAGCGTCGGCATCGCCTACTGGGCTAGGGTTAACGTCAAAGTGAAAGGCCACTGGCCGTTGGGGGGAAATATGGAGTTATGTTACGATAATGTTGCAACTACGCATGATGAAACTTGGAGATAGTATGGCGATGAGACTTTGATAGAGGAACAATGAAGAGGTGACACTCGGCCTGCTGGGTTGGGCAGCCAGGGCTAACTTGCATGTAGGGAAGCAATGACGCAGTGCCCAACGTGGAACGATGGGATCTGTTGTGTTGTGTTGTGTTGTGTTGCAGGACAAAGAGCTGGCAGCGGGGTGAGCAAAGACGGAGGCACTATGGACTTTCCCCAAAGAATATATGTAGCAATACATGTTTAAAGAAGTTGACATCGCTCCGTCTCGCTGGTGCTGTGGTAGGGGTTGGGTTATCTTACATGTGTTATCAGTTTCTAGTGGTTCATGGCGGTGGCTACGGGAGGCGTCGGTTGCCAAATGCCCGTGCAGCCCCAGCGTTTGCGGAGTGGAAATTTAAGGGCAGCCGCCTGTACGAAGTAATCTCAGTGCAGCCTGCAGAGCTGCAAATAGCGCCATAGCTCTTTTCGCCCCTCCCTTGCTCCAAGGCCACTTCCCAGTTCCAACCTGCTTCCGCCCGTCCATCGAGGCTCATCCATCATCACAAAAAACACAAAACATCATTTCCCAGCTTGCATCGCCGCGCCGCCAACCACGCCACACCACCACATACACCAACGACCACCGCGCCCGTGACATTTGCGCGTCTCTTGTATTTTATCTGCACTGCAACATTCTCTGCCGTGCATTCGCGACCTTTATCGTCTCTCGCATCTATCGCAACCGCCAGCCTTCCCCCCCCCCTTGGCTACCCCACCGCCAGGAACCCAGGCCAGCACAAGGCGTGACAAGGAGCAACTTGCCCACGCATACCCCTCCAACACCTCATCTCGTCTCGCCTTCTTCCCAGCGCCGCGACGCCGTCAGACTCGATATTCACCATGGATACCAATATGGAGGACGTGGGAAGAGCGCCTGCCGAGGTGTCGTCTGTTCAGCACGAGCCCGCCACGATTCCCACGCTCGACGGCTGGATTGAGAGCTTGATGACCTGCAAGCAGCTCGCCGAGGCCGACGTCCAGAGACTTTGCGACAAGGTAAGAGCAATTTGAATCTTGCGCGACGCAGACGGATTTTTTCTTAACCCTTCGCTCGCGATGCCCAATGCGAGCGTTTGGCGGCTTCGCCAACATTGCGATATTAGCGCGCCCGAATCTGCAGCGTTTTCTCGCGTGACCGCCCAGACGATGAGTGGCTGACCCGTGCTCCCCAAACAGGCCCGCGAAGTACTACAAGAAGAGTCAAATGTGCAGCCGGTCGTAAGTTGATGGCTTTGACGCGAGAGATGGGATCTCGCCGTCGCGAGGCTGACGATTGCCTAGAAATGCCCCGTTACCGTCTGTGGCGACATCCACGGCCAGTTCCACGATCTCATGGAGCTCTTCAAGATTGGTGGCCCCAACCCCGACACAAACTATTTGTTTATGGGTAGGTCGAGCCGGTGCTACAATTTGTCATCTCCGGTGACCATAACTGACCCCAGCTCTTTAGGTGACTATGTCGACCGAGGCTACTACTCGGTCGAGACTGTGACCCTTCTCGTCGCTCTCAAGATCAGATACCCCCAGCGCATCACCATTCTCCGCGGAAACCACGAGTCGCGCCAAATCACCCAAGTCTACGGATTCTACGACGAGTGCCTGCGCAAGTATGGCAACGCCAACGTCTGGAAATACTTTACCGATCTGTTCGACTACCTGCCGTTGACTGCGCTTATTGACAACCAAATTTTTTGCCTCCACGGTGGCCTTTCCCCTAGCATCGACACATTGGATAACATTCGAGCTCTCGACCGTATCCAGGAAGTGCCTCACGAAGGACCAATGTGTGACCTCCTCTGGTCAGACCCAGACGATCGATGCGGATGGGGAATTTCGCCCCGTGGTGCCGGCTACACTTTTGGCCAGGACATTTCAGAAGCCTTCAATCACAACAATGGCTTGACATTGATTGCACGCGCGCACCAACTCGTTATGGAGGGATACAACTGGTCGCAAGATCGCAATGTAGTCACCATCTTCTCCGCCCCCAACTACTGCTACCGCTGTGGTAACCAAGCAGCCATCATGGAGATTGATGAGCATCTGAAATACACATTGTATGTCTAGTTATGTACGGCTGCTAGCGATGGATACTGACCTTTTGCAGCCTGCAATTTGACCCGTGCCCCAGAGCCGGAGAGCCAATGGTTTCGAGAAGTATGTGCTATCCCTTTACCTCGCCATCAGCTTTGCTAACCCATCTAGGAACTCCCGACTATTTCCTCTGATCCTGTGGCGCGGAATTAAACGCAAATCAGCCTTGCACTGGGGTTTGTACCTTGGTAGAAGGAATAGACGTGCTAGAGTTGCCACATAGGCCTCCGTAATGTATGCAATGCGCGGCAGACTGGCAATGAGTTCAGCTCTGCCATTTCGTGTGGGATGGGGATTGTCAAAACTGGAGAGGAGGCGGTTGGCAGCTGCTTGAGCTACCAAAGTGGACGACAACGCGTTGTATAGATTTTGCAAAGCAGGAAAAAAAATGAACAAGTAAAAGAAGACAAAAGAAAAGACTCTCTTACATCATTGGTTTGAAAATAGTGATGCTGACGGTTATGGGATAATGATGCATTTAACGTCACGTATCCTCTAATATGGGGGTCAAAGGTGCTGGTTGGATATCTACAGTGTAACCAATGCTGACTGCAGCTGCTAGCACACCTTTGTTGAATACTACTAATAGCTCTATAATTGCGATATTGGTTGAGAACGAGATCGGACGATGTGGCCACCGTCACATCGACGATGGCAAATACATGCTCGCCAATTGGCATCAACATGGGAAGAGGCCCTGCCACTGCAACATATACTGGGTTCGGAGAGAACATGCGGTCCTCTCCAAATGAAGTCCACGGCAAACACGGTCGGAACAAGGTTGGTCATATCCTAGGGTAACGAGAAGGTAAAAATCCCCCATCTTTCGAGATACTTGCCTAAAGATGGAGAAGATGCCGGGATAGACGAGATACACAAGATAAAGGGGTACATAAGATAGACGAGACACAGAAGATAGACGAAATACAGAAGGTAGACGAGACACTAAGGGTGAAACACGGAGGATTCACAAGTTTGTAGAGTTAAAAACAAAAGAAAATCAATTAACTTATTAATCTGGGGTATTGTCTCTTGAATCAGTCTATCGAGAAAAAGCACAATCTATGGTTCCCAGTAACTCCAATACGCCAATACGCCGGTCTTCCGGCCAATACTCCCATACGCCGATCTTCCGGCAAATCCTCCATCCAATACGCCCAATACACCGGTTTCAAACAATTCTTCCGGCCAATCTTCTGGCAAACTTGCCAATGCGACCCTGTTTCCGCCCATTAAAACCGAGGCTGGCCATCTAGGCAGCCTGTTTGTCACTCTCGCGTTGAAGGTCGGCCTCTCGCTCCATTGCTCTCTGCTGCTGGGCAACGGTCATGGGACGCCCACTCGTAGTTTCGAAACTGGGATCCGTTACGGTATAGTGACCGGGCGCGCTGCTGCCGTTGGGGACGTGGTAGAGACGGTCGAATCGAATCAGGGCGTAGGTGAAGACAACCACGATCTCGATGATGTAGTTGAAGCAGTAGTAGCAGGCCTTGCTGTGGAACCAGGCCGGGTTGGTCGCGGGCCGCTGGTAGAAGGCAACGCCGGCACGGAAGGCGGCGCCGAGGGTGAGCAGGGCCGAGGTGAAGAGTACAAGGCCGAGCTTGAAGCGGAGCGAGGTGGCGACGCCCTGGCGGTTGCCCTGGCCGATGGGCTCGCGCGCAGGCTCCTGACGTTCACAGTGGTAGCAGTAGGTGGGTTTGGAGAACAACGAGATGTCATCCGGGTTCTTGTTGCGGATGAGGCCGGCGGCGAGGCCGATGGGGATGGGGAGGAACGCGAGCACGGCCAGGAAGACGACGCCGGTGAGCTGGACCTCGCGTATGCGCAGCTTGGCTTTGGGGTCGAGAGTGTAGAAACTGTAGACGACGGCAACGATAACCATGATGATGGCGGCCGCGATGGCGAAGTAGAGGAACTTGAACGCGAGGCCGACCTTGCGGCTCCAGCCAAAGGAGGGGTGGTAGGCGCGTAGCAGACGCTGAACGAGGATGAGGTTGACGACGAAGAGCAGGACGACGCCGGCGTTGGTGAGGACGCCGGCCGCGATGGCGATGGACGCGTTGGTGGGCTTGGTGGCCCAGACGATACGCATGACGTTGGCGAGGATGCGGGCCATGCTGAAGCCGAAGAGGACACCCGAGAGGATGAACTTGTGGCCGCTGCGGATGTTGAGTTGGAGGATCGTCATGTTGAGGATGGCAGACGTGAGAAAGAGGGCGATGAAGACGGACGAGATGGGCACGTCGACCGCGACTGTGGGACGACCACCGAGGCCAGCTCCCGAGGGAGGATATGGGGGACCCTGGGAAATGTTAGAGATTGGCATGGGACGCGTTTTCCTGGTGTTGGTGGGAAGGAACGAACGTGTTGCATAAGTTGAGCATTCATTTTGATGATCGAGTATGTGTTGAAGAAGGAAGGAAAAACAAACACGAGAGGACAGACCGGCCGAAGTTATAGCCCCTTAAGGTTGGAGCCCTCAGGCAAAGTCACGGGTTGGTTTATACTATTCCCCATTGTGACTTACATTTACTATCCCCATTCTGACGCAGGCAGGCGAGCGACCAACACGCACGGGTGCTTCCGCGGAGGGTCGGCCTTGAGGGGGCGAGAAAAAGTGGAGACACCGAAGGCAAGGCTGGCAGCTCGCCTTTCCAGTAAGCGCCGTGCGCCGAAGGTATCTTTTATATGAGAATAAGCGTAGCAAGGTACATACGCAGCAGTAGCCCTACCACATCACGGTGTTACCATCTGTACTCCATGGATATTACTCCGTGGATATTCACCAAAGTAATTACAGAGTACGGAGGCCGCTGTTAGAAGTCGTCCGTATTATTTTGATCTTTCTCATCTTTTTTATCCTTTTCATTCTTCTTGCTAGTCTTATTTTCTTTATTCGTTCCATATCGTTATATGACCTCCTTCTTATTTGTCTGCTTCTAGAACCGTACCTACTTGAAGCGATTTTTCTTTCAAAGATGTGCATCTGTAGGTATGTTTTTCGCCTCATCATTTTAGGTTGCGTGGATGCATGGGTAAACTTTTTAGGCGTTCATGCTGTAGCTCCGGCTCCGAGGCAAGTCCGTTGTGCAATCTGCGCGGCGGCACTGTGTCAGCCCTGGCATCTCCGCGAGGACCATTATCAATCGAGCCCATATTAGTTATATAGATACAGTACCCGGGATGCTAAAAGTCAAGGTCTCTTTTGTTTGCACGCTGTGGTAATTCCAAACATTGTGCCTACTACTAACCAGCTATGATGATCGTGAGCACGACGCGACGGCGCTTGGTTGCTTGGTAAACTCGTGAATTTTAACTTTTTTTTTTTTCATTATTCGCTAGTCTATTCGTCATCGATATTCATGCGCGATTCCATCCAGTAGAGCAAAGGCAACGCTATTACCAACCTTATTTGGGGTGTCTTCTCACGCCCCGCGTCGGCGGTCGGTGTCTGGTATGCGCGAGGTGGGCCGCCCTTAAGCCAAACCAAGGACAAGCACATATAGAATGCCCGAGTGCCATGCATTTTGCTCACCTTCGGGACCGAAGACTGGCGCTGGCTGGTTCTGTTGAACTGGATTTCGGCGATGGTGAACGATGCCTGCCAAGTCCGCAATTAAGAAAGACGTGGCGAAGTTGCTGACTTTTAGCTATTTATAGCAGGCATTTATCGTCAAAATTTATCGTAAGGTGTTTTGCAATCCTAATACTTTATCTGAGGCACTGCGGAGCTGCGGACACGAAGAGGGGGTCTTACCACGCAATCGGATGACGAGAGATGAAAGTTCTTGGTGCTGATGCGCTTTTGCTTTTTCCCATGCACACTGCTTTGGGGTAATGGGGTTATTGTTGGCAGGAGGATGGCGATACCCTGTACAACGACGATGCCCTTGATAATAAATTGAGATCTCATGGTGGTAAGGTGATTTGCATCTGCTTATGTATATAGGGGCAACCAATTAACGGTATGAGGCTGTGAATGTCACAGCATCGTGTTGGTCATAACTTTGTCAACCAAAAAGATGACCAACATATCGCGTCTTGCGTGCATTCACACTTCCCAAGCATTGCAGTTTCAAAGTTGGATTTTCGGCTGACAACTGTGCTTGCATAGCCAAAGGTCATCCCAACGTAGCAGACTGGTAGATCTGACGCGCCATTGATTTGAGTTTGTTGTCACATTCTCAAGCGTCGGAAACAATTTCTGTACGATTACAAAATTGCTTTTCGGCATCATCGTACCGTCTTATGTGAGGTATACTTGCTTCTAGCTGGATTGTAAGAGGCTTGCAAGAGCGGCCACCAAGTTGTTGGCTGTATCCGTACTTCGCATTCATTCAGGTAGGTGCTCGTGTCCGCAAACATGTCTTCTTACATATCACGTCCACAGCTACGAGAAATCTGACTGACAGGAACATGACATGCTTGACAGCGCGAAGCGGCGGGGATGGATGGGATGCTTTCGCGGCAGGGGCGCGCACGGAAACGCGATCTGGGCGTTGATGAAACAAAGCTGGTTGCACATTTACGGATGTACCAGTACTAAATAAGTTTTTGCGACGCGAGAACAGGTGGCAGACATACCAAGGCAAGGTGCAAAAGACGGCATGGATCTTGTGCCTGGTACCTGCAGCGGCAGATGCATGTCGCAGAGCTGAATGCAGCTGGGATGACACGAAGCTGGCGCGAGTCTGCAGTTGCATAGTGGCATGGATTTTGAGAGGGAAATGGAAGCGGACCAATCTCCACGTGCGGCCGCAGGAACGACCAATTCAGGAACAGGCTACCCTGGTCCGAGTAAAATTAGATGGACATGGAAGTGGAAAGTGATGAACAACGGCAGCTAGCGAGCCGCGTTGTCCTGGAGGGGCAGGTAAAACTGTGTACTGAGGAACGAACTAGAGGAATTGGCGATGAATAAGTTTCTTGCCAGCAAGAATGCTGCAAGGGACGAGATTCTGAAGTGTCAGGTTCCAAGCACATCTAACTATATGCAGGGGCCTGGCCAATATGTGATGCGATGCAGGCGCAAAGACAGAAAAGTAAACAAGAACCAGATGAGGCACATTGGCAGCCCCAGCCAGCCAGCCAACCCCTGCCGAGCTAAAATTATCACCATGCAGTCCTGGCCCACCAACAACTCATAAAAACAATAATCTCAAGGAGAGACAACGCGGCAAGAGCGCCGAGTTTTTCCTCTGACAGAGCCTCGGGGAAACAGGGATAGACATTGTCTCTGGCGAGTGAGCGATTGTGAAGACTCTTGGGATTGGCGCCCGCCTCCAGGCCCGTGCCGCGCTCCACGGGCTGTTGTGCAGGAAAGCTCCAGAACAGAAACGGCCCGTACAGTAGCGCAAGATAGTTGACAACTAGTTACGGATAGTAAGTTATTTATTAGTGGGAGTTATAGTTTCGTTGAGCATGGCCGTTGGGGGCAGAGTTGGAAGAAGCGAAGCTTGATCAGGCAGGTCTTTTGTTGTTTGGTGTTGTCTGGCTGGCTCTGCTTGGGCTCAATATTCTTTGAAGAACTTGTCAAGCGGCGTAGACTTTCAATGAATTCATAAGCGTATATGAACCGACAACTCTGGGGAGAATTTCTTTGGTTAGTCTCGTACACTCGGCTTGGAATTGTGTGTCACTCTTCAGCAGCTGCCCGCCGACTTGAGCTCTTTATTTTTACTGGTACTCCGTAGTTATTACACTTCCACATTACCAACTTCTTCAACTTCTGGTAAATATAGTCCTTCTTACAGCACCTTGCAAATACGAATACCAGTAACAAGAGATACTGCTTGATAACCCCCCGTCTCATGTGCCGGGCGCGCCCCCATCACCTCAGGACAAGCCCCATCCCCCGTCCCAGGTACCAGTAGGTCGCTAGTTAGCTGCAGCCAAGGCAAGGTACCACAGCCCAAACGACCAGGGTTCTCTTACCAGCCTGTCCGCCCATTCTCGCACGGCCGTTTTTCGCTCACTCGAACTGACCAGTTCCCATTCCCATTCCCATTCCTTTTTCCCTTTCCCTTGTGCGGCTCTCTGACTTCTCTCTTTTTCCCTTCCGCCGTGTCCCACGTTTGAGAAAAAGGCGCACCTCCTTCCCCCCGCGCTCTCCCAAGCGCACGCACGCACCACACACCAACGCACCGCGCACCAATCTTGGGGGTCTGCATTGGGCGTCCTCAAGAAAAGTGCCTTGGGAAGAAAAAAAAAAAAAGAAACAGGAGCCCAAAAAGCAATTGCCGTTGCAGCCAGAAGAGAGTCCATCCTCATTTCCTCTCTTGCGCCTTTTTGGGTTGCGCGCAGACAAGTCGCAGCCTGCTTGCCCTACCTCAGTTTCGTGACATTGTCTCGCCCGAGCCACCTGTTCGCCGTGTTTCTTTTTCCAGGCGCCTTGTTCCTGCGACTACCTTCCTTTGACCTCCTGAGCAGCCCAGACTTGCTTGTGCACTTCTCGTCTCCGAATTCAGACTTTTCAACATCAAGTATTGCTGCTGTTCCCGCGTCTCCTCGCGCTCGGCCTGGCAATCGACCTGCAACCCCCTAATCCGCCATCAGCGTGTTCGCCGAGCAACGACCGAAAAGGTACCCCGACCAGCCAAACGTCAGGAGCCTTCCTGACGGTGCGACCACAACGACGACAACCGGTTTTACCTAGACATCAAACGCGCTTGAGTTACAATCACGGTCTTCTTGTTGGAGGGATTCCTTGTGTCTTTGCGTCCTTTTCCCCCTACGCCCACGGCATCCACACTCGTTTTCTTCGCCATACAACTGTCTCTCGTTTCGGCAAACGCCAACCATCTTTACTTCGCCTGCCCATGCGAATAATTTCACGGCGCCTAATTCACCATACATGCCGTCCTGTTCTTTCAAGATCTCCATCATCGCCTGTTCTGCGGTCAGCTTCGGCTAACGACGCATCAAAGACGACATTTCGCCGTTTACTGTTTGCGCGACGACTCAAGCAAACACAACTGCCGCGCAAACCAACATCCCGAGCCTCGCTTCCGTTATAATACTCCCCTTCCGCCTAATCGAATTTCACTCGAACACTCCTAGGATATACGCCTTGTCTGAATCGCAGATTATCACAGCCCTCTTCGCAACCATGGCTCGCATCAATGCGGTGCCATCCAAAAGAGGCAACAGACGGAGACACAATGGAATGCGGCCCTCGGCCCTGCAACTAGCGCTGTTTTCCGCCATGCCCTTGCTTTCAACGGCCCAGACCGGTGGGCAATGTGTTCCCCTTCAAGGCACCAAGCTTTGCCCTGCCTTTGATGGTGCCTCCGTATCTACGGGCAAATCTATGCTCAGCACATAGTATGTTTACTTATCTCAACTACAAGATCCTCCCGCTAATTTGCCATAGCCCGTTTATACAATACGTCTCCGATGTTGCTTCCTTTGACAAACAATTAGATAGCTTCATCAAGACAGATTACGTTCAATCTCGGTACGTTCTCTAAGCCTGACCAAAGTTGCAGGGAACAAATTCTAACGTTGGCAGATTTGAGGGGCGATTTGGGTGTGGTGGCGTCGACCTGCGCAACTCTAGCAACATGTACGCTCGCTGGACTACGACTGTTATCTGCAGCTCCATGGTTCAAATGTCCGTCGAACCTTGTGGACTAGCTGCGAGTGTCTCGAGACCATTGTGCGCTGATTCCTGCGCCGAGTTTGCACAGAGCGAGGCCTACATCACCTCTAATAGCAATCTCTGCCGCAACCCGAGAGGGGATGTTGCTGATCTGATCCGAGCTGACTACACAGTCTGTGGTCTGCCCGTCAAAGCCCTTGCTGGCGACTGCACTCCAGCTTCCAAGAACGAGGTCGAAAACTGCGGATTCGGATCCAGCACAATTGGGCTCTGCGGATACTGCGGTGCTGGAGGCACAAACTCTACCGACACCTGTTGCTACAACTCAAAGGCCGAATCTCGTTGCGAAGGTGTGAAACTTCCATCCATCACAGCTACCGTCCCCCTCACGACTTCGACTCCCACATCCACCGGTTCCAGTCCGACTTCGACTTCCCCCAGTGGCGAAAACGGCGCTCCCCAAAGTAACCGCCTTAGCGGAGGAGCAATTGCAGGCATCGTCATTGGCTCTCTTGCTGGTGTCGCTTTATTGGCGCTGGTTCTGTTCTTCTGCCTCCGCCTGGTCCGACGACGCAGAGCTAATAGCAGTCAAGCGGGGAGCATCTTCAACCAACCCTCGCCGGCCAGGAAAATTACACCAGCCATGGCCCAGCAACCCCAAAGTGCTCCACAAGGCTACGAGGTTCTTCCTGGAGGACGCATCGCGCGGATGTCTGCCCTGGAAGGACACTCTGGTGGCTCTCCGTCCCAGCATAATAAGAGCCTTTCGACAACTGGAGGTGGCAATCGGCCGGATAGCAGAAAGGTCACAGACCAGTCCTCATCAGACGAATACGTCGACAGCCCCGAGTTCGAACATCGCGACGCTGGATTGCGACCACCGCCCATGACTGCTAGAAGACATGGATCGCTATCAAGCGGCTCTGCTCTCGGAAGTGACGGCCAGATGTCACCTCTTAGTGCGGGGTACTCTTCGCCGCAAGGCTTTGGCAGCCAGCAGTCCGAACAACTGCCATTTTTCAAGGACTATTACTCGCAAGACGATATTCATCCTGGCGACAAGGTTGCTGTTCTGTGGGCTTACTCCCCTCGCGCCGGCGACGAATTCGCTCTGGAGAGGGGCGATATGATCAAGGTCGTGGGCATCTGGGACGATGGCTGGGCCACCGGCCACATGCAAGAGCAGCGCGCAGAGGAATGGGAAGCTGCGCGAGCTGCACAGAGAGACAGCGGCGTCTCCAACTCTTCAGTGCGTGAGGATAGTCAGAGCCCGCCTGTACCGGCGGCCCCGGAGTTGAAGGCCTTCCCTCTGGTCTGCGTCTGCCTGCCACAGCATTGGCGCAAGACGATTGACGGAGACGGGTCTACGGACGCTGGCTCTGTTGGATCTCCTGCTGGCCAGGCGAGGTAACCCATAACGACATTCCCTGGCTATTTTTACTCCAGTCTTGCATACGAAAGCGCACTGTTAGGTACATTTTTGCAAACGATTTGCGACAGTATTCTATTCCGCGTCTGGCTCTTTAGCCTTGTTTCTCCACGACTTTTCCGTTTGACGACACTTTCTCAACCGTTCTTGCCAGCCGAACAACCGCATCCCTTGGTTCAGAATGCATGAACCAGGGCCTCCTGGCACCTCCACGGATGAGACATGACGCGCAAAGCTTCTATTACAACCTGGGCTTTCTTCTTCACGGTTTCGATTCATTCGTTGTTTATACCCATTGCTCGGCGCCCGCAGTAGGCTTTTTGATTCTTTTTCTTCATAATCCTTTGATTTTCGCACACGCACACTCTCTCGTTTCCGGACTCGCGCCCAATTTTACGGCTCGATTGGTCTTTGACAAGCATTCAAGGAGCGTACATAATGTCTACGACTGGGACTAGATTCCGTTTAGAAGATGCGGGGACATACTCGGTCTTTTATTCTGGGCTCTTGTTACATGTAAATAAAGATACACTGAGGCTATCCGCCTCTCTCTTTTTCTCTCTTGTGTGTTGAGTTGGAAATGGGCATTTCATCTTTATGCACATAGCACAGGGTGCGGGTTTTTCATCCCCCACGAATATTCTTCGACTACTTTTTCTTTTAAATAGCTTAGATACCAATGGTAACTCTTTGTACATGGTGCACATCTTCTTCCCCTTCTTCGGTCAAGTTGAACAATGTTTCGTTGCCTGACCAAACCGCCTGTTTCCCCACCGCCCTATTTCCTCACACTTCCATACCACGAGTAATGCTTATTAGATCCTGTTTGGAATAATTCAATTTTAATTACAAACACCCGCTTGGACAATTTAGGGCTGGTTAGGTAGCGACTTTCTTCCCTGGAGGCTGCCATCCGCTGTCGGCGGAGTGAATGCCCCTCGCGTTTCGTTTTCCGTGGGGTTGGTGGGGTTGCCTCTCAAGATTCCAACTCACTTGCACAACATCCTCCAAAGCAACCTCTCGGCCTTAAATCCACCGAACCTGAACACAGAAAAGATGGTGGACGAAAGCATCGACATCAAAGCCGCCTCTGAGGCGGCTGTGGCCAAGTTTCAGCTCGAGCGCGTGCTCAACCAAGGTACGTTTCCCAAGGATAGCCCCCTCGCACTGGCGGTTGCTTCTCGCGCCAACATGGGAAAACGGTCGTTATGGCTGGGAAACTCTCCCCTTCTAACGTAAAAATCTATAGACCAAGGCGGCCGCCGCACGTCCATGCTCGGCACGGTCGACGGGCGGCCGGCGCTGCTCGTCGTCGAGCGCGCCCCGTTCCCGACGTCCGAGGGCTACCTGGGCCGGCTACCGGGCTCGCTCGCGCGGCTGCGGAACCTGGGCGCCAACGACGTCTATAGTTGGCACATGGCGCAGACCGGCGCTGCGGACAACGATACCCCGTCCACCGCCACCGGTGACGACTTTTACCCGGACGTCAAGATCAACCTCATCTACCCGTGCACGGAGACGCACGTGAAGAAGTACAGCAAGCAGGGGGCGCGGCTGGTGACGGAGACGCCGGCGCTGTACCGCGACAAGGTGCGGCCGTACATGGAGGCGAAGCGGGCGGAGGGCCGGCTGAACTGGGTCTACAACATCATCGAGGGCCGCACCGAGGTGGAGGACGTCATCTACCGGACGCCGCTGGGGCGGGCGGGCGACGAGGGCTTCCTGCTGCTGCCGGACCTCAACTGGGACCGGTCGACGCTGGATGCGCTGCACCTGCTGGCGCTGGTCGAGCGGCGGGACCTGTGGTCGCTGCGGGACCTGCGACGGCGGCACGTCCCCTGGCTACGGCACATGAGAGACGCAATCGTGGAGGCGACGGTGGCGACGTATCCTTCTATTGAGGCGGACCAGCTGAAACTATATGTGCACTACCAGCCTACGTACTATCACTTCCACATCCACGTCGTGCACGTGGCGCTCGAGGCGGGCGCGACGCAGGCGACGGGCAAGGCGATCGGCCTGGACAGCATCGTCGAGACGCTCGAGGTCATGAAGGGGAAGGGGGAGGAGGAGGCGGGCATGGACGGCGTGTCGCTGACGTACACGCTGGGCGAGGCGAGCGAGCTGTGGACGCAGGTGTTTGCGCCGCTCAAGACTGCCAGGCCAGCTTCTCGACCGCCAGGACAAGGTCGTTGACCGAGGAGCCGTGGGGGCAGTACTCCCACTCGCCGTTGTTGCGGATGCAGTAGACTTGGTTGTCGAGGCGGAGGGTGCAGCTAATGGTGGCGTTGACCTGGGAGGAGTGACGAGGTGTGGTTAGAGAGCTGGAGGTGAGAATAGTGGGAGGCAAGACAAAAGACATACGTCGGCGGAATGCTGAACGCTGCTGCGCAAGAGATGCATGCCGTGGGCGCCGTCGTCGCGGGTGGCGCACTCGTTGAGCTTCTTGATGTCGATGGCGTGCTCGAGGGCGCAGTCCTCGACGAGGGAGCGCTCGGGGACGTGGGTGAAGTCCTTGGTCAGGCACATGACGAAGCCGAGGCTGATCTTGGGGTCCGGGTAGAGCTCGCGCGCGCAGAGCTCGATGATGTTGCCCAGGCACTCGGAGGGGCCGTGCTTGCAGCGGACGCCGTCGTCGTCGTCGAGGCTGGTTCGGGGCGCGGGTTAGCAATGCTAAACTGAGAAAGATGGGTGGAGGAGAGGAGGAACATTTCCCACGTACGAGCCAATATATGAGAGTTTAAAGTCGACCTTGTCATAAACCTGCTGCATGGCAGGGAGGATGAGCTGTCGCATAGCGTCCTGTGGCGCGAGAGAAAGAAGTTAGCTGGGAAACAGCAACGATAAATATCGTGCGGTGTGCCTGCACCGTAAGTGTATATGGGGAGGCGGTTACGCACCCTGGTATCCGGACATTTGCTCATGATGTGCGCCTCGAGCGGCACCTTGCGTCGGCCGGCGCCGCCGACGACCGAGGTCGCCTCGCGGGAGAGCTGGTCGAGGCGGTCGCGGACGTCGATGTTGTAGGTGGATAGCAGGCTGTAGCAGATGAGGACGAGGGCGAGGACGGGCAGCCAGAGGCGGGTGCGTCGTCGGCGGACGACGGGGACGGTCATGTCGGCGGCGCGGGGGCGGTGGTGCAGCGGTAAGCGGCGCTTCTCGTCCATGGCGAGAGAGAGAGAGAGAGAGAGCTATGGCTGGAGTTTTGAGTCTGTGCTGTCGGAAGATGGAGAAATACTGCCGAGAGCGCTGGCTGCTTGATGGAGGGATGAATGAATTAAGGGCCGCGTGTTTCGAATGGTTGGTTGAGGCCGTGGCGATGGCGTTATACCTGGGGTCGTCCGAGACAAGGTCGGCGGTGCGGCTGGACTTGTGGCGGCAGTGACTGAGACGCTAACAGTTGATATCACCATGACAAGGCAAGCAGCAAAACAGAGCATGTAACTGAGTACGAGGTATGTCGTACATAGAACATAAAGCTATTTCTAGACCTTTAGTTTCAGTTAGATTTTTTTCCTCCCGATTTTTGTCTTGGCATTGGATAGTGCTGTGACAGAGCATGCTAGAGGCTTTTGGTAGCTGGTGATATGGGTGGTCCCTGCTGGACAAGTCGCCACTGGCCAGCAGTTGATGAACACACCCACTGGCCCAAAACTGCCGAGGTTGGTTCTCTACAATCAAATATACAGGTTGGCGCCTAGCTAGACACTACTGGGTATTATAAATTAAGAGCTGCTTTTTTGCAGTAGTTGCATGAACCAAGACTTTTGCAGGTGACCTCCCAGTGCACTAATAAGAGCCCCATTCAGTGTCAGGTGCGCTGTTGATGGCCATGATGATGAATGGCCCTTGTTTGTAGAGGGACTTCCAGCGGGACTTGACGGCGCCCCCACTGAATGAACTGGTTCGTATAAGGTCAAGACAACCTCAGTGGGGGGGCACCGACCAGACGCCCTCCCGCATCCACCAAACCAAACCAATTAATCAATCACTGACCACACCGTTGTCGAGACTACGAATGAACCATCCTCCAGGGCAAATCAGAACCTGGTTTCCTGCAACCGTATCACCAAGCCATTCAACACTCAATGCAATGCAATGCTGCCCATCTGGTTGCACCGCTGCCGTGCCGTTTGCCTCTTCCATCATCCTGCGTACGCGATCTGATCTGCCTCGTCCCGGCCAAGGCTTATTATCCCGGATATTATAACCCGATGGCTGAGTGAGCCAGCCAGTCATGCACTGACGCCTCGAAACAACCACCCGTTCCCACGCGCCGCATCTTGTTTCCCTTCCCCACGAAACGTTGCACTCGTGCAGGGTTGAGATCCAAGCCGACGATGCTCACGCTCATGCCACAATAGGCATCTGCCTTGTCACTCGCTGCTGTTCCCTTTTAGCATAATTCGTCACCTTCTCTATCCAGCTCCTGCACCGTCTCCCACTCCACTTGGTCTCATGCACGTCGTGCCAACCTTCGTGCGGGGGTCTCCCTCTTATAAACGAGTACCATCACCACTCGTGCTACCCATCATAGACGCCTCAAGGACACCTCAGCGGCAATAATCGCATATAAGAGAGACAACTCGTATCCAGTGTACCGCCCTCTCGCCGACACTAAGCTCGGCCCCGTTTCCCCTTGACAACTCTCTATCACGACGACTCGGACGGCGTTGGGCTTTATTATGGGGACAAGCTCCATGCTCAAGCTTTATTTGGAGTAGTTACCTCATCGACCCCGTCTATGACATTTTGTCCCTGCTTCATTCAACCTTTCTCATTTCGAGTCTTGAAATCCTCATCTGCGACCTGACGCTATTTATCCCCGCCGCACAACCCCGCGGCAAGACGACTCGCGGCCTCTCCCGACCGACCCGCCTTGCTTGTGGCGAAGATGATACATTGACCCCACGCCATTCGCAGCCTTGCTCACTTGCCCAACTCAAACCCTAAAAAAAGCTCGCCATGGCGGCTACGCAGGAGCAGCTCCTGGCAAAATTCCTCGAGCCTATCCATATTGACCTCCGAACATGCCATGCCCTGACCGCTGGCTTCTATGATTGCTTCAAGGCGCTGGCGGCCAACCCCACCGATCAGTTCCTCCCCACGCCTATATCTGATGCCATCCTGCGGCCCATCGCCGACACTGCCTGCGGAAGGTGAGTTGCCGGATGAACGTTTGCAGCCTTCACTTCTAACTCGCAACAGAAATCTAGCCATTGATATGTAAGTGTGAAGCTTGCTACCTTGACTACGACACTGTTGACCATGTCACAATAGTGGCGGAACAAATCTCCGAGTTGGTTTCATCGAGCTTCTCGGAAAGCAGTCAGGCGCCGCCAGCACCAATGGCACCAATGGCACCAATGGCGTCAACGGAACTCATGGAGTTGCTCATCTGAATGGCACTTTGCAAGCCCCGCCAGCTCGCATCAGACGCCTCTTTGAAAAGTCATGGCCGATTGATAACCAACTCAAAGATGACAACGCCGAGGCCCTCTTTTGCTGGATCGGCAAGCATATTGCCCAAGTTGTTGGCGATGCGTACGACGAGCTTGGTCTATCCAACAGTGAGCCGCTTCCTATGGGTGTGACTTTTAGCTTTCCCTCCCAACAACATTCACTTGCTGAAGCCACTGTAACATCGATGGGGAAGGGATTCACCATTGCCCCAAATACCGATCTTGGGGCCAGCCTCGAGAAGGGATACGCTGAATCCAAGCCGGCTCACCTACCCGATATCAAAGTGACGGCAATCTCAAACGACTCGGTGTCCACCCTTGTCTCGTTCATTTACAACTTTGGCGGGACCGTACAACAGCGCGCCAGTATGGGCCTAATTCTAGGAACTGGCTCTAATGCGACGGTACCACTCAGACTTAGTCTGCTGCACCAAAGCAAGTGGCCCCGAAATATTAACGTCCTAGATGGCGAAAGCCTCAGCGACGTGAAGATCGCTGTCAACACGGAGTGGAGCATCAACGGTACGGCGCCCCCGATGCGTAAACTAGGTCTCGTCACGCCCTGGGATGACCAGCTCTCCGCTCAGACGGAAAGACCTGGCTTCCAGCCTTTAGAGTACATGTCAGCTGGGAGATACTTGGGTGAGCTCGGACGCATAATGCTGGTAGATTACATGGTCAACACCTTGGGTATGGCGCGAGACACGTTGCCTTCGGCTTTGGTGGAACGCCATGGCCTTTCAACGACGTTCCTGAGCCACTTCAAGCCTCTAGAACACGGCAAGCTTCTAGCCAGCTTGCGCGCCGAGCTGCCTGAATCAACGGGCAAGGACGGTTTCGTCTGGACGGAACACCTTGCCGAGGCACTGTACAGGATTGCCAAGGCGATCGAGGTTCGCGCTGCTGGTGTCATTGCAGCGGGTACCGTGGCCCTGTTGACGCTCTCTGAGGAGCTACCTGCCAAAGTGACAGAGGCGGTGCCAACGGCGAAGGAGCTAGGCGTCGGATATACGGGCGGTTGCATAGTGCACTTTCAGGATTATCTGGAGGACTGTCAGCGCTTTATTGACCAGCTTATAAAAGAGCGATTCGGTGTGGCTGGCACCTACCGAGTCGTGCTCAGCCCGTGTCACGACGGCGGCATTACGGGCGCCGGTATCTTGGTATCCGCGGCATCGGTCAGTACAAAGACTGAAGCGGCGTAGTCTGCCGTGGCCGGTTCGGGTTATCAACCCGAGATCGAGGGCGAAGGTGCTTTTGCTTTGCACATAGGATAGACAGCACATAGGTACTGCTTCTCAATAAAATCTGCCGGCTGCGGTGGCAGCAGGGCGATGATAGGCGCATTGCCGGGCTAACTTAAAGAACCTCGTGGTGTCTTTGACGTGGATCTACTCGATCTATGGTTGTGTTGGCTCGAGGTGAAAAGATCATGTCTATCATTTCACTTAGCTTACAGATATGCCCCAGTATTGGCTGCTGCACGGCTGCCATCATTGCTATAGAGCCCAACACATGATACCTAGGCCATTGATGGTCAGGGCTGTGGCTGCGGGTTATCGGGGAGTGTCGGCGACGTCGTTACACTCACTCGTTGGCCAGGTAGGATATCGCTGACAAGTTTGCCTCACAGAAAGAATCGCGTCGATAGCGTATCGACCATGGTGTTTCGAAACTAGGTCACGAAGCAACTAAGACATTCCAGAGATGAGCCTGGGGTAGGATCGCGAGTTAAAATAGCCCGCGACAAGCGGTAGCAAGTCACATGCGCCTGCAGCCGGGCCAAAAGGAGCAAGTAGCATCAATTTGAGTCTCAAACCAAATGGATGGCAAAGACCCAAAAGGATACTGTGGTTTACAATGGATTCAAAGGATTCAAAATGTTCTATATATGGCTGCTAGCCGGGTTATTCCCACTGTAGGCTCCTTCGCTGTTGGTCGTTGCAACTGGTTGGCTGTCCACATACATGCGTCCTGGAAGATCACTCGACCAGGACTGCACTCGGGATTAGCATAGCCCGTTGGCCTTAGCCTTCCCCGATCCAGGTTGTGTCGCCGCATGACGCCTGCAGGTACTGTCATGACAACTATCACGCAGCAGGAAGGTCTTACGCGCCGCTATCATCAGCGCCCTGGCTCTCACGTCAACATGTTCTGCCGTGAACAGAGAGACTGGCCATGACAGCTCAAAAGCGAAAGCGGCCTGGCAATCCATGGGATGCTACACCGACAACGTATCCGGGCGAGCCCTGTCCCACGGCGCGGCGGTGCCCGGTGGCGACACGGCCCTGACCAACGAGGTGTGCCAGAACGCCTGCCAATCGGGAGGCTACTCGATGGCCGGCAGTGGCGAGTGCTGTACACGCCTTCTTCTAATGAGCTCAGGAACATGCTAAAGAGTTGGCGTTGTTGCTGACTGTGTGACATAGGGTGTGGCAACGAGATCGGCAGCGGCAACGGCCCGGCGCCGGATGGCCAGGCTCAGTGCGACATGAAATGCAAGGGGAACACGGCCGAGACGTGCGGAGGCCCCAATCGCTTGACGGTGTACCGGGGCGCGTCCGACGGCGGCTCGGGTGGGAAAGCGAGGCCTCGCTTACAACAACAACAACAACCCGAGCAAGAACGCCAGGTCCTCGGCTTCAACGAGCCAGACCTGACCTACCCCGGCTCCGCCAACCTTGTGCCCCGCCGAGGCCGCCGCCGGCTACCTCGCCTACATGGCGCAACCGCCGCTCACATTGGGCATGCGCGTTGGCACCCCTAGCGTGCTGGGGAGCAACGACCGCGGGTCCTTCCTCCGGCGGCAACTACAACTCGCGGACGTGGACGGGGTACTTTTTGGGAAACTGCACGGACTGCCGGTGTGGGTGACGGAATTTCAGTGCTACGGGACGGAGGACGAGCAGGTGAGGTTTCCAAGGGAGGTGCTGCCGTGGCTGGACGAGCAGGGCTGGGTGGGAGCGGTATGCGTACTTTGGGGCGTTTCCGGGGTTGCTGGTCGGTCAGGACGGGACGGCGCTGTCGGCGCTGGGGGAAGCGTATGCGACGATATAGGTGGTGTTAAGATGAAGGTGGAAGTGCTGGACTTGACGATGTGGTGCCTGCTTGTGTGTTGCGGAAGAGGGGGGGGGGGGGCACCGCAAATGTAGCTGGGGACGCCGCACAGGTCCGCTTGTTACATAGAACCTGGCATGGTCGAGGAGAAAAGTACCAGGTCACCAATCGTGCTCTCGACTTTTAGCACAGGTGATCGGAGATGTGTAGACTTTTGGAGCTGTACGTGTATGCGCCGATAGCTCGGCCACGGCACGGCCCCGGCCCGGAAGTCGCTGCACCGCATCGAACGGAACCTCGCCCTAGAAATACGACGAGACCCTATCAGTGGCAAGAAGAAAACAGGCAGGTTAGAGGTACGGGGGGTCCAATACTTGATGGCCGGGTGACTCCCTCCGTGTGCCGCGGACATGCATGCAATGCATGTAATGTCTCGGGAGCTGTCCGCCGAGTCAGTATAGCGTCCTCTCCACGAGAATGGCCTCGCCACATTCCCTCACTGGCCGAGCACGATATCTACATCATTGAGCGAATATCCGAGCACAATGCTATTTTCAATGCTTGTGAAAAATGTCGTGCCTATAGTGTGGAGTTGTTGCTGTGCCTAGCAATTTTGGGGCGTAATGACGAGCTTGATGCAGCGCTCACTAAGCGACCGCGTTATCGGCCCCGATGACCCTTGAACAGAGCCCCCGGGAAGTCGGCGGGAAATTTGCATGCAATTTTTGCGGTCAATTTTACTCGTCTTCCTCCGAACCATTTGTCTCTTCGTTGTCTACCGGCGCATATCCTTCAATCATCCATTCGTGAACTCTTGCCTCTTCTGCACGCCGGTACCGGGGCTATCGTGACGGCGTGACTTGGAATGCAGTGTTGATCGAATCCCACGCTACTCCATACTCATCAATCAGTGGTATTTTTAACCCTTGCTTGGACGGAAATCGTGCCACTTGCTTCTCTTCATCAATCGTCTCAACTGTCTCAAATCGTCTTCTGTCTCGTGTCGCCCAGCACCCGTTTCGGACTTTGGCCGCATCGACCGAAACATGGCAGCTCACGCATCCGGCACGGCGCCGACACAGATCCCCGCGCGGCCGCCGCAGCCCGACGAGGTGGATGAGGTCCTGGCTAGATCCCTGGACGCCTATGCCCGATCGTTGCCGACGACGATGCCGTTTCTCGAGGCCGAGCCGGTGCCCGTCCTGCTTCCGCACGACGAGGTCGACGAAGCAAACGGCGGTGGTGGCGGCGGCGGCAGCAGCAGCAGCAGCAGCAGCAGCAGCAGCAGCAGCACCATTACCACCACCACACCAGAGGAGGATAGAGACGGCGGCAGGCATAAGCGCAGCAGCAACGGCAATCATGTCAAAAACGACGACGAGACGACCCCTCTCCTCCGGGACCGCGACGCCAGCGGCTGCTCCGACGACCCCTCCGCCGCTTCATCACCGCGACCGTCACCGCTCTTCCTCAACGGCGTCTCGCCCGCGCGCTTCTGGTGCATCTTCGCGCAGATCCTCGCCTCGCTCTTCGTCGGCTGCTTCGACAGCACCGTCATGGCCTCGTCGCACCCGGCCGTCACCGCGCACTTCCGCGCCGCCCACGCCGCCGCCTGGCTCAGCACCACCTTCCTGCTCGCCTCCACCGCCTGCCAGCCGCTGCTCGGCCGGCTGTCCGACGGGCTCGGCCGCCGCCCGCTGTTCCTCGCCGGCGTCGCCCTGCTGGCCGTCGGCACCGCCTGGTGCGCCGCCGCGCCCACTCTTGCTAGCTTTGTTGCTGCGCGGGCGCTCTGCGGCGTCGGCGCGGGGGGAGCGATCGCGCTCGGGAGCATCATGACCAGCGACCTGGTCCCGATAGAGTGAGTTCTTATCAAGCCGGGGCGGGGACGATCTTGCTGACAGATGGACAGACGCAGGGGATCGTACCAGTCCCTCGTCAACGCTACCTGGGGCACGGGGTCGGCCCTTGGCGCCGCAGCCGGCGGGTGGCTCGTGGAGACGGTCGGCTGGAGATGGGAGTTTGGCATCCAGGTGCCGCTTCTCGTCCTCATCTTTGCCGCCTCCTTCGTCGCCATCCCCCACGACATTGGCCTCCGCGGCAAGCCCCGCAAGACCGTCCGCCAGGTCCTCCGCGAGTTCGACCTCCGCGGCTCCGGCCTGCTAACCGTCGCGACCGCCGCGTTTATCCTCGGCGTGGTATGAGGTTCTTCTCCGGAAACGGTTCAACATGATATGCTGACTGTAATGATTCGCAGAATCTCGGAGGCGCCATCCTGCCTTGTAAGTTGGCTCTTCACTTACACAAGACGTGACGGTCTGTCGCAGTTCCCACCTACTTACTTACACACAATCATCGTAGGGTCTCACCCCATCGTCATCGCATCTCTGACCACCTTTGCCGTCGCGTTCCCTACCTTTCTCTGGGTCGAGTCGCGCGCGCCAAGACCCATCATGCCGCTGCATCTCATCACCAAGACGCCCCACGCCAACCTCATCTTTGGCAACTTCATCGCCTCCATGCTCGCCAACGCGATCCTCTTCAACATGTAAGTGGTGCTGTCCTAGCACAAACAAACATGCTACACATACATACCTGCATGTAAATGCTGACCCCATCCGAACCCCAGGCCCCTCTACTTCCAGGCTGTCCTCCTCACCTCCGCCACCACCTCCGGCTTGCGCCTCGTCGTCCCCTCCATCGCCTCCTCCGTCGCCGGCGTCTCCACCGGCTTCCTCATCACCTACACCCGACGCCTCAAGTGGCCTCTCCTCCTCGGCGCCTCCCTCGCCGTCCTCGGCAACCTCGTCCTCCTCCTGCTCCTCCGCCGGGACCTGCGCCCCGCCGCGCTCTACGTGCTCGCCCTCGTGCCCTCCAGCCTCGGCACCGGCTTCCAGTTTCCGGGCACCTTCATGGCCGTGCTCGCCGCCAGCCCGCAGGCCGAGCAGGCCGTCGTCACCAGCACCCTGCTGCTGTGGCGCAGCCTCGGCGGCGTCCTCGGCGTCGCCGCCAGCAGCCTGGTCGTCCAGGCCGCGCTGCTGCACCACCTGCGCAGGCTGGTGCGTGGGCCGCGACGGGACGAGGTCATCGAGGCGGTCAAGAGGTCCGTGGAGGTCGTGGCTGGGTTGGAGGAGCCGTACCGCGAGCAGGTGGTCCGCAGCTACGAGGCCACCCTAAGGCTGACGTTTCTCTTCACGACCGTCATGGCCGTCGTCGGCTTCCTCCTGCTCGCCCCCATCAAGCTGAAACGTCTACCTGCGCGAAAGTAGGTCGCGGTCGCGGTCGCTCGTTGCATAGTGTTAAAGTTGATCTTTCCCAAAAAGTTGTGTCCATTTTGAAGGGTACCCATGGAACCAATCTGCGAGTACGACACGAGGAGAATTTTGTCCCAGGCAAAGTATTGTCGGACACTACCCAAGTCTGAATAGACGACGTCTCTGACACAAGAGTCGCCATAGCATTGCATCTGCATAGTGCATAGAATACATAAAAATGACAGGATCCATGAATGAAAGCCTGAATCGAGCCCCTGCCGTGTCCAAATGTTGTACCCAGACTGAAAACGAAAAAAAGAAACACAAAGTATACAGCCGCTTATTGATGGTATCCGTTAGCGCCTCGCCCTGCTATTAATGTATCTAGCTCCTCCTTTGCCCTGCGATAATCATCCTGCGCCTCACGCTCACGACGGCTGACAAAGTCCAGCTCCTCGCGGAGGGACTTGAGGCGCCTGTTAATGGCGACGTCCTCGGAAAGGGCCAGCGTCTTGAAGCCGCTCAGCGCGATCCGAGCCTTCTCCAGCGCCTCCGCCGCCTCCGTCGTCTTGTCCTTGAGCATCTTTTGGCGCTTTTGGTAGCCCCCAAGATGGAGGCTCAGCTTCTTTTCGAGCTTGGCGCCCTGCTCGGCCAGCGACATGATTGAGTCTTCGCAAACCTGTAGGCAGTTAGAATCTGGAACCGGAATGTGAAGTGGGCAGTGGTGTACATACGTGAAACGAAGCTCTTATCGCGCGTTGTTGCTCTTCCTCGTCTGCGCCGGCGTAACAGCCAAGACCTAGCAGTGTGTCGTCGGCGGCGCGCCCGGTAAAGGCGCTCTGCATGCTCTCAAAGCTTGGCAGCTTGGGAGTCTCGGCCAGGATGAGAAGACGCGCATCGGCGAGCGCATCGTCACCAATGTCGTCGAGCGGCTTGACAGCTCCCTTAACTTGTGACCCGGGAAGAGGGTATTTGGTCGCGTCATTGGCCATCAGAGCTGCGGCTTCCTGAGCAATCAGCCGCTCGGCGGGATTTTCCAAACTGCTTGCGTTCTTCATCAAAGTTGAGATATCAACTATCGGTGTTCGCGGAAGGTCGCGCTGCATGACCTGCGTCCTGCGTCGTCGTTCCAGCTCTTCGATGGCAGCCTGGCGCTCCCGCGCTCGACGGTCCCGATCCGCAGCATCTTCCTGCCGCTCCTCGACGGTCATGGCTTCGGCTTGCTCCTCAGGTAGCTCTAGCTCAAAGTCCATGTCCTTGGGTTTAGGCAGGGCGGCGAGGCCCGACCGTAGTTGATTTCGCACGACGGTTTCTCGATTTCTGATATCTTGCGGTGTTGCGGACACCATTGACATACCATCATCGCGATTCAGCGCAAAGGTGTCTCGAGGAGTCCTCATCGGTGTTTGGCCCGGGCGGCCAGGAGTGGCACCGATGCCGTTGGGTGCCAATGGTGTAGCCATTGGGTTCGGGGTCGCGGTGGTCTGTTTCCTGGGGGCAATGCCATCAAATCCAGTCGAGCTCGCTCCTTCGTGCAGCGGCGTGTTCTCGCCGCCAAGAAGGGCAGACTTAGTCTCGTTCAGCGCTCGAATGTTGCGAATCTCGTTGGCTATGTGGTCCTCCTGCGCCGGAGCTCTGGGTGTACGAATAGGCGTCTCGCTATTCAGGGTAGAGTATGAGTTGACAAAGCCACGAGTGGCGTCATTTTCACTCTGTCTTGCCCTGGTATTGGCAGCCTCACCTATCTTGCCCATCTTGACGATGTCTTCGAGCTCACCTTCGCTGACCTGCGGCGCTGGGAGATTTAGCGCGCGTCGCTTGCTTAGCTGCTCTGCCTCTCGTATCTTTTGCATTTGACCGGCCTTGATTGCAGCCTTTTGTGTGTCAGATTGACTTTCCTTGTCGCCCTTTCGCTTCTTTCTCTCGCCGTCGTCGCCTTCATCACCCTTGCGCTTCCCAGCGAGCTGCTTTTGAGGGTCAAAAGCCTTGAGCTGCGCTTCGTTGGCCACCTTTTCGTCGGTTGTGTCGTAGAAGCCGGGAACGGCCTTCTTCTCGAATGGAATATCTGCATTGTAATCCATTTCGCCCTTCTTGCGCGTTGTAACCTTAATATTGATACCGGCCGTCTTGAGCTCGCGTCTCTTTTGCAGGGTTGCCATGCGTCGTGATTCCTCTTGTTGGCGCTCTCGAGCCTTTCGCTTGGCCTTTTTACCCTGTGTGTTGGCCAGACGGGCTCTGGCCTCGCTGAGCATCTCCTTCTCATCCTCGTCGAGATCAATGGTGTCGGGTCGAGCCGGTTTGGTTTCGGGATCGGGGTCTAGCTCGCCAGGGCGCAGTCTTCGTACATCATCGGCACTGGGAGCCTGAGTTTCGCCGCCGTCGGGGCCCATTAAACCGAGGCTGGATGATTCGCGGGCCTCGGCCTCGTCGAGAAGCTTCTGGTAACGCTCGAGACATTGGTTGGCAGTGCGACCGACGATGGGAGCAATGGTGCGCCACTGGGTGGGCATAATCTTGGCGAGATGCAATAGCTTCTCATCTTCGTCCTTGCTCCATTCGATCTTTTTGATGCTGGGGTCAAGCCACTCGCTCCATCGAGCCTTGCACTGCTTGGGTGTCTTGCGCGCGAGCAGCGAAGACACGCGCGCCCATTGATTCAGGCCATATTTTGAGACGGCGGCCTTGAGGATCTCATCCTCGATGTTGGTCCACACGCCACCCTTGACGACGGGCATGGTGGCGGTTGTGATGAATTGGGGATGCCGTGGAAGTCGTAGCTATACAGAGTGCCTTGTCGCGATGCACAGAAAATATTGAGATGGAAGTGGCGCGTAGAGCTGCTGAGTCATCAGGTACGTACCAACAGCCACGAGGCTCACCTGGCAGCCAACGGAGGGAGCATTCGTGTTTCGTCAAGGCTTTGGTGCAAGGGCTTTATTTTCGGAATAATATGCTATAATATATTTTTGGTGTGATTGGAGGACAATTTATTTAAAAAGAAAATGAAAAACAACAACGACATCGACGGATGAGTACCGATCAGCCACTGGGTAGACCTGCCTACATAGGTATGTAGCTGTTGCCATGCTTGACATCACTTGATGTGTCGCCTAGCATTAATTGGGCATTGACACAGTCATACCGCAGCTCAGTCCGATATACATACCCCTGCAACATGATTGATGTTGATGAAAAACAGTCCGTCTTTGTCAGATTACGAGGCCTGAAACAACAGCAGCAGTGTGTCGGGCACTGTTGGCGTATCCACGTAAGCAGGTGTTATCTTGGAAGTTGAGTTGGTGCATACATCAATTGAGCACAGATATGTGGCAACTGCCGACAGGTCCAGTGATTGCCTCGATTTAATTGATTAGTGTGTTGTCACTAATCAGGTATAACGTCATGGATGGCGACACTCAACGGAGGGACGGCGACGGGTAGAGACAGGATGCCGAAGGGGTACGGCAGCCGTCATGCGTGTCCGGCCGGACGTGTGTATAGAAGGCGGCGGAGTTTGGGGACCAAAGTCCATCCATTGGTGCCACTCACAGGGCATGACAGCGCAAGCCACAGCGTCTTCAGTAGCACCTTGGGGGCCTGAGTCCGCGGGCATGCCAGGTCGGATTATATATTGGCTGACCAAGCCAAGCTGGTGCTTTGCCTACGAAAAGGTAAACGGTCATTGTTCTAGTTAGATACATACGTTAGCTGCCCTTACCAGGCGGAGCAGCCCAATCACAGTGCAGATGGATAAGCTTCAGGGGAGTTTAGCAGGCTCACTGGAAGCATTTTAGCGTATTTGACAGGCCCACACACACTTAAAACACCACCTCTTACAGCGCTGGGCATTCCCTTTCAGGCTTTTGCATTGCATGGCACCACGATTTCCTCCCTGTCAGGCACCTGCTTAGCCGTTGCAACCTCATCCCAAGCAGTCGGAAGTCCGCCCACCCGCCCACATCATCATACGCCTAGGCCTCGGTTCCGCCTCCCGGCCGGGTCGTCCGTCGCCCTCCTACTAAACCTGGTCATCGTCCGCCCACTCCGTCCTCATGGCCTCCCTTGTTTCCTCTATGTCTTTTTGCTTCGCCGGTCCAGCTTTCGCATCGCACGTTGGGAATTTCGGTACCACCAATGAGCGCGCCAAGTGGCTGATTGTCGCCCACCTATGAACATCGCGCAATTCTTCGAATCAAGTCGCGACCAACAGATTTGTCTCCGCCGCTTACTACTAGCCGTGGTACCGATAGCAACGAAAACGACATCGCGTAAAGCCTGCCAAGCGAGTACCACGCCACGCGTACTACCCTCAACGGGCCGCACACCCTTTCGCAATGGTGCAACGAAACGGCAAGGCTGTTCGTTCCGCCAACGGCCATGCGACCAGCGACCCCGATGAGACGAGTCGCCTGCTCCCCAATGGTCATGGCCCGGAAGAAGAACGCGACAAGCCGGTGTGGGATGGCCTTACCGAGTTTGAACACCTTCCGTGGTGGCGCCGACCTTCTATCTTTTGGTTGATGGGACCCTATGCCATCTTCACCCTCGCCTTTGGCGGCGTCATCGTCCCCAAAGTCACACTGTGAGCGGTTCTCGTCGTCGCTTATGCCCCGAAACCAAACCACTGACCATCGTTCAAGTATCCTCGACCTCGTCTGCAACAAGCACTTTGCCGACAAGGCCGCCGCCGACCCCAGCTTCCACCCGTCCCCCATCATGGGCGCCGACAACCCGCAGTGCAACGACCCGGACGTGCAGAAAAAGGTCGCCGAGTTCATGCTCGTCATGAACCTCCTCACCGGCACGCTCAGCGCCATCAGCGCCCCCAAACTCGGCAAGCTGTCCGACCGCTTCGGCCGGCGGCGGCTGCTCGCCGTCGCCTCGGTCGGCGGCATCCTCGCCGAGGCCATAACTATCCTCGCCGCCAAGTTCCCGCAGGCCGTCGACTACCGCTGGCTCGCCCTCGGCGCCCTCTTCGACGGCCTCACCGGCTCCTTCACCAGCGGCAGCATCCTCGGCCAGGCCTACGTCAGCGACTGCACCCCGCCCTCGCGCCGCGCCGTCTACATGGGCTACCTCCACGCCTGCCTCTTCACCGGCATCGCCCTCGGCCCCCTGCTGGCCGGCTACTTCATCCGCGTCACCGGCAGCGTCCTCACGCTCTTCTACGTCGTCCTCGTCTGCCACGCCAGCTTCGCCCTCTTTGTCGGCTTCGTCGTCCCGGAGTCGCTATCCAAACGCCGCCAACGGATCGCGCGCGACAGCCACAACAAGGAGAAGGCCGCCCGCGCGCACGGCTCCCGGAAGTGGCTCGCGACCATCCGCAACAGCCAGCCCTTCGAGCCGCTGGCGATCCTGTGGCCCACCGGCCCCGGCACCTCGTCGCGGCTGCGCCTCAACCTCGTCGCCCTGGCCATCACGGACGCCGTCATCATGGGCTCCATGATCTCCATCGGCGCCGTCCTCATCCTGTACACCAAGTACATGTTCGACTGGGACACGTTTGAGATCTCCATCTTCGTGTCCGGCCTCTCCTCGATCCGCGTCATCGTGCTGCTCGGCGTCTTCCCCCTCGTCAACTACTGGTTCCGCGTGCGGCCGCGCCGGCGCCGCGAGCGCGAGACGGGCCAGGCGTACGTCGAGAAGACGGGCGGCGCGGACAGCGTGGACATCTGGACCCTGCGCGCGGCGCTGCTGTCAGACACCCTGGGCGCCCTCGGCTACGCGCTGGCCCGCAGCCAGCCGCTCTTCGTCGTCAGCGGCATGGTGACGGCCGTGGGCGGCCTCGGCAGCGCCACGATCCAGTCCGCCATCACGAAGCACATCCCGCCGTCGTCGGTGGGACAGGTCCTCGGCGCCGTGGGCATGCTCAATGCCCTCGCCCGCGTCGTCGGCCCTGTACTCTTCAACGGCATCTACGCGATGACTGTCAAGAGCTTCCCCCAGGCCGTCTTTGTCATGCTTCTCTGCCTGTTCAGCATCGGGCTGCTTGCCACCCTTGTCGTCCGGCCTCATGGTAAGTGATTTTTTTCAAGACGCCACTTCAACGCATTGCTCTTCTAACATGAAGGTAGTTGTCTGGGAGCACGAGAATGAGGCACCGGAACCTCTGCCTGATGAGACGCCCGAAGCGGCGGCCTTGGCGCAAGAGACTGAACCGCTGATCGGCTAACTCGCAGTTTAATCGATTTTTTTTTCCAAATATATATATGCATGCTCGTTAAACACGGATCTTCATATCTTCTTTCCGCGATATATACGGCTCAAAATTTCTCTTTCTACAAGTTTTGCTGATTCATCATGTCTTGGGCATCCATTCTCGGCGTTGGTGGCGGGTTGGACATTTGTGTTTTAGCATAGAATTGGACGCATCAATGCTGGCAATAGATGTCAAAATACGGAATTGCAGGAGGTTTCTCGATTACAATCAAAATCCATAGGCTACTTAATAAACAGTCACCATATTGCCCAGATTGTTAGATTGGTGGTTGATGACGATGCCCAGCCTGTGGGTCCGTACCTGGCCTTGGCGTCACTGCACTTCGCTTCACAAGCTCCCCCGACCAACCGATCCCACAACATTCTTGCGCATGTTGAATCGTGACGAGTAGTATGATTTTACATCGCCTAGCTTCACGCAAGTCAAGACTACTTACTACTCGAAGATTCTCGGTGCTGCCAGCAACACAACGATCCAACATGTTGAGAAGCTGCGAGGGCGAGGAGATCAAGTTTGGGACACACGTCGTCACCAAGCAGGTATGGTTAATAAGCATCAGCCCCATTTCATGACCACCAGCCTTAAGCCCCCCCCCCCCCCTGCCGTCACGAGCATGCCCATGCGCTAATCACCTCTACCAGGCCTTCTACCGGTCGGAGCACAGCTATGCCATCGTGAACCTCAAGCCGCTCGCCCCCGGCCACGTCCTCGTGTGTCCGCTCACTCCGTATGAACGCCTCGGGGACCCCGCACCCGTGGAGCTGGCGGACCTGTGGAGTACCGTGACGATGGTGCAGAAAATCCTGGGCCGCATTTACTTCAAACCCGAGGACGGCAGGGGTAGCTTCACCGTCGCGGTGCAGGACGGGCCGGAGGCCGGCCAGACAGTGCCGCACCTCCACGTCCACGTCATCCCGCGCGTTGCGGGCGACATGGGCGAGAACGAGGCCGCAAATGACGAGATATACACCAAGCTGGCGTCGGAGGAGGGCAATATCGGCGGCGCATTATGGGACCTAGAGAGGCGGCCGCAGCCGGGTGGTGGCATGCCACGCGTGGAGGACGCCTCCCGCGTGGCGCGGGAGCCGGAGGATATGCATGCCGAGGCAGAGAAATACAGGGAACACTTTATGAAGCTCTACGGTAGCTGGTGTGATTCCAGACTTGTATAGACTTTACAACACTGTTTGTAAATGTCAACCAACTGTGTAGAGTGGCTATAGGAACATTATTTTCGCTCCCTATAGGGGCAGGAGTTAGCAAAGCGTCCACTACTCTCAGCCTTCAGGCGGGGACTTGACTTACACGCTGAGTTTTCTCGAGAGTGCCTGCAGCTTCTTATCACCATCCGCGTCCTTCATTGCCTGGGCCAATGCACGACTCCTCTCCTCGTCCGTCTGGCGCATCACTTCATCTGCAGACGGAGGCAACCTTTCGTTGTCCAAGTCGACTTTGTGAGCATCATCGAAGCCATGGATCGCGTTCTTGATGCCTTCGGCACCCAGCATAAGGGTTCCGGCAGGCAAGCGACCGCCAGACGCAGACTTAAGCTCCGAGACTCCCTCTGATTCCTCCCGGAGAACACTAAAGACGCGCGAAAGTCGACCAATGGCGAGGATCTTATTCCTGAGCGCGCGCCGCCGAAACTCCAGCGATTCTGTCTCGTGACTTCCTGGCGTAACGGCGCTAGGGGAAGTCGAGCCTGTCTCTTCCTGCAGCTCTTCGTCGGAGCAGATGCTTAGCATAGCAATCAGCATATCCATCATTTTCTCGCCGACAAAGGGTAGTGACCATGAGAAGACGTCCATGAAATTCGGGAGCCAGAACGGATGCGCGGTATGGTTGAACTGTCGAATATTGATAGTGTTGTTTACGTATTTCAACACAGCTGCCTTATTGTTGTACATGTCGACATAGTTAGGCGCGGAGAACAGTGTGATGACACTCGGAAAGCCAGTGTTTTGCGTGGTGCGATACATGCGGTAACCAGCATCCTGTGCCTCGTGCGCGCGAATAACAGAGAGGAGATTGTTTCGTTTCAGGAAATCGCATACGGCATGGTATGTATAGAAGTATGAACAACCACGGACGTCATTGTGGCGGAAGAAGTCAGTGTTGGTCTCTTCGCCAAAGTCTTCGGCGGGATCTGCCCAAAGCAGATCAGCCATCAAGCCCTGGGTTGGGGGTTCGCGGAAGCGATCAAGCTATTTATGCATGTTGAATTAGCGACAAAGGTCCGGCTTAGCAAAGTCGGGCATCAAACCTTTCGTAGGTCGTCAAGCGTGTGTAATTCAGGACTCAAGCCGCCGTGAATGCAAAGGAATTGCCTGTTGACGGTGGCGGCGAGCGGCAGATTGCAGAACGACTCGATACAAGCATCATATATAGCCCTAGAATACTTGTGCTCGCATTCTTGCTTGAAGCTGAAATAGGCCGTCAAATGACGACACTCGTGATTTCCTCGGAGCAGAAAAAAAGTATTCGGATGGTGGATTTTAAGGGACCACAGGTAAAAGACGCATTCAATGCTGAAGAATCCACGGTCAACATAGTCGCCGAGGAAGAGGTATTGCGTAGTCGCCGGGTCACCCCCCACTTCAAAGAGCTTGACAAGGTCGTAGAACTGGCCGTGGACGTCGCCGCATATTGTAACCGGGGCCTCGATCTCCAGCAGGGTGGGCTCGGCGTGAAGCAGCTCGGAGCCGGCGTTGATGATGAAGAGCGCTTGCTCCTCGGTGAGGCGACCCTCGCGAAACAGGTGGTCTTTTAGCAATCTGAGGTTCGGCTTGGTGCGCGCTTCGTCTTCGTAAAATTGTTCATCGGACAGAGGCTCCCAGGCCGGCGGTTCGACGCCTACGGAGATAGAATGACCATCAGCTACTGGCTACTTTTGCGGGGGAATACCATCTAGTAGGGGAATAGAGAGCTATCGTATGGTTCGGGATGGAGCGTAGCGGCAGCGGCGCATTCTAACCTTTGCAAAAGCGTTCCTTGGTGCTAACTTGGGTACCATCGTCCAGCGTATGAGTGGAAAAGTCGATGGTGGGGACGGGCTTCTTGAGCCGAATGGCACGAATGGCATTGTCAACCTGGCTGGTGCCGGCCGGCTCCGATATGGGCGGCGATGTGGCGAGATCGTCTTGGCTATCCATGTCTGGGTATGCTGGTGGTTGATGCTATCTTGGGGAGGGAGGGGAGAGGGGCTTTGATGGCGATATTGACATTGTGCTAGTAATAATGGGTAACCGGCTGGCGTGGCGGGGTAGCCACGGCTCTGCCTCTGCGAACCCAGCACCAACGCCAGCAACGGGAAGCACCTACTAATCTGAGGTAGGGCGGCAGAGCGGGCACACGACAGCCTCACTGCCAGGTCTATTGTGGTGGACGAGGAGGAGGTAGTACCAAAATGGTGGCATCTTTCTCTCTCGACCGATTAAGTTGCTCGCGGAAACCTTTGTAGGTGGAGTACGGAGTAGCAGGTGATGCAAAACTATTTCTGATAAGCCCTGAATTTTAACATTCGCCTATACAGTGTCTCACGCAGCATCCAACACTGTATGCGTTTACACCGTAGAGGGCCCATTTACCGTTGCGCTAGCAGCAGCCACTCTCAAAGAACGGGTTGCCGACAGTAAACACACACAAACCAAGTAAACAAATGAAACAGTGTCCGGAAGAACACCTCGATACGAGGCTATGGAGGCAACAATTATTTTAGTTTCAGACCGTTGGGAGCCATGTTGCGCTTTGTCGTATGCCGGCCAGAGCCTGTTCCTCGCACGGCATCCAAAGAGCGGCGAGCGGTGGCAGGCCTCCGAAGACTAACAAGCAAGTGGCGCGGGGCAGCAGGCCAGGCGGCTTTCGGCCACGGTGGGCGGCTTATCAGCAACAGCCAGGGTGAGACACCCAGCTTCCCAGGCTGGTCGAACTCCCGATGCTGTTGTTACACAGACACGGAGATGGTTGTTCGCGTGGATCAAAATATTTGGTTGTCGTCTATATTAGATCAGTTGTTCAAGTAAAAAGAAGCCAGGCACTGAGTAGATTTCGCCCTGCTGCGAGCATGTCACGCTTGTCTGCCAGCTGGTCGTCCATACAGTTAAAGGCCAGTCCGCCACTCATGCAGGCCAACATCATTCCTGGTCTTGCAAATGAAAGCCGTTTTGCAATTCAGGTGTACCTTAAATCATGCAACCCTGGGATATCCAGATCATCAAACTGCATGCAGCGTACATACATTGCCACTGCTGCAGGACATTGCGGCATGCGTGCATTCTTGCCTATTGACTTTGATGTGAGCACATACAGTGTCCATCCGGGTCACCGCAATCAGACACCCAGCCATCGGAGCAGAAACCGGAGGAGACCGGCCGGGCTACCAGTAGTGGTGGCATGCAGCGAAAGAATTTTTTAGTGGGCTAACCGCCAGGTGTTACTTGCCTAAACGAGCGCTGAGAGAGGTTGCTAGCGGCTGTCCCTGTCCTGGTGCCTCGCGAGACAGCCGTTTTGGCGGGGCCCGGTCTGCTTGATCTCACCGCAAACAGTGCGAGTCCCCGTTATCGAAGGCTCCGGCGCCGGAAACTGGAGCCTTCCTGCGCCGCAACCCCCCTGTCACTCACCTCGACTTATGCAACGCCACCAGATGCGACAGTGTGACTTCTGTGACTTACTGTGTTTGCCTGAGCCGCCAGTCCTTCATATTTTGCTCGCTCCCACCACTGCCTCCTTCCCCTCCCTCCCTCTCTTCTTCTCTCTTGATTATTACCATTGTTGACTGTGGTGTGTTCCTGTAGTGCATTTATGCCATTATATCTTTGAGAATCCTCTTTTACCGTCACTTTTTCTCACTGCGTCGCCAAGAAAGCGTTCCTCGCAGCTCCTGGCGCCCTGTACCCGTCAGCAACCCACACGCCACCACCACTACCACCACACCACACCACAGCACAATACCATCGCATTTTCTACGCACAACAACGCACGCACTTTCCCCCAAGACCTCAGTGCCTGTGTTGTCTGTCGTAAGCTCTCGCCGCGTTCACAAGACATGGCCCTAACCAAGCAGGCAACTCTTCGAAACCCTGATGATTTCCCGACATTGCAGCTCTTCCTACTGGGTGAGCTTCTTACTCCCACCCCCTCCCCTGCAATGCACACACCCGCGCTAACCGCCAACACAACTTCTAGCCATTGTCCGTCTCGCGGAACCAATCGCCCTTACTTCCATCTACCCGTACGCCTGGGCTCTCGTCAAAGAATTCAATTTTGGCGATGAGCAAGATGCCTCGTTCTACTCTGGTCTCCTCATCTCGGCCTTTTCCCTGGCCGAGGCTGTCATGGGCATGTACTGGGGCGGCCTCTCTGATCGCGTTGGCCGAAAGCCCGTCCTCATCCTCGGCTGTGTAGGCACCATGTTTAGCATGGTCATGGTCGGTTTCGCCTCCAACATTTGGATCGCTTTGGCCGGGCGCGCTATCGGTGGATTTCTCAACGGCAACATCGGTGTCATCCAAACCATGGTTGGCGAGCTTGTTACCAAGCCCGAGCATGAACGTAAGTCATCTTCAAGGTTCACGAGGCCCTCTTTCCCGGTGCCCCTTCTAGTGAGTGCCTTGAAAATTATTGGCTGACACCTCAATAGCCAAGGCATTCGCTGTTATGCCGTTCGTCTGGAGTATCGGCACCATCATTGGTCCTTGCATCGGCGGCACATTTGCGGATCCCGCCGAGTCTTGGCCCGATCTGTTCCCTCGTGACGGCATCTTCGGTCGCTTTCCGTACCTACTACCCAACCTGCTCTGCGCGCTCCTGCTCTTTATCAGCATCATCCTAGGCTTCTTTCTTCTAGAGGAAACCCACCCCGATATGCAGCCCCGAGTGCTTCTCCCTGCGGATACTTATGTCTCGGAAGAGACCCCGCTGATGGAAACCTCAGATGCCATGAAGCGTCCCGCCATCGACCTGCGGGCAGAGACTTATGCAACCATGCGAGAGACCAGCGAACAACGCCAAGAAGGCATTGAGCGGGAAGAAAAGTCACTTTTCTCTGTCCCCGTCTGGAACAAGCGCGTCGTCGGCTTCATCATCGCCCTCTCCATCTTCACATACCACGCTATGACATACGACCATCTCATGCCCATCTTCTTTGAAGATGAAAGAGCCTCGACCCTGGTGTCCTCGCTCAAGGTTGGCGCATCATCCCCCTTCTACTCCCCTGGCGGGCTTGGCCTCTCTCTTCGTCAGGTCGGACTAATCATGGCCGTCAACGGCGGCATTGCGCTCTTTGTCCAAGCAGTCATCTTCCCGCTCGCCGCGGAGAGATTTGGTGTGTACAGACTCTTCATCATGGTCACGGTGCTCCACCCCATCATCTACGCCATTGTCCCCTTCCTCCTTTACGTCCCTGAATCAATGCTCTTCCCCGCCATCTACACTTGCCTGGCTGTGCGAAACATTCTCTCCATCACCCTCTATCCCCTCCTCCTCATCCTCATCAAGGAGGCTACCCCGACTTGGAGTGCGCTAGGAAAGGTGAATGGTCTGGCCGCTAGCGCCGGTGCGGCATGCCGCATGATCGCACCTCCTATTGCAGGCTACCTGTACACCGCAGGTAGCAAGATGGACTGCACCGCACTGGCTTGGCATGGCAGCGTCGTTGTCGCGATCGCCGGATCTGTCCAGTGCTTCTCTGTTCCGCGATCACTAGCTGATCGATCGGAAGAGAGCGCAGTCGGAAACACCCAGCTCGCAGCTGAAGTTTCAGCTGCTGGCAGGGAGTAGACATAAAATGCCTACTCTGACCCGATGAAGCGGCCAAGTCCCGCCGTTGCCCATTATTCCCCCACTGTTGTTGATGAGATTGGGCAGCTCTTCAGCTGGATGTTCCTGGTAAGGGAATTCAGTCTGAACCTGCCCATTGCATTGATCTAGTTAGCAGATGACGAAACCTCGTAGTGGTTGGCTGCTGTTGTTGGTTGCTGTTGTTGGTTGGGTTTTGCATTTTTGCTCATGTTCTGTTTGACGTTTGAAGGATACGCTATGATTTTCTCACGATTCCCATGGCGCATGCATTTCGGAGCACATTATATCTACATGGATCGGCGTTTTTGTCTTTTTGTCGAAAAGTGTATTTCATTTACTTTCATGCCCGGGTTGGGCTTCCCTCATAATATAACGAGGCAGGCAGTTACATAGATTAGACAGGCGTAATTATAATTGGTTGCGTAACTCTTTATACAAATTTGCAAGTAATTCACGACAAATGACCTTCTTTTACTCTACAGAACGCCTGACGTTTATTAGGAGGGAGTATCCGTAGGGTGAAGGCGGCTATCAGTAGCCTTTTAAGGCGGGCCGTGGTGCGCTTTACAAACGTCGCCACCAAAATTTTTAGCTGCCGTTTTACATAGAACCCCATAGAATTTTCATCGCCAACGACGACTCATCACTTCTCACATTCTATCAGCGTACCAAATCAGTCAGCTCTCGCTGTGCTCCCTGCCAGTACGGCGAATTCGAGCTCCTTTATATATCACATACGAAGGAGGACCAGGAGCCGCAGGGCCGAAGCCCGCCCCGCCCCCAGCCGCCCAAGATGCAACTTGAAGAACTCACAGAACAGCTCATGAGCGCCGCGAGCCTCCAAGAGCAGCAGCCACCCACACAAGCCCAGCCCGTGGAGGGGTCCGCTCCCGATGCCACCAAGCCCGCGCTGCCGCCCGGCCTGGCCGCCAACGCCGGCAAGACCACCGCCGAGATCCTCGCGGACCTGAACCGCTCGCCACTGTTCATGACCGAGATGGAGGAGGACAACGACGACATCGCCGCGCTGCAGGCCCTCGACTACGAGGGCTCGCCGCTCGAGAACGCCTCCGACTTCAAGGAGCGCGGCAACGAGCGCTTCCGCGCCCGCGGCGGCCTCCCCGACGCGCGCGAGTTCTACACCCGCGGGGTGCTCCTGCTCACCGCCGAGGAGCGCAAGCGCGCGCGCGGCGAGGTCACACGGAACCCGGAGGGCGAGGCAGACTCGGAGGACGAGGTGGCGGCGCAGAGGGCGACGCTGGCGGCGCTGCACGTCAACCGCGCGGCGTGCCAGCTGGGGCTGGAGAACTACCGCGCCGCGTGGCTGGACTGCGTGGCCGCGCTGCGGCTGGACCCGCGCGCGGTCAAGGCGTACTACCGCGCCGCGCGCGCCCTGCTGCGCGTCGACCGCGTCGCCGAGGCGGCCGACATGTGCACCCGGGGCCTCTCCTTCGAGCCCTCCAACGCGCCGCTCGGCGCCCTCGCCGCCGAGATATCCGCACGCACCGCACAGCTCGACGAGCGGCGGCGCCGCGACGAGGACCGGCGGGAAGCGACGCGGCGGCAGGAGAGACTTCTGAGAGCGGCGCTGGCGGCGCGCGGGATACCGACGCGCTCCACGCCGAAGCCGCCGGAGATGGAGGACGCGCGGGTGCGGCTGGGGCCGGGCGCGGGCCTGGCGTTCCCGGTGCTGCTGCTGTACCCGGAGCACGGCGAGAGCGACTTCGTCAAGGCGTTCGAGGAGACGCAGTCGCTGGCGGACCACCTGGGTTACGTGTTCCCGCTGCCGTGGGACGCCGCGGGCGCGTACCGCCTGGAGGCGGTGTCGTGCTACGTCGAGACTAGGGATGGTGGGCTGCTCAAGATGGGCAAGAAGGCGTCCCTACTCAAGGTGCTGAGCACGGGCAGGGTTGAGGTCGTCGACCAGTTGCTCCGCGTCTTCGTCCTGCCGACGGACAAGGCCGACGGGTGGATCGCCAAGTTCAAGGAGCAAAAGGCAAAGGAAATGGGCAGGGCTTAGAAATCTGCAATAAGGGATCACGACCTTTTACTCGACATGAACGGGAGCATCTGGTGATGGCTGTGGAAAAGGCAAAACATGATACCAGCACATTTATTAAAGTATGGTGGATTCGAGCAATGTCAAGAAAGCAAAACCAAAACGAAAAACAGGAAAAAAAAAAAAAAACAGCCCGTACCCTAAAAGCTCAAAAGCTATGATATCTGCTAAAACATTGGAACTCTGGAAAGTGAGATGAAAACAGTACCACCCAAACAAGTACAGGCAGTCAAGGCTGCGGGTGCAAGGAAAAAGCAAAGAATCTAACCCGACCGTTCCGTTAACGCCTCCCCTCGGAGCACCATCTAACCCAGGTATACATCGACATACAAATCAGGTGCTCCATGTCTACCCGCGTGAGCGGATATGCGCCTCCCCCTGCAGTCCTACCAGGGCACTTGCGGCATGGTAGTCCTCTATCCTCCTCGAGCCGTCCCTCTGGGTCCGCTTCCGAGGATTTGGCTCTCCTCGCGAGGCTGGCCTCACATCACGATCCCCCGACGAGTGGCCGCTGAAGTCCACAATCACCGGTGATACGTACCTTCTCTTGAGCCCGTATCCCTCGGCCGCGTGGAGATGTGGGCGAGCCGGTGTGATCGGGTACTCCCGGCCAGCCAACTCTCGCGGATGCGTGCGCCGATGCTCGGGAGACTCATCTCCGGCGAGAGCCAGCGCATGTCGGCCGTCCTCAACATACTGGTGATTCCGGAATCTATCCATGTTACCAGAGATGAGGGGCCGCTGGCTGTTAGCGGACCGCGGCGGCGTGATGGGCGACGTGGCGGCGTTCACCGGCTTCCAGGATGATGGAAGGCGCTGTGGACTCGGTTGCATCAGCCTCTCACATTCCTGTCCGGGGAGTCTTCTCTCGTACGAGCGTTGGTCGGGCCTAGGCTCGAGGACGTGGCGATGCTGATGCTTCGGCGGTAGGGCGGGCCGAGGTGCGAACGGCGAACTTGGCTCCAGGCGCAGCGAGCGCGAGCTGAGCGCGTCCCGCGTTGCTTCCTCTATGATTCGAGGATCGATCGTCATGTCCCTATAGCCGGGGCTGCCGGGGATGCGGCATTCCGATGGGAATGTTGGGCCGAAGAGTGGGATGAGGGCGGGAGCAATGGGGTAGCAGAAGGTGGCGCAGATGGCCCTGGCACATTTATAGGGCATCCAGTATCCTAAACGGGGCCTTTGTGTCAGTCAACCTGCCAAAGCCTGTCAAAGCACATACGTGGTGGTACCCGGCGCATTTTGTCATACCTTGGGCTGAAACTGCTCCTCCTGTGATACTTGGTGTGATGTCTCTTAGTCCCGGATTCTTGTCCAGCATCTGTGAAGGTTTGGTCTTTCGACTGTGAGTCAGCGCCGCCTGGTAGAGCTAAAGATATTCACTGTCACTCAAAGCTGCACCCACCTTGGCGTATCCCAGACATTTAAAGAAGGGGGTGATTCTGACCAGGCCAACATCGTAATCCCACATGACGGTAAAGTCTCCGGGGGGGTCTGATTGGGAGCGGAACTCGTATTTGAGCACTTGGTGAGGTCAGTACGTCTTTCTTTCGGCTGATGGACAGGATTTTACGTACCATCTATGCTCTCACGACCCGTCTTCCCAAAGAAGTCTTTCTTGGAGCTGTTGTATGGGATGTGCTCGCAAGACTGTCGGATCTGTCCGAATGTTCGCACCTGAAACATGGCAATCTGCTGAATCATATCTGGACTTAGCCCTTCTTCAAAGGGCATAAAGTTGACCGGTCCTCTTTGCCTCCCTGGCTTGGAGGACCACTCCCGAGGCCGCACTGGGTGTCTGGCTGATGCGCTGCCCGCAGCGATGCGCCCGGGCGACACTTGGACGCAAGCCTCATCTGAGGAACCGTCCGATGGTTCGGGTGTCACCGGGTTGAGGAGATCTCTGATTTGAAGCATGGTAGACATGTTTCTGTGGCACTCTGCTGCTTGAGTGACAGAGTCGCGTGTGGTAGGTAGAAGGGAGAGAGAGAGAAGAAGAGAAGAATGAAGCTGGCGAAAACGATGAAAGGAACGTCGGGACGAGTTTACCAGCAAAGCGAACTGGCAACGACTAACATTAGTCGACTTTTTAAGGAGCGTGGTACGAAAAGTCGGAGGAGCCGCCGGTGCCTGAAGAGCGATGGGCAATGCAGAGTCCAGCACCACTCGAATAACTGCGGAGGGAGCAAGGTTAATAACTGTCTCTCGGCCGTGAGCGACTCTGGAGCATACTCTTTGGCTTCGTTTGGTGTTGGTGGTTTACCACCACCCCGTGGTAATCACGGCGCTCCGGGGACGGGAAGATGGAACAAGAGGCCCAGTGGGTTGGTGTTTGCGCCAGCGGCTAGAACACTCCGCTCTGGTTAGTCAGTATATGTTGCAGAGGTTTGAGGACAGGGTGAGAATACCTGTGGGCAAAGGACAGTTGGAATGGGTTGAAAGGATTGTTGATTGTTGTTGTTTTTGCGTGGTTTAGTAAGGATACTGTTGAAACGATGAGTGGGAGGGAACGGGTGGCAGCCTCGCGATCTGGGGTTCTGCTTGGGGGTTAAATATTGGGCAGCAAATCGACATATGTCAACAATGGTCGCACTCGTCGTGCTGCGACAGGCCAGTAGCAGACAGGGAGGACGTGTGCAGCCTGGGGGCAGTTCACTCCGTAATGCGGAGGACGAAGAGAGGAACTTTGGGCTGCGAGGAGCTGGAGTAACAATGAATCAGTGCTCATTGCCTGCCTACTAAGCGACCAAGGTACTACTGCGTATGTAGGCATGTAGGTAGTCATGTACATAGATAGGCAGGCAGGCAGGTAGGTAGGTAGGTAAGGTAGGTAGGTTCGAGGATTGGGCCACCACCGAGAAATGCGTGGGTGTTGACTGATTTGGGAAACCCGTGCCAGCCCTGCTGAGGGGAGAGGTAAGACTTGTCATTTGACAAGATAGAGCAGCAGGCAGACGAGATGGCGAGGACAAGGGAAGGACGCACGCAGCGCAGCGCAGGACAGGACAGCGCAGGACAGCGCAGGAGAGTACCTACTGTAGGTAGGTACGTAGAGGACTTAGGTAGAGAAGAGCAGAGCAGAGCCGAGCCCAGCAATTCGAACTTGCAGAGCATATCAAGGTAGGTACGGATAGGCGGTAGGCAGACAGGTAGGTAGGCCAGGTAGTACCTACATTGTAGGTAGGCAGTAGGTATGTAGGTACAGATAGACAGCCAGCCAGACAGCCAGACAGCCAGACAGTACCGCTCGGGGGGTGGGGAGCCGAGACGGCATATTTCTCAATTGTCATTAGCAAAGGGGCGTCACAGGTAGCAAATGACGGAAGGCAGAGCGCCAAACAGGGAAACTTGGGGTCTGTTTGGACAGAGCCGTACCTGCTGCAGGGGGGGGTGAGCGGCTTTGGGTGTCGAGAGGTGGCCTGGGCCAGCGTCGGCAGCGGGTAGCCGCATAAACACCCTGCCTATGGAGGTGTCCAGGTATACAAAAGAAAACAATGTTTTATACCGTTGAAACGGGCTTCGGGAATTTTCTGAGGGGGCATGAATGGCTGAATGAAGGATTGTATTGGGGAGGCGTAGCGAGGGGGAGTCAGTATAAGCGCCGTTGAGTGCTTGAGTGCTGAACGGAAAGCGATGGTCCGAACAGGCGGGCAGGGGGAGGGGATGTGGGAGGATTAGAAGGATTGAGGGACCTCTTCAGCTACCTTTTTTTTTTTTCTTTTTTCTTTTTTTTTCCCTTTGCTCTCTATTTCAGCTGCCGTCGTGTGCTCTATCTTTTTTTAAAGCAAGCTTCCCCGGGTGCTGCGAAACAGCTTTCTTTCTTTCCCTCTCCCTCTCCATCTGCCTCTCGCCCTCTCGCTCTTGCCAATCTTTGTCGTCATTTGGGCAGCGCCCAACCACCTCCTTGCTCATTCCCTCTCTCTTGCCAATGCCTACCTCCCCTCCCTTTGAGCAGCGTAGCCGGCCTCCTGTGCCTGCCGGATCCGAGAAGGTGCCTTGGAGTCGCTCAAGACCAGGAAACGGGGCCAAGGCGTCGACACGGTATCGGCACGGCGTGTGCGAAGAGCGATTTATTTTGTGACATGCCTGGATGAGTGTGAGGGGGGCACCTATATAGTTTCCATTTCGATAGTAGTATGCACACAAGTCATCCTGCTCCTGCGACGCCACTCGAGGTTGTACGACAGCCGCAACAGCCAATTACGTCTCTCAGCCATGCTGGCGGCTGGGTTGAAGGCGTGAAAGGGTGAAGGAGGGAGGGGGGGTAGGGCTTGTGCTTGCGGATATGATTGTGGCTGCTTGTGGTTGCAAGGCCCGTGGCCTGCAGGCGTCGAGCACACGATTCTCCGCCACTGATTGACAGGAATGCTGTGCATCTTGTCAGAAAAGTCCCGGGTGCGTCCTTCGATGGTCCGCGGATGGATGGATGAAGGAGGAGGTAGAGGGGGGGGAGGAGGGAGAAGGGAAGCAAGCACACAAGCGCTGGCCCTCTGAAATGCAAACGCTGTAGATGCCTACATACCTACTGTACGTACATACATCTCTATACGCTCTCTTTCCGTGTGTGCTGTACGTGCTGTACCAGTCAGTATGCCTGGAGGGCTGCACGATGGGGAGCAAACATGAGCGTTTCAGGAGCAGAGCAAGGAGGCGTCGTTCTTTGGTCGCCGTGATCCGCGCGTGCGTGCTCAATGAATCTTGCAGCAGCGGCGGCTCTCGTCCCTCCTAGTCTCCTTTGTCTCGGGTTTCGAAAGGCAAGTCGATGAGCAGCCGTCGCACGGGGTCTACAACCACATAGGCAGCACCAGCAACGCTGGACAAGGTCACTCGCTGGGCTGCCTGCCACATCACCGCGCAAACGACGGGCCAAGGTGAGGAGGATCTGAAGCGGAAAATAAAAATAAAAAAAAAGACACGCAAACAGTAAATAAAAATAAAATCATCGTGGCGCCGTAAGGTATCTATCTTGCAAGTCAGGTCGGATGGATATGCAAGAGGGTCCGGTGACCAGCGATGCGACGACGTTGTGCTTCCTCAAGGGACAGATGGATAGACAGACAGGCAGGCAGGCAGGCAGACAGACAGACAGACAGACAATAGGGCCGCCGTCGGTGCCGCCGCCGCCGCCGCCGCCGCCGCCGCCGCTTCGACACCGCCGCGTCCTCGAAACACCGCACACAGCCAGCTTCTCGCGCAGAGAGCGAGTGATGGGGTGACTGATGGGGTGATTGATAGGGTGAGTGACGAGTGAGTGAGTACCTAATCACAGAGAGATGGTGGTGTATGTAGGCGCCCCCCTCCCTGTCCTCCCCTCCTCCTCCCCTCCTCCTCCCCTAATGACTCGAATCGAGCAAGCTGATCTGTATGGTTGCAGTGTGGCCAAACGCCTCGCCATACGTGTGTGTACTCTGTACACGTAGTGGCAGCGAGCATGCGACCCCCGGAATGCGTTGACAAAACCCCCGATTCTGCCGTGCAACGGGCGACAGACTCTGACTGACTGACCTGTTGTACATTGTGCGCGGCCATGCGAATACCTAGTGCACCCGGTCGACCCCCAACATGGCTTCGCACCGCCTTTTCAATGCTGTCCAACACCGAGGCGGATACACAACAGTCTCTCGTTTCTAATCTGTAGACCGCATGCCGTCTCAGGAAACAACGTCGCGGTGACTCATGGTAGAGGGCATGGGGGAGAAGAGGCTTGTACAGGCTGTCGTCTGTCGCCTGTCGTCTGTCGCCTGTCGTCTGTCGTATGCGTGCTCCCTTGCTGTTCGTCAATCACTGTCGGGAAATTTGCGAGTGCGCCTCTTGTGTGAGCCCGACCGTTTCATTTTGACTATTGGTTTTGCGATAACAACAACAATGGCACCAAGATGGTGCCATGGTGCAAATTCGCCAAGCGATGCAGGCCGCGCGGTGAGGTGGTGGTGTGTGATTCAGGGACGTTGCATTCGCAGGCAGGCCATGGTAAACGACGGCCATGATGTCAGAATTTGTAAATTACCGGAGTAACAAAAATTGGGGGGTCTACTCCGTCGGTGGCCGCATATTGCTGTTCTTGGTGATGAGCCATCCCCAGCTGCGGCTGCTGCTGGCTGCTGCTCATCCTCCTCATCCTGCCCCCCCTGCTGCTGCTCATGTTCTTCTTCCGCTTCACGTCCTTTCTCCGTCACCCAAACGCTGCAGCATCCCCATCCCTGCCATGTGTACCGCATGACCCTTTTTCTCCTCCATCTGCGCGCGTCGCTCAAAATACCTCGCCCGCCATCGGGCGCCGTGCCTGTCTGTATCCTGCCCGCCGCTATGGGTGCCCGTGTACCACGTCGAGCGTCATGCATAACCCCTCGGCCTTGGCCATCAGCCACTTGCCATGCATCAGCCCATCCCGCCAGTGAGGCGGCAGTGCCTTGAAGCCGGTCCCAGATACGCCCCCACGAGTGCGCCCCGGCAAAGCATGCGTTTGTGTCTGCATCCCCGCCGAGCATAATCAAATCTCTAATGAGCGGCTCAAAACATCTTTGCTTGAGTCGGCGGCGGGGCTCTCAAATTTCCCGTTTCGCGAGTTGCTAGCCGTAGCAGAAAAAGCCCGGAGCCGAGCCCAAGGGCTTGTAGACAGACAGACGTGCGTGTCCAATCCTAAGCGACTCGTCCAGTGCCAGCTCCCTCAGGCCTTCTTCCACCTTGGCGTGTCGCTGCAGCTCCGTTAAATCAAGATCTGGTTGGCTCATCGAGTCGGCCCGCGTCCTCGTCCTCGTCCTGGCCCTTTCGCTGCTCTTGCCGGTATGGTGCAAACGACACGACCGCGCCCTTAATCAACGCCTCAATGTCACTCTCCATTCGAATCATGTGGAGAAGCAATCCTCGAGCTAGCGCGGTGCTAATGGCGCAGGATATGATGCATCTCGGATCAGGATGGGTAATGACGGAGAGATCGGCTGCAGTTTGAAACGTCTGCTCGAGGGACTTTTGTAGACACATTAAGCCGAGAGCGTGGGTTCTCATCAAACTACCGTTTGCAGCCACTTTGTACCCGGAATTCCTCCACCATTGCCGAGCGGTCGCCTCGGGATCTTTCAGACAGGTTTTTGCTCGCACCGTAGACCCTTCCGTGTGGCCCAACCGCATGGGAAGGGTGTCTGTCCAAGGCTCACAGGCCCTGTCGGACCCAAATGTCCAGGCGCATTGCAGAGTCTCTCGCCGAGATCTGCTGCCCATTCTTGTGCGAATCCGACAGCAATATCAGCGGCCCATGTTCAGTGTCATGCCTCCACGCGTCTGTTTGATGCGGATCACGATGGGCGTCCGAGTGCAATGCCGTTGCTTCCGCCTTGGGTGCCAACACAGATGATGTGGGAAGGATATAACTGAGCAGCGATATTTGCAGACAGAAACTCGGTGTACAGGCCAATCGCATCCCCGAGAGCTGGCTCAAACAGGCAACCAATAATGCCATCTCTGCAGCTTCTGGTTCTTCATCTCGCGCAACGCATGGCTTGAGACATGAATATCACTCATGCTGAATTATGGCCATGTTTCTTTTTAGAATTTGGGCTTCGTTCTACAATGGAAAGAGGACCCTTGGGGTAGTTCGTCCTGTTGCTGCCTAACAGGCTTGGTGCAGACCCGGCGATGGGGTCCACGAGGGTTCAGCCTCGGCTGGGGTATCTGGACTAGATCATGAGTACTAAGTCAGAATAAGAAGAAGTCTATGAAGATCCGGAACGGGGCACGAAACAGGCAATGCGAAATCCGCTTATTGTGAGCCTGATGGATGGACCAGGTCGAGGTGAGGGCCTGCAGGGAGTGGCCTCGTGAGTGCCACGCTAATACCGCAACGATAATCATTGCATTGAACTTCAGCGTGTCAAAGCCGAGCTGCAGGTGGCGGGAATATTAAAATCACACGTTGAAATGAGTGATTTAATTGCCACCTTCTATTTTAATCTTCTTTATTGATATTTATTTTTTTCCACTTTTTGTATTAAACTTGCAGCCTTGCGTACGGCAAGTCCTGAACATTGTTTACTGTATTGTTATGTGCCTGATTGGGAAAGTGAGATCTGGGTGCCTCAGGCATAAAAACACGCTCCACTGTGCTAGGTATTCGACAAACGCGTCTTGCCAAGCGTCAAACGGCGACAGGGGATGCTGTTATTTACTTAGAGGGCAAGTCAACAACCCAGGCTCTTGTAAAGCTACTTGCACGGCAACGAACTTGGCTCGTGTCACTTGGCTTTCACTCGGCCTCATTCAACTCGTTTCCGCCCGAAGCCCCCATACACTCGGAACCTGCACCCTGCAACCACCCATTAGCTACTTCGTACTTGCATGTGCATCGCAATTTTCTAGCCTTGCTCCCCAGGGCCTCTCCACGGCTCACTCGCTAGCCAAGGCAGCGCGGCAACTATCGCGATGGACTCCGACATCATGGACGACGATGTCTTTAGCCCAGACAACGACTCCGACGGCTACGTCCCAGAGCCAAAGGTGTGTTTCCTCGCAGATTGAGCAGCGCTACGTCGTTGACGATTCTGGGCGCAAACGCTAACGACCAATCGGTGGACAGAAAACAAAGCCCGCCGTCTCCAAGGCAAAGAAACTCACACAAACAACGCTCAAGGCAAAGGCGCCAGCTAAGAAGCGAAAAGTCATCAGCGACGATGAAGGCAATGGCGACGACTCAACCGGCTTCTCAAACACCCCTCCGAGCTCGAAGAAGACGAAAAAGGCACCCGCAGCCAAGAAATCGGGGGGCGTACCCCTTGCAGAGGTCGAGAATGACAGCATAGTCTTGGACTCGACTCCAAAACCTACGGGCAAAAAGAAGACGGCCACTGAGACCTATCAAAAGCTCACGCAGCTTGAGCACATCATCAAGCGTCCCGATACATACATTGGATCAGTCGAATCGACCGAGCAGCAGATGTGGGTGCTCAACAAGGAGACGCAGCTCATGGAGTACAAGACTATCAGCTTCGTTCCTGGCTTTTTCAAAATCTTTGACGAAATCATGGTCAATGCGGCTGATGTCAAGCAGCGTAATGATTCCATGACATATATCAAAGTGAGCATTGACCGCAAGACGGGCCAAATATCTGTTGAAAACAACGGAAAAGGTATTCCTGTGGAGATGCACGAGAAGGAAAAGATTTACATCCCCGAACTCATCTTCGGCCACCTTCTTGCCGGTTCCAACTTTGACGACGAGGAGAAGAAAACCGTCGGTGGTCGCAACGGTTACGGTGCCAAGCTCTGTAACGTTTTCAGCACAGAGTTCACGCTGGAATGCCAGGACTCTGGTAACGGCAAAAGATACAAGCAAACGTGGACGGACAACATGTCTAAGATGGGCAAGGCTAAGATCACATCCAACAAGACATCCGACTTTGTTCGCATCACTTTCATGCCCGACTACAAGCGCTTTGGAATGCCCGATGGCATAGATGACGACCTAGAGGGTCTACTCTACCGCCGAGTTTACGACATGGCCGGCACCATTCGCCGCATCAAAGTTCACCTGAACGGAGAAGTTCTCAAGATCCCCACCTTCAAAGCGTACTGTGATATGTACGCAAAGTCTATCGCCAAGGAGCGAACCGCTGAGGAGGGCGGCACCCCTACTTGCACCGTTGAAATTGACAAGGAGAAGACACACCCGCGATGGGAAGTGGGCTTCGCAGTTTCCGACGGCACCTTTCAGCAAGTTTCTTTCGTCAATAACATCGCGACGACAAGCGGCGGAACGCATGTCAACTATATCGCGGACCAGATCACTGCCAGTCTCTTGAAGACGCTGAACAAACGCAAGAAGGGCCACAGTCTGAAGCAGAGTCATTTGCGGAACCACATCTTCATCTTCATCAACTGTTTTATTGACAACCCGGCATTCACGTCACAAACTAAGGAACAAATGACTACCAAAGCTAGTCTCTTTGGTAGCAAATGCGTTCTTGGCGATCAGTTTTTGAAGAAGATTGCTTCATCCGAGGCCATCCAAAACATCATTGAAGATGCGGAGAAGAAGGCAGACAAGTTGATGGCCAAAAGCGATGGTAGCAAGCGCTCACGTGTGAGCAACACCAAGCTCGTCGAAGCCAACTTGGCCGGTTCGCGTCGTGGTCATGAATGCACTCTGATCTTAACAGAAGGTGATTCCGCCAAGGGTCTAGCAGTGTCTGGCAGAGCGATTCTCGATCCCGATCGCATTGGTGTATTCCCTCTACGAGGCAAGCTTCTCAATGTTCGAGATGCATCCATTGACCAAATCACGAAGAATCAAGAGATCCAAAACATCAAGCAGTTTCTTGGCCTCAAGCATAAACAGACCTACACCGATACCAAGTCTCTCCGTTACGGCCACCTGATGATCATGGCCGATCAGGATCATGACGGTAGCCATATCAAGGGTCTTTTGATCAACTTCTTGCAAGTTCAGTTCCCATCTCTGCTGCAAATTCCTGATTTCTTCCGTGAGTTCGTAACACCAATCATGAAGGTCTGGCAAGGATCCGACCCCAAGAAGCCGACAAAGTTGCGCTCCTTCTTCACCCAGCCTGAGTTCAACGAATGGAAGGAAGATCACAAACACGAACTGGGCAGATGGCAATCAAAGTACCTGAAGGGTTTGGGTTCCTCATCAAACGAGGATGCTCAGGTCTATTTCAGCAATCTGGACCAGCATCTCAAGGAGTTTGAAGTCATGAAGCCCGAGGAAGCCAACCTTTTCGACCTCGCCTTTTCCAAGAAGAAGGCAGACGCGCGAAAGGAGTGGCTCGGAAATTTTGTTCCCGGCACTTTCCTCGACCACGGCACCAAGGCCATCACATACACCGATTTTGTCAACAAGGAGTTGATCTTGTTCAGCATGGCTGACAACATGCGATCCATCCCCTCGATTGCAGATGGCCTGAAGCCCGGTCAGCGCAAGGTTCTGTACTCTTGCTTCAAGAAAAATTTGATCAAGGACAAGAAGGTCGTTGAACTGGCCGGTTATGTCTCCGAAAAGTCTGCCTATCATCATGGTGAACAATCGCTTCAGCAAACCATCATCGGCATGGCTCAAACCTTTGTTGGCTCTAATAACATCAATCTCCTAGAGCCCAGTGGCAACTTCGGTTCCCGTCTTGCTGGCGGTTCCGACGCTGCCAGCCCTCGTTACATTTCCACGCGCTTGACTCCCTTTGCGAGAAAAATCTACGTTGCTGCTGATGAGCCCAACTTGAAGCACCAGTACGATGATGGGAATCTTATTGAGCCTGAGGTCTATGCCCCGATCATCCCCATGATCCTTGTGAATGGTGCCGACGGTATCGGTACTGGTTGGAGTACTTCAATTCCAAACTATCATCCGACTGATATTATAAAGAATCTGAAGCGACGCATGGGTCGTCTTGATCTGAAGGAGGATGAAGGGCAGCCTTTTGAGCCCATGATGCCCTGGTTCCGCGGGTGGAAGGGCACCCCCGAGGCTGCTGGTCCGGACCGTTACAAATTCAACGGCATCGCATACCAGAACGACCAGAATCCGAATGAAATCGTTGTCACTGAGCTACCCATCCGAGTGTGGACCGATGATTTCAAGACAAAATTAGAAAAGGTGGTCAGTGGCCAAGAAGGGCCTGCCTGGATCAAGGACTACAAGGAATATAACGACCACAACATAGTGCACTTTGAGATCATGATTGACGAGAAGTACACGAGCAAGGTGCTTGAAGAGGGCCTCTTGGAGCGCTTCAAGCTCCAGAAGCAGGTTGCTACATCTAATCTGGTAGCCTTTGATGTACACGGTCGCATTCGCAAGTACGAAAAGGTGGAAGACATCATGGAGGACTTCTACCAGTACCGAATGGACTTGTACTTCGAGCGAAAGAAGTACTGGCTCAATTTCTTACACCGCGATTACCGCAAGCTCAAAAACCAAGCTCGCTTTGTTCAGGAAATCATCAGTGGTGTGCTAGTCGTTAGCAAAAAGAGGAAGCAGGTTCTGGTCGCGGAGCTGCGCGACCGCAAATATGAAGCTTTTCCGCCTGCGAAGGCCAGCCCCAAGGAAGATGAAGAAGCGCTGGGTCAAGATTCTGACGGTGAGGACGAGTCTTCGGAGGCAAAGGAGTCCGGTGCACGAGACTATGATTACCTATTGTCCATGGCGATTTGGTCCTTGACTGCCGAGCGCTTGGAAAAGCTCCTCGCGGCTGTCGCCAAGAAGAAGGGCGAGCATGATGAACTTCAGGCCAAGAGCGAAAAGGATCTTTGGTGCGAAGACCTTGATGCATTCGTGGCTGAATGGGATAAGCAGGTCGCTCTTGATGCCGAGATCCAGACCAAGATTCGTCGCCTAGGCCGCCGCGCTTCGAAGAAGATAGGTGCTGGCAAGAACCGCAAGGCCAAGGACGATGATGAGTACGAGCCTGAGAAGAAGAGCCGAGCCAAGGGCAAGGCTGCGGCAACAAAGCCTGCTGCGGCTAAGCCAAAGGTGGAAAGCAAGAGTGCTCAGCGCTTTGCTGATATGTTCAGTTCTAAGCCTCGAGTCAAGAAGGAGAGCAATGCGGACGTTGTGGAACTATCTGACAACTTTTCCGACGATGACTTTGCTGCCCTCAGCAGAAAGCCGGCTGCTCCAAAGCGTCCTTTGGCGGCCGTGTCAGCCACCGCATCGACGTCTCAATCGCCATCGGAAGAACCAGAGGCTCGTCCTAGGAAGCGAGCGGCAGCTTCCAAGGCTAGAACTCTGTTTGATGACTCTGAATCTGAGAAGGAAGACGACGATATGGTCGACGTCAGTTCCCTAGTAAAGGGCATCAGAGCAACAACGAAGAAACCGAGCGCGTCACCCGCCCCAGTAACCAAGTCGGTCTCTGCACGATCCTTCCAGATTGACGATGACGACGATGATGTTATTGCTTCATCCCCGGCGGCTCCAACAGTGAGCAAAGACGACATCATTGACAGCCTTTTATCTGATGGCGACAAACCCCAAAATCCGGTTTTAGCGATCAAGAAGGTCGCTCGCCCCAAACCCGCTGTTACTAAGACGAAGCCAAAAGCTGCGGTCAAGCCCAAAGCTGCGGCAAGCAAGGCGTCCACCCTATCACCGGCCGCAAAAATGTACGCGGCACGAAAGGCCTCGGCGCTGGCAGACGATTCAGATGAGGACATGGCTGTGCCTGGGTCGCCAAGCCCGAAGCGGGCGCCAGTACGCGCTCGTCCGGGTCGTGCGGCTGCGGCCAGAAGGCAAGTCATTGTGGATGAGGATGACTCGTTGATGGCGGAGGATCAGGATGAAAGCGATGACCCTTTTGAGATGGACGACGACGATGACTAGATGGTTGACTCGAGCCACGACAGCTGAGCTCTCTTTTTTTCAAGAGTCGTCAACTGGCTTTGGCTTATGTAATGGCTAGCGGCAGTTGCTTTTCGGCGTTGGGGTAAAGGAAGGGCGGATGTGGCTATCTTTTCATTTCGGACTCTGCTGTCGCCTACAGTGGCTCATGTACGCTTTTATATTGGCAAGTATTTGTTACCACCAGCTTAGTTGAGATTTACATTGTTTTTCCAGACTACAAAAGCGGCATCTCGTGTGGTGTTGCACGTATCAATCATCTTATCAAGGAGGCCTAACTATAGAGTCCTTTCCACGGTTTCCAAGACCACCAACCGTGGAGATGTCGATCCCTAACATTCTCACGTCAGTCCTAAAGAAAAGCACCCAAAGAAACAGTCAGCGAACCCTGGGGATGTCTCTTATATTCTTGAACCTGGCGCGTGATGATCTCCCTTGCCGGCTTCCAGAAGCACCGGATCGGGTGGCCCGGCTGCGGCCTGTTGAGCGTGACCTCCTCGCTACCTTGTTCCCGGCCGCGCTGAGTCTCAAAGGCGACGTACTCGTGGCGGCGCACGGCGATGAAGTTGAGCACCTCGAGGCGGTTCTCTGTCTTGCCACACGGCTTTGGAGGCGATCTTGCCGAGAAAGTGCCAGAACGGAAAGGGGTGCGCCGGGGGTTCGTAGCGGACGCCGACGTGTCTGAGGATCTGCTCCTGCCGGTCCAAGGATCTTCTGACATTGTCAAATGACATGGATGGGGATGGAAGAGGGGGCAGGGGCTTACATGAGGACGAGGTGGGTGATGAGGTCCAGGTCCAGGTTGTCAAAGATGGCTTCGTTGAGACGGGTGACGTCGGGGAGGGGCCAGGCGGCGGAGGCGAGGCGGTAAGGCAGGGCGGGATCGAGGTGAATGAGCTCTGGTGGCGAGGAGGTCTCAAGGTTGGGTGAAGCAGCCGACTGTTCGGCCATCTTGCGTGGAAGTGTACAGATTACGAATGTAGATGTAAACGAAAGGGTTTCCTTCGGTAGCACACGTGCAGAAGGGCAGCAGGCGAATCTTTCGGAGGGGCAATGGACTTTGCCCCGGAGTACGAAGAGGGGGAAGTGAATGTCTGACACAGCGGATGATTGAGTGTCTGAGCTTTTGTGTAACTTATTTATTGCTTTTTTGAGCCACAAGCAAGTACTTGGAAGGCAGTTGGGACACAGGGCTTGAGTTGTGGCAACATATGTATGTACATAAGTGCCACCGAGGGGATAGCCGTGTACAACTGGTAGCTGGCTGGCCTGCCGAAAATTGTATGCATCGTGTCCAGGGACATTAAATATATTTACAAGTCAGCGCGAAAGATGAGACCTTCTACTTAGATAAATCTGCAATGCATCTATATATAGACGGAGCCTTGGCCGCGTTTGCCCCTCCTTGCCGCTAACCTATGTATGTATGTATGTATGTATGTATGTAACCCCACCAAATCTGCAAGCTCTCCTCTCCTCCTCTGCCCCTCCATCTTCCACCTTTCAACCTTCTCACCCTTCCTCCACCAAATGTCCTCCTCCAACGACGAAGAGCCTCAATCCATCGCGGCCCTCTACGCCGCCGCCGAGTCGGCCCGCGCTGCCCTCCTCGCCCACCCGGACCCGCGCTCCTCCCACCCCGCCGTCGCCGCCACCCTCGCCGCCTACGACGCCTGCGCCCGCCGCCTCGCCGCCGCCGCGCTCTTCTCCCCCAACGAGTCCGCCGACGACCTCGCCACCGCCTCCCTGCCCTACCTCCTGCTCGACCTGCGCCGCGCCGACGTCCTCCTGCGCGAGCCCTTTGCCGACCCGCCCCAGCGCCGCGCCGTGGTGCGCCGCGCGCGCGCCGCCTACGAGTCCTTCCTGGCGCTGGCGGACAACTACGGGCTGGTGGGCGGTCGGTGGGCGAGGCTGCTGGAGCGGTACCGTGACGAGCCGGGGACGTTTGCGGTGGCGACAGCGTCGGGAGCGGGGGCCGGCGCGGCGGCGGCGCGTAGGGAGGCCAAGATCGCGGCGTTCCGGGCGGAGAAGGAGCTGAAGCAGCGGTTGGAGGGACTGCGCGCGGATCCTCGGTATCGGGGGGGCGGGGAGGAGGGCGGCGCGGACGAGGACGTGGTAAGGCGGGCGCACCTCGCGGCGGTGGAGCTGGGCGTGCACGAGGCCCTCCAGGGCCTCGACTCGCTGAACCGCGAGATGGAGATGCTCGCCATGGCACCCGAACGGCCGCCACCGCCCCCGAACAGCACCAGTCACGGCGCGGACGACCCCAACAGCCGTCGGCGCGACGCCGACGACAGCACCACCTGGCGACTCGACAAGCCCCTGGCGCAGCGTGGCAGCGGCCCCCTGCTGTCCGCGCAGGGCCGCCCGCTGCAGCCGTTCACGCTCGTCAGCGGCGGCCGCGCCGACCTCCGCGCCGGCGTCTTCCGCAGCGGCCACAACCTGCCCACCATGTCCATCGACGAGTACCTGGAGGAGGAGCGGCGGCGCGGCAACATCCTCTCGGGCGGGACGGACCCGGCGCCGCCGACGGTCGACGACGATGATGAGGAGGCGGTGGACCGCGCGACGTACAAGGCGCGCGAGTGGGACGACTTCAAGGACGAGAACCGCCGCGGGGCGGGCAACACGATGAACATGGGCTGAGGAAGACGGTAGTCTGAAAAAACAGAGAGGGAGGGGGGGGGGGCAGAATGGGGAAAATGGGATGCTGCATGTTGCTTTGGCTGTTCATCATTTAGAGCGTTTTTTGCTGTTCGCACATATGGGCGTCTGGTTAGAGGGAGGAATATATCGGCAGGTCTCACGTCAATCTGCGCAGGGTATATGTTGAAAATGAAAAATAGAATCAATTCCCAATCAATTCCCAATCACAAATATCAGCGTCTCTACTATAAATGTAGTATTCTGCGCTACATTTCAGTCATCCAATCATTCCCACCGCCCAATCTCGTTTCCCGTGAAAATGCATCCGTCATGCTAAACATTGATCCGCCAACAAATAAAAGCAACGTCAAATGAACTAGAAAATCTCCTTCATAGACCGCCCTAGATAAGAATCACATCTATCTCTGTGTCTAGCTCGTTTGTGTACATGTCATCCTCGCAGTCCAGCAGCAGGTCAAAGTCATCGTTGCTGATGGTAGAGGTGGAATCAGAGTCATAATCGCCATCTGGCTCCTGAAGAAAATCATCGAGGCTTGACAGGGTGTCCTGCTGCGTCCTCTGCTCCGGCGCATCAATGATGACAGCCGCATCTTCGCCCCTGGCCTCGTGGAAATCGGCAAGGTCGGAGTGAAAGCTCTCTGACAGGACCGACTTGTCGTCCGCAATGACCTTTTCGGGACGATACACTGTCGAGGCACTGTCGCGCACCTCCATCGAGGCCGCCGTGAGGCTGCCCCGCATGCTCAAGGCCCACATGCGCTCCGAAAGGGAGCCCGACATGCTCGACGCATCCGACGCAATGGTGATGCCGGTGTGGTATGACGGTCCGGGGCCATCAGGGCCCATCTCCGCTGGTGGTAGTTGATCCTCGAAAACGCCTCCAGTCCCATCGTTGAGGCCCCCCGCCCACAGAGGCAGAAACTTGGTCTCGTTGCTTGTCAAGGACAGTAAAAAGTGCTTGGTGCTGACGGTCCACAAGTCTTGCTCGTTATCCAGAATCTTGCCACCGAGCTCCTCGAGCTTCGACCTCACTTGAACATCCAGCCTTTCCAGGCTGAGCGGATAAAAGGGAACATGGTGCTGTACAGAAAATTCAGACAAGACTTCAGATAGTCTGGGGCGAAGTTCGTTCTCCCACGGGAGATACTTGTGGCATTCGCGGAGCCGGCCCATTTCCTTTGCGATGACTTGAGTAACTTCGGTCAGTGAACCGTACGAATTGTCTCCTTTTCTATTTTTTATATCGGCCCAAGCCTCCCATGAGTTCTTGAGCCGTTTGTATGGGTATGGCGTCAATAATGTTTGCAGCGGCGTCATATTTTGGCAAACATTTGCAAACTCTCGAAAGTCTGGCGGCTCAACATATGTAGCTCTGTCCGAGTCGACGGTGTTTTGCTCCATGGAAGTGAACAGATTATGGAGTCGACTTGGGCCGATGATATCGCTGGCTAGCACTGTCTGGAGCTGGACTTTGAGACTTTCAACCAGCTTCAGCGCGGGCTTGCACAAGTTCAGAGCCGAGCACTTCAAGGACTCTTCCAGCTTCAGCAATTCCAGGTACTCGGGAATTTTCCATTCTTTGAGAATACCAGGACTCTGCAATTCAGTCAGCAGTCTTGTTTTCCGCTCAACAAACGCCAAGGCAGCATGTTGAATCAGATTACTGAACTCATCGCCAGGGTCACCCTTCCTTCTACCGAAAAGAGTGACACGAGTCAGATCAATGCCGTCTTTCATCTCATCGCTAGCGGTCTGCTCAAACGCCAGCTCGTTGACAAGAATTCTGAAGGCAGTTCGAGTTATTTGAGGGTTTTCAAGAATGCCACCAATCCGTATGGTTTCCTCTGGTAGAATTTCGAGAAATTTGCTGTTTTTGCCCTGCATCAGCCACTGGATGGCCGGATCCTGGACAACAGAGACGCAGTCCCATATCTTGGCGAGGGCCACCATTGTCCATAGTCGTGGTGCGGAGTTTATGAAGACTTGCTTGCGTTCGATAAGCATGAGCAAACGGATGATGCCGTTGCGGTGTCGGATAGGACAATAATCCTTGATAGCAAAATGAGCAGGCACCTCGGCTACTTGAAGCTTCTCTCCGCCGTTGCGGGCGCTGACAAGCTCAAGTGCGGATAGAGGAAGCGTCACAACAGAAGTCTGCTGGGAGCCCGAATTGTCACCGCTTTCTTTGACGGAGATGGTCTCCGTCTTCGGGTCGGTCACGGAGCGATCGGCGAGTTGCTTGCAAGGGCAGACATCGTCGTGGCCTTTAACAAGGAAGTAGGGGACGTCGAGTCTGGCATAGGAGGACCACCATTTGATAATTCCAGGCGTCAGAGACAACTCTGTAATCTGGAACACCACTTCATCGCCCTCGGATGGCGGCGTGAGGTCCAAGACGTATTTGACGCCTTCGGGCAATTTGTTGACAAGCTTGCGGCGGCGCAGAACGCGGAACTGATAGCTAGGCTTGAGCATCTCACGAAATCGTGAGGATCCCGTGGCGAGCAGATTTTGTGAGCGAACTCGGAGACTTTTGGAACGGAATTGTTTCCCGTCGCAGTCGACGGGTATCTTGAAGCCCTTGGTTAGCTCAGGGAAGTCAACAAAGATAAGGGTGTCGCCGCTGTTGAGCTCCGCGTCGGTGAAGTGCATCTTGAAACGTTCAATGCTCGATCTCTGTTGATACTCGGCAGCGCTCATAGACTGCGACCGTTGATAGGCGGTAAGCCTGGAGGTCTCGGTGAAGGTGGTGGTGTAGTCTTCGTTTCTGGCAATGGGCTCCGTGTCGAGCCGGTGATGGCTTTTGGGGGGGTCCGGAGGCGACCTCATGTCCATGGCAGCCGTGAGGATGGAGTCCTGAATGGCCCTGTTCAGCTGCTCTTCCTCCTTGGCTGACACCATTGTGTCGTGAGTTGGCGCGGCTGGCCAACGCACAAGCTATCTAGCTTTCGGTGCAAAAGTATAAACCGGAGAGGGATAATGGACGGGGCGCTGCTGATTATGAGAGCTCAACGGGCAAGGGACGACGAGTCTCTAGTCTTTTTATGTGGCCTGAAAAGGCTGGACGAGGAATAGAATATTTTTTTTCGAGGTTATGGCTTGTTTGGAGAGGCTCAAAAGGCTTGGAGTGGGCGAGCCAGGTTGCATGTGGCTGTTGCCTGGCGAGGCGTCTCGGCTGGGCGAGTGACCGCCTTATTAGGGGCGATGTAGCCTTGAGTTCGTCACTACTGAATTAATTTAACCTGTGGCGGCTAAAGGCAAGAGTGGTTGAAGCCGGTGTAGGATTGACACGTAATTTCTTTTTCGAGATACGAACGCTGGTACGGAGTAGGGGTATTTGTGATTGTGGTAGGTATGGAGGCTGGGAAGGAGTCGCAATGATTCAGAGTGGTGCTCTTGTTTTTTGAGATACTTAATGGCATGGGCTAGATTCACCCGGTCGAATTCGTCGTCGTCGAATTCGTTGCAAGTCGTCCAGGGATCTGCATGTCGCGACGCAGGGCAGAACGGTGGTGTGGTCGTGCAGCATACGGCGACAGATGCGAGTATCATCATGCAAATCTGTAGGTGGGTTAATTTGTAGGTTCCCAGCGGAAATGCGAGTGAATGCAATGCAGCCAAGCAAGCAGGCAAATCCGGTACCCGTATTGGAGGGGGGGTGAACTGGCAGTGCGACTGATTGGGGGAGTCGGTCAGTACTGGTTTTTCCAGCGAGTGACTCAGTGTCGGCGCACAATTGTGCCATCATCAAAACAACTTTGAAGGCAGACCGCCGCAGCAGAACAAGACCTGGTGCGCGCCCAGTCATAGGCGAACATGAGCCACTGAGAGGTTAATCTGAGACAGATGCCTTGAGAAAATGCCCGAAACCCAGTGCAATTTCGAATTGCGATGTGATTTACCCATCTCGATCTGTTCAGATGGGAAGACCTGGTTGGAAAGGCGGCTTTGTGCGCAAGGCCATCTGCCTTTGCATCTAGGCAGCAATGAGGTTTTAGATTCCTAGACTGTGCTTTTTACCTTAATTTCGCTCTTCAACTATTTCCCTGTTGTCCGCCCCCCCCCTCCACGGCAGACCTTCCCGCCCTCTAATCTTGAAATTTGAGGCCCATTTCGCCAGCCCAAAGCCCTCCCGAATACCCCTGTAACCCACTGTAACCCACCTGTCAATGCTTGTCCCCCCGCAAATGGTCTGCCTTTTTGCCTGCGGGCCCCGCGTTTGTCGTCGATCCTCCGAGATGCCTCTAAATAAACAACGCCAAATGGAACCCAAGTCCAAGCCTCAGCCGCAAACTTCACTAACTCATAACCCAATTTACCAGCCATCCCCAATCTGGCCGCTAACCAGGCAGCAATTGGCAAAGGCACTTTAGCACGAGACACGCCACCGAAGTTGCCCAGTAGCTTTCAGGTAGGCAGCTCATCACCACCTTCCGGGTAGCTCACTCCGTTAGCCTACCTAAACCGTCGAGCTTTCCAGAACGCAGTACGTAAGGCAATCCCCATCCTCCTCAACAACTTTTCCGTCACCCCCATCTACCATCCTTCCCTTCCCCTCTTCTTCTTCTTCTTCAACATTTCGTCCATTTCACAAGTCTCATCTACCCCTGTTCCAACATCAACATCCAAACATGACCGGCGTCTTTGGGTAAGCACCTTGCTCCAGCTTCCAGCGCGCACGCGACAGCCAAATCCCAACCGTTTTACATGCTCGACACCTACTAACGAGCTCCTTCTCAGTCGCAACCGCGGCCTCTTCGTCGTCAGCTTCCTCACCGCCGCCGTCACCACCGCGGCCTTCAAGTACAAGTCCGACGCATATCGCTCCAACGAGATTGCCCAGCAGCAGCGCAACGGCTACGTGAGCGTTGACCGCAGCGGCGGCGGCGTCTAGTCTTGCCAACATTGCGGATGACCTCTTCATGACGACAGGAAGGAACATGGCCGCTCAAGATCGAGCACACATGCACATATACCTACATACACGCGATGCGAAGTCTGGAAAGGCAGGAGAAACTGCCAACTCCGTCAGCAATATAGCAGCCGACCACCAGCTCAACCTCCCGCGACGAAACGAAATGTACACAACCACCACATACACGTTTGCATCCAACTCATTTGCAATTGCTTCGCCTAGGCTCCCGCGCATATTTCCATTGCCAGGCGTTTTGTCAGTATTACTATCTAACTTGCAAGATGAATCTCAATCACGATTTCCCCGCTTCCAATTATACATCATGTTCTTTTTACAGTTCCATCACATGCTGCCAATTCAGCCAACCAGTCCCGCCCAAGCAAACATCCTCCGCACCCAGATCAAAAAAAGAGCAACCGCCAGATGCAACGCCAAAAATAATTATAGGAAACAAAACCGCCAACCATATACCGTATACCATATGCCACTGTAGAAATAACCAAAACATGTACAATTTGGTCTCAGAATGATCCTGCCCGTTTCGAGACGACTTCGTCAGCGTCGTCGTCGCCTCCCTCATCAGATGAGTAGGCTACGCCTTTGCCCTTGCCTTTGCCCCAGCCCTCTGGGCGCCCCGACATCTTGACCTCGCGCAAGCTCCGTCGGCTCACGGGCCGCTTGTTGGCCCCCCAGCTAGGCGTCGAACTTCCCTTGGCCCGCTTCTCTGACGGGCCTGCGCCGCCGCCTTCGTTGGACGAGTTCCATCGCGTCGGCGGCGTCGACGTGTTCTTCAGATCCCGCATCTCCTTGACCACGTCCGCGAAACTCTCCTCCAGCGTCTTCATGCGCGCCAGCACCAGCCGGCCCATCCTATCGCGGTCCGCTGCGTCGATGCCGCGCGCCACGCGCAGCCGGCTCTCCCTCATCATCGCCATCGCCATCTGCGTCTGGAAGCTGCCCGGCATGCTCAGGTTCATATGCGAGTCGTCCGCGCCCAGGCCGGTCTGGTCCGACATGACGCTCAGGTCGACCGATGACAGGCGACGACCGTCGCGGAGTCGGCCGTGAGCGGGATCCACGCTGAGTAGAGCGGTCCGGCTTACACCCCCCGCGTCGGCCATACCTGCCGGGGGTAAAATCGGCCGAGGCTTTATCTCAACAACGGCTGCCGGTTTCCTGGTCGGGCTGCGCCGTCCAGAGCTCGTGTGTCCCTCCCCGGTGGTAATGCGGCCACTACTACCGGGCTTCTTGGCCTGCGCCGCCTTGGGTGGCGACTTGGCCATGACATTAGCTGCCAAGGAGGTCTCCTCTTCGGGGTTGAACAATATTGTGTTTGTCGATAGCGTGCGACCATGCAGTCCACGACGTTGGTTGGTTGCACGAGGGGTGGTCGGTGCTCTAGATGGCACAGCGCCGTAGGAGCTGTGTGACGATGCCAACTTTCCAACGCTGGCACCAAGAGCTGGGCCGAAATAGTCTCCCTGTCGAGTCATCAGCCGCGTCTTATCCTCGCCAGGGCCTCGTCCGAGGTTTGTGGCCGCATCCTCTTCATCCTCGTCGTTTGTCACAAGCTCGTCGTCACCGTCCGCATCCGTCTGGTCCTTGAACTCGACGTTGAACGACGGCAGACGCGAGGCAGACGCCAATCCCGGACCAAAGGCTCCATTATTAGACAAGAACTCAGCCGGGTCACTAGCTGCGGACCTCACATCCGATACATGACGGAGATTAGACCCTCGTTCCCAGCCCACACTCATCCGTCTTTGCCAGTCGGGTACTGCACGACTATCAATGGTTGGCCAGTGCGTGCCGTTGCCGTCCTCCTCGTGCTGCTCCATCCAGTTGCGAATGGCATTCTGTGTCTTGCGTCGTTCATTTCTTCGTTGTGTCCGCAAAGTTGCACTTGCTGGAGCTCGCCTGAACAATTCTTCCAAAGCGCGGTCTTTTTGGTAGCCCGCGACAGACTCTTCCCGAACGCGAATGTTGGGACTGAAAATAGCCGTGCGGTTGACGGCATCACCAAAGGATATGGCGCGACGTCTGCCTCGCCCGTGATTTTCTACTAAATCGGTTGGCTCAAACATTGAGGGCGCTAGCCAAAATCTCTCATAAAGATAGATGCAGAAGAGAATGGGAAAATGCGTGGCCTTGATAATGGTTCGGTTAAGCCACACAAATTGCCTAAGTGGCATGCAATAGCGCAGCGGCATCAGCACCCATGCAAAGATATTCGTGGGCGCAATGTATGAGAACAAAGCATCATTCTTGACCATTGATATCGTGTTGATGGCAAAGACAAACTGATGCTCCTCTGTGGCGTTGGAAGCAATTGCGGTAAACGAGTTGGTCAGCACCGTAATGAGGATGGTGACCACCAGGTAGTGACAAATGATAAGGAAAACAACCATCAGCGATCGAGCCAGCCAGTTATAAGTTGGCCAAACCTCCCACACTGCAGGCGTGAACCCCATGAGGATCTGAAAGATCCTGTAAGCAACCTCGCTGCCGTCGCTCCCCACATTTGACAACGTGAAAAAGACGTAAAAGCCGCTGCACATGATGAGAACCAGTGTAAATACGGCAGCCAAATCAAGCGTCATGAGACGAAATGCAATCAGCAGCTGCGAAAAATATTGGTAGTGATCAAGCACACTGAAAATGCGCGGTAGGAGCAAGATTGCGTTGGCGGCCAAGACATCATAGGCCATGTCGTTCCAGTGATGCGGGTCTACAAGAAAGACCCCGTAGGCGCGCATGCAGTAGTATACGATGAGCAGGACCAAGATGCCAAGATCGAACACGTTCCAAAAGCTCATGATGTACAAGGCAAAACCCTGCTCGTTGAAGCCGACCAGCTCATCCAGCATGAAGCCGGCGCTCCAGAACCAAAAGACCAGCTCCAGCCCGCTGATGTGCACCGAGCGCTGTATTAGCACCGCCAAGAACAGCCCAATCAGCACCGCCAGCGACAGTGTTGACAAGAAGGACCGATAGCGCGGCACGCGGAGGCGGGAGAGCTTGAACATGGAAGCCTGTCGGGGGTCGTACAGCATGACGGTGCGCCGACCGTTGGGGACGTGATACTGGGCGTGCCTTGGCGCCGCCGCGCCGCCGCCGCCCCCCAGCAGCGGCGTCCTGTCGTCGAGCTTGCCGCCCGGCGCGCCGTTGGGGAGGCCGTGGCTGTAGAAGCCGGCGGGCGCCTCCTCCCTATGCAGAGTGTCGGCGGACGAGTAGAAGGAGATGGCGCCGCTCCAGATGGCCTCGAGCTGCTGGACGACGACCGGGTGGGCGAGGAAGTGCTTGGCGGAGGCGCGGATGGCGACCTCGAGCGTGGAGGTGCGTGAGGCGGTCAGCGTGCCCTTGGCCTTGCCGGCGGCGGCGACGCGGCCGGCGACAACGTCCTCGGGGATGCCGCCGGGCAGGCCCTGGAGCGGGTAGAAGTCGTAGGCGAGGGCGTCGATGAGCTCGCGCGTCGAGTACTCCTTGAGCAGCTTGAGGGCGAGCAGCTCGCAGACCTTGGAGCGGGTGTTGCTGATGCCCGTGTTGGCGGCGTAGCGCTGGCCCTCCTTGCTGAACTGCAGGCAGTTGGCCATCAGGGCGTAGAGGGTGGCGCGGGAGAAGTGCTGGGCGCGGATCTGCTGCTGCATCGGCTTGACGAGGAATTGGGAGACCTGGGGCGAGCGCAGCTGCTCCCAGGTCAGGGAGGTCTCGGTTCGCGTCGACACGATGATTCGGATGGCGTGAGTGATGTTGTAGACGGGGAGGGTGTCTGTGGGCGCGCGAACAGCTGGTCAGTTTGGGCAACGGCAGCGCGTGCGGAGCTGGAAATTTGCATACCGAGATGGCTGGAAGAGAAGAGCGGGAGGACGGGCAGGCCGCCGGGCCCTCGAGCTTCCGTATCTGGCATATCGTCTACGGCGTCCTCGTCATCCTGGTCTGGGCGGGGGCGGCCGTTGTCAATGTCGTGATCAAATTCATCCTCGTCCTCTTCGTCGTCGTCGTCGGCCTCTGTGAAATCGGCGGTAGCGTGGACTCGGGCAGAGAACTGGCGCGGGAGACGCTGTCCTTGGGGCGGCGGCGGCGACGACGGGCTGTAGGCGTGTTGAAGGCCGGCACGGCGCTGTTTGCCGTGGCGGGAGGCAAACATGGTTGGCCGAGCTGAGGACGTGGTGCCCCAGCGAAAATCTACCAGTTGGCCTGCTGCGACGCCATCAGACGCTTCGGGGTGAAGCAAGCGAGGACGGAGGTGGTTCAAGTGTATGTAGGTGGGAGGATGAAGGCGGTGGTGGTGGTTGTTGTCTCGCAGCACACACCCACTGGCAGGAGATCACTTGGGGGGCAGAATGCAGGAAAAAATCAAGAATCAAGATTTCGAGGTTGACCAGAGCAACTGCGGGTGCGACCAGGGGGGCGCGGATGGATGGATGGACGAGTGCTGAGTCTGAGTAGTGGTGTGGCGGCGGCGGCTGTCCCCCTTCATCAGGTCAGACACTCCCTTGCTGAGGTTTGAATGGACGATCAACGGGCCAGGGTTGGATGGTTGGCGGGGTACTTTTTTTCGCGTACATTTCTTCCCTCTCCTTTTCTATAGACGCGTTCTTTTCAATCGGATATCTACTATTTACTACTACCTGCCTACTATTATTCCCCATTGAATTTTCTTTCTGCTCTTCCGCAAGTTGCGCCGCCCCCATGAACCGACAGCAGTCAAGAGCGGGGTGGCGAGACGAACTCATTTATTTTGTGCAGCGCGAGTCCAAGATTGAGATTACAGTATCCATAGCGGCTCCGTTGCGGCTCTGCCATGTGGTCCATGCCCCAGTGAGCACGGGCTCTGCCACGCTGTGTTTTAGACGATCACTGCAGCTCTCTATACATCACCGTGTGCACTCTCCTTGTGCTACTTACCCTCCTTTCCTCCTCCTCCTCTTCTTTTCTTCCCATTTGATAACAGATCTTTTGCATGCACCACATCTAGAAAAGTCCCTGCTGCAGCCCATTCATGTCGCAAGCTGGGGTCATGCAGGCGGACGCATGACACCCTCCAAGCCTCCCCACCAGGCGAATCCCCGCCTGACCATTGGACCATGCATGCTGCACGTTCTGCAAGCTAGTCATGGGCTTTTGCCTTGTGATGTCAGAAAAAGGTTGCTTGCGGTCAGGATTTGCCGTTCACTAGTTAGCACGACGGACCATTCTCGTTTCTTCGTTTGTCGGTTATCGGACGGGTTCTGTGAGCGGTCAGTGCCACTGCTTCAAGTTCGCGATGGCAAGCGAGCAGCCGCCATGCTAATTTCTCGCATCAAGAACTATACAAAAGAATGCACAGTCGCATTCTGGCAGATGATTTGCCAAAATTGGCGCAAAACAAACAAACTGCCACTGATCCTTAATAAAGTAAAGTTACACCATCAAATACCCAAATACCCAGATACCCAAAGAGTCAGCAAGTTGCATCACACTTTTGCAGGGTAACGCGTTGCAGTCCCCATGTGGCTCAGTCAATCGTGGCGCAAACCAGTGGCGCGAGCTATCCAATCGGGCTAGCTCCGATTACTGTCCTAATTAGGCAATTCTGTAAACTCTCTGCGCTGTCATTTCGTTATCAAAGCTCGAACCTGGCTGCTAATTAAAGTGGAATAACCGTTTTCAGTTTTAAACAAAGATTCCTAGGGTAGCATTGACAAGATTGGTAAGAGAGGAATATTTCTACCAATATTCTTGTTAGTAAAAAAGCTCGTGACATACCACCGCGACCCAAGGTGGGAGTTCGCGGTGCCAGTCCAAGGACGTCAAGAACAGCAACCGAAGCAAGTTCATTGGAACTGTACTGTAAAGACTCAACATTTTTGTGAAGGGAAAGAATGAGTAAATTAATAGACGCATAGCTGTGCACTTACCTGTCTCAGTGATTGTTCTCTACATGTATCTCGGTGTTCTATAATAACCTTCAATATATTAAGCAATATGAAATATCGATATATAACTCTGCTTGTGGATATTGCGGCAGAAAGATTCATCGAATAGAACGGCTATTGTCGTCGCTGACGTGACCAAGTGTCTGTATCAGAGTCGTACGTAGGGTTGGCGCTGCTCGAATCTGTTTCGATTCTGATCGCCCCGTCTCCTCCACATTGTGACGGATCCAATGCTCTGCGGTTCTCTTCGAGCATAAAGGGAAGGACAAACCATCCGAAAATAGGGGTGTCTATGTTAAACAGAGGCTTCTGTGTACATTTACAATCGCAGCATATAAGCACACCATGTAGCAGTCACGGTCAACCTTCCATTAATCAACCGTATCTCTCTCTCATGTCCCTGAACCTGGTCTCATCAGTCTGAACCAACAATCTTCTCATCGTAGAACCGACAACTGACACCCTCGGTAGAGTAGTAGTGGTAGTAAAGTAACATTCCAGGAGCTACTTTGGCAGCGGGTTGACTTTGCCGCAATTATAAGATAAAAGGGTAAGGAATCTCGGGTCAACGGAGCCATCTTGAAGCCGAATACCGCGAGGAAAATGCTGGACGGGTGAGACGCGCAGATCAATATTGCGCGTCCTCAGATTAACAAGGCCTTGCACAATACGCACGTCATGGTCCCAGAAAGAAATAACAGTGACCTAGTAAAATGTTAGAAAACAAGAGAGCGTAGAGCGACGTCAGCGTTTCTGTAGTTGCATACACCAAACGAGTCTAAGTGGTTATACTCAGCCTTAATATGGTTCGCTAGGGCAAGGAACACAATAGTCTTGAATTCACTAGTTCTGATAACCTCGTTCTTGGTATCGAAGGGGGTGGAGTCGATGGCGTAGCATATGGCATGCGGAAATCTAGGGTCGCAGGGACGCCATCCTTGACCTGGGATGAATGGCTGCAGGCTATGGAAGGCGGTGCCGCAACGCCAGATATACTCATCGCCATCATGGGCGCCCAGCCACTTTGTGGCAGCCCTGTCGCTGATCAGAGGTTAGTCAAAGGTTTCGAAGTGCAGACAACGGAGCCCACCGTACCTGTACATTCTCCATGGGCTGCTGAAGAGTAGTGAGTCCTCGGCCTTCTGGCTTTCGCAATTCTCGACCCAAGCACTCAAGGTGTCTGCGAAGTCCGTGGCAACGCGATAGCCAACCATCGCACGAGTCTCACTGGCCTTTGGGGGGTCGGAGAAGAAGTCGTCGAGGCCGTTGGCCCAGGGCTTGCCCCGGGATACAAAGTCTCGCATGTAGGCCACGCTCGCGAGGTCGAGGAGCACTGGACTATCGGAGTTGAGGGGCTTACCCGTGGCAAAGTCCAGTGGTGTGACGGTGGTCCGGAAGTTGTTTTTGAGCATGGCTAGTGGGAGACTTGGCTTGGTGACGGCATGCAGCGGCCGAGCTGTGTGCATGGCGAAGGCCTCGGGGATTTTGCGCTTCGGAGGAGGCGGCTCTGTGCGCTGATGGCGATGCATTGTAGATGACTGCATCGGAGCCGGTCTTGGTGGTGGTTGCTCTTGTCTTTATCGTATCAATTACTCACACGAAGGTGGCAGCTGAATTTTTGTAGCCGAGCAAAACTCAGGCACGTAACTTCGAAGATTGGCAGTTGAACGACGGGCGCTTGGCGATAAGAACAGGGTAGAAATGACTGGCTCTCGTTTTGTAGCTGATGAGACGGTGGCGCGTTTGCAGTTAGAAAGGTAGTTGGCGAATGAAGAGGCTGATTGATCGTGTTGATGGATGTAGTGTGGTCGCGTCAAGTTGCGCGCTTGGAGGGGGGTTCGTAGTGATATGACGGGTTGCTTGGTGACCAGCCAGCTCCGCTATAAGCGCTGGGTCAGTGGAGCCCCATTACAGCGGCTACAGCGGGTGATCCCCTTGTGGAGGATGCGCAGCGAGGCTTGTGCTGCGAGGGTGTAATGAACTAATGTACATATGTACATAGGTACCTATGTACCTACATGTGTATGCAGATTAGATAGCCTAAATTTACCTGGGTAGGGGGAGATTGCTACTTTTCGACATGGAAAATCCTACTTCCGATTGCCTTCAGTATCCTTATGTGTGTGTGTACATACGTACCTACCGTCTAGTTAGTACCTACATAGGTACTACATAGTTAGAACGAACATGTGAGAGCCTTGCCTAAAATTAGATACCTGTATTCTGTTACATAAGTATTTGAGAGGCATTAGCATATTAGGTACCTTTAAAGATTAAGATTACAGTTACTATCAACATTATAAACGCAATACTTAACATCTCGCCAATCCGTCTGCAAAGACTTTTGCATCCACTCAAGTCTTCAGCCAGGTGATTGTCGAACCGGTGCCACCACAGCCTTCAAATGTAATGCTTACATAGCTGACTTCTGTTTCATGTGCACCTGCAGTATGCCTATCTTCGCAAGCGATCACCAAGTATTCACGGAGCGCGAGGCGGACATATGGCCCACGTAACCCAGTCTCGGGCCAGCCGGTGGGCCATGATGAAGCCCTTGGCGTATGCCTAGCGATTGTATGAGGCCAGGGCTGAGCTCTTGCTTCGCAGACTGGCAGCCGCATCTAGTGCTTTGGAAGAACGCCACCGTAAACGCGCGCTTACTAAGTTTAAACAGTCCCCTGTAATGTAGGTAACAACACGAAATACTGACTAAAATTTAGTTGTATGTAAGTAGCCGCTGATGGCGTACTAAGTTAACGAGCCACCGTACAGTCTCCGCACTCTCCTGCATCTAACACACACTCTCGTCATCACAATGTCTGTTATGGAGGTCTCTCTCACCATCCTCCATCCATCCACATACACCGGCCACGACCATCATCACAAGTGCACCGCTTGACCTCCCAAAGTATCATGGTGATTCCTGAAGGGGTTTCCCGGCGCCAAGCAACCCCCTTCCTGCAGCCTCACGGCCTTCTTCCTCTCAAGCGGCCCATCTCCTTTCGCCCATCCAGCACTGACGACGAGGGTCTAGACATTATATCGATGCCGGGTGGTGTTTCAAGCTGATATCATAATCAATCAAATCTACCCTTCCTCTCCTACTATTCCTTCGCCTGTGTTACTGCCCTACAGGGGCAGTTGAGGACGTGGCAGGTGCTATGGGGTACTTCCTTGCGCTCCAACTCAATCTACCACCAATCCCTCTTGAATACATTCCCTTTATCAAATTCCAGTTTACCGATTTTCTCCTTACCTACTACTACGCCTCTTCTTACCCAAGTCACCATGCTGGCCCTCCCAGTCAGTAAGCTCAAATGGTCAGAGGAAGTTCAAGACTTCCAACTCGAAGGCGAATCCATATTCAGCATCAGATCCTGTAAATCTGCTTCCAAGATTAGTCGCCGACAGTTTCTGATGCTTAGAGTTCTATATCAAAAGCAACGTTGGCTTGGCAAACTGTGGCAGGAGTTTGAAGACAACAGGATTGTCAGTGCGAAATCACGGCAGCTTGCCATGACCTGCCTCGAGAATTCCGCCGACTTCAAGCAGTACCTAAAATCACTCACCGTTGGAGAAGGCTGCACTGGCACGTTTCAAATGGCGCGCCTGTATCAGCGTCGCTGCGCAATGCTGGAGGGCGAGGACGGAATCACAAGCGCTCCGAAGATCGAAGTCACCCCGCGACACTTCACGCGCAGTCAAACGAAGCGGACACAGGGCTCACCATCACAGAGGCCGTCTGTCAAGAGTCTCACGGACGACATGGACAACATGACTCTCGGTGGCGGCGGCAATGTGCCGCATACTCCGAAAACGCCGTGGCACAATTCCGGCGGCGCAGGCGGCGATGACGATGGTGATAATGGTGACGACAGTGATAGCGATGACGGAGTGGACCACTGCATTTACCTCTCCCCATTTGCATCGTACGACTCGCCTCTGGCCTCACAGTACACAGACAACGTGTTCCAGGTCATTGAGGACGAGCAAATCGTCAACTTTGCCCTCTGCCTGCTGCTCGACTCGCTCGTCGAACAGTCCGGCGATGTCGTCGAGGGTGGCCACTGGACGCCCACCCGCTCACCGTTCAAGGTCAAGGACGGCAAGAGCGACGTATACCAGGCCGCGTGGACGGCGTGTTCCGCCGGGGCGGACAGAAGCTCGCCGACATGATCGTCGAGGTCAAGCTTAATTCGCGAGAAAAGGGTGGCCCGGAAGTGGACATGCAGGAGTCGGCCCAGATGACCGCCTGGGTTGCCACGCTCGCGCGCGAGACAGAGGCCGCCGCGCAGAAAGAGGCGGGTCCCGAACCGACGGCAGCAAAAGTTGGGCGGATAAAGAGACAAGTTGGGCTGGCAAAGGGGAAGAATTATAGATGAGCATCGTCCTCTTGAAGCTGGATTTGGACCTTGTGGCAGCTTACACATCTATTCTAGACGCATTCTCATCTCACAGAACCGCAATCGCATCTTCGTGACGATTGCTACCTTTGATGATGCCTATGTTGACTACATTTCCAGCATCGGCACATCCTACGAAGGCACAGAGGGACCACTCCTGGAGATGCAGCGCTATGGGGCCGCTGAAGTTTCTGAAAACGGAGACATGAAAAGGCTGTGCGCTGTTTTGCTCGCTCTTGCTATCGAGGGAGGAGTACTAAATGAGTAAATAGTACGCAGCCTGCTGCTGCTCACGTAGAGGAGAGTGCTTGAACTGGGTGCGGGCAATTGATAGATAAGGTAACATGCGTTTCAGGCCTCCTTTTTTGTTGAGTCTCCTGCTTGCTTTCTATTTTGTTTTCGCTGCTGTCTATTCAATTTGATTTGCTTTGCCTCGGTCCTCTCTCACCCGTTACCACGTCCGTTGCTCACTGTAATAGTGGCAAAACATGGAGTGGCTTGACTGAGGAAATGCTGTGCCGTGAAGGAGACATGTCACGAGTTTAAGAGAGCTCAAACACAGTAGTATGACTATTCCCTAAGCGGTCTCTTTCTTTGTTTGAGACCTGTGGTTGCCGCTGGGACTTCCGTCCGATTTGCAATTCCCTCGACCAAGTCGCTTTCGATCATGCCGGTGCTGTATAATCATGATGAAAAACCAATCTGGCTAATGCTTTGGTAGTAATTTCCCCAAATCGTTGCCCATTGCGCTTTGTTTGTTTCTTGAATTGGCAGCCTTGGGCGCAACAGTCAAGCAGTCTGCATACTTGCTGTGTAACGGATTAGGGTCGATCGATCCTTTTAGTTACTTGATTAGATTCTGCCCGCTGTTATGTCCACTAGGCTGGAGTATTGTATCCCGGATTATCCGACTTGAGAATGTCATTGTAGTTATTTGCAGGGAGGCTTATAAGTATCTGCTCATCTCCATACGCTCTTTCGCACTGTTCAGTCAATGCTGCGTGACCGAGTAGATCTCATTCGATCCATACTATGACTCAGCTATATCGGGTTGCAAGCGAGGCCCCGGCCCGTTTAGGCGCATCGCTTTGTGATACTTGTTTCTTTTTGATGGGTTGTTGTGTGCATGTAGCAATTCCGAGAATATTTAGGCCTTGCCGCGCGTGGAATGGGGCATTTGGCGAAATAGGGGAGTGCAATTCAAAAGAGCGGCGCTTGGCCACGAGTTACCAGTCTGCAGACGCCTGTTTAACTGAAGCAACCCCAAAGCTCCAACACCTCATAAGTTAGTTAGGATTTACAAGTAATTCGTACAAGTACGTATTTTTGCCAAAATTACGGCCGGCCTGGTCCACCAATCCGTGTCGTCTTACAGTCTTAGCCACTTGGCATTTGCTGTTAGCTGGTTACGAAGGGGGTCTCTCGAAGCCCCATGTTCATGCTATACCAAAGTAGGCCCTGAGATATTGTAGCAGCTCCCCAGTCGCATTATGATGGCCAGTAATTAAACAAGGTTGTACTGAATCTCATTTAGCCCTACATGTCTGGGACACTCAATCGCTAGATAGGTCGCTGAGGACCTTGGTCGTGTTGCACGAATGACGGATGGAACGGCGCCTATTGGATTTCTGGACAAACAAAGCAAGGGAGCCGAGGATCGCAACCCGATTTCCATCTCAATAAACTGGACGAAAATTGACATGGCTTGTCGAACTTGTTTCATGCACCCTCAATCCCTTACGGAGCCGGTGGCGGCCAGTAGCGGGCCAGTAGCGGGCCAGTGAGGCCAATGAGGCTGCCAAGGTGCCTGAAGGAAGTTGGTCCCCTGGCCGCTAGGTTTCTAGCGCGGGGCCCTGTAATGCAATACGCGGTGTCGGTCTCAGGGGATGCCATGGTCCTCGGCCTGTGTACTTGCTGGAAATGGGCAAGACAGGTGTCCAAAAATGACACGAAACTCAGGGAAAAATAAATAACTAGAATTGAACAAAGAATTAAATCTAGGGCCTGCGTTTCCCCGACATTTGTCCACTGACAAACCCGACCCAGTACGGAGTCTCCATACTATCGTACTGACCCTGGTCGCCCTTTTCTACCCTGCCCAGTTCGCCCATCTTCACACCCACAAGCCAAGCTCCTTTACTCGTAACCTGACCTGACTCCCCTCCTGATTCCTCTCCTAGCAAAACCACGTTTGAACAGTGGCCCTTGTCATCGACTCTTCCCATCGTCAACGCTGCCGCAGTTACCGCCGTGGAGCCCTCTTCGTCTCAGGCGTACTCGTAGCGCCCTAGATGAAACCCGCGCCGCCGGCTCCTGCCTGCCCTGACAAACAACGACATCTGCAGCGACTCGGACTTGTCAACTGCACGCCACTCAATTGGCGGCTCCAGCCCTGAATGGAAGGCTGGGTCACTCCTGAGCGTTACTGACGTCGCGTCAACTGCTCTTAGGACCGTTGCTGCTGCCACACGTTCCAGTCCAACTAACTGCACACTGGTAAACCGCCGCCAACGCCATGGCCGTTGCCGTTGCTGTCACCAAGGAGCCCGCCTCCGATCACAACAATACCCATGTTGAACGAAACAACCTTCGGAAATCGATCGATTCTGCCGATTCTGTCCAGATACCTTCTCTGGCTGCCATGACGGAGGAAGATGCAGACGCCCAGACGCCCAAGATGACACACGACTCCATGGTGACCGTCCGCTTATCTGAGCCGCCATCATTGACCCTCGACACATCTTCTGCCTCTGATTCGTCGCCGGCATCGAGCCCAGTTGTCAGCCCCAAGTCTTCCGAGCCCGAAATGAGAAAGGGTTCCAACAAGCACATCAGCACCGAGACGTCCGACGTCGACAATGGAGACAACCCCCGAGAAAGCGTTGTCGTTGTCCGGCATTCGACGGCGGCACTACCGCGAGCCGACGCAGCGCGCAGCTTGCAAGACGAATTGGGCCAATGCGACGAAAACACAAGTGATACATCGGAGGATCGAGAAGAGGTTAACTGGGAAGAACTAGAAAAGACTGAAGATCAGCAAACAAAAGACGATGAAACAGACAATGTGAGTACCTTGAGTTGCCCCAGGAGCCCCTATATCTTAAAGCAAACGCTCATCTCGTCACCCTAGTCGACGGCACTACTTCTCGCCAGACTTGAACAGGAAAACGCAAAGTTGGCTACGAACCCCAAGACCGTCAAAGTCCAAGCCGTCGAGAAGCTCATAGCCGCCAAAACTCGACCGCCGTCCATGGCACAACTTCGCCAAATGATCAGCAGTCCGGCACCTCCTGAGCTTCGATACTCGATGCTGCCACCCCCTCCCATGACCGACCTAGAATTTTACGCCGCTTTAGTCAAAGACTACCAGCAAACCGCAGCCCGCCTCCCGACACTATTATCAAACAAAATTAGAAAGGGTATCCCGCCGCCACTCCGTGGCGTTGTGTGGGTGAGCATGTCAGGCGCAAGAGATGCGCAGTTGGAAGAGCAATTCGATCGTTTCAGTGGCGAATCTAGTCCCTACGAGCTCCTGATTGGCAAAGATCTTGGCCGCAGTTTTCCAGGAGTCGACATGTTTCGCGACCCAGAGGGCGACGGACAACGCATGCTCGGCAACGTTCTTAAAGCCTTTAGTCTTTATGACACCAAGATTGGATATTGCCAGGGCCTAGCATTCCTCGTTGGTCCGCTGCTCATGCATATGCCGGACAAGCAGGCCTTCTGCGTCCTAGTTCGGTAGGTGTCCATTCTGATAGCTACTGCGGCTCCTTGCTAACAGCCAATAGACTCATGGAGCGATACGACCTAAGAGCATGCTTTCTTCCTGACTTATCGGGATTACATGTGCGCATCTATCAGTTCCGAGAACTCCTGCGAAATAACTTTCCAGCTCTCTCTGCGCATCTAGAGGAGCTGCAAGTAGAAACAGCGTATGTGTCTCAATGGTTCCTCAGCTTCTTCGCAGTCACCAGCCCGCTCCCCATGCTTTTCCGCATATATGATGTTATTTTTGCGGAGGGGGCGTCTGAAACTCTAATGCGCGTTGCGCTTTCGCTGATGCGCAAGAATGAGTCCCGCTTGCTGGCCTGCTCTGAGTTGGAAGATGTAATGCAGCTCTTGCTATCCCGTGGTCTCTGGGACTGCTACCACTACGATGCAGACGAATTTGTCCAAGACTTTGCAAGCTTAACCGCAATTGTCACTCGCGAAAAGCTGGCACAACTTGAACAGGCTTACCGAGAGTCACTAATCGCTACTGCCAACGCTGCTCGTACCTCTGACATTACGACAGCTGCTAGCCGTTTCCTGGGACGAATCTGGGCAAACTCTAACCTCAAGACTGCGACGTTGGCTCCTGGACTTAGTGCGCCGGGTAAACAGTTCAATATCTTGAGACGTAGCACGTCGAAGCAGAGTCTTGCATCCACTCTCAACTCTGTGGAAGCAAGCTCTGCAAGCGTTAGCAGCTCTACCTCTACAGATGGGACCAGCTTGTCACGAGATTCTGCCAACCCCGAAGATGTATCCTCTAGTCGAGAATCCACGCCGGTGGGACCGAAAGCTGCGGCCAGCTCAAAGACGACCGAGGACCGATATCTACATAGCCAGATCGAAGATCTACTAACAGCTCTTACTGAGCTGCAGCGCAGCAATGCGCTCGTGACGAACCAGCTGCAGCGCGAACGCGAAGAACGGGACGAAGATCGTCGAGCTGTTCGCTCTTTACTCGACGGTCTGCGGCGGCGAGCGGGCAATTCGGAGCCAGAGGATGCCGAAGCCATGCCGCGAAGTCTCCGGGACTCTGCGATTGCCGAAGATATTGAAGACGATGAAAATGAAGAGCATGACGCTGCTGAGGAAAGCGATGACACAGCTACAGCCGACGGCAAGAGTGTCAAGGACGAAGCTTCTGTGAACGATGTGGAAGAGGATGATGCGGCAATGCCAATGGCAGACGAGGAGCAAAGACCATCGGGGCATGAAGAGACCTTAGCAGCGCTCGAAGAACCTGCCGGGCCGCCTTCGACAGAAGATCTCTCGGTGCTCCTGGATCGAGTAGAAACAAGATTTGCGGCGGAAAGTAACAGCATGAAGCACCGATCATCGATGCTCTTGACAAAATCTCAATTGCGAGAGGAACTGTCTCAAGCGAAGTCGGAGCTAAATGCTGTGACAGCGCAATGCCAGGATCTCAACCGCCGTGTATATGATATGGACCAAGAGATGGCTGCGACAAAGGATCAGCTGAAAGATCGCCATAGCCATGTGCGAACGCTTCATTTGGAGAAGCAAAAGCTGGAAAAGCAACTACATAGCCTTCGGACTACACGAGCATCAGCCAGCCCGTCGTACGATACAGGAACGAAAGACGCAGATATGGACTGGGCGGCGGCTAAGGGAGTGAACGGGGCAGGTCTGCGAGAGTTTAAGCTTGGACGTAGCAGGTCCACGCCATCGACTCAGGGCAGCCTGCATAACAAGCGCATCTCGTCGCTGCCACAGCCAAGCGAAATATTGAACGAATCACCACCGAGCGAGCATGAGGCCTTGCTACTGGAGCTAGTGCAGGCGAAGACGGCTGAGGCGACAGCGAAGCAGGAGGCGGAAGAGGCGAAACAGAAGTTGGAGGCGCTTCGCAAAGCAACGGGCCTTGCGCCTGGCGACTCCCCGTCGGCATCATCGGTAGCGGCGGGAGCCATGGGCATGTTCGGGCGGCTGACTGGACAAGCTCCCGCAGCGGCACCAACAACGGAAGCACCTGGAAAACCAACACCTTCAACTTCGGCCAGCTCGGCGGTTGGCGGAGGATTTTGGGGATGGAGGAGGTAGCAAGACCAATTCGAGGGTGCATTGATTATTTCTTGTACATAGGCATTCCACGGGCATGAGAGAATTGTCTCCGTTGGGTATCTTTTCGGCGCAGCAACGCTAGTCTTTGGGTTTCAAGGTTTGATTGGGGGTTGAGAAGCGGATAGCGACCATTTACATATTAGGCCCTAGCATTGGGATTGGGGAAGAAATGGAAGATATTTACAGAAAAGCAAGGCGGAAGTAGCATTGCTAGGAGCTTATAGATGATAGGGTAGCCACAGAGCAAGGAAGACGATGGCTATAATTAGGATGGCGATATGCTTGGTTGGATATATTGTCCTCGCGTGACTGATAGCTCGTGCTTGTGCTAGAGGCAGAGTGTACCAACCTCCGGATAGCTGCTTAGTACTGCATGGCGCATGCAGGCTAGAAGTAGATTGCGCCACGCCTCGGCAGTTGTAACTTTTTGGCAGACAGGTAGCTCGGCGCAGTAGGACCAAGAGGCTCTTGAGGACGAAGGACCAGCACGTGCTCACACGTCGATGGTGAACAGGTGATGTAAGCACATGGCGAGGGCATCAAAAAGTCGGGCACCAGAAAGGCTGAGGCGTGTTCTACGAGTACAAGACCTGTCCAAGAGGTACAGGTTGAGATGTAGAGGACAACTGTGGGAATTGTTCTTTGAACAAATTGAAGAGAGAAGCGGCGGGATCGGAGGAGGTAGCGTGTACCCGCGGACAGGGTGTCGAGAGGCGTTATCTGGCCAACCAGGGGCGCGCAACGGGCCGCGTTGTAGCGGGGACTGGTATCGGGGGAACTATGATGTTAGGTAGACGGTACCGATGCAAGAGAGGTCATCCTGCGAGGAAGGGAAGTGGCAACTAGTTACTGTAGGTGTTTGGGAACAACATCCCCTCTGCTGGTCATTATGCAAGCTGTGCAGGATGAAGAAATCATTAGACGAAATGCTTGAATTGGGAAAGAAACGTCTTGTTTCATCTGGCTTCAAGTACAGAGTAGCGGATTGAACTATTGAGAGGCACTGCTGAGGAATGAAACGAGGTAGACGGGTCTCCATTATGCTGGTTTCATTCTTGGGTGATGTACGGAGTATAGTAGTGTATCTGTCTATACTGTACGGATACACGGACGACAATAATGATAACGATAACAATGGTCCGGCGGCAGCGGCGGCAGGCTTTCTTTACCGGGTCCGTTCAATATTATTAGCCCTGGAGGGAGTGTTTGGTCCCGGTTCGTTGGCTTGTGGGTATGTGATGTTGTGGACAGTGGACACCGCTATGGCGACGAAAATAGTACCAATCGGTCGGCCGTCTGGAATTCAAGATGTAAGATGTGTGCGAGTTTGATTTGGTGCAGATGCGACAAGGGCTTTGTGAATCAGGGCCGGATCGGTTCACGGGCCATGAAGAGAGGTACTGTACTGTAGATGCCTGCCAGGCTGTGATTCGCAGGCGTTGCTGGCAAACAGCTTGACCTCGGCCAAATGTATGTCTATGGACATCTGCAAGCCGCCGTCGCCAAATGCAAGGGGAGCTCGCCCTCTCTGCCCAAAGGGCACAATGTACATACATAAATAAGTAGAGTTACAAGGGCTGGCGGCCGGATGGACACACCTGCATGCAAACCCGGGTGACCCGGGCCCTGTTTGTGGCGTGGCTTTTGCTTTGGGCATCGTGTATTTTGCCGACTTCATCTTGTCGTCATCAGCTGCCACGATGATGCTGGTGTGGCTTGTGCTTGCGTCGCCCCCAGTTGGGCGTTGCTACTGATGGACACGCACGCGTGCCTTGTAATGGGGAGCATGATGATCATGGAAACGCTACGAAAAGCGAGGAAACCTTGGAACTGTGCGTTGATGATGGCTTTGTGATGTGCAAGTTGGTGCATCTGCTGGCTCAATTATAGCGCCCTGGTAACGGCGCTGAGGCAACCTGATAACGCTACAGACACGCGCCACAACGCCTCCTACAGTAGCTTGGTTCCATGCTCTTGGACTTGGATGTCCAGAGCTCGGTACCTTCGCTAGGAGCTCCCCGGGCAATCAGCTGCTTTATTTATCAAGGTTAGCTACCTATCAGAGGTACCCAAGCTGCGACATTCCATTCCCCTCCAAACCCCCCCTCTTGTTTTATTTCCTGGCAATTTTGCTTCTGACCTTGAAAGCTCCCCTCCGCCTTTTTCTGCCTCCTTCTTCCCTCTCTGACACAGGAAACACTTTTTGCCTCCTCCACTTGCACATCTATCTTGCCCCGGCGCAGTAATATCTTCATCAAGGTACGTGACAATCCTCAACTCTTTCCGTCGCCATCTCAGATCCATCATTTTCTGAGACGAAGACGCCGGCCCCCCCTTTTGCGCCCCCTTGGGCTTCCTTGACAACGGAGCATTCATTGCTAGTCTCCTCATAACGGGCCCCATACGCGGCCCAGCATGCTTTCTTGGGTAGCTCTCGCTAACAAGGCAAGGGTCGCTTGCCCCCTTTAGCAGTGAGGAAAAAAAAATACAAACCTGTCCAGCCAGCTCGCCTTCTGCGCCAAACATCACCACACATCCCGCCCACGACTTCGTTCCTAGCTCGCCTTTCCCCCGAAATCGATCAAGAACACAGCAAAAATGGCAGATATCGCTGATGCGACTCCGGCTGCCAACGGCGCCTCTCCTTTCGAGAAGACCAGTATGGTGCGTCTTCCTGTCCCTTCCCTCTCGCCGCCCCCTCCGCTGCCTGGCTAGAGCTAACACAGGAGACAGTTTTTTCTTTTGCATGTGACGCACACTCGACCGCGTGGCCTGAATAGCTAACACCTGGCCTCTAGATGCCTCCGTGGCTCCCAAGCCTGCTGTTAACGGTATGTTTCGAGCTCTAGACACTTTTTTTTTTTCAATAGCTCCGACGACTAACATGCTTGCCTTGCCGCTGCGCCCCTTCCAGGCCGCAAGTCCCTCGGCGCTGACGCTCAGCCCATGACGCATTATCACTCCTTGTTCACTGATCTCCTTTCCTGGAAGAATCCCCGTGAGTCTTGCCCTCCAAGACTGCATAGCTTTTCGAGCCGTCAGCCCGCTAACCGCTCCGCAGGCAACTCCGCCATCGCCTATGGCTCTATTGTTACCTTTATTCTCGCCACCCGTTACTTCGACATCCTCCGCTGGGCCATCAAGCTCTCATGGATGACCCTTGCGGTCACCATCACTGCCGAGGCTGCCGGCAAGCTTGTTCTTAACAGTGGCATTGCTTCGCAGCTTCGCCCTCGCCGTTACCACACCATCCACCGCGACACGATTGACGGTGTTGTCAGCGATGCTCACGAGCTTGCCAACTTCTTCATTATCGAGGCCCAGCGCATTCTATTCGTCGAAAACATTGGTGTCTCCGCTGCCGTAAGCTTTACACCCAGCAACTCACGCTCGCCCTTCTGACCTCAACTGATCGTACTGTAGGCCTGCGTCGCTGCCTTTATCTCCTACTTCCTCGTCAAGCTCGTTCCCTACTGGGGCCTTGCCATCCTCGGCACTACTCTGGCTTTCTTTGTTCCCCTGGTTTACGCTGCCAACAAGGAGCTCATTGACGAGCACCTCCAGACCGCTTCCGAGGCCATCAACGCCCAGACTGCCCAGGTCCGGGAGGCTGCCCAGAAACAGGCCGATCAGCTCACCGCTCTAGGCAAGCAGTACGCTGGCGACTACACTGGCAAGGTGCAGGACATGATCCGCGGCCGCCCTGCTCCCACCGCCGCCCCAGTTGCTCCCGAAAAGACCCCCGCAAAGGCCAAGGCCCCCGAATTCCCGACCGCTCCTACCGAGGAGCCAATCGCCCCGGCCAAGGAGGCCGCCTCCGAGATTCCTGAGATGCCTGCTGTTCCCGAGCAGGAGCCTCTGATTGCTGCCTAAACGCGAACCTCACAATGATGTCCATGTGCACATGAGCTACGAGGGAGACTAGGTCCTTGCTTGGCAGGCAATTGCCAGGATCCGGCCTAGTCAGAGCTCGTCCTACGACAATATGGTTTTTATGACAATTTGGGCTTCGGTGTGGTTGTGTTTTGCGACGAATTTCATCTCTTTTTGGTTTCTGCACGCATTTTTCTCGGTTGGAGGTCAGCCGGGACTGCCTTCAAAGCATGGCGTCTTGCTGGAAAGCATCATTCAGAGTGTTTTCCATGGAATTGTTGTTCTCGTGTAGGAAAAGTCGAAAAGATCAAGGAGACTGCCGCAGAAATGTGGTGCAACATGGGCGATTTTATCTTAATTGGCGGTGGTGACGAGCAAGTTTTCTTCATATCCTGCGGGCTCGGGCTGCATTGCTTTGATGGAACTTGAGCCTCAAAGCCGACTGATGCTCAAGACTGCACAGCGCGTGTACATGAGTGTTAACGTGTGTTTGTTTTTGTATTTTGGCAATGGACCCTGCTCTGTAGCTTTTACCTACCAATCCCAGACAGTTGATATACTTTGGTTCTCTACTAATTGTAAACAGTAAGAATGTATTTTCCCATTGCTCCGCGGTGATGCGTGATGTAATGTATCAACCAACCAACTATATACTCTGACCGACAAAACATGCCCTTTTTATAGAAACCAATGAAAAACGAAGAAGACCATAATGCAAAAAATACCAGCCCACAACAGCCAGTGGCCATGACTACTTTCTGCTGCGCTTGCCGCCCGCGCCACCCCCCTCGTCGCCCGCGGCTCTCTTGCGGCCGTTCTTGCGCCAGAAATCCTTGGACTCGCGCTTCTCCCTAGCCTCCTTCTTGGCCACGTTGTCCGCCATCTTCTTCTTGAACGCCGTTCGCGTCTCCTCCTTCTTCGCGCGACGCTTCGCCGCCGCGTCCTGGCGCACCGTCAGCAGCTGCGACATGAGCGCGCGCGCCCTCTTCTCCTCCTTGGCGCCCGCGCCCGACGCCACCACGGCGCGCTTCTGCATGTACGTCTGCCTCCTCTGAGGTCTCGTCTCCACGATCTGCGACTTGTAGGGGAGGTCGGCGGCGAGGGCGCGGGGCACCTTGAGCGTGTTGAAGTGGCGGTCCTCGCGCTCGACGGCGCGGTACTTGCTGTTCTTGAGCTGCGGCGCGGACAGGCCCTGGTCGCGGCGGACCTCGCCGGTGAGGCGCATGGGCTGCCAGCCGACGAGGTTGGTGACGGGGTTGCAGAAGCGTCGGGGCTTGACGGGGTACCAGGCGCGCAGGAAGACGATGTCGCTGAGGAGGATCTTGTCCTCAAAGGTGGCGCGGAAGTGGCCGTCGGGCTTGGAGAGGGCGCGCTTGATCTGGCCGCGGACGCCGGAGACGGTCTTGATGGCGGCGCCCTCGAACTTGGCGATCTCGAGCGACGAGGTGAACATGTCCTTGATGAAGGCGGTGTTCTTGAAGATCTTGTACGGCACGCCGGTGAGCTTGAGCTTCTTGACGATCTCGGTGGACTCGTCGACGGAGAGCACGGTGCCCGTGGCGGCGATGCGGAAGCCGGGTGTGCCGGCGGCCATGGAGTTGAAGCAGACGAAGCCGCTGTTGGGTGCGATCAGGGGCGCGTAGATGGTGCCGAAGCAGTGCATGTGCTCGGGCGTGTACTTGAGCATGCGGTTGCGCGTGCGCGAGTCCGAGATGGAGTAGACGGGCAGCGACTGGAAGCGGCGCCAGCCGAGGGAGAAGATGAGCGGGTCGTTGGTCTTGAGGATCTTGCGGTGCCACCGGTGCCGCTTGATGCGCACCTGCACGAAGCCCCAGCGGTCCTCGGTCGGCGTGAGCCCGCCGACGATGATGGGCATCCGCGCGTCGAACCGCGTCACGAACTCGGCCGGCACCCCCTCGAGCACCAGCTTGGCGTACCGGCCCGCGCGGAAGCCCTCCACCGCGGATCGCTGCCGCTCGTCGAGCTCCGCGTACGCCTCCTTGTTGATGTCCAGCTGTGTCTGGATCATGGCCTTCTGCGCGTCGTACCAGTCGTCCTCGCCGAATTCTTGCACGTCGCCGCCCTCGCGTCGCGCGTTGGCCTTGTCGTTGAGAAAGCCGTCGCGGTCCTCCTCCTCGAACCGTTGTCGGAGCTCCTCCTTGCGGCGCGCGTTCTTCTCGCGCTCCACCTCGATGTCCTCGGCCGTCGGTTGCTCTACCACCTTGCTCTTGCCCTCACCATCCTCGGCCTCGAGATCTTCAAACTCGCCGTCTCCCTCACTGTCCTCGGCGTCCGATGCGCCGTTCCAGCTTTCGCCATCATCGTCGCCGCCACCCCGGCTCATATCTGCGGCAGTGAATCTGCGACGCAGAGCCTCCATCTGTTCTTCTTCCGCCCACTTGGTCGCCAAGTCCTGATAGTCATAATCTGGGATACAACGATCTTCCATGAGATCTTCCGCTTCTTGGGATGTCTTCTTGAAGAAGTCGTCGTCGTCCTCATCCTCGATATTCTCTTCCTTTTCCTCTTCCTCGTCGCCCCTCCATCTTTTTAAGGCTTCCTCGGGTGTCATAGATATATCATACATGAATCGTGCTAGGTCGCCAGTGTGATAGGAGCGCTTGCGGCCATGCATTTTGAGGGCCTTGCCGGTGAGATCCTCTTTCCACCGTAAGGCAGCGGCCTCTTCATCCGAGTCGTAATCTTCCTCGTCGTCGTCAAGCCCTGATAGGGAGCCTAAATCAGAGTCGCTGTCGGCGAATGCGATATCATCCTCGGCATTTTCCTTGTCCTCCTCTTTGCAGAACATGCTTCCCAGCTTGCCTTCGTCAAACTCGGTTTCGGAACCTTCATCGCTGCCACTATCAATACCATCGTTGCCCATGTCTTCGTCGTCATCGCCCTCACGCTCTGCCAGTCTCGCCTTACGCTGAGTTTTGCGGCCAGTGTCTTCTGCCTCTTGAGGCACATCCTTAATGGCCTCTCCACCCTGGAACAACTGCAGACCCTCGTCTGTTTGACCGAGCAGTCTGCGCTCGCCTTGGAGGCCAATGATCATTTCTTCACCTTCACCACGCTCGCCGTCGTCCTCAGCATCTTTATCAAAGTTGAAGCCGTTTTCTTTCGTGATCCAAATAGCGTCACCGTCAATTTTTAAGCCACTGCGGTCAGACATGGGCGCATGAAGTCTTTTTTCCTTTTCATCTAGTCGTCTCCGGCCTGTTTTGCCTGTAATTTTAGCCAGAGCCTGCTCCATAGCTGGTGTAGGGCAGGGATCTGGCTGAACTTCCATATTAGCGACAGTGAAGTCGCCAAGCCCTGGGATATGCACTCGCTGATCTTGGGCCGCAAAATTGGTGCCTCGGAGATAGCCCGATAGCACGATCGATCGGTCGCATTTCGGATCGGCTTCAATCTTGGTCGGGTGGGTGATGTCGCGGAAGCTGTCGATTATTGTATATGGGTGTGCGTTGCGCCAAATTAGTGGACGCGGATTCTTCATTACGGACAGGAAGCGAGAAAGGTTGTGAATTTCACGGTCAGGATAGCGACCGTTCATAACACCGGATAAGTAGAAGAGGTGGGCGCCTTGGTAGAGTTCTGTCCAAAGTCTTTTTTTGAGTCGCTTCTTGGCCTCTTTAAGCGCCTGTGGCTTTCGAAAAAGATCCAAATGTGTCAGGACACCGAAGACGTTGCCAGGCATACCGGTGGCGGCGAGAATATTGAGGAATTCCATCGTTTCCATTTCGAAGCCGTAGTTGCCGTCGATCAGTAGCAGAACAATGTCTGCCACCTTGGCAATATCGACCATTGCCTCGAGCTCATTGGGGCACTCGACAAAGGTAAGGCGTTGCTTTTTGGACGTAATGACAGTAATCGGGCCCTGGGGATCGGTGATGGTCTCTTTGGCGTATCGGCGGATTAGAGACTTGAGCAACGTCGTCTTTCCCACGCCGGGAGGGCCGACGAGGGCCACAAGTCGAGGAGGCGCCTCATCTGGAAGTCTGTCGACTAGAGGAACGTGGAAACGCCTCTCTTTGATCTATTCAGCGGACAAGGTTAGCATAGTCGCTGGGCGCGAGTCGGTTCTGCGACATACATCCGAGGAGCGAGCAGCTGTCCGCTGAAGCTTTCCGGGTCGCGCAAAGGCAAAAGCCTTGGGATTGCGCTCTCCGGAGCTCTTTTGCTTCTTTTCCTTGGATTTGCGGTGCGGCTTGTGCAGCTGCTCCATGGTTGCGGCGTTCTATCGTCGTCTGAAGCAAGAAAAAAAATCCATTGGCTTGCGCCAGCCATAAAAATTTCTGGATGGTTGCTTATCGATAACAATGCCTAGCGGACCACTTTTACTAGTGCGTGAGGCTACCAAACAATAAGACACAGGGAACTGAGAAGAACTCTAACACTGGGCATGTATATGAAATAAAACTGAATAGCTACGTAAAATGTGCAATGGTTTATTGAAGAAAATTTTCTTCGTTTATACATTCTCAAATTTGGATAACTCGCTGCCGCCATCGCTTGTTTTATAGCACTGATGCATCCTAACCTTCCCCCCCTCCCCACCTTATTTCACGTCGCGGGTGATCAAGGCTGTTTGTAGCCCTTCGTTCATCGATCAACCGCCACACTCAGTCCATCTGGTAGTTCTTGCAAATACTCTCGCTGCTATGAAGACAGCCAAGAATGTATTTTATTTAGCTATTTACTGAAGAAAGATTCTGTCCATAATCAGAAACCCCCTTGCGACAAGTCGCTTGACCTGCTCTTCCGCTTCCTTTCCATCAATTGCTTCCTCGGCCAAGGTAGGCAGGCAACCTATCTTTTCAGGTTCCAGGTTCGAGCTTCTCACGTCTTCATTACGGGATAGAGGACAGCGCCGGCCGACGGAACGAAAGAAGCTTTGTTCTCGAGGAAGGTTGGCGTGGCGACTTCGACTCCTGGCTGATGGAGGCGGATAGCGTGGCAGGAAGGGAATGCAGTTTAGATAGAATTGACTCCATTTTGAATCTACCATCTATGCCAGTCATCTTCGATTGTGAACATGTGCCTTGTTCAAGCCTCGACGAGGTAGCCAGCCTCGTGCCGAACTGTCGCCAGACCCTTTTCCAAACAATAGCGAGAGAGGGCTTACCTCGCGTATGAGTCAAGAATTGGTTCATAGACGCAAAGGTAAATTCTAGAATTTCGTGCTACTGTAAGTGGTAAGAGCGGTCGGCCGCCACCGACAGCGCGGCCTGGTTCTTCCCATGACCAACAGGCTGGCCATGGTCGCTGCAAATTAGAGAGGGATGAAAACAAACAAGAACAAACATAAAAATAAAAATTAGAATTATTCTATTGTATCCTTGCATTTTCCCATAGTCTTGTGCTGTTAGATCGAGGGGACACAGCCCCGCCGGTAGCCACTTTCGAAAACATCACTTCGGAGGTATTCTTGGACGTGATGTTGGGATAGGCACGCCGAGGGGGAGCGGGCAGTAGGCACCCATCTTTTTATTACGACTGCAAGCGCCCCATTCCTTGCAGGTCATCACGTACTCGAGCCGGAGGGTGCCGTTGGCGCTCTTGTGGCACTGGAGGAGGGACTCCCACACGTGGAACTCGTCCACCGGGAGGCCCTGCTCCGCCAGGATCTCCTTGACCCGGCCTATGTTGTCCCCGGTCGGATCTATAGTTTTTGTGAGAGACAAAGTCAGCGGCGTGGAGCAAAAAAGAATGGGCTGCGCCGGCAGGGGTGGGAGAAGAGAAAGAATGAAGACTTGCCATATCGGTTATAGTGAGCAGTGCAGTATCGGTTCTTATCGACGCAGTAGAGCTTGTATGTGAGGCCGAGGGGCGCGAGGGAGAGGGCCAGCGGGACGGCGAGGGAACACGGCTTGACCATAATGACACGTTTTTGCGAAGCGGTAATGTGATGAACGGTTGAGGAGTTGAAAGGTGGAAAAACAAAAAACTTGGAATAAACTGACGTGGTAGTTTATGGTTGAGTGTTGATGGCAAATCAGGGCTTGCTAAACTCTCGCTTGTCAAGCCAACCTATGTAAACACATTGTGCCTCTGAAAGAGCAATCTACCCTATAAAAATAGGCTCTTGTAAGGCTGTAGACGGACTTGTTGCAGGGTCAACCAACAGACATATAACTACATAAACTCAGAGCATGTTGGCCTCTAGCGGCGACTCTGTAACGACACACCGACCAACAGGCTCCCCCCACTCATTCCACTCCTCCCACTCCTCCCAATCCTCGCTGCCCACGTCTTCCCAGTCATACGTCACCAGCGTGGCGCCTGCCGCCATGAAGACGCGCAGCAACTCGCGCTGCTTCGCCAGCACCTCCGCCCTGCCCGCCGGGTCCCTCTCCCGCCTCCCCCAGCCCGGCCCCGCCTTGTTGACACTGTATGCGTTCCAGATCGCCGTGGCCGCGTTTTCCCCGTGCCGGTCCACGCCGTGCAGCTCCGCGCCTGCCTCCACCAGTAGCTTCGCCACGTCGAGGTGCCCCCCGGCCGCCGCCAGCATCAGCGGCGTGTGCCACTCCGCGTCCGTCGCCTCCCTGTCCGCGCCGTGCTGGAGGAGGACGGCCGCGACGGCCACGTGGCCCTTGGTGGCGGCGGTCAGCAGCGGCGTGAGGTCCGAGTGATGCGAGTCGCGATAGCGCGCGTAGCGGTGGATGAACTTGCGGTGCGCCTCGACGTGCGCGCCGCGGGACAGGAGAAGGCCCGCGAGGTGCGCGTGGCCGGCCTGGCAGGCGAGCAGGAGCGGCGTCGGCAGCGGCGTGTCGAACCACATCTCGCGGGCGTCCGCGGCGGCGCCGGCTTCGAGGAGCGCGAGCACGACGGCCTCGACGCCGACTTCGGCGGCGACGCGCATGGCCGTCTTCCCGCGCATGTCTGCGGCTTCGACGTCCGCCCCGTGGGCGAGCAGCAGCCTGACGACCTCGACGTGGCCGCCCTCGCAGGCTGTGATGAGCGGCGTCGTCAGCTCCCTATTTCTTGCCTCGATGTCCGCGCCGCCGTCTATTAAGCACTGCACAACGTCCGCGTGGCCGCTTTCGGCGGCGCAGAAGAGCGCCGACTGGCCGGCCTTGTTCTCAAACTCGACATCTGCGCCGCACGTCAGCAGCACCTTGACCGTCGCGGTGTGCCCTTTCACTGCCGCTGCTAAAAGGGCGGTGGTCTGTTGGCATCTGTACTGGAAGAGCCACGCAGGATACGGTTCATTGACTCTGGCGCCATGACTGACCAGAAACTCGATGAGCCCGTGGTGCCCGTAATAGGCGGCCACCGCCAGCGGCGTTGCGTACTCCCCCGACGATGCATTGCGCAGCACTGTAGCTCCGCGGCGAACAAGCTCATGTACGATGTCCTCCTTCCCTGACCTGACTGCGTAGAATATCGGCGTTCTGTCCACTCGGTCCCCGATGTTTGCTGCGTCCGGCCGCTTCTCCTGATTGAGAAGCGCCTTGGCCGTCTCCGCAAGACCGAAATGCGCCGCGAAGTGCAGAGCATGCCTGCCCCCCCAGCTGGCTCCCAGAGTCCGTCAAGATCTCCACCCCCCAGCAAAGAGCTTCCCCGCAGCGATCGAGATCCGGGGTTGACTGCAGAAATTCCATCACGGTGCTGCTGAGTTGGTGGTGGATTGGGGCGGAGGCGAGATGAACCCCCCAGTGTCTGGCCGCGTACGAATGCAGCCTATCGGCGGGCACGTCGGACGAGAGGAACAGGTATGGCCGGGAGGCTGGCGGCTTCCAACTCCTCCATGTAAATAAATATCTGATGCAGGCTCTCGCAATGCGCCACTCAGCTTCAGGAAGCCACTTGTCCTGGCGCCGTTCAAAATATTCCTGTGTTGTGTAGTGGACCAGGCGGACGACGTTGCTCTTCTCGTCCACGATGACCAGACCCGCGCAAACCGATATCACGTCTTCGAGCTGCGGAATATTGTCTTCGTCATAATCCGGCTCGTTCTCTTCAATGCCAAGAGCATGTAGAAACTCCATGACCTTGAGCGGCCGTCGAGCAGACACGATCCACAAGAGCGCCTTTTCAGCAAGGACCCGAAATCCGGGCCTTTGCAGTTGAATCCTCTCCATTGTTTGATCATATGCCTGTGACAATATTTCCAGTTTCGCGGCTTCACTGACTCCGCTCTTTTTGCCCTGCTCCTCAAAGTAGCCCAGCGCAGTCCTGACGGCCTTGACGGTCAGCTTATCATCCAGCTGCGATAAGTAGACCCGGGCCAGGAGAAACATGCCATCTGCGGCCTTTGAGATCGTGCTTTTTATTTGATCCTGCAGGCTTGTATTGTTCTTTATGCAGTTAGGTAGTTCTTCAAGGTTACCGTCCAAGTAAGCGTGGACATCTTCGTCAGCGGCCCGGATATCGAGCACGATGGTAGAGCTCTGAGGGAATGCATTTTGTATCTCGGGGCTGGGACGAGAAGTTGCGAACACATTTACCTTGCCGGCCTGTCCAAGTTTAGAGAGCATGGAGATGAACTTGGCCCTACAGCTCTCGACTGTTTGACACTCATCCAGAGCGTCCACAACAACGAATACCCTTTGAAACGATGGCGAGTAAACAATGACACCGAGAAGCCTCTCAAGCTCATTTACTGATGGATGTGTGTCATTCTTCTCATGTGTACTGTGCATTGATTTAAGCGCCTCTATCGCGAGCGCATCCTGCTGCGCGAGTTGCTTCACCAAGCTTGCGAGGAGATGCGCGAGCTTCTGGTCATCATGGCGGCGGAAGTTGAGGTATATGTAGGCGGCGCCAATCCCATCTCCCGCCTGGACGTCGGACAAGAGGTGGTCAACCACAGATGCCGCCAGGATTGTTTTGCCCGCGCCGGGAATCCCAGGGCAGAACATGGCTGCGCCTGGTGTCTCCAGCCAACGCTGAAACTCTGCAGACTCCAGCAGCCATCGTCCTGTGTTGGGGTGCCGCCTGGCGATCAAGTCGCTTTGCTCACGGCTGTACTGTGCTGGCGAGAGCCAGTCTAGTATCTTTTGGCATTCCTGGTCTTCGACGTGACGTAGGAGTCTGGCCGTGGCTGTGCGCGTTATGCGAGCCTGGAAGGCGTTGAGAAGAGCCAAGCTTGCACCGATTCGCCCCTGCATAGAATGGGCGAGCTCGGGAGACCAGTTGACTCGCGCCCACGCCCGCTTGGCTATATCCTTGGACCCTGTTGGCTTTTCTTCAAGCGCCAAGTTCTTCTCAACAAGCTCGGACAGCTCGTCCAAGACATCGTGACAGCCGCCTGCTATTTGTCGTAAATCTTGCAAGTCGGCTTCTGTGAGACCGCAGTCGGAGCCGGAAACCTCAATGTCTTGCAAGACAATGGAGAGACTCCTCACCCTATCGAGGGGTTATTAGACATGCGAAAAAGATGATGTCTATAGGGTAGGTAGGTAGGTCGGCCACCTACTGATCCGCAATCTGTTGACACTGGCGCGGGGCGGTTGCGAAGCGGCGTCGCAACTTTCGACAGAGATCGATGCCCTTGATAAGATCGCCACCACCGACGCTGAAATTCATGATATCTCGACTTCCTTTTGTATAACCATGGAAGCGCTACATGGGGAGTTGAAGGTGGGAAAAAGGCAAGCTGGGTGGCAGCTGAGGCTGACTGGCTGAGGGCTGCATCTCATCGTGTCTACCGGCGCTTAAAAACGCCCAGCCCATTTGCCAAGTATAAAATGAAAAGAACTGCTCCGCCACACTTGCATCCCTGCCATGTGCATATGTGCGTGCTGAAGTTTGACGTATCACAGCGATTAGGTCACTATTCAAGTAATGGTGCAGATCGATTTCAAGGGGAGTGGCAGTATTCAGCTCTGAAAAGATGACCTAGGCAATAGCTTTTTCACCGAGATTGCGATACGCAGCGCGTCTATCAACGGTCAGTTCTTCCTCTCAGACGTACCCAGAAAGTAAACCGTTGATCGCCGTCTCAAACGACATTGATTTACTTCCCAGGCGCTCTTCGGTAATCACAAACGACTCCGGCAAGAAATCGTCAACCTCTTGTCCCAAAATCATCTTGGCGACAGCCTCTCCACTGGACCAGCACAGAGGCATGCCGTAGCCGTTGAAGCCCGCCGCAATCCACTCGTCGCCGCCGTCGCGATTCGTCGCCTCGGCTGGCAGCTTTCCCACCAGCGGCAGCCGGTCACCCGTGAAGCCCATGATGCCGGACCAGACTTTCTTTACCTCGTGCTCACTCACATCTTCCCAGCCCTTGGTGTAGCACTTGGGCAGCTTCGTACGAATATTCTCCTCGCACGGTGCGCCCACTACCGAGTCATCACTAATGAAAACCTCATTCAGCTTGGTTTTCTCGCCGCCGATGAAGATGTCGCCCGAGTCCGGATTCTGATTAGAGTAGTACAAACCGAGCTCGACGACACCGGTGGCCATGTCAAAGCTGCCGCCGCCAACCCGGCTCCACGTGAGGGCGCGGCCGTGGTTGCCAAACGCCGCAGGCGGCTTCTGCGTCGACATGGTACCGCGGAGCGGGTAGATCTTGCCGCGCAGGCCGGACAGCAGGTGCCCGGAGTAGCCGTTTGTGGCATGAAGAATCTTGGAGGCGCGGACGACGCCACGTGGTGTGGTCAGGAGGTAAGGGTGCGTGGCATTGCTTGGGTCGTAGGAAACCTCCGACACTGGGGTGTTGGTCTCGATAGAGAGGCGTGACGCATATTGCTCTTGGAGCTGGGCCCATATTCTAGTTATCAATCGATACGGCCAAAATGCGCCATTTGGAAAGAGAATAGCTCCTGAATTTGCCTTGACGTTGTATTTCTGAGACACCACTCATTAGCACACCTGAAAAAACCCATCTGGAAGAGACGTGCACTGTACTTACCGTCGCAAGTTCCTCGGCGGTTAGTATTTGAGTCTTGCCGGCCTCCTCCGTGACATATTCTTCATAGAGCCTAAAGCCCTCCTTCTCATCATTGAAGGACTGGTCGTCATCAAAGGCAATGACATCCAAGGTTCTCCGCACGACACTAGCTTCCTTGAACTCCTCAGACGAGTTGGCTAGCGCGTGCATCTTCTCAAGCGTCCTGTTTGCAAACCGTGCAATCTTGACAGCCTGCTCTTGGCCGAACCGATCCATGAGATGTTTGAAGTGGCCGGGAACGAAATTGGTGAGAAGGCCGCCATTTCGACCAGTGGCGCCGCTCGTCAGCTTTCGCGCCTCAAAGACGGTTACCGAGGATGAGGCAGAAGGTGTATTGTCAAGCAGTGTCTTGGCCATGCTGCAACCTGTGACGCCGGAGCCGATGATGGCATAGTCGGTCGTCGCGAGCAGCTTGACCGACTGCTTCTCGGACATGGACGGATGCGGGGGGAGTTGCCAGAATGCCGTTGTAGGGTTGGCACGAGGGAGTTGGGGATCGGCAAGGGCCTGGGCATAAAGCTCCTCCATTACGGCGCTGGAAACGGGAGTATCCATGGTTGGTGGGTGACGAAAGGTCAAGAAGACTAGTGTCTAGTAGCAATTGTCGGACGTGCGGCTGAAAGTGTACAATTGCCAGCGGAAACAAAGATGATAATTTGCTGACTGGGCGCTCAAGTTGGCCAGCTCCTATCCGCCACCTTATATACGCTGATGAATTCGGCCGAGAGGAAATGGCTTGGCAACTCGGCGGCCGTGGAACCCGGAGGCCCAAAAAATTCGTGGATATCTCCAACCGTGGGGTATTGGTAACCGGTAGCTGGCTTGTCAGTTGGAGATAGTCGATTGCCCCCTCCGGATACATGAGATGGCTGCGCGCTACCGGCGATATCTGCAAATTGTCATTGGTTTAGCCAGCCTCGAAACTCACACGATCCCCGGAAACCGGAGGAGCTCCAAGAGCCCCAGACGCCGGGGCCCGCGATACAACGAAGCCGGCAACTTCCTAGCTCTGTGAATGGCTGGGCCGTCTCAGGGGACGCCACTCAACCGGCAACTTTGTCGCTCTGCGATTGGGCTGCTATAGTTAGTCTGCCAGGGTTCACGCCCTGTCTCTGATTAGTAGGGCCCAAGTTTGCGGGGGAAGCGTTTGCCAAGTGGAGGGCGCCGATAACCCGCTGCCCTTTTTCTTGGCTCGAGTCAGTTTGGGGAAGGAAGCAAATATCGAGTTGTCTGTTTCCAGCACAATGTGGCTTTGGTAGCCTTCAGCTGGATTACGCGGCGTTGATAGTTTTTCTTTGTGCCGCGACGTATCGCCCGCTGAATTCTTACTTAAATACGGCCTGCTGTCGCCATCGCAAATGCGGTATTTGATATGTGGCTGATTGCTTACCTGGTCTCTCCTCGACAGAGCTGATTCCTGATACCTCCTCATCTTGCAAGCACCGACCGACCCGCGTCATCGGCCATTATGCCCCGGCCAACCCAAAATCAGGACGATCCGTCCTTTTGGGCGCCTGGAACACTTACCTTGGAGGATTGTAAGTAGAAAACCGCGCCCTCGTATCGGGGAACCCCTTCCGCCCTGTCACTTTGCTGGGAGTCACCGCTGACCCATGCCACCAGTACAATCCGCCTCTGAACAAGTCATTCTACATCCGACGCCGTCCTCAGACCCCAACGATCCCTTAAACTGGACCCCGCGGCGAAAGACGGTCAACTTCACCCTCGTCTGCTTTTACGTCTTGATGACCTTTGTCCAGCTCGACGTCGGATTTACATCATGGGACCAGTACCAAGACGAACTCGGCTTTTCCATCGACTTCCTCAATGCGGCGGCCGCCATCAACTATGCTGGTCTTGCCGTCGGTTGCATCTTCCTTGTGCCCCTCGTGCATAAGTACGGTCGCCGCCCCATGTACATTTTCAGCACCCTGCTGCAGCTCGTGTCGTGCGTATGGCTCGGCGCGACCCAGACACGCGGCGACATGATTGGCAGCAACCTGCTCTCCGGTATCAGCGGCGCCATCAGCGAGACAATTGTGCAGATTACAATTGCGGACCTGTTCTTCGTGCACCACCATGGAGCCATGAACGGCTGGTATCTGTTCGCTACCTTCGCGGGTGCGTACCTCGGGCCAGTGGCGTCTGGGTACATTGTCAACAGCCAAGGCTGGCGCTGGGTCTGGTGGTGGTGTGTCATTATTTTTAGTGTCAATCTGGTGATGATTGTACTTTTCTTTGACGAGTCCAAGTATGTCAGTATCATACAAGGTCAGCCAGGTCCCCGCCCCATCGCAGCGATAGCCAGCAACGAGTCCGGTGAAGCGCAGTGCGTTAGCGACGGGTTCGACAAGCTTGAGGCTGGCATCAAACAGGTGGCGTCTTGCGACAGAACCAAAGAAACTGTTTCTGTCGGATCCCACATAGATCCTACCATTCCCCTCAAGACTCGTCGACAACGTCTTGCCTTGATCACCAAGACTGATGGCTCGATGGCTGGGGACTTTTACCAGCCCCTGGTACTCCTGTTTACCTTCCCTGCCGTTGCATTTATTGCTTTAACATATGGAAGTTTATTGGCGTGGTTTGCTGTTGTGGTGTCTGTGCAGGCGACATACTTGTTCAACCCACCATACAACTTCTCTGCCATTGGTGTCGGTTTGATGAACATTGCTCCGTTCATTGGCACCATTCCCGCCATTTGGGTTGGTGGATACTTGAACGACAAGTCAATCATATGGCTCGCGCGGCGAAATGGAGGCATATACGAGCCTGAGATGCGACTTTGGATGTCGATACCAATGGCTTTTGTGACCCCGGCCGGCATTCTCATGTTTGGACTAGGACTTTACTATGTACGTTTGGCGATGACTTTTTCTTATCGATTTCTCACGGAACATGCTGACCTGATGTTCTACTTCTTGTTTATAGGAGGCTCCTTGGCCGCTGCTGGCTGTGGGTTTCGGTGTTTTTGGTTTCGGGCTCGTTGTAGCTGGCGATATTGGGCTCTCATATGCTATGGATTGCTACCATGATGTGAGTATCCCAATCCATATATCAAACAGTTATGCCAAATACTAATAACACGCAGGTTATTGGAAATGCCTTGGTTGGTGTTGTTTTTTCGCGCAACGTCATCTCAGTGCTTGTTCTTTTCGCGCTCACCCCGTGGATCGACGCGATGGGCTTGCGCAACCTCCACGTCATGATTGCTGTAATTTGCTGTGTCCTTTTGCTGATGCCCATCGCCCTTATCATATGGGGAAAGCGGGCTAGAATAGCAACTGCAGGGCGGTACAGAAAGATGGCTCACCGACAGCCGACACATCGTGATAGTTGACACTGTTTGCGCTTTTCAGATATGCAATACACTCAATTAATGCAAGCAGCCGCATCGGTCCAGTACATGTCTTTCTTGCTCGCTAGATCTTTTGCAGCCCAAAATGAAGCGAGCGATGCTTGTTGTTCTGTACGGCAGTATTGTGAAAAGTTGATAAGGCGATGCAATTTTTCCAATGCATCACGTCTCTCTTGGCCGTTGTTCAGCTCAAAGCATGCGACCAGGTGGGGAAGATCGGCAAATGGAATCGCACGACCTGTGACCTCCATAATCGTGTCAAGCTCCCTCAAAATGTCTGTAGCCATGGCGAGCGGTTCTCTGTCTTCGGTCCCATATGGGTGGCGTAGTCGATGTAGGATGATGAGTGCCGAGAGCCGCAGAACTTTGTACTGCGCCATCATTATCATGACCTCATGCGTTGTGCAGATACCGTTCAAATAGGTCCCCGATACCGTAGGGCTGCATTTTTCCAATACGGCCTGAAGACTGCGCAATTTTCCCTCAAGAGCTGCATCCGCTTCTTTGTGTGCTTCTTTCCGCGCCTGCTGGAACTGTTGCGCAATGTCACAGACATCGTAGAGATGAATGAAGAGAGGCGCAGAAACACCAGTAAAGCGGTCCACCAGCTGATTAAACGTGCCTGGTCTGATTCTGATGGTAGGTAGCTGGCAGTTGATGACACACTCCTCAATCTCCGTCCCGAGAAGGCACAGGAGAAATGCGGCACCATCGCAACTCAGTCGCTCAATCAAGGACTCATCCTTTTCGTACATTGAGTTAACCAGGCCTAGGATGTATTTGCATATCGGTAGGCAGCTCGAATGGTGCAGGGTGAACGTCGCAATAGCGACTCCCAGGATAAGGATCATAGATAGGTCATTGTCGGTATAGATGTTGGAGATGCGGAGCGACGCGATTGCAGCGGCTGCTCTTCTGTAGCCGATGCTTTGGCCCTGAGCAACTTGTTGCAAGCTCTTGTTTTCGGTGAGATGAGACGCACAGGCGATGAAGGCATCCTTGACGTGAGGCATCTCCGTATTGAGATGATCGACGAATGACTGAAGGTGTCGGTCGCGGAAGCTGGGGCCAATCAAGTACTTGTCGACGCTAATTCCCTTGTGTAGCATGATATCTAGGAAGTGCAATTCCAGCTGGTTCAAGTCGGGGAATAGCGTTACTCTCCGTGGGATACTGTGACTGAGGTCGTGTTGCCGCATCCGCGAAATCTGAAAGGTTGATGAAGGATTGAGAACTGAAGTGGAAGGCGATGTCGTCATAACCGGTGTTGTACCAGCTTCTCTTCTCAGCACGATGGAAGGCGAAGTAGTGCCCAACCTAGTTCGTTGCAACGGGATGCGATTGCCGGCTGGTGAGGCTCGTTTCCTACCCATTCTGGCGACGGGGCGATTGGATTCGCAGACTCGCCCCAAACGCAGGCATCTTTCACAGGATTTCATGCAATTTGACTCCTGCGGCCAACGACATCGTTCTTTGATCGCATGGCAGCGATCGCATGGCCGGGACCCCTTTGGCGGAGCCAACGGAAGGCGTGACGGGGATGCGGGGGATTGAGAAGGCGGCCTTATCATGTTCTCAAATGGCATGTGCCCATCCCAATTTATTAAGATTCATGCTGATGCAGTGGATTCACGGACAGGCTTCAGGGCGATGGTCCTCAATGCGGTTGGCCAGTACGAAGCATGTTGATGATGCAGTTGGCAAGCTGCGCGGGGGGGGCCACCCGCTCTGTAATGTGACTCTATTAGCGGATAACAAATATGGTGCGCTGCTTTTGGCGGTGGATGGATAGCGTAGTAACAATGCTACATTTTAATAGTGTCTAATTATTCAACTGTCCACGCTGTTGTTATCTTGCGACGTAAAAACACTTAATCAATTCAGATGCGAAATCAAAGACCCCATTGTTGAAAAGAGGACTGTTTTCCCGAGAGGGTTGTTGAAACCCGAAAAGCAATAAAACCAAAAGCAGCACTTCCTGGAGCCTTCGCGGAGAAAACACGCCTCTCATCACCATGCCTTTTCGCCATTCTTTCCCCCGACCATGTCGACATACGTGAGCACTTTGAGTCTGCGCAGATACATGTTCTCGATGCTTTCCCTGCGGCGGACCTCACCCAAGTTGTGCCCCGTAATCAGGATCAGCATGATGAAGCTCTCGATGACGCTGGGCGGCACGTTGCACAGGAGCTGACCGGTGACGGTCCAGCGCATGGCGCTCGCGCCGATGATGAGGCCGATGATGAGGACGACGTCGGCCATGACTACGTACTCGTGGGAGAGGAAGGCGCCCATGCGCTCCGACAGGCGCGTGCTCAGCGACGGCTTGGCCCGGGTGACGTGCTCGGCCGGGTCGGCGATGGCGGCCGCCTCCATGACAGCCACGTCGTCGAGGCCGGCCTCCTCGAACGCGGCGTCCTCGTAGCGCTCCAGCTCGTGCTGGAGGTTGCGCAGGACAAAGCCGTCGTTGAGGCCGATCAGGCCGGCGTACGTGCCGATCAGCAGCCACCAGTTGTTGTTGAAGCCCATGGCCGGCCCGATGGCCACCCACACGACGATGACGGCGATGAGGATGCCGACGCCCGTCAGCGTGCCCACGAAGTCGGCGTAGTAGAAGATGGCGCGCTGCAGGTGGCTCATCTTGGGCGCCGGCACCTCGACCACCTCGTTCGGCGCCTCGTCCCCGGTCATCTGCCGCAGGCGCTGCTCCACGGTCGAGTCGGCCTCGAAGAGCAGGTTCAGCCAGCGGTTGGTGAAGAGCGCGTGGCGCTCGCGGATGTTGGCCAGGAAGGCGAAGATGAGCACCATCAGCGCCGACGTCGCCGAGTTGATGTACAGCTGCCAGCGGTCGCTCCAGCCGCAGTAGTGCCCGAAGCCGAGCCAGACGAAGATGCCCACCCAGTACAGGCAGATGGTCACGAAGTGGCCCATGGCCGCCGACGCCTTGGTGGATGCCCGCCCGAGCCAGCCCTCCTGCGGCAGCCCCGCCTCGGCCAGCTTCTGCCGGAAGCGCTCCTCCAGCGCGGCCGCGGCCTCGGCGTCCCCGCGCGCCAGCCCCTGCCCGCGGGCCTGCACGGTGCGCACCATCCGGCGGTGGCTGGCGCTGCGCGACCGCAGGCTCGCGGTCAGCCGGATCATCTTGTCGTAGCCGTTGAGCTGCTGCCGCACGAGCAGCGAGTCGAACAGGTAGCTGAGGATTGCCTGGATGTCCGAGATCATGACCGCCCACGAGTCCGTCTGCCCGTACTTGATGCCGACCAGCGCCCACACCAGCAGCCCGGCCAGGATGAACAGGAACACGGGTTCCGAGCCCGACGCCCGCACCACCCAGTCCAGCCAGCGGTCGAGCCGCCCGTCCTTTTGCTTGTCCACGTACCCGGTCACGTTGTGCACCGAATCACCGCTCTTGGAGCAGACCTCGGTCACCTCAGCGGTCAGCTTGTCACTTCTCGAGTCGCTGCTAGGAAAGCGAGCAACGACTTGTGTGGGAGCGGTATCAGCAATCGGCCCCTTTTTGCCTGGAGCGGCGAGCCAGTCGTAAATCTTGCCCATGTTGACTGACACTTTCTTTTTTGAGCCTCGTGCTTTCTTTTTCTTCTCAGGCGTCTTTTCTTTCAATCTTTCTTGCTCTTCTTTTTTTTTTCTTTTCTGGTTATAATTTGGCTCTACTGTTCTAGACTCGGTCGTGCACTTCTTAGGCTAGGCACAACGCGATCCGGGCACCGGGTCTGGCTTCGGCGAGGGAGGTAGTTTTGTTCATCGAATTGGAACTGCGTCAAGAAGTTTAGAAACTACTCTTCTCTTCATCTTCCAGCTTCGCATATGTACCTGACTATTATGGAGGCCAGAGTTCTTCCGGAGGTGGGAAGATTGCCGTGCCGATGTGTGCACGACGAAGAGATATGTTAAAGGTCGCCAGCGTTGTAGATTAGCAGCTTCTGGCTGCTATAGGATCAAGATGTGGGTAGCAAGTGTCAAGTGAAGACGATGAAATGTGAGAGGAGGTGAGGAATGTTGGTGTAAGTGAAGAGGTACAAACTACGTAGTGAGAGCTATCAAGAGCGACCAGTCAATATATGTACTATGGACATGCCAGTAAAATTTATCTATAGCCTATGGAAACCGCATCACGTCTGGAACGGGCTGCAAATTTTCCTTGAGCCAGACTATTGACCAACCTTGTCGAGTCCAGCTGGCAATGGTTATTGTAGAGCAGGGCCGGGTAAGCGGCATAGTCTGATACTCCATTTTCTACTCTTCTTTTTTTTCCGCGCCATCGACGGCGTACAAGAAGGATGGTCTGCGGAGCCCTGTCCGCAAAGGGGAATGAGGACCAGACAGGCATGAAAATCGCTCATTGAGCGTCGTGGCTGTGCCAAAGACGATTACAAAGAGCCCCAGCAGGCAGGGCTGGATTTTCACGAGCGGTGACGAGATGAACCGTTCAGCCTGATTCGAGACCAAGGGAGTTTTCTTTTCTTGTTCCATAGTTAACTACACCTGGGGAGGTTTCATCTTCACCAACAGTCACTACTTGTTAGTCACGTTGGCTAGTTACAGACTACATTCCCGTCACTGTTTCTTTTTCTTCACCCGTAAGCTATAGTTCAGCCGATATTGTTCTGCAGATCTTCACCAGCGCAGACTTTTCCAGCTCGCCATCCATCTTCATGACTTGAAGGGCTGAACCTGCCTAGACCGGTCTCCAGACCCGGACCAAGGGTCTCGGCTCGGAAGCCAGCCGTTAGTCTCCACTCGGTGGCGCTGAAAGGCATGGGGGCTGTTGTTATTCGTATTTGTGCGATGACGGACGGATTGGAGGCTGGGTTCTTATCGGATGGTATCATTGCATGATGTCGAGCTGTAATTAGCCTCGCTTGGACTGTAGGTGAATGTTACCATGATGCCCAATGGGGTCACTTTGCGGTCTTTCCCCGCCTTGAAACATTCTTCTCTGTATGGCTTATGCAGTCGGGCAGTTTGACCTCTACATGTGGCTGGTATTTGCCGACTACAGGGATTATTCGCTCCTTTATTAAGCAGGCTGTTCAGAAACGACACGATATAAAATGATAAAACGCACTTTCGCTAATACATACTACCAGAGGTAACAAAGAATTCGGGGCCCCGTCTCGTACTTGATTGCGATTGTTTGGGAAGCAGGAGGCATAGTCATTGACTTAGGAAATTGGGAGCCCTGCTTATTTGTTTCAAGGTGCAGCAACCGACCGAGGGCTACCAACGAGTATCTAGCGCGCCTTATTAATTTGACCTAGATTCGGCCTGCCATTCGCAACAATTCACTGTGATACTCAGTAATGACGCTGGAATCGTTCTGTAAATACTCTGGGATGACCTACCAACTTATTGGACCTGGACTTTTACTACCAACAACCGAACTCTCACTTGACCGTGAAATTGGCACCCAAGTCGAGGAACTTTCTGAAGAGGCTGGACGTGTTTTCGTCGCGGAGCTCGTCCAGGCGGGCGAAACGGTCCAGGGAGATGAACCGCGTATTTGTTGTGGATGGAGCCATGGTGCTTAGATAGGCCATTATGTTGGTGTAGGCGGGCCGGTTGTTGGTGGCGAGAGCGCGGACGACGTTGTTTCGTATCTGATAGAAGAATTGGCCTTTCCTGGTATTTCCATCAACATTCTCCTCAGAGGTGAATTCGTGAAGGGTTCTCAGGCAGGCGATGAGCAGGCTGCAGACGCCGGCGGCAATAGCGGTGGCGACGGAGCTACCGCTGATGCGCTCAGTCGACGAGGCGAGGAAGGGAATGGCGCTGACGGCGACGTCCTGGCTATTGATGCAGAAGTCGTATTGGTTGTCCTTCTTGCTGGCCGCGTCGATGGTGTTATCGTCCCAGTCATGCTGCAACTTGCCATACATGTTGCAGCTTGCCATACATGCTGCAGCTTGCCATACGCACAATCGTGTTGTCGCTGCTGGCGCTGCTGAGGCATGCGGGAAATACCTTCGTGCCCATGCGCGCGCCCTCGTCGTGGTGGCTGCAGACGACAATGATGCTGGCCTTCATGGCCCTCTGCACAGCCTCGTTGAACGCCCGGTGGTCCTCGGTCGTTGTGAAGCTCATGGAGATAATGTCCACATCCTTTTCGATGGCCCAGTTCACCGCCTCCGGGGCGCGGGCCGCTGAGTAGCCGTAGTGGCTGTCGGCAACCTTCGCTACAAACAGCTGGCACAACGGGTCGATGGCGCAAACCAGGTTCGCCATTTTGCGTGCCGTGCGGGTTCGACGCGAGGTACCACGGGCTCACGCGGTCCTGCTCGTGCACGAACGACTTGCCGTCGCAAATGCGCGCCCACAGGTTATCAGCCATCAGAAATTCTTGGCTATTCAGATGCTGTTTGCTGCTGTTATTGTTCTTGCCGCTGCGACCGTGTACGTCGTCGGCTGGCGCTTCGGGGCGGCTCGGGCTGGCTGTACCTGGTGCACTTGGCGGGTCCATACTGAGGATGCCGTTGTCGATTATTGCCACTTTCGCTGGCTGGATCTTGCACGCCCCTTTCCTCCAATGTCTTGCTCGTCTCCTCATCCTTGTCATCCCTGGTGTTGATAATGTTGCTAATTTTGCCGATTTTATCGTCAGTCTTGTCGGGTGTGTTATCCTTGGGCTTATCGGGTTTGTTATCCTTTTGCTTGTCGGGTTGGTTATCCTTTTGCTTGTCGGGTTGGTTATCCTTGGGCTTGTCGGTTTTGATGTCCTTGGTCTCGTTGTTGTCAATGCTGCAAACAAACGGAATGCTCTCAGGGTCGCCATGCGGCCGAAAGACGTTGAGTGAGAGGTCGAGGATGCGCCAGTCCAGCTCTTCGACTCGAAAGCGCCTGACCACCTCGGCAATTTCGACCTCGTCATGCGGGTGCGCCATGCGATCTGGCACACGAAGCGTGATGACACGGCGCACACCGTGCTCGGCGAGCCACTCGAGCATGTCCAGGATCTCCCTGTGTGCGCGCTGCAGATGCGACCGCTGCCTGTTCTGTGCGGCAGGGGCCTGCAGCTGCGTGCTCAGGTCGAGCACCGGGAACTCGGCATACCGAATCGTCTCCTCGTAGCGAATCAGGTTGTAGCTGTGCCTCTGTCGCGTCATTGATGTGACAAATTCGGCCACGCTCGTGCCCTCGATCAGAAGACGAGACATGATGATACTGCAGCACGCGCTTGCGAAAGCGGAAACCAAAAGACGGGCTGCCGGAATGGGTGCCAGATGGCCGCGGTACGCCGTCGCATGCGCTTCCTGGGATTGGTCTCGGGACTTGAACGGCACGTCTGTGGTATCGGTCCTGCGCGACCTCATATGGACCGTGCTCGCGGCCCAACCAAAGTTGCAGAAGCACCTGGAGGAGGCGGTGCAGGCGACAGACCGGCGCCCGCTGCTCGGTGGCAACATCAATGACTTACAGGCGCGGTACGCCGTGCTGGGCACGTCGTGTGACTTTTATGCCATGCTGGCCCTGCTGTGCAGTATCGTTGGCGACCCGGAGTTTGCGCCGACGTGTTTTGTCCAGGACAGTCTCTGGGCCTATCAGCCTCGCCGACTATCCATCTCGGAGGATACTGACGGACAGTACCTGCTGCACACTGAGATTGGTGTCTGGGTGCTACCATCGCTGCCCACGGACGGTAAAGCCGGCCTACAACCTTCCCCTCGTTACCCCTGCAGCGTCGTCCGCACCGGCGCCCACATGGCCATCCTCTGGCAAACCCGCTTGCTCACCAAGATTCCCCCGTTATACGCCCCGTTTCAGCCCTATTATTTTGCAAGCTTTACATGCGAGATCTGCACTGTTGACGGCGGCACGAGTGGTCTCCTTGTCGGCACCGATGCGGGTCATCATCTTCACCATTTTCGGTTTCGGGGTAAGGAAACGATCGCGGAGGCAACGGGAGAAATGGACTTACCATAGTATGAGGCAAACGAAGTACACTAAGTCCTACTCATAAGATGAAGTCAACTTTGAGTAGAAATCTTTTCTAGACCCTAAAATGAAGCACAGCGGAATGATGATAATTCGTAGAATTAGCTATGTTGAAGTTAATGTTAAGATTAAGTACCCTAGGAGAAAGCTCGAAGCCCCTAATAGTCGCCTAGAGTTTTCCTGCCAAAACCCACCTACAGTACATATGTATGTATGTACGTACAGTACATACATAACAACCCTTCCCAATGCAGGTGGAAGAAGACGTGCGACTGTGGCCGAAATACAGATGCAATATAAATGGGTTAGACTGTGATAATGTATGGAGTATTCTTATCTGCTCCCTCTACCGGCTCTATGAGAATTTGCGCAGTGGCAGCAGCATCATTCTTGGGGCAAATGAGTCCGACTAGTTACTGCTTCTAGCCGCAGTCAGTCGTGGCGACTGGCCGAGATGGCAGACCCTGAGGGCGCGCGGATGTTATTCGACGCGCTATTCTGGCGAACTTTGTCGAGGCGCTCGTCGACGCGTCTAACTGGAAGATTGAGTAAGAGCTGCAACGGGACGGCACCCATGCATCACAAGTCGGCGATAATGATGATTACTAGCTTTTCCTAGAAACAGCCCCAAGATGTCGAACCTCTAGAGAGCGGGAACGCTCTACCTACATACGTGTAAATAGTATGGACGGGACCAATGCAGTGTCCAGAAAAATGATCACGACACCGATGGGGAATCCGTATAGTGTATGGCGGAAAATGGAGGGGGTGACTGGAGTCTAGATACATACATTGCAAGGTGCAGAGGACGCACCTTGTTCTTGCACCACCAGTAGGCGCACCAAGGCTTGATCTAGCTTGGCAGCGCATACTTTTCCAACGCTGCAATGTCCTGGTCGAGACAATATCTGCCAGTAGGGAAGCGCCAAGATGGCATAAAGGGCGGCACGGGACTGCCGATTCGACCAGAGAAGCCAAAGTCGATGAGGATCAGACGACCATCGTCGGCCTTCATCATGTTGCTCGGGTGGAAGTCGCCATGGCAGTAGCCTGCGCGATGCAGCAAGCTCAAGGCGTCCCTTGCATCCTTCCGCCGAGTGTAAAGCTCCCCCGGCTCCAATTTCGTGAGCTCCTTCATGCGATAGCCGTACAAAATGCCGTCGCAGGTGATGGGGTTCTGGTCGAAATCCACGACGGGGACTCCCAGCTTCCTCAAGTCGACGAGTATGTGGAATTCGCGTTCGATCAGTTGGAGGGACAAGGCGTCGTTTGGATGGGCCAGTTTGAGAATGGGAAACGTAGCATCATCGGTGGCTCTTATGGAACCATGAGAGCCGTAGTCATGGAGCGTCGATGACTTCCACATCATGCCCAAGCCTGCGGCTAGAGGCACCGGAGTGACTTCGATGTTGGAGCCCAACAAGGGAAAAGTCGCAAGACCTGGAAAGCCCGGGGAGCCGGTCCATCTGATTGAGAACAAACGAGAGTCGTACTCGACCAAACATTGGTACGAGCCCCGCGGTTGGGCGGCATTTTTAGGGGGGCTCGTGAGCTTTGCTTCGGCGCCAGGAATAAGATGCATAGATGGGATGTTCTTGGGTTGCTTGATTCGAGTTGTTAGGTTACGTCTGGTGAATCCCGGCAAGAGCAGGAAATGATGTCTAGGGGACAGGAAACGATGATGCATCTCCAGGTGGACAGAGTTTTAGGCAGCGATTTGTGCAACCCATTATCGGGTTGCCACAGAAAAATGAAATGAAATTCTATTTGGGCTCAGTAGTAAAAGAAAGGCAAAATGAGAAAAAATGTTCAAACGTTGACTTTTATCTAGGCACGTTGATGATGTCCACAGAGGAACAGCACCGAGGGAGTCCCATCAGTCCGAGGTGCTTTCGAGCTCGGCATTTAGAAAAGCAGTCACGTATGAATACGGGTTCTGTTATTCCCCAAAGTGAATGCAGAATTGGATGCACCCAGCCACGTTAGGCGCTGGCAGCTTGAACTCCCCGTTTGCACTGTCATCACGGGAGTCATGAAAAGCTGCATTTCTTTGCCGCCATGTATTGTCCACCTCGTGAGCTCATGTATCTCTCTTCATTTCCATTCCCTTGCACTCTCTCTACCCCGGCTCTCCTCAACCGATTACATACTTTTTCGTCTACGCTCGAGCACAGAGCTTTCCGTCTACACACCATGGCAGAAATCACACTCGACGAGTAAGCCCGCAAGCCCCATCCTGATTTCCTATAGCTAACCGAACAGCATCCTCACCGCCAAAACGTTACAGGTGCCTCGTCGGCCCGGAAAAGAAGGAATTCTTCATCCACGCCTCTCTGGTGACCAGCCAGCCCAAGGTGCTGGACAAGCTGGTCAACGGTCCGATGAGGGAGGCGGCCGATGGCTGCACCGTGTGGGAGCACGTCGACACAGCTACGTTTGTGCGATTTGGGCAGTACGTGTATACTGGCAACTACGAAGGCGAAGCGTCGTCCGAAGAAACTGGAGTTGAGCGGTTGGTCAAGGCGGTAACGGTTCCGGATGAGGAACCTGCGGAGGCACAGAAACAAAACTTCTCTGATGACTACTGGACTGGGTCGATGGTTGCAAAGTGCAAATGCAACAAGAAGAAGAAGATGGCTGAACGTATGGAATGACCCTTATGCTCCTAGGTTCGGGCTCAACGACGCCGGCCCGGCCAGCCGCGAAAGCGCCTGGTCCAAGTTTGAGTCTCAGCGCTCCTACAGCTGCGGAATCGCCAACCCACACTATGCGCCTGGAAACCCAAGCCGCTTGTCCTCGTCTGCGGCGTCCTTCTCTCGCATGCGCGTGTGCACATGATGGCCGAGTACTACCAGGTGCAGCCCCTCGCGCAGCTCGCTCTACACAAGCTTCGCCAGATCCTCTGCAAGTTTACCCTGCACGACGAGCGCATGGGGGACGTGGTTGGCGCTGGCGGCGGCGCTGGTGGGAAATATGATTGAGGGGCAAAACGGAATCAGGCAGGGGGAAGACGAGGAGATGATTAAACTAACCATCACAGTAGCTTCTAGTGCGTTCGATGGGGAGATACCCCGCATAATTTATTGCTCCGAATTATGTTTCACGATCCTTCTCGGCAACGCGGACGGATCACACTGGTGCTCCGACCGACCGGTGGACCACCGGCGCCCTCACCACAGGAATAACCATGTCCGCCGGGATAATCATGTCCGCCGGTATCCACCCTCACCGGGATAAACATGTTTCCTTTTCCACCGCCGCTTCGGCTTCCGGTATATATTGACACGAGATGCGCAATCCATCATGGACGCCCAGCTGCATACAATCTATTCAATTTCTAATAGGCACCTCCTCACAACCGCACAATGCCTTCCCTCTCCACCATCTTCGGCCTCTCCGCAGCCACCGGCGATCCCAATTTGATGGTCGCCGAGTACCTCATCGCCAACATCCTGCTCTCGCACACATTTTCCTCCGCGCGCGTCCTCAAGATGCGATTCGGCCTCGACAACCACATCTCCCCGCGTGCCGACCTCGAGCGCTTCGGCCCGCGCGCCGTCCTCGAGGGCCGCCTCAGCCAGGCCCAGCTCGACATGCTCAAGCGCAACGAGGCCGCGCACGGCAACTCGATGGATCACCTGCCCGTCTTCGCCGCGGCCCTGATCCTCGCAAAGGTCGCGGGGCTGCCGGCGGCGGACATCAACTACGTCGGCCTGACGTACACGCTCACGCGCATCGCGTACGTGGGGAATTACTTGGTGAGCAGCTCGCTGCTGGGGGCGTCGTTGAGGCCGGTTCTGTGGTGGACGGCGAATCTGCTCTGTCTGAGACTTATTTGGCGGGCTGGGAAAGCTTTCAACTGATGTTGTTGTGCATATTTCGTAAAATACACGTTCTTAGATAAAAATTAAAGTTAGATTGGAGTTGAAAAATTGATTACACACTATTCATAGCCCAGAGTAGAGTCCCTAGCATGCATCAATCCATCATCTACCACGTCTCGCAAAAGGGCCTCAAGGCAATCTCCGCGGTGCTGTGAGCTAGCGGCTGTTGATGCAAATGCCAATAGCTGTCTGCGATCTACACTCTGGCGTTAGAACCGAACCATCCATAGAGAAACAAACTTACGGCAGTGGGGTCCAGCTTCGCATGCCACGAGGAAAGCGGCTTCAGCACCCACGTCAGAGGCATCCTAATCACGCCGTCAATGATAGCATGCGCAACATGCACACCCTGCGGCGCAAACTCGTCCGCTAGCGCCAGCACCAGCGCCCTCAGCGCGTGCTTGGACACGGCGAAGGGCTGCAGCCACGCGTTGGCCTTGACACCCGCCGTCGCGCCCGTGTATAGCAGCGTCGGCACCAGGGCTTCTTCTCCCTTGGCGTTGAGGAGGAGCGGAAGCGTCAGCTTCGCAAAGAGATATGCCCCATGCCTGTTTCCAGGCTCGTCAGCGTTCGTCTTCAACGATGCCACATCAGGTTATACACACAGCGTGATGTTGAGGGCGTGATCCATGTCGCCCTGCGTCTGCCACAGGAACGGCTTCGGGAATGGACGGCTGCTCGCGTTGAAGACGGCGGCGGCACAGGTCGATCCAAAATGGTCCTTGATTTCGCCAAATACCCGCTCCATGTCCTCTTCGTTGGCGACGTCGACCTTGTAGCTCACGGCCGTGCCGCCTTCGGCCTCGATCTCGGCAGCCAGCTTGTGGGAGAAGTCCGGCGACCGGGCGAGCAGCGCCACGGGATACTGCTTGGCGAAGCGCCGCGCGACCGCAGCGCCGGTCCCGGCACCTTTGAATAGTAAGAAACGGGAGACCAAGAATGGTCTTGGGGACGGGGGTGTAAGACGTACCAACTCCTGCAATGATTGCGTAGGGCTTGGAGGTCATGTTTCAGAAAATAATGATCAAGTATCAACAGGCGGTCAATTTGATCAAAAGCTCAATGGATACGTATTAAATCATGTGTCTCCGACTAAGACAATTAGTAAATAACTTACAGAGAGACCCGGCCGTATGACCCCGCGCCGGCCGGCGGAGTCGACAAATCAGCTCCGCCCACGGCTCGGCTGTCCAGGGGTCCCCCGCTCTCGGCCCCGCTCACCCGAGGTCGGCTCGGGCGGATCTTCTCATCATTCCGTCTTCCACATGTGGCTATATACAACATGGCGTGACATGACAGCAAACAATGCCAAATAGTTGTCGTTGTTTTAAAACAGCCATGAGAGGAAAATAGGCACTTTTACTTTGTAAACATCACGAACACGCGCTATCGCCGATTTCCTCGCTGTATTGCAAGGCTGCCATGGCGTCACCTTTTATCATCGTTTTCGCTGCGGGTATGAGAATCATTTCGCCAACATCAAACTGCAGTACTAATCAGAAACAGGCGATGATGAAGTAAACCACCAAATCGCCCGCCAGTTCGCGCCTCGCCACCCCATCGCCTTCCTCTGCCCGCCCTCGCACAACCTCGCCGCCGCCGTCCGCGCCGCCCACGCCGCCGGCACCGAAGCCGTCCTCTTCGAGACCGACCTATCCTCCGTGCCCTCTGTGCAATCCTCCATCGCCGCCGCCGCCGCCCACTTCGGCGCCCAATCCTCCGCCGCCGCCGCCGCCGCCATCTTCCAAGTCCGCCGCACCCCCTCCGCGCCGTTCCTGACGCAGACCTCCGCGCAGTTCCGCGAGGAGACGTCGGCGCAGGTGGCGAGCGCGTACGCGTTCGCGCAGGGGGTGATGCCGCTGCTGACGCGCGGGGCGGGGAGCGGAGAGTTCCCGGCGACGCTGGCGTTCGTGGGCTGCGAGGGGAGGTCGCGGAGCGATGCGGTGGTGGAGGGCGCGCTGGTGGCGCTGAGTCGCAGCCTGGGGAGGGAGTACGGGAAGAAGTACATTCACGTGGCGCACTTGAAGTTTGGAAAGGGCTCGGCGGCGGAGGGCAAGGTGCGCGAGGGTGAGGAGAGGGATGTGCGTGTCGCGGAGACGTTGTGGCACTTGTACACGCAGCCATTGTCTTGCTTTGCAAATGAGCTCACCATCTGATGCCGTCTCTCTTTAATTAGAAATTTTGTAAAACTTTAATGTAAAAGGGTTGCATTCAGTTATCGTAGAACATTGATACAGAAGTAAGGACAGCTCGCTCTACACACTATGTAGTACATCTCGAAAATGCAGTCGGTCGAAATCTCAGCGCATCGCCTTTAAACCACGGCGGCGATGTTGTTATCAATAAACCGATCCGCCTCTCTCTTGAGCATCAAAATGCAGCTCGCAACCACAAACGCCTCCATATCCGCCGCCCCCGCCTTGTCGTCGTTCTCCCACCCGTGCAGGTCCACCATCAAGCGCCCACCGTTACCTCCCGAGTAGCGCACCGTCCCCGGCGTCCTCAACTCCGCGCTCCTCACCAGCTGCGCCACGCGCGCGCCGTCCTTGCTCCTCTCCATCACCAGCAGCGAGTCCACGCCGTCGCCCGCCGCCCTGCGCTCCTCGTGCCCGCCGTAGCGCCACTGGAACTTGCCGTGCGCCGCCGTGTCGAGCACCTGCGCGCGCGAGGTCAGCGACCGGCTCCGGACTGTGACCTCCTCGCCCGGCACGGCCTTATCGGCGAGCAGCGCGGCGTCGACGGTGACGCGGGCGTTGGCGGGCAAGATGTGCATCTTGGGGTGGCGGCCGGGGCCGACGCGGTAGATGGTAGAGATGAGGGTGCGGTCTGGGTCGGAGGCGCGCACGAGCGCGCACGAGTTGGAGCTCCGCTTGCGGCGCACGGAGACGTACTCGGCCTGGCCGGAGTCGGCTCGGTAGACGGTGATGTTTTCGAGCGTCTTGCCCGTGAGGGCTTGGTTGGTGTCGTAGCCGATGGCGTGCACGTCGAGGGTGCTGGTAGGGAGGAAGCTGCTTGAGGATGATGAGGCGCCGCCGCCGTGGCCCTCTTTTTCACCGGCGGAGGACTCGGAGTTCCAGTGATCCTCAGACTTGGACATTCCCGCCTTGGATTTTAATGAAGCAATGAGACCCATGTTTTGTGGTTTGACTTTTTGTGATAAATTGTGTTTGTTTGTGTGCTTGGTATGGGTCTTTTTGGTAAACATCGATGACAGAAGTCTGCGGTACTTATAGTAAAGCCAGAATGTGAAGCTGGTGAGCTTACTCACGCCATCCAGGCACATTCGTAAGTGGCGTAGGTAACATCATCAAGGCCGACTAGCTACTGATTGGCGATTCGCAAGGCTGTGTACACTGCTCAGCCACTGGCGGGCCATTGACACTGGATTTGGGCATCGGTAGGATAAGGTTGGGCCTACTCATCGCCCCGAGACGGACCCTTGAGCCTCAATTTCTGGGGATGATGAAATCATGACTTCCTATTTGGTGGTTGGAAGATGATCAAGTCTGACACTGGCCCGCTTTCGGTCAAGGCCGGGCGACTGGGCAACTGGGTGGCTTGGCAGCCTCTTTTAGCCACCGAAAAGCCCACCAAGTAATACCGTACCTGAATTTGAAAAATAGAATCATCATCTCCAAGTATGAATTACATTAATCGAGTACGAAGCATCCTTTCGTTTCCTGCTCTCGCGACTGGCCATGTAACCCTACTCCGGACTACGCCGTAATTGGTGATGACGGCCCACACCGCCGGTCCGTAGTCGGATGGGCGCCCAAACGTCGCTGACTCCGAGCTGTGTCGGGAAACCCCTTCTCTCTTTCTACATCATCACGACAGGCATCGCCGCGGCTGCCCACAGGTCGTCATCGATCCGCGGGCCGCTACGACGAAAAAAAAAACATGGCGGATCCCGAACTCGGCTGCCTGGCCGGCGACCGTGAAAAGGACCCGAGACCGCCGCCGCCCGTCGACGAAATCACCACCACCACCACCACCGACGATGCCTCCTCTCCCTCCCTCCCACCACCGCGCGGTCTGCTCGCGCGCCTGCGACACCTCGAGGCGCGCATGGACCACCACCTCGGCATCGAGTCCGACGCCATCGAGCGCAAGCGCGCCGAGGACCGACAGCGCGTCGTGCCCCCGCGCGAGCAGCTCTCCATGGCGCTCCTCTGGGCCAGCGGCTGCATGAACACCTCGTGCTTCGCCACCGGCTTCCTCGGGCGCCAATTCGGCCTCGACCTCCGCCAGTCCCTCCTCGTCACCATCCTCGTCTCGCTGCTCGGTGGCGCCGTCGTCGGCGCCGCGGCCACGTTCGGCGCCGCCACCGGCCTGCGCCAGATGAGCGTGTCGCGCTTCTCGTTCGGCTGGTGGCCGAGCAAGCTCATCGCGGTGCTCAACTGCGTCCAGCAGCTGGGCTGGGCCGCCGTGTCGTGCATCACCGGCGGGCTGGCGCTGACCGCCGTGTCCGACGGTCGCGTGTCGCTCGCGCTGGGCATCGTCGTGCTGGCCGTCGCGGCGTGGCTGATCGCCCTGGTCGGGCTCCACGCCATCCTGGTCTACGAGCGCTACGCGTGGATCGTCTTCTTCGTCATCTTCGTGATTATCCTGGGCGAGACGGGCAGGTACGCGGACGGCGCCACACCGGCGACGGCGACGGGGGCGGACCTGGCGGGCGGCGTGCTCAGCCTGATCGCCGTTGTGTACGGGTCCAGCGCGTCGTGGGCGACCGTCGCAAGCGACTACTACGTCCACTACCACGCCGACGTCAGCCGCGTCAAGGTGTTCCTCATGACGATGTTTGGCATCGGCGTGCCCACCGCGATCGGCATGGTCGCCGGCTGCGTCGTCTCCTCGGCGCTCAACGTCCGGCCGGACTGGGACGCCGCGTATCAAAAAGGCCTGGGATACGTGATACAGGAGTCGCTCTACCCGCGCGGCTTTGCCAAGTTCCTCCTGACGCTCCTTGTGCTCTCCGGCATCAACACCAACGTGATCGGGATTTACAGCGCGTCGCTGTCGTTTCAGCAGATATCGAGACCGTTCTCCCTCGTCCCGCGCCTCTTGTGGATGATCCTGTCGCTGGTGTGCATCCTCGGGTTGGCGCTCGGCGGACGAGAGCAGCTCAACCAGTACCTCCAGTCGTTCCTCTCTCTTCTAGGCTACTGGTGTACCTCGTACATTGTCATCCTCCTCGAAGAGCACTACATCTTTCGCAAGGGTGACTTTGGCAACTACGATTTGGACGGTTGGAATACCCCGGCCCGGTTACCTCTTGGAATTGGGGCCTCGGTGGCCTTTGGCCTTGGAGTTGTAGCGTGGTGCATGGGGATGAGCCAAACCTGGTTCATTGGCCCGTTGGCGAGGCTCATTGGAGACAGCGGCGGCGATGTCGCGAATGAATTCACCTTTGTCGTGACAGCCTTGAGTTATCTGCCAGCAAGGTATATAGAACTAAAGCGGTATGAACGATAGATTTAAGACTACTAATAAAAACAAAATAAGCGGTATAAAAAATGCACCCAAAGATACAACTGTCATTTTCGCAGCGAAGCGTAAGTATTAGCTGATGTCTGCCTCAACGAATGACGCTGGTAATAATGAGGAAGTAGCCATTTGTGGGTTTTGATAAATTCAATATTTTCCTCATCTTTCTTATTTTCAGCATCATTCTCATTGTTCTTATCCCTCTTTATTTATTCTATTTCTATATCTGTTGTAGGACTCTTTAACACTTCGCTTGTCAACTCTAGGGTAGCTGGATTGGCGTACATGTATCCAAGCTGTAAGATGTCTCCAGGCGCAGCATTTTCATGCCAACATCACAAGCGACTTCTGAGCTCACTGAAGTCCCGCCGTTTTTTTCCACAAAGTAAAAAAATATTTCCCATATCTAAAGTCCATGTTTAACACTATCAGAATGATGTTGTGAGGCCCGACCGTCTACTCCGGCGGAGCTGTGGGGTTAGCCGAGGTACTATTTTGACGCCCTTCCACTTCCCCAGACTCGGCAATGTGCCGGATCTGTTCCTTCTTTTTCAGCCGGATATCTTGCGAAAGTGAGATTCCTGTGCAAGATTCGGGGTTTTTGATCGCAGTCATGGACAAAATCGATCGGGTTCTTTACAAGTACGCTGCCGAGGGCGACGACACCAAGGACAAGGTCTATGGGGCCTCCTTTGTCGTCACCGACAGCGATGGTGAGTGACCGGCTCTTCAGCACTGCTTCATTCTGAGACAATTCAAGTCCTAATAGCCATCGCAAGGCGTCATTTACTCTGGTTCCTCAGGGCGGATCAGCTCGGAGACGTCGTCTCCCGCCTTCACGGACCAATCGTTCAGCTGGGTCGCCTCCCTCACCAAGCTCCTCACATCCACCGCGCTCCTCCAGCTCGTAGAAGACGGCAAGCTCACGCTCGACCAGGACTTGCGTCCCATCGTGCCCTACTTCGCCGAGGTGCAGATCCTGGTCGAGTTTGACGAGAAAGACAAGCCCGTCATGGAAGAGAACAAAAATCCCATCACACTACGGTAAGCAGCTCCCACCACCACACACCACACCATACCATCCGCTGATTCCGGACCAACAGCCAGCTCCTCACGCACACAGCCGGATTCAGCTACGAGTTCGCCGACCCGACGCTACTCAAGTGGTCGCGGCAGCAGGGTCGCCCCGTGTGGCGCCTGAGCTGGTCGCGCGAGGAGGTCTCGACGCCGCTGCGCTTCCCACCGGGCACCGCCTGGGGCTACGGCGTTAACACGGACTGGGCCGGGCTCGTCCTCGAGGCCGTCACCGGGCGCACCCTCAACGACTACATGGGCGAGCGCATCTTCCGCCCGCTCGGCATGGCCGACTCAGGCTTCCGCCGCGCCCAGCTCCCGCACACGGCGCGGCGCACCGTCCGCGCGGCGCTACGGAGCGCCAAGACGGGCGAGCTGAGCGACGCAGCGACGTGGGTGATGCCGACGGACCACGAGGTGGACAGCGGCGGCGGCGGGCTGTTCACGACAGCGCGCGACTACGCGGCGTTCCTGCGCGGCCTGCTCGCGGGGACGGTGCTCCGGGCGGAGACGTTCCGGGAGATGCTCCGGCCGCAGCTGGACGAGGCGACGGCGGGCTACCTCGGGGTGCTCGCGTTCCACCCGTCGGTGCACAACACATTCGCGCCCGAGTTCACGGGCGACCCGATCCCGCTCAACCACGGACTGGGCGGCCTCCTTAACTTGGTGGACGTCCCGGGCAAGCGTCGGGCGGGCAGCATGGCCTGGAGCGGGATGCACAACTGCCGCTGGGTGAGTTTTCCCGGCAGAGGAAACGCCGCAGAGGGACCCTGCTTTGATGGGAATGTTACTAATGTCGTGCGCAGTGGATCGATCCCAAAACGGGCATCGCGGCCGTGCTGGTTGTCAATATTCGTCCCAACGGGGATCCTGTGGTGGCGAGGCTGTACGACGAATTGGAGCTGGCGACGTACGAGGCGCTGTCTCGTCCCACAAGCAGGATTTAGGTCGAGAAAAAGACGCCATCTGAAAATTGACATGGTCCAGCAGAATCACAACTGTTTCGGCAGAAGCGCCCGTGGCTGATGAGCAAGCACCTCGTTCGTTGGTGATGGGTGTTGCGGACGAGTGTGGTGTATATCTCGACTGGGCATGGTCACGTTGGAGAAGAACTTGACGAGTAACCTGGAAAGGTTGAATCTCCGCATTAGCCGTCTCCTGCAGAGTGACCTACTTACTCTACGGCCGATGACAGTGGGACGCCCGGACACATGCATTTCATCGTAGTTGTCGGACGACGAGACAGAGGCTTCGCTAGAGAGATTTTCAGCATGTTTCAATCCAGACTCTCAAGAGGTCATCTTGCGTTTTTTTTATGAATCAACATACCAAGAAAGTGAGAAGCTATGCGGCCCTCGAGGTGTTCGTCAGTGTGTCCATGTCCCTCAGAGGCCGTGGTCTCGCTGCGTCACGTCACCATGCATCCAAGTCAAGACACTGCACCAATTGTGATGTGACAGCCACGAGGCTGTTTTCCATCTGAATACAAAGAACGGCCCCTCACGCGTGCGACTGTAAGACATGCGGTTAGCCGAATAGATAACAGGCTCGGGCCCTCTCTCCCCTCCCAGGCTGGTGAACTGACCGTTTGGAGAATGGGTAAAACATTGTGACACGCATTGTAGAATCGGCCACACATATCAACTGAGATAGTGACAGCCTGATCGGCAATACCCGGGACTCAGTTGACCAACTCCAACTTACTGCATATGCAGGCAAACTTGAAGATAGCCCCGGCTGGAGAATGGCAGGCAAAGAGGATCATGGTGGTCGGTCGTTTCGGGAAGGTCTGTTTCCATCAAGCACCTTGGCGCAATTCCTCTTTAATTTTTTTTTCGCAACCTCGCATGAATCGCATTCAGCAGCTGGTGATCTAGATTGTCATTGATCGGGGACAGAAAGAAGAGGAGGAGGGAGGGCGCATCAGCCCTGCCACACCTCGACGTCGCTGACACCGGCTGAACGACGCCTAGAAGAAAGCTGAAAAGGGGCCACAAGTATTGATTTCGAGTATTGGATCTCGGTATTTATTTATCAGAGCTGAGTTGTGTTTCTCTCTGCACCTTCTGAATTCAGCGACTGCTCACGTAATACATTTGCTTGGCTGCAAAAGGACGAGTTGCGCTGACCTGCCCCCCCGTCAGCAATGGGATGCAAGGTGATGCAGTCATGTTGCTGCGATGTGATGTTGGGTGCATCATGGAGAAGGGGGAGTTTTGTCGTTTTCATCTCAACATTTCTAGTCTCGTCCGTCCTCTCTCTGGCGATAATGACAAGGCTTGATAAAGAAACGCTGCGTAGAGGCCCAACCACATCAATCCCTTTCAAGACATGCAGTATCACCACCGTCCCCGGTGTCCGCAGCTCCGCGCTCCCTCCATCACCAGGTGCGCCACGCGCGCGCCGTCTGCACTCATCTCCATCACCAGCAGCGAGTCCACGCCTTCGCCCGCCGTAGGAGCCTGCAGGGGGCTGGCTGGGTTGGGGATGAATATGAATGGCAAGGGATGATGAATGGCAAGGGGTGATGAATGGCAAGGAATGTGCGCCTCGCGCATCGGACGCTTCCGACCCCTGCCTATGTCTATGGCAACAGCATGGCGCTCGCTCCTTCCTCCGTTGCCACACGGGTAGGGCCGAAGATGTTTTTCCAATATTTCCTTCCCGTGGGTTTGTTGAAGAAAGTCGCAAAGATCCCATCTACATCGGCAAGATTCTCAACAAGGCATCTGCAAGCCACCCCGAGAGAGAGCTGGATGCTAAGAGACGCAAGAGAATGAGCCAGCTATCTCGATGTGGTACCAATAATCGTCCGGGATCGACGGCTGTAAGCAGTGTGGCGTTCATTTCGATGCAACTGTTTATTATCCGACAGGACGGCAGCCCGACCACAGGCACACAGACAGACAGACGGACAGACAGACAGACAGACAGACAAGCACATCAATATTGGGAGGCATCCATCCATCCATCCATCCATCTTTCTTCCTTCTCGTCTCGATTCAGAGAATCAATCCACTCACCCCAACATCATTCATCCCGAGCTCTTCATCCCCGCCCCTGTAGGCTCTAGAAGCCATCCTGTAGCCCGTCCTCGCGATCCGCACATCCCTGCATGGCCCTTCCTTCAGACCTACCAGATTCATTCAACTCTGCTTAATGACGCATCTTGTTGCAGGAGCATCACTTTGGCAATTTATTGGTCAGCCTTCGCATCAAAGCCAGAAAGGGCACACTGCATTCAATGTCTTGCTCGAGCTTTTCACAAGGCGGTCTGATGATATGCTGACCACGATTGGGTGTTCGAGGCGAGATTGGGTGGACGGACATGGCTTGTCGGGTGAATGAACCCTCCGAGATGCACGATAAATAGCCGCCACCCTCCCATCAAGTTGGAAAGATACTCGACAAGCTTCTCCTGCATACAGCAAGCAGCCTCTTGAACCACTCCTACTCCAAGCCTCAACCACTCTGCCCCTCCTTCTGCCAAGATGCGTCTGTCCATCATCGCAGCAGCTCTTCCTTTGGCCTTGGCGGCCCCCGCTGCCGACATGGCCCCTCTCATGGTGCCGCGCGACGCGCAAACCATTGATGGCAAGTACATTGTCAAGTTCAAGGACAGCTCGACCATTGGCGGTATGGAAGCCGCCCAGGCGACTGTGGGCGAGGTCCAACACGTCTACCAGGACGTCTTCAACGGCTTCTCCGCGCAGATGACGGCCGATCAGGTGACTGAACTGCGCAAGGATCCGAATGTAAGTACTCCCTTAAGCCTGTAGGGTTGCTATGCATAATATACTGACCGGGTGGCGGCAACACGAAAAAGGTCGAGTTCATTGAGCATGACTCCGTCGTCAGCATCAACAACAACAACATCGTCGAGCAGAAGGGGGCGACATGGGGTTTGGCCCGCATCTCAACCCGCGCGCTTGGCGCCACTTCATACTTCTACGACCATACTGCTGGATCAGGCGCTTGCGTTGTCGTCGTTGACACTGGCATCGCTTGGAAACATCCCGTACGTGCTCGCCTCCCGCCAAATTGGGCGGCCAGGCTACAGCTACTGACTAGGTGAGGTTGAATAGGAATTCGAGGGCCGTGCTAGGCAGCTGAAGAGCGTTCTCGACGGCACTGTCGGCGCTGATGGCCACGGGCACGGCACACACTGCGCCGGAACCGTCGGCTCCAAGACCTGGGGCGTGGCCAAGAAGGCGACCCTCCTCGGCGTCAAGGTCCTCGACGATCGGGGCTTCGGCTCGGCCGGCACCGTCATCGCTGGCCTGAACTTTGTCCTCACAGACATCTCTGGCAAGATCAACTGCCCCAGAGGGATCGTCGTCAGCCTGTCCCTGGGCGGCGCCCGGTCGTCTTCCCTCAACGCGGCTGCCGCGGCACTGCATCGAAAGGGCATCGCCGTCGTGGTCGCCGCGGGCAACGCCAATGTAGATGCTTGCAACGTCTCGCCCGCTTCGGAGCCGAGTGCCTGCGCCGTCGGAGCCACTACTCGCGTCGATGCCCGCGCGTACTTCTCCAACTACGGCCCGTGTGTTGACGTTCATGCTCCGGGCGTTGAAATCACCTCGACTTGGCTCAACGGCGGAACAGTGCGTTTCTATCCACACTTTGTCGCTGAATTGGTCTAAAAGCTAACTGGTATACTTTTTAGAACACCATTTCTGGCACTTCCATGGCCGCGCCCCATGTCGCCGGCATCGCTGCCGGCTTAATGGCCAACGGCGTTGTCAACGGCCAAGGAGCCTGCGAATACATCAAGGGCCTTTCCACCAAGAATATCGTGACCAACCTTCCCGCCAACACCATCAACTCTCTGGCTTTTAGCGCCTCATTCCGTGCGTCGGGCAATTAATGGAGCCTTTCACTTGTCAGAAGACGAGTAAGGTTACTCGTTCGCCAGTCAGGTCAGGGCTGAGATGTCCGTCTGACCTGCCACAAGCATGGGCCGGCAAGTGTACATGCAGAACTTGGTGGTCATCCTGAGAAGAAGTGTCGCTTTGAGTCCTGATTTGGATATATTTTGTGTTTTTTTCTTCCCTTCTTCTTCTTCGGTAGTACAACATGATGGGATTTTCATTCAACTGTTCCGCAGTGCGTGAGCGCCAGCTTTCCAACTTGACCTTAAACACCCAACAAGGCACTGGCACATGACTCTAGCAGCAAAGCCTCGGCGCGTAGCAAAGCCACCGGCATATGTTAATTGCCCTTGTTGGTGGAATGAACCTTGTTCTGGTGCGCAAAGGAAGCGGTACCCTGCCTGAGGCCGACCTAGAATCCTCGTTGGAGCGATGACGGGCGAGCTGAAGCCTCACTCACCCTCCAGCTGGGACATGGTTGTGGCTTGGCTTGGCCTGGTCTCGGTCACAGATTGATAAGCCAATTCGCCGGCAGCAAAGGCCGGCTTTTGGTCACGTCACCGACAAGAGGGATGGCAGTTGTTAGGCTCACCGGTAACCGCACCCGGGGGGAGGGCGGTGGAGCCAAAACTGAGTCGCGGAGGGTTGCCTACGAAGTGTATCCGTAGAAAAGCACAGCCTTCCGGGTACACGGACAGATTAGAAATAAGAGAGATGGTATAATAATACCTTTCTGGTGTAGTTCAAATGGCTGGATGTTGTTGATCGACCGAGACCGGGGGGGGGGGGGGCGGCTTGAGGTGACAATTCGACGGGTACGTGGAGCTTGGTGATGTTTCAGAAAATTTGAATGGAAACGAGACATGCATATACATTGCAAGCGAGAACGGGATCAGCGCGGCGGGTAGGCTTGGGTTGTCTTGCTTGCTGCTGCTGCTGCTACTGCTGCTGCTGCTGCTGCTGCTACGGGCGAGGTAGCAAATGCTACGCGACGCCGAAAGAGGCAGGTTGTAAAATCGGGGCTAAGACAGAGGATCGCGGCAGGTCCCAAGTATAAGGCTCGATTTGATGTCGATGTGGCTAAAAAGGCTGTTTATTCTTGTTTGTTTGCCTTGTCTGCAAGTTGTTGTCTGTCGTTGATTGCGCCCATGGAAGCCGAGTAGGCGCAATTGCAACATCAACATGGCAGGCAGCAAAGCAACGCGGGACAAACTGCCAGCCAGACCGCCGCACTTCCATCACCACGTGCCCGTCGAAGCAGCAGGGCCAGGGCCAGGACCAGGGTTCGGCCAGTGGCCGGCCGGACACGGGCTGTCGGCCGGATGCCGCGGGCGACAACAAGGAAAACAAAGAAAAGACTGCCAATGAATCGCAGGAACAGGCAAAGGAAAAAAAAAAAAAAGAATAATCGCAAGTTATGATGAATGAATCCATAAAACTGGACTCGGGTACCAGCTCCGGAGCAACGCAACGCTATCAAGTTACTCACTGTACATCGTACGTCGGGAGTCATGAAGCCCAAGCCCACACCACAGTGGACACTGCAGCTGCAGTTTCACGAGTTGTGACCTGCAGCTTTGGAGTTTCACGAGTTGTGACCTGCAGGCAGCTTTCTTGGTGACGAAGAAATCACAGGTGATGTGAGAATTCCAGACGAGTTCTGGGACCGGGGGGGTGCTGAATAGCTAGTTGTGGCACGGACTGGTTGCTTGAGCTGACTGTTGTGGTTTTGTGAGTCAACGGCGAATCTGCCGGCGCCCTGCCACTAACCATATTTGAATCTCTACCCGAAGACACCAATCCAACAAATACCAGTTATTTTAACCAACTAACGTTAGTACACATAGGCAGCGACGTGATCAAGTTGCCGATGTGGACGGAGCCTGCCGGCCTGCCGGTCCCACCCCGTTTGCGGACTCCAGCAACTCACACTGTCCACCAAAAATGTGCTTCATCTCTTTTTTTATGCCCTTTCAGCCTGCTTGTACTTCTGACCCGACCATAGCCTCATGATCATATGTATCCTGTCAAATACGACAGACACACCTCCTTTGCATGCAAGGGTCCCTGTGAATTTTTTTTTTTTTTTTGAAAAAGTTCTCGCTGCGAGAGCCGTGACTGTACTTGCTTCACAACGTCTTCGCCGCTTGCCCACCCTGTGGTGACGACGCAGCCTCGTGGCTTGCGTTGCCTCGTTCTCGTCCAGCCCCAAGCCACCAACAAATGTCCTGGCCGCAGAGCAAATCATGCCATGCAATGCAATCATGCTTGTGCACTCGTCTGTGAAAAGGGTTTCGTGGAGAGGGCGCGGATGTTGGGTTTCGGCTGATCAGGCAGAAACGGCTGGACTTGCAAGGAAGTCAAAAGGCCGGAGGATTTCAAGGTGTTCGAGAGGCAGCAAAATCAAATGGACATTGGAGGAGGGGGAAAGTAGAACGCCTTTCTTTTACGCAGGCTTCACACAGCCCGCCGCCCTTCAGGAACAGGCAGGTAGGCAGCTCTCAGCCCTGTCAAGTCTTGGTCCAAGCCCAATTTATGGCCCGCGTCCCAGCTTCGTCATCACGAAAACGTCGCAGTATACCAGGTAGGGCTGGGCAATCAAGGGAGGAAAGACACGCGGTCGTATCCGTACGTCTCGTCGTCGTCGTCGTCGTTGTCGTCGCCATCTATTTTGGTATGCGCCACGCACGCAGCCTGTGAGAATATGTGCGTCCTGCAGCAACAATCACAACAATCAGGCTAGATGCAATGCTGCTTGCAGCCAACAAACGAGCAAGTCTCAAACCATGGCGCCTTCCGGGAGATTGTCCCGGCCTTGTTCTCTCGAGGCCACCAAAAGCCTGACGCACGCCTTGTCACACCCTGCGTGCGCGTCCTTCATGTAACCTTTTTTTTTTTCCCTTCCCCGGTTATTAATCTTCATTTTGGCCCGGTAAGGCCAGCCAGCCACGCGGACAAGCTTTGGGACCATCCTTTTTTGAACCCGCTTGTGGCTTGGCCGTGTCAACCAGTGAGCGGTTGCCTGTCTTCAGCCTTGCCCGTCGTGAGTCACCATGCCCACCCAGCACCAGGCCAGCACAGGTCAGCACAGTCACGCACGGTAACCGCTGGAGGAAAAAGTTTAAAAAAAAAAAACCAGCATTTATGAGCAACCAACCGTAACGGTATGCGTCATGGGATCTAGTCAACTAAAAGTTAGCAGCCCAAACTAGCGGTCCTCCCTCAATGGCCCATGGAGTTATGACGCTGTACCTCACCCACCTATCCACTGCATCATGGTACCTCGCCTAGGGTCCGGGTGCAGCTCCCGCAACGATGGGCTCGGGAATTTTATTCTACTTCAGCTTTCTCGTCTATCCAACTCTCCCTTGTCCATACATGGTGGATACGGATCACCGGTGACTCGGCAAGCGCAAGAAAAAAAAAAAAAAGAGAGTCCACATTTGACGAGTCCACTTACGACATCCCTAGTCCTGGCTGTCCGTCTGTCTCGGTCTCGGCTGCCGCAGCTACCTCCGGATGAAATCCAGTGTACAGTATGTATGTAACTGTGTATAGAAATCTTGAAACTTCACATCATCCATCTTCTATATAAGAACCTACTTCCTCCCACCCATCCCCATTCTTTCTCTTCTTCTCCTCATCACAACCAACAAGAGCATCTCCACAACAGCTTCCAGCTGCCAGCTACTACTTGCCCACCACCACTTACACACACAAGAACGCCTTCCACCACCACCAACCAACAACCAAACTTCATCATGTCTGCTGCTCAGTTCTCCAACGGCCTTGGAAGCGTCCGCATCGCCGACCGCCAGCACATAAACCCCATCCTCCAGGGCATCCTCTACAACACCGACCGCAAGGCCCAAGTCGCCGTCCTCAAGGAGGAGAGCCGCCGCTCCTCCGTCTCCTCCTCGGCCTCGTCCGTCTCCTCCTCCGCGCCCCTCTACTCCTCCTCCCGCAAGAGCTCCGTCGTCTCCCCCGACACCGTCGCCCACGCCGCCTACTCCAAGGACAAGAAGCGTTCCAAGTCGTCCCTCTTCGGCATGGCCAGCTTTGGCAAGAACCGCGGCGTCGCCGGCGTCTCCAACGTCTTGTAAAGCATGAGCACATGCATGCGTTGGAAAAGACCGCCCGCCGCCTTTTCTCTCTGATTCTTTCCATCGACGACCCGCTTACGACTTACACCATATAATGACTTGGCAGAAGCACGAGGCTCTTCAAGAGCTTCATGCTTCCTGGCCACCCTTCTTGGATACTCATGGCACTGGAGTTTTTGCTATTTCGCACTCGCATATAGAACCTGAACGGTCAATTTTCTTTCTTGTTGATTGCAGAATATTGCTGGGAAATTTTACTTCCCTTGGAATTGGCTACACAAATGATTCCCGTTCCGGTCTCGACAAGAGTCGACCATTCGAAGGTAGCAAATTGGATTTGGACTAAAAGATTACCTTTTAGCTTTGAAAATAATAAAATTATCAAACATCATTTACTCCTTGCATCCATCGTTAATCGTGACTTGATTGATAGCTGTGGTGAGGCAGTCGTTTCATAAACACAACACATCAGACTGTACTTGACACCAATCAATGCCGTCACACCATTTCTTGTTACATATTTATTCATCCTTGCCTCGCTAAAGCTTCTGCTTCTTAAAAACTATCGTCCAAGATATTCTCATTCATCTTCACCATCGTCGGACTGTACTCGGAAGACGCCGGATTCGCCCCTGCATCCGTCAAAATATCGTCCACTATTCGCTTGCTAGCCTCTCGAGCTGCACGCCACTCTTTGTTAGCACGTGTATGATTTCAAGTTTCCTTCTGCAGTCTTTAACCCATCCGATGCAGCATGGTCTCGATCTGACAGCTTCAAAATTCAAGGTTGTACGTAAAAAAAGCGGCACCTGGCAGGACCTTGCATCGAATCGCCACACCAAAGTGGATGGTGGCGTCGATATATGTTCACACCCCAGGGTCAAAAGAATTGAGCAAGAAAAATTCAAGAAATGGGAAAAGAAAATGACGAAAGTTGAGAGAACAGAATTTTCACAGAACCAAAGAAAAACAACGCACCTGGTGTTTGTAATAGCTTGGACGGCGGCAGCGCAAACTGTATCGTCTTGGGTGGGCTCATGCCGCCGTACAGGTCGTCATCGTCGTCCTCGTCGCTCTCCCAGTCAATCTCGTACTTTTGCTTGCCCTTGAGCGAGCCGTCCGCCAGCGCCTGCCTTGTCTTCCTGCTCATCGGCGTCTGCACGCTCACGCCCGGCGTCCTCGGCCCCCGCGACACCGACGACGACGCAGCCGCCGCCCCGCGCCCCGGCGTGAACCGTCGTCGCGACCCCTCGGCGGCGGCAGCTGCTGAGCCGGCGCGGCCCGCGGCGGTCAGCGACTTGTACGGCGACATGAACGCCTCGCTGCGCAGCTTGGGGATCGCCATCTCCGGCGACGATGCCGGCGAGTCCTGCCACGCCGCCGCCGCCTGACCTCGTACCGGCGTGCCCTTGGCGGTCGGCTTGTGCGGCGTAGCCTGTATCCTGTAGTTCTTGTCGAGCACGCGATGCAGCAGCGGGTCCTTGCCGCCCGTCGACGGGTCCATGTTGCGCCGGTCCAGCAGCGCCTTGGGCGTCAGCGTCACATCCGGCAGGCGGGCGGTCTGCTGCGCGAACAGGATCGACGAGTCCTCCTCCTCCTCCTCCTCCTCGTCATCCTCCTCATCGAGGACCGTCGCGCCGCCGCGGCCGCCTTCTTCGTCCTTCATCTCGCGGCGCATGGCTTCGTAGGGGGACTCGGTGGGCGTCCGGGCGACCCTGGACGCGGCAGGCCGTGGTGTGCTCCCCGCCAGCTCGGCGTCATCGAGCATCGATTCGTCGTCGTCGTCTTCAACATCTCGGCGGCTGTGATGTCGGCTGGGTGTCTCATCCTCGTCTCCGTGTGCGTGGCTCGATGCGTCTCCGTCGTCTCGCATTGCTGTGCTCTCGTCGTCCATGACTGTCGACTCGTCGTTGGCTAGCTCCTCGTATCCAGACAAGGAGACATTGGCCGATGCTTCGAAAAATTGTTTCCAAAACTTGAAGAGTTAGAAGAGACATATTTTTTTTCCTCGTCCACTGTCTGCTATTCGTAACCGTACCTTGGACGCTTCCCATATTGCTTTGGAGTTTTCACCATATTGCTCCACCACTGGCAGGATGCTTGTCGTAACTATTCGGTGTGCTTTGCTAAAGTTGTGATCGATCTCTGTGAGGTGTTAGAAACAGAGCGTCTTGGTTCGTCAAGCGCCTCGAAACCGGACAAAATATGTACCTTGAAGAGTCAGGGTGATGGACTGCTCCAGGCGCTCCAGCTCCTCAGTCTGGGAAAATGTTCGCGCTGCAACGCTCGGCCGAGCCATTGTCGCAAAAGAAAAAAAAAAAAGGATCGCTTATATGGTCAAGAATACAGAAAATGCAGGGCCCATTTACCGCCGTGAGCTCAAAATGCGCCGATGGGATGGATGTCTGGTTTACTCGTTAAAGGTGCGGAGACGCGTCGGGTCGCGTCTTTGCTGTTGAGCTGAGTCGACAAGTTTGGACTGGAGAGTGTCGATGAGTTTGGACTGGAGAGTGTCGTGCCCCGCCCCCACCTCTTGTCAGCCAACAGCCGCCGCCGCCACCAACAACAGAAAACTACGTACATAGCAGCCAGGGCCTTCTCCTTTTACTGACAACTTCGTTCAAGACTCAATCAAGCAAGTCGTACGTACATTTTCAACAGTTGCTGCTCTTGGTTGCGCGTGCTGGTGTCAACTCCGCTGCTTGTAGGCAGGACTGACTGACCGTCCTTCCAATCGGCAACTTGCTGGCCAAGCCACAGTTTACTAGCATACACCGTACAAGCCACCATTGTTCATGATTGGCATCAGCCCTTTCCATGATGGTCAACTACGGCATCAAGAAATTTTACGGGTACACTTTAGCCCGACCTAGTTCCTGCGCCGTCCTTGAATTTCCTTGTCAACCCAGCCAACATATACACTAAGACTAGGCCGGACACAACATGCGCTCAACTATCACCTCCTGTTGCTGATTCCCCGCGATGATTCCACTAGTAACGCCTCTTCTTGCCATGCCGTTACGTCCTCAGCAAAGTCGCATCTTAACATACCTTGGTAACCAGATATCGGCCACCAAGAATTGTCCAGTTTCCAGCAGCTCAACCATTTGAATTGATACAAAAATCAGGACTCCATCTACCACTCGTGTGACACTCCTCTTTGTGGAATCCATGATTTGAGTTGACGTTGACAAGTCAAATGTTGGCGGCTCTCTCCATCAGCCGCCACGTCAAGAGCCCCATAGGAACGTCAGCACCTCTTTACTCGAATCAAGCCATGGCTTGCCGGCCCTTTCCCAATCCGAACCTATCATTCTATAGCAAATTATACTTCGTTGTAACTTCCCTGTATTTCGCTAAACGAAACTGCTTCACCGCACGGATCCTCGGCCGGGACGTCGCCCCTGTGTCCCCAACGACCGTCGTCCGGCAGCGGTGCGGTTGCGACAACCTTGTCCTACAATAGAACAACATTCCCTTGACCACCATTGGCACATATCAATCGGTCCTAAATACTGTCTGCTTGCGAATAGGTGACACGAAAGATGGGCTACAGTCTTATGAGTTATCGTCTCCAAGGACGCCATCGTGGCACAGCCTGTTTGCCTAGTGGGCCAGAGCGAGCCGAGAAGGCCTTTGGATCGACAAGCTACAGTAGCTAGTTCACTCCTTGTATAACTAGAAACCTTGGACAGTTTGGAGATTTAAATAGATGATGTGTCGCCGTTTTTGAAAGCTGTAATGTGTGCCTGCAGCTCACTTCTTGACAACTCCTATCCACACCAACCAACATGTCGCGCCTCATTGACAGACTCCCCCAGCCGGAGAAGATCTTGGAGAAGAAACTCATCGTCTTGAGTAAAAGCCGGTAGATTGAGCCTCCTTCAGTTTTCGAAGCCATTGTTTAACTTGGCATATCCCTAGCACGGGCACCTTCTCCATGTACCAATGCTTCCAGATGCTCGGGTATAAGCCGTACCACATGTACGAGTGCGTGATGAGCGGATCCACTCACTTGAACTTGTTGAACGAAGCTCTGCGAAACAAGTACTTGGGCGAAGGTAAGCCTTACGACAGGGCCGACTTTGACAAGTGGCTGGCCAACTATGATGTATGTACACACAACTTGGGGAGGTGGCTACCTACCCTGGAGTCACGATGTACTGACCGCGGTTTGCCTACCCGCAGGCCATTGTCGAGATTCCTTCCTACTTTGTTGAAGAATTTATCGAATATTATCCCGATGCCAAGTTCATTCTCACCGAGCGCGACTTGGCTGCATGGGACAAGTCCCTGTCGCACTTGGTGAACACGGTCACCAAGGCCACCCACAGCTTCCCCCTGAACGTGGTTTACCAGATTGATAGCCACATTGCCAGCTTCACGGACGTGAACGATACATTTTGGCAGGTTATTTTCCATGGTCGAGGACCCAGAGCGGGCATGCCTCTGGCACAGGCCGACTACGTGAGAGAGTGAGTCCCCCAAGGTGGTCCCAGGTCCCAAGAGTTGGCATCCAAAAAACCAAAAGCGAAAGAGAAAAGAAGAATCGGCCGCTAACGTGAGGTCTAACCAATTAGTGGCGAGCTGATCCGAAAACTTGTACCCAAAGACAGGTTGCTGGACGTCAAGCTAGAAGACGGCTTTGGATGGGAGCAGATTTGCCCATTCCTAGGTGTTCCTATCCCCAAGGAAAAGTATCCTCGTGGCAACGCTCCGGCCGAGTTCGACAAGCTGCTTGGGGGTTTTATCGGTGACCGCATGGCGGCCACGGCATACAAAGTTATCGGCTCAGTGCTTGTCCCTGCGATGGCTATTGGTGCTTGGTATTACACCAAGCACAGATAGGGAAGCGAGGGGACTGTACTGTAACTCGACTCACTGAAGAATAATCCTTGGTTATTGTCAAGCCCATCAGCATAATTTTGTCATCATGATATTCATCAGCGAATTTATCAAATTTCATCATTCGAAGCGTTTAAACGGACGTCAAATTCGACCGTCTCAACTAAGCTTCTAGAACTTTCCTGGTTATGGATGTCAATGTCTGTCTGCAGGGCGCAAAAGGCGCGATTGATGGATGGATGACCCCCACAAACCTTGGACGCCAGGGTCAACGCTAGAAGGATGTGACCGTGCTATAAAAAGAAACTGAGGCCGACGTCTGCTACTCTCTTCAATCCATCTCGATACAAACGCTCCATCAACGGGCAAAAAAAAAAAAAGAAAAAGAAAAAAAAAAAAAAGAATCGGCGCGCACATATCTCGCCTTTCACCACAATGCCAAGCTGTACCGCCTAACGACGTCCGTCATCTCGACGCGCCCGTTTGCGGCCCTCGAGGAGGCCAATCGGCAGCTGTTCAAGGACGGCAGCGACGAGGACCACGTCGTCGTCACCGCCGAGACCATCTTCCACCCGCAAGGCGGCGGCCAGCCCTCGGACCAGGGCACCATGACCGCCGTGCCGTCCCCCGGCTCCTCCGGCTCCCAATCCACACCCGTCTCCTCCGCCGCGTCCTTTGCGGTCCGCGCCGTGCGCATCGACGCCGTCCACGACGGCCAGGTGCTGCACCTCGGCCGCTTCACCTCCCCCCCCGCCCTCTCCTCCTTCCAGCCCCCCACCGCCGCCGTCGAGCAGGCCATCGACGTCGACAGGCGCCTCTACCACTCGCGCCTGCACACCGCCGGCCACGTCCTCGGCGCCGCCGTCCGGCACCTCGTCGGCGACTCCGTCCCGGGCTTCGACGAGCTCAAGGCCTCGCACTTCCCCGACAGCGCCGGCTGCGAGTTCCGCGGCGCCATCGACGGCGCCTGGAAGCCCGCCATCCAGGCCCGCGTCGACGAGTACGTCGCCGCCGCCATGCCCGTCGAGGTTGACTTTTGGGACGCCGACGAGTTCCGCGCGGCGGGGCTGGGGCGGCTGATCCCGGACGAGAGCTTCCTGGCGCCGGGGGAGACCAAGTTTCGCGTGGTCAAGATTGTAGGCGCGGAGGTGTATCCGTGTGGCGGGACGCACGTGGACACGACGGACCTGTGTGGCGAGACGACGGTGCGCAAGATTGCGAGGAGTAAGGGTGTGAGTCGCGTGAGCTACACGGTGAAGCCTTGAGAGTGCTGATGTGTCTATGTGTTATTTTATGGAGTTGAGGTTGGAAAAGATAGGCATCCAAGTGTATATGCATACCTGGTCTTGGCCAGGATCCAACGACTTCATGCATCCCCATCCAATCCATCTCCCAACAACCCCAACACATGATCCCTCTTCCCGGCCTCCCACTCCTCCCACGTTATGCAAAACATCAGCACGTCCCTCCAAACATCCCCCTCCCGGGCCCCCGGCAGCGCCCCCCTTCCGTTTCCCACCTTTCCCCTCGCCTTGCCGTCCCTGAGCACCCTCTGGAACGGCACCGTCCCGACCATCCCGAACCCGACCCTCTGCGCGACCGCCACCGATGCCTCGTTCACGCTGCTCGCGCCCCAGCCCACCCTCGCCAGACCCAGCCCGTCCAGCGCGTGCCGCACCATCAGCGCCGCCGCCGCGACCGCCACCCCGCGCCGCTGATACCCCGGCGCCACCCGCACGTGCCCGATCTCGACGCACAGAGTCTCCGCGTCCGCGTGCTCGTACGAGAAGAGTCCCGCGAGCTCGCCGGAGGGGTCCTCGGTGGAGGGGGGCCGCGTCTTGTCGATGACGGCGTAGGGGAAGCTCCGCCGCGCGTTGCTGCCGGAGAAGAAGGTTGGGATGAAGAAGGTGTCGATTATGTGCGGAAGGGAGTGGTAGGGGCCGTTGTCGGTGTAGGTGTACATGTCGTCGTGGTCTTTGGTGATTTCATAGAAGCGCGCGGCATGCTTCTCAATCTGGGTCCGGCATTGTCAGTCTCGAATCTTGAAATGAAGAGGAGAAAAGTTGGGGAGGTGAGTGCGGACCGAGAATGGGACCAGCTTCACTTTGGCATTCTGCAAAATTGGTGCTGGGAAGCAGAATTGAGACGGTGCTGCTTCGGGTGGTTCGGACATCATGGCCAGCGGGAGTGGAGGGAGTATAGGTCTGTATTGAGTGGCACACGGGGTGATCAAAAAGCGTGAAACACGTTTGCCTAGAATGTGGTGACAATCTGCCAAGAGGAATAAAGCTTCTCGGTTGATGCTTAAGTGAGTCACTAGGATCGGCCTGAAAGGCGCGACTGTTAGGTTAGTTCAATAATGACTGGTCCACCCCCAACACAAATTCAAGATAAAGTATGAAAATCCAAGGGTATCATTCAATCATATATGCGTTACATCATGCGCTATTTCACATAAAAATTGTCCAGATCAAGCTTCGAAAGAAGCTGAGCAACAATACTCTCATCACCTACTCCCGCCGATGCGAATAGTCCATCGCCGCCATCCTTGCTCTTGGGCTCCGACTTTGCCTTTTCGGATATGCTGCGACAGACGGATATGAAAATTTGCACCTTTTGCTTGAACTCGCGATACAGCTCCGACGGCGGCTTCGTTTCCTCTGCTTGGCTTTGCGCCGCTGCCGCCGAGTCCCTGGCTTTGGCGGCCTTGGCATACTCCAAAATGCCATTGAAGATGTCCTCTAGTAGATTCAATATCGGCTGTTGTCTCTTGCGCAAGAACAGTCCGCTCATGATGGCGTATAATAGACTGCTGTGGAGCTGCTGCAGTTGAAGCGGACTCGGCGGTTGCTTCGTGACCGTGTCACTGCGAGAAAGCTCGAGGGCGGCCTGCATCTGCTGCAGGCGGCTTTCAAAAGCCTGCCAAGGGATGGAGACAGCGATGTCGAGAAAGTACCCAGCTACGCTCGAGACAAAAACGCGAGCCTCGCGGACAAAGCGATATTCTTCCTCCGACAGCTCATATCCGTACACTCGGCTGGCCCAAAGCGTTTGCCGGAATAGCTCATCAACGACGTACATCATTCGCAGGACGCGTAAGAGAAGCCGGAAGATGCGATCATATTGCAATAGAACAACCGGGGTAATAACGCTGCTCAAAGCTGGCGGTGTTGTGTACTGCAAACAGAGAAAGTCCAGTGCTTCCAGCGAGTTGGGGTCCATGCATTTCTCAATCTCTTCTTCCGAGAGATCCCTGACAGCGAAGCTAAAGTCTCCAGGAAGTTTGTCACCATCTCTGTCAAGCTTGTTGAGCGACTTGGGCCGTCTATCCAAGTAAGCATCAGATAAAATACCCATCAATGCCAGGCGCAATTCTGAACTAGCCGGCGGCCAGGTGTCGCGTCCACCAAGGCGGAGACCCATGACGCCGCCTTGCCTCGCAATACCTGCCTGTCTCTCCGCTGACTCAAGATTGGGGTTGAAAAGGGCTTGCGAGAGTCTGGTGCAAAAGAGTCCGCTTCCAAGCATGTGAAATTCCCTATACAGGCGAAGATGCCCAGCAAGATCGTGCTCGATAAAGAGAAGTCTCATGTGCTCTTGGTTTATGGAGCGTGCCTGCGCTGATACCAACGCCCCAAACGAAAGCAGCGGAAGCAAGGACCAATGGGGTGTAAGACCACTCCTCGAGCTGTCAGAGTAGCCTTGGTCAAGTTGGCGGCGGACAATGGTTGAAAGTGAGTCGCCCGCGGTTTCGTCCCTGAGCGGCTCTTGCAAACGCTGCATGGATGCTTGTATGCGATTCTCCATTTCTTGTTCATCAACACCGTAGAATATGAGCTCGTATTCTTGTGATTCCTGTGGAAACCCCTGGGCGATGAGGCCAATTTGAGGAGAGTTTCCCCGCCGATAATCGTTCACCGCTGTCAGCATCCGCTCCCTGAACGACTTGATGCCGCGTTCGAGGCTGGAAATGGTGTTCCAATCAAACAACCACTTGATCTCCGGGGGCTTCTGTGACACCGTGAATTGAGTACTGGCCAGCACATGTTCGGGATGATGGCTCCGGATAAAGCGTAGGTTCTTGCCGGTCTCGAATATTGATTGTGCTACATCGTTGGGTAGGAATGATGGTACACGGGAGCGATCGAGGCGAAAGTCAATATCCTCAACTTGCCGCCCGAAATCATCCACATAAATCTCTTTATCAACCTTGACGAACCATTTCCTGGCGCCAAGATCGGATTTGGAAATGGGAATATCCTGTTCGACCCTGGTCCCAACCCACTCCTGCAAGAACTCAATCCAGGGCATTGACACGCGCTGCAAGATTTCTCGCATCATGTCACGAATAAATAGACTTTCAGCATCTGCCAGAGACGCGTGATGGAAGACGGCAGAAAGAATGTCGTGGTCCCGCATGTTCGATCGCAGCTGCGCATTTAGTCTGACCAGCGGCTTTACAATCGCCGCCAGACAAGCTATTGATGCTTGCAGTTGAAGCAGCGACGGAGGCTGCGCCTTGTCGACCGTAACGTATTTGTGCACTACCTGCAGGATGCGGCTGATGGCACTGGCGAGGGCGATGCGGCATGGGCTAGCTCCGCCCGTGTATGAGGCTTGAATGAACGAGCGCAAGTCCAGCATGCGCATGCCACACGCCAAGCACTCTTCCTCAACGCCGGCCAAGACTTGGCGGGAGTATCCAGATATGCGGAACTTTGGCAGCGCGGGTCGGAATGTCTTCCCGGGACGATTTCGAATGAAGAGCAGAGACTGCTGGCCGAGAGCAAGAGTTAGCAACGCTGAGAAATATGCCTTGGTTTCCACAACGGGTACGTCAGAGTTGCGCAAGCGAAGAGGGTCCGTAGGCAGCGAGAGCAAAGCGTCGTATGTCGAAGCTCCTGCTTCGCTCAGGAACAACGGCTCGTGCGGTACTGTCGTGCCCGCTTCGAAGGCGTCCCAGGTTCGGTGGGTGGGTGGCGTGACAGCAGGTTCGTCAAGGTCCATCCACGTATCTGATTCCTCGGAGGTGGGATCAGGTATCGGCTCGCTAGCCGTGCTCATCTCATCGACTGAAGGCTCTGGCTCGGGAGAATTGGAGGCATCGAAGACTGGAGGTTTAAAGAGCCTATTCGGATCGGCGAAGATTGGCCCGACAGCCGCGAAGGAGCCGTCATCTTTATTCTGCGGAACATCTGAGAGGCCAAGACGTTAGTGTATGGTTGGAAAAGCTGTTACGCCAAGGGACGAACCATTTTTGTGTAAAGAGAAGAAGTCGGCCTTGGGGTCCGTTGCGAGGTCCTGCAGCCATTTTGACTTTTGCCAAAAGTCTGGGACTGCGAAGAGATTCGCCTCGGTCCCTTCGCCAGCCATGGCTTCCGCTTTCATACATTCAGCACCATGGATCTTAGTTGTAGGATTTGCGCTGTCTGGCGAGATGTATGGCTGTTAATTGGTGATGGGAAGCTCGAGATGTTCATGGGAAGACGCGCATGGAGCGCGTCTTCACCTGCCCCGCGCTAGGCTAGTCAGGGTTACAGGCTCTGACAGGCTCTTACAGCGCTGTGCAGCGGGATTGATCGACCAGGCCGAATTGGAGCTCCGATGCCCGTCTCTAATAACTACTTCTGTACCTGGAAAATTGCTTCCACATTCAACTCGTACAACAAGCGAACAAGTCTGCGCCAATTCGCCTCGGCAACCAACCACTGCACCTTCCCCCTCAGAACTCTTCTCAGTCATCGCGCTCAAAATGCCTCCTCGAAAGCGCGCGCGTGGCGGAGCGACCTCTGCCTCAACGCCGGCTCGCGACGACGATGCCATGGACGTTGACACACCCCAGCCCGCACCCGCCTCGCCCGTCAAGGAACAAATGCCCGGCTATAATTCCCTGTGGACAGACGACCAAGTATCATCCCTCTTCAAAGGCGTGATTCGATGGAAACCTGCCGGTACGCGCAACCCCTTCTCGTAAACTTTTGCATCGACGGATAAGCTAATCCAAACACCGTCAGGCATGCACAAGCACTTCCGCATGATCGCCATCTCCGAGCACCTTCGCAACCACGGCTTCGACCCGGACCTGCACCAGCACACGCGCATCCCCTACATCTGGCAGAAGCTGCGCGCCTACTACAACCTCGACCTCATCGACGACCGCGAGAACATTGACGACGAGGACGACGAGGGCGAGCGCTACATCGACTTTGTCCTGCCCCATGACGACTTCATTATGCCCATGATGCACCGCGCCATCGCCGACCCGAGCGAGGCGCCCACCTCCCCGGCACAGCTCGACGTCTCCCCACCGCCGCCGCACAGGCGCAGCCGAGGATACGGAGGATGGCACGGATGCGGCGCCGCCGTCGCCGGTGCAGAAGCAGACGAGGGGCACGCGTGGGGGCCGCAGGCGCGCGGCGAGCAAGGCGGAGAAGGCGGAGACGACCGAGGAGGACGAGCCGGAGGAAGAGGCCGACGACGACGACGCAGAGAGCGACGATGGTACGAGTGAGGAGGAGGCAAGCGGAACGCCCGTGGTGAGAAAGACGAGGGGGGTGGGACGGCCACGCGGAAGAGGCAGAGGCAGGAGAAGGGGCAAATAAGTCCTCATCTTAGGATCAGAACGTGGGGGAGGTTACGATGGAGTCATGTTCATGGCGTACTCGCTAGATGAGAGTATATATACCCAATTCCAATGCACAGTTTTATACAGATGTTATACATTTGCTACTCATCCCCATCGTCATCATCGTCACTCGCTGCATCGACCGTTGTCGGCAGTGTCTCCCACTCTGCCTGATACTCAAGATCGTCTGCCCACATCTTGTTCATCGGGTATAAGCTCTCGACGTCTATCTTGGACCGCCGCGCCTCCGCTGAGCGCGCCGGGTTCGGCAACCTTGGCCGCTGCGTGGGCGGCGCCTTTTGCAGTAGCGCCCACATGTCCGCCTCGGCCGCCTGGCTCGCGTACTCGTCCACGGCGTCGGCGTGGCGCTCCTGCCGCCGCTCCGTCTCGACGCGCAGCTTGAGGGCGCGCCGCGTGCTCTGCAGGTCGCGAATGCCCACGGCCGAGTACCAGAGAACCTCGTTGATCTCTCGGGTGACGGCGCGCTTCTCCTGGTCGTCGGGCTCGCCCTTGCCGTCCGAATCGCCGTCAACGCCGGACTCTTCTGCTGCGTCCGTGAACTGCAGCTCCTGTTTCACCCCCTCGGTGTTGGAGTCAATATTGATGGATCTATGAGAAGCCTCGTCTGCCAGTTCGGCCTCGACTTCGTCATAGCTCATCGGCTCTTCCTCCTCCGTCTCCCCTGCCAGCTCGTCTTGGTGTTGACCTTGGTCGTGAGCTGGTGGATTTTCGTATACGTCGAGTTGCATGCGGCGAGCGCTCTTCCGCCACCAGTCTCTTGCGTTATGTGAGAGGCCAAGCGACGCGATGGCTGCCTCCACGTCCTGTTTTTGCACAGTTTTTCTTACGTTGGGCTCGAATCTTGATTTTGCCCTGATCCGTGACATGCTGACGAATAACGTGGTCAGCACTAGACGCGCTGTGATGGACAGAGCGAGGGAGTGGAAGTCAGCCAACGTAGTGGCCCATATGGATGGTGGTCTCGAATCAATGTTGCGCCAGTTGCTTCCGGGAATCGAAGAGTTCATAAACAAGCGGTCTGATAGTTCCAACCACTGCGGCACGCGAAACAGCTTCGAAAAGGCCAGCTTAGCAGGCCCATCCTCCTTGTGCTTCCTCCCCAGCTCTGCGGCAACCTCGGGCGTGATGTCCCAGTAGCCTTGCCACTTCTCTTGCTCGCGTTGACTCTCTCGGCCCTCTTGTCTGAGAGACACTTCGTCCGCTGCTTCCTCCTGGGCATGACAGCACGGCGGCGTATGCTCGACGGCAGCGGGATACTCGGCAGGCGCCAGGTAGGACTGCCCGTCCGTTGAGCGGCGAGCGACGACGGCCTCGTGCAGTACGCGCAGGTAATGCTTGACTTCAATGGCGCTCTTGGTGCCGATGCGCTGCGCGACGCCTGGGAGGTCATGCTTGCCCAGGCGTGACAGTGCTTCGAAAAACTGCTTCTTCTCAACCGACGACCAGTACGTGAGCCCCAGCTGCGAGTCCGGCAGGTCGATCTCTTCTTCCAGGCAAACTCTATGCGCCGCATCGTCAATGTCTCTATTGAGAAGGTCGAGATAGGCGGCGTTCAAATGGCTTCGCTGTCGTTTGAAAGGCCGTGGCCGGTCATCATTCTCCGCGGACCGTTTGCGTGGTGACTGGCTGCTTGCAAAGCCCTCGCTCACTTCCTGCGCCTCGTAGTCATCCTCTCCTAGGAGAACGGACTGTCCCGAATCCCTGTCCGTGGCATGTTTCATTTCAGAATTACACTCGTCGCCATCGGGGACGCTTGTTTGATAATCTGAGTCGTCTGGATCCATGATATCACCCGCTGTCGTTGAAAGGCTGTAGGTGGCGAGTCCACTTTCTGTGCATCGTCAAAATGGTGAAAAATCTTGATGTGAATCATTCTATGTCATGAAGAATTCCAGGTGGTAGTTCAGCAAAAATTACTTGGCTGGCATTCAAATGAGATACACTAATAAGTCAGTTGGTTAGTAAATTTCAACTGAGCCGTATCAGTTGATAAATAAAAATTTGGCTTACATAATGGCTTTTTTTCTTCAAGGTTCGTTCTCCTTTGGTCGCCGTTTTTTTTCCTGAGCAAGCGAAGACCAACTCGCAGGCCTCCACTCCGTTTGCTACGAGAAGCAGTATTGAATCTGGATATTCCTCTTTTCTTTGAGATGTCTTGAGTAAGATGCAATGCTACGAAACATCGCCAAATGTCTGCTGCGCCCCGGCGCGGAGACGCGCAACCCCGTCGTTACGGTGCTGGCTCATCGTATAGCGCAGGCGTCCACTACCACAGCCAAACCTCAAAAACCCCAATTACGAGACTACCAGCAGGACTGCATCCGATCAGTCGTTAACAGCCTGAAATCCGGTCAAAAACGAATCGGAATTTCTCTCGCGACCGGAAGCGGCAAAACTGTACGCCCCACGCCACCACCCCGAATCACTTCACCTCGTCCTTAGAAGCCCCCTTATCTAACACCCGTTACAGGTCATCTTCACACAGCTCATTGATAAGATCGACACGCGCGCCGACACCGGCGGCGACCGGACACTCATCCTCGCGCACCGGCGGGAGCTCGTCGAGCAGGCCGCGCACCACTGCCGGCTCGCGCACCCGGACAAGACGATCGAGATCGAGATGGGCTCGCAGCACGCCACGGGCACCGCCGACATCACCGTCGCCAGCGTGCTCAGCATCACCTCGCGCGACCGGCTGGACAAGTTCGACCCCACACGGTACAAGCTCGTGCTCGTCGACGAGGCGCACCACATCGTCGCCGCAGGCTACCTGCGCACGCTGCGGCACTTTGGCCTCGACGAGCGCCGCGCCGCCTCGCCCGCGCTCGTCGGCGTCTCGGCCACCTTTTCGCGCTTCGATGGGCTCAAGCTCGGCGCCGCCATCGACGAGATCGCCTACCACCGCGACTACGTCCACATGATCGCCGACCGCTGGCTGACGGACGTTGTCTTCACCACTGTCGCCTCCTCCGCCGACCTCGCCGCTGTCCGAAGCAGCGCGTTCGGCGACTTCCAGACTGGCGAGCTCTCCCGCGTCGTCAACACTGAAGCCGTCAACGACGTCACCGTCCGCAGCTGGCTTGCGCGCGCCGCCGACCGCCGCTCCACGCTCGTCTTCTGCGTCGACCTGGCGCACGTCGCCGGCCTCACGGCCACGTTTCGCCGGCGGGGCGTCGACGCCCGCGCCGTCACTGGCGACACCCCACGCGCCATCCGCGCCGAACTCCTTGCCGCCTTCAAGCGCGGCGACTTCCCCGTGCTCGTCAACTGCGGCGTCTTCACCGAGGGCACTGACATTCCCAACGTCGACTGCGTCGTCCTCGCGCGGCCCACGCGCTCCCGCAACCTCCTCGTCCAGATGATCGGCCGCGGCATGCGCCTCCACCCGGGCAAGCGCAACTGCCACGTCCTCGACATGGTCTCCTCCCTCGACACCGGCATCGTCACCACGCCGACCCTCTTCGGCCTCGACCCGGACGAGCTCGTCACCGCCGCCTCCGTCGCGCAGATGCGCCGCCTCCGCCAGAAGCGCGACGAAGAAGCCGAGCGCGCCGCCGAAGCACAAGGGCCGTCGCCCCAGGTCAACCCCGCCACCGCTGTCACATTCACCGACTACTCGTCAGTGCTCGACCTCATCGCCGACACGTCCGGCGAGCGCCACATACGCGCCGTCAGCCAGTATGCCTGGGTGCAGGTCGGCCCGGAGCGGTTCGTCCTGTCCGCGCCCAGCGGCTCCTACATCCGCCTAGAGCGCATTCCCACCGACTCGCCGGCATCCTCTTCTTCGTCCACCGCCACTACCACCACCGCATCCCCATCCTCCTCCTCCTCCGCGCCGCCCCCCGCCAAGCCCACGTACCGCGCCGTCGAGATCCGCGCCCTCCCGCCCGGCACCGGCACCCGCTCGCCTTACGCCGCCGCGCGCGAGATCCTCACCGCCGCCACTTTTGACGCCGCCGTCCACGGCGCCGACAGCTACGCCGCGCAGGCCTTCCCGCACAGCTTCATCCACCGCCACCAATCGTGGCGGCAGGGCCCTCCCACGCGCGGCCAGCTCGACTGGATCAACAAGCTGCGCGGCGGCGGCGGCAGCGGGGCTCGCTCCTCTGCCGCACCGCCACAACCCCTCGGCTACAAGGATCTGACCAAGGGCAAGGCCGCCGACATGATCACCAAGCTCAAGCACGGCGCGCGCGGCCAGTTTGCCCGGATCGAGGCCGAGCAGAGGCGGCGCGGCCGCAAGGTCTCTGCGTTCCAGGAGATGCGCCAGCGCGAGGAGGTCCGCGTCGGGCCAGTGATGAGCTGAGGTCCCAGGAACGGGCCAGCATTGTACAAAAGAAAAGCCTTGTGTTCTCAGAAAAGGATTTCAAGTGCATTATTAGAATTCAAAACGACTTGGTTAATGTATAGGGCGTAGAATAAATGGATACCATAATCAAAAGGACGGAGAGCCATTGGTGTGCCCCGTCTATGTAACTTAGAGTATATATAATGAAAGCGTTCGACACTGAAACGTTTCTACGCACTCTTCTCCTTCATAAAAGCGCACTTCGCATCTAAGGCGTTCAAGTTTTATGATAATGTACCCGGTGCTGCCATACACACCTTCCCGTCGGTGCCATTACCTGAAGGGACTCGTCAATGAATATGATTTTCGTCTCATCCCATGTTTTAATCAAAATACGGCCAAGGAAGTTTAACAAACGTCACATGTCATCGAAGGAGCGGGCGGCAAGATCCGCAGGGAGGCAGAAGCTCGTCAATTCAATGCAGCTACAAGTTTTTTGCTTCGCTTTCGAACTGGTCTCATGCTGATCGCTCATCATGCAATAAACAAAACAATCCTCCACGGACAACGCTATCTTCATCTCCGGGGTATTCTGATTTTCATCGGGCTCGACTTTTTTCTTTGCAATGGGGTATATGGCAGGAATGCATCCATAGCCAGCAACAACGTCATGTAAAAACAGAGACATATAGGCGTAACAGAAAACAATACAAAGTATCAATTGAAACACATAATCGAAGCAGCAAAGACAGAGAAACGAGCGTCACCAGATACTCGCGTTCTCGTCCGGGTATTTCTTTGCGCCAGGGTATATCCAGCCGGGGTATTTGAATGTATGGGGGGCTCTAGGTCGAGAAATCTAACGGAAATGCCCACTAGGGGCGGGGTATCCAGAATTGAGGGAATGGGAAGTAGACGGGCGCCCGCTATCGCCAGATGCGCGGGTGCCGTGTCTGGGGGTAATGTCACCCCCGTGAGGGATGGCGAGCTTGGCATCGACAGGGCCCAGAAGACGAACGCCCCAAGGGTTCTCTTCATCAACAAGGTTGACACCGCTGTCGTTCCAAGGGTTTCGATCGGCGTTGAAGCTGCGCGTGGACTCAATCGAGATGAGGGACGACTTGGAAACGTTGCTAGAGCCTTTGAAAAAGCTGCCGTTGGCCGAGTGGGAACTGTTCTTTCTGCGGTCCAAAAACGAAGACAGAGACGTCATGCTGCCGGGCTTGCGAAGGCGATCCAGGATGCTGCTGCGCTCACGAATGATCTCGGCGCCGAAAGCAGACTTGGTGGGTGTCTCACTGCCGACTGAGGATGGAGCATGTTGCAGAACTTTGGAATCAAAATACTGCAGAGAATCTTCGAAAGAGTCAGAAGTGGGCCGGGGAATGAATCCCTTGACGACGGTAGCGTCCACTGCAGCAGTGGCGAATTGGGCCTCAAGGAAGTCAACAGCATCCCGAAGGCCACCGGCGTTGTTGCGAGTGAAGCCCCAAACAAGCGTCACGGTAGGGTTTCCGTCTTCGGTAAGCTCCTCGGGGTTCTGATGAACGGTAACGTCTACCTCATACTGGCTCTTCAGCTTCGGCATCAAGTCCTTGGCAAAGTCCGGCGACTCGAGGAACTTGACAAGCTCAGGGGTGCGAGCGAAAACGAGGTCGTGCTTGTCAGGGACCATGCCGAGGAACTCGTCAACACAGTGTGGGACCTGCCACTGCGGGCCGGTAACGGTGACCTCATCGCTAGCCTGCTCAGTGCTGGGGAAGCTGATCTTGCAGTTGAACTTTTGCTCGAGCTCATCAATTTCGGACAGGCGGGCGATAAGCTCGCGGTGGTAGAGACGATCCACGTTGACAATTTGGGACGTGTACTCGGAATCTGCTCGGTCAACCATCTCCAAGATTTCGTTCTTGACGGCATCCAAGTTCTGAGCATTGCGAGCAGGGGTCCGGCAAATGACGTTGTCGACCTTGAGATCATCATCTTCGCGGCCCATGCCGCCTCGGTCCATGGCATTCGAAAACTTGACAAAAACGGAATGCTTCTTCATGATGCGTTGAATGTGCTGGCCGCCGATACCGATGATTCGTTTGTGGTATTGATCAGGAACGTGGAACGAGATGGAGGCCGGCATTTCTTGCTCCACGAGGGTGAGTCCCTGCTTAAGCGATTCGTAGCTGGCAGCCATGACATCAATGTTGAAGTTGTACTCGTTGAAGCCATCGAAGATAATCTGGACGTTACTCTGCCCCATGATCTTGTTGATTTTACCGTTCTTCTTGCCGCTGACGAATTCCTTGTGTTCATTTGCAAGTTCAATCTTGACCCGAATCTGGTACTGAGGCTGCGAAACAAACTTCAATTCCGAGATGACAGTCAAGGCAGCCTTGACAGCATCATCAGAGCCGGTGACGGTGAATGACATCTTGTCAAAGGAAACGTCGGCATCCGAATTGGCACAGATCTCACCAAGTATGGCCTGCGTGTCGGCCGGGCCCGGGAGTTGTCGGGCATCGGGTTGCTGCATGAACCATGCAGCCGAGTAAAACTGGCCGGCAAGAGACATGAGCTCGCGAACGGTGCGCTCGACAGGCAGACCCTCGCTTCCCTGAACACGGACTGTGGTACGCTGGCAAGCCAAGGGCGGGAAAATGATATGAGTGCCATTGGCCTCGAGAACCTTACGGACCTTTTCGAGACGGTCAAGAAGGATAGTGTCGATCTTGGAGGCAGGAATGTTGACATCCTTGACATAGAGACGGATGCGGGATACACTTTCGTGGAGCTTCTGTTTGGCAAGTTCAATCGCCTGGTGGGATTCACCGGTGATGTAAATGTCGGCCGGGTCACGTCGATTGGCGTTCGGAGGACAGTAGCGGTACATTTGCGAGAAGAGCGGCGGGAAATAGATGGCAGTTCCGGTGGATGACTCGATGAGCTTGATGTTTTTGCGATGGCGGCCGCAGACAAGCTGATGCAGCGAAAGCTCGACTCGGGTGGCATCGACAAGACGGCCCAGCTTGTGACTAGTTAATAGGTTGATGCAGGAAACATGGTTTTACCGAAGGGAACTTTACCAAGGTATCGATGTGAATGAGAACTCGCGCCTTGGCATGCTCGGAGGATAGAATATCACCATAAATGGCGATCCTCCATCTTTGATCCATTCTCATCTCGGAATCTCCGGAGACACCGTCAACCATGGGGGTCAGCTTTGGGCCAAGTAGGAAGATGTCGACACCACAAAAACTGGAGATTTTGTCGAGGGTTTCAATGACGGGCTTTTTAAGAACGCCGGCGTTCAGATCGCAGACAAGCTTGCCATCGATGTCGATGATGGTACAGCGCTGTATAAAACGAGTGGATTAGAACAAATTTAGTAGGCAAGGGAGACAAGTAGGAACATAATTCGGTTCAAGGGGGCTACCATACCAAGGCGATTGGGATCTCGTTGAGGATCGTCTCACGGCTCTTGTGGACAAGCTCGGGTGAGCCGGACAGGCAGACGGTGGTGATTTGCTGAGCTCTGCCATTTTTGGGAGCAGTCGAGATGACCTGCGCCTCGATTGGAAGAGGGCCGCTGGATAGGTCTCTACAGAGGCGGTGCAGGTTGTTGAGGTTGTGGGTGTGGGCTGGAAGCTCATGAACCTGGACGTCATCGGGGGCATCCTCGGGATGCGTCCATCGGAGTACAGCGTCAGCAGTGGAATGCAGAATGTCCTCAGTGTTTGGGCCGGCGAGGTCGGACGAGAAGGGGACGTTGAAGGAGTAAGTAATCGTCGCATCGGCAGCCTGCGGATTGGTGAGGGCCGGACCAGCCTGCGGCGCATTCTTCGGGTGGGCGTTGAGGGGATTGCCGGGCATGTTGGGGCGTCCACCCATGCCGAAATTGGGACTCATCCTCTCGGACCAGTGCCGCATATTGGCCAGCTTATTCATGGTCGGTGGATGGGTAAACGCAACAGAGCTTCAGGTAGGTCGAGGTTGTCGAGGATACGGCGGGTCGAGGCAGCCGTACGGGGTATCGGACGGGACTCGAGGACGGACGGAAGCAGCGGAGTAGATACCAGCAAGACAAGAAGGCAGGAGCGGCAGAGATACTGGCATGAATCGAGGGTTGACGCAGGAGCGAGTGACGGCGAAGAGAATCGACAAGAGCAGACAGGGCAAGACACCAAAAAGGACCAGCAACGGGGAGGGGGTATCTAGAACAAGACGCTGGGGGGATTTGCTGACGTGGATGAATGTGAAGAGAAGGGGGAGGGGAAAGGAGATGAAGAGAAGAGAAGAAGGGGAGGGGAAGACGATGGTGGAGAGAATTGGACGTGAAGTAATTCTTTCCGAGGACTCTTTGAGGGGGTGAGAAGGAGAGTAATCAGGAAGAGAGGAAGAGGGCGGAAAATGGCCAAGAGAGGAGTGCTAGGTTGGCAGCAGGTAGGTTAGATTTGGTGAGGTAGTACCTGGCTGTGATTGATTTAGTTTGGTTTGGTGGACCGTTCTGGGGGGGCAAGGGAAAAGCCCAGCGCGGTTTTGCTGCAAACGAGAGACAGGCTACCTGACGGGGGTAAAAGTCTGTGTACTATTTTCGATATTTTTAGTTTATTCTTCTTCCTATTTCCTATTAAATTTGTTTGCTTTCCTATTCTCCGACAGAAAGAGGGACGAGCGTGTACTTTGCACGAGCATGGCTCAGCTGGGTTTCCCGGTTTGCGGCGGTGGTGGTGGTGCTGCGCAGAGCCCTGTAAAACCTGAGTTTTACTGGGAGGGTCAAGGCGTTGGGGGCTACTGAACAGCACAGCGAACTAGCCTGGCTGCGAGCCAAGGCAACAGGAAAAGCTGCAATGTATTAGCCGTCTCGGCTCTTGGTATCTCCACGCCAGATTTATTAGACAGGATACTTGGTTATTGTCCGCAGCTGGGGCGGGCTGTGTACGTTTCCATGGGGCGATTGTCAGCGGGGGGGGAGGGGAGCTGAGAGCCTGGTCTCCCCAGCTTGGGCCAGCCCTTTCGCTTATCAGCGTGGTTGAGAATGTCAATATGCTGAGCGAGACCATGTTGGCCTTTTCCGCATGAAAATGGCTGCAGAGGGCAGAGACGATGCGTGTCTCGGCCCGGAGGACCAAGCAATCACGGCAGCTCCTAAACTGGTGCGTGTAGCTTCTGTCTTGCGCATCAGTGCAACCAGGCCAGACCAGACCAGAACCATGCTGCAGCCACTGCGGACGGATAGGCAGGTAGGCAGGCAGACGGGCAGGTGGTGGGCGGTGCATGCAGCTGCGGGCCTGCTAACAATTAAGGTACCAATGTACCTACTACAATGCAAAGTATCACCAGTAGCAACGGCTGGATTCATCTACAGGTCTCCAAGTATTTAACAATAGTAGTCGGCCGGTTTCATCGGTAACTATGTAGCCGGGTATCATTACTTTTAGTTCTTATACTCTCCTGTCCCGACTTGTAGTCTGTCGTACCAGTACCGCCCGAGCCACCCAGGAAGTTGCCGAGACAAGGGTTGCCATGGCCGCACACACCATTGCCCAGCCAGTCAATGGCCACAAATCGACTGGGTTCGATGTTCGAGGTCTGCCCTGACAATGTAACATGGCTGCCTGCCTGCCCGCTAAAACTGCCTGCTTGCTGCCTCTCACTTGCTAACGAGAAAAGAGGCTGGGCTGGCGGATGACGGGCGCCCATCACGCAACACGGAAGAGGTCAAGGCCCTGTCGTTGGTGGCCCATTCTTGTACATCCCAAGTGGGTTGCATCTTGCTCGACGGATACAATTTTTTTTATATTTTGTCGGGTTTTTGTCATCTTCTTTGTGGCCCGTTTTGCCCTTCTTCGAGGGCTGGAGCTACTTGCTAGGTAGGCAAGGTGACTCTTCCTCAGTACTCTCGCTCACCCTCCTCATGACCCGTGATAACGCGTCGACGCAGCATCAGCTCTGACATCGCGAAAAGTATACACACATTCCACACACCACCCCTGCAACCCGCCCTTCTTCGCTCACTATCCAGTCGATTCATCCCAGTCGTCGGGCGGGGATGCGGAACATGCATTCCAGCTCACCCACTCGGCCACTGGCAAGATCTTCTCAGTGGGACCTCTGACCATGCCTAGGTCTTGAACGTGTCCTCTCAAGTCCAGGCCTCTCTCCCTCGATCAACCATCTTGACTCCCCGCACCGGCTCTGTTCATTACTCCATGCTTTGGAAGGCCGTTCCCGCTAAGCAACTATTGAGTCGTCCTCGACATGGAGGCTTGAAGATGATAGCCGTGGTGAACATCACACAACCATTCCTGCGCCATTTTCAACATGGCTGTCTGGGAGCTCTCCTCCCTTGCTGTCTATCCGTACATCAAATACTACTAAGTAGCAGACAGGCCTTCGCCCAAAATAGAGGTAAAGCCAACCACTCACAAGCCCGCACATCCTGTGCCATGCATGCTACCGTCGTTAGTTGAACACCTACCGATACGAGAACTGGGACGAGAGGACAGCTTTCCACTCCCATCAAGCCACAAACATGGTAGCTTCACCTACTTACTAGTCCAGATAGGTCACCAACCTCACTTACCAAGGGCGACGCGCCTCTGCTCAACAAATCCGGCGCTTCGGCTACCCCAGCATGAAGCTGTAACGTGGGCGTAGTTGGCCGACAATCGGCTGGTTTGCAAAACAAGGGCCTGGATTTGACTATTATGCATGCAAAAGAAGCAGCCACCGGCCATTCCATGCACCATCTCGCCCCTGCCCCCCAGAGTCATAAAAATAGACCTGTGTCTCATGTCGCCGTCGTGCCCGCAGTCCCTCCGTGCCGTCAGCCGAAGAGTCCCTTCTCGATGCTCTTCGGGGACGTGCAACACTCCCGTATCCGACCCTGTCAGGGCTTGCTCTTTCTTGCTATTCCCCAGACCCGACGACCCTTATTACCCGAGGCCTCATGCAAATTCCCGTTGCCCGATGCCATGAAACGACCGCTCTTGCACAGCCTGTAGATCCTTGAAACCTAAAATATCTACTTTGTCCTGCTGTTTAGTCCCTTTCGTACGTTTCTACCACATTGAAGAAAACGAGTAAGGGGCAACTCCCAATAATTGCAGACACTGTAAGTGAACAGTGCCCGATTAACCGAAGGCTTTCCCGTTTTGTCCCGCCCCTACCCGCCAGACTGATGCATCTCAACTACAGCAGACCAACCTCAAACCCTCCAGGCACCCATCGGCCGCTGCCTGTCCTTGCCAAACGCGACCCAAGCCGGCCATCTAATGTCTGACTTCTGTGCAAACGTCTCGGCCTATTCTTACATCAACAGCAGCATGTATTATATGTGTCTATGCACCTCAGCAAAGCCAGCATCTAATATTGAACACAAAGCGCAAAGATAACAATAGGAACCCATGCCAACAACGCTGTTCCAACATGGTTTCCCCCATCCCAAGTGAATATAAATGCACCCTACGCTACATTACCGGAACCCATCCTGCATGGTTCCGCGCCCGTATCTAGCATCTTGAGCCATCGCAGTACGAGAGCTCGCTGCCTCGTTTGATGCGTCGGTGTACATATTAACAACGCCGCCCGGTCGATCCATCATGCCTTGATTATCGCCCCACGGCCCGTAACTGTAAGTCGTGAACACGCGCGCTGGTCCGCGGCGCTCGGCGCCATATATCACTCCTGATGCCTCCGGCCGCACATTCGCCACCGGGTCATGAGGTCCCGGGCCACTGGTGACCCGAGTCTGTTCTGTAGGGTGGATGCTCGATGCCCTGTTAATATATTCCCGCCCTCCTTCTGCATATATTCTCTGCTCCTGTGGTCGAGGAGGAACAGACTCTCTTGTAGCAGCCAGTGGTCGTGTTGAGTACTCTCGGTAGCGGACATCTCTGTTCTCAAAGGTGACGTATTCGGGTTGCGTCAGAATGCGCCGGGGTGCAACGTATGGGGATGCGGCCTGAGCAAACATATATCCTCGTTCCTCGAGAGCACCTGGTCCCTGGTATCGAGCAAGAGGCGGCACCGGTGGTCGATCAAAAAGTCGATCAGGGTCACCTGGTAGCGGCGACGGCGCCATGGATTGGCGAATAATCTGTCTCGGAGGCTCAAAATACTCGCGGCCATAAGCATCATACAGTATTCTACCCGGATGATGTTGACTTGTCGCCTCGTGAAAGACGTCGCCTTCAGGGTGTACACTGTAACGAGTGGCCTGAGGTGAATTTCGATAGGGCAGCATGACGTCTGAAACAACATCACCGCGAATGTTTCTTCCCATGTGGGACCCACGAGATGGATATTCGGGAGCCAGAGCGAGCTGTGGCATATGCTCTCTTCTGTAACCATCGTCAGTGACTACGCGCTCAGCTGCACGATCTCTCGAGACTCTCGCGTCATTGGATATGGTCGATGCAGCTGCGAAGTACACTCCACTTCCATCGTAACCGACCGGCACCTGCTCTTGGCGGTTTTGAAATGTTTGGGGTGCCTCATTGGGGTTGCTGGGTCCGCTGGGCATGGCGGGATCGTATGACATGGCGGGATCATATAACATCTCATCATGAGATGAGTTCTGGTTCTGCTGCTTGAGCTGCCGCCGACGCTTGCTGGGCCGAATATATGATGGCCCGGGAAGGGGTGAAGGGGATCGCGGCTCAGCTTTGATCTGATGCGTGCTGCTTGCGAAAGACTGTTGGCTTTCCAGTGCCAGCCTGTCGGACTTTCGCTTCTTCTTTTTGTTTTTGCGTTTACCCTGACCACCTTGAGACGAGCTCTCTGGGCTCGTCCTTGAACCTGGCTCGCTTCGGAGTGCCGCCACTTGAGCAGGTGCTCTGGCACTGTTAATAGAGTTCTCGGCACCACCATAGAATCCCGGGATCTCGCTTGGTTGCGGTGGCTGGGCTGGGTAGCCAGTAGCCAAATAGCCAGGCAGCGCCCGCGTTCTGTTCTGGAGTAGAGGCGATGGGGGGTGCAGGTCGATATACGAGGATGGCTGAATTGGAATAGTCTGTTTACCAACAGATGCAGTCGCGGATGATGCAGCAGCATTAGGCTGGCTCAAGCCAGTAGCCGAGTTGTCAGCGTAGTTGTTCAAACCTGGCAAACTGCTCGGTTGCTTTCGCACAGCAGGGGTTTCGGTGAGCTCGTCGTATGTGCGGAGCTGGCGCGCCTTTGTCACACTACTAGTACGTCGCTCATCTCGGGTCGTATCCTGTACTGCGTTTGCTGTAATTGAATTCGCCGGGGGCGGCTGTGCAGGAGCGGTACTGGCTGCAGGGACTGCGGAGCTGACGGGGACCGGCGATGCCGGTTGGAATTCGGGTGTATCGTGCTGCGACGAGTAGAACGTATTATCATCAAACGAGTCTTGGTCTGGTCCATTGCCACTGCTAGCACCTTCCTGTGTCTGGGCGCAGAAGTTCACTTCTGGCACAAGGAGTAACGCCTTGGCGAGGACAGCTGATGCGTCGAACTCTGGTAGCGTCCCAGAGCCATTCTGTTGGCTGGAATTCCGTTGCACATCCTCCCATAACTCCTGTTCTATTCTCTTTCTTTGTCGCTGCAGTTCGGCGCACAACAGCTCATCGGGTTTTGATAAGTGTACCGGATGGGGTTCGGGAGGCGGTGCCACGTTTGGTGTGGCAAGGAACGATCCTACAGCGTGCTTGGAGGCAAATGCCGTGTTATCTTCTCGGGGTCGGTTCTCTGGAGTGCATTCATGAACATCATCGGTAGATAGCGATAGCGCAGCTTCTCTCAAGGAGTCAGGAACCTTGATGGTGGCATGCTTGCCAGCAAGAATCTCATCACGGAAGCGGATGATTTTCTGGTACTGTTGCAAAACGTGCGACTCGGTCTCAGGGAGACCAGGAGCCAAGACGCTCTGCAAAGCCATTTCGTGATCGCGTTGAATCTAACAGCAATTTTTTCGAGGTTCATATCCGGAGCAGATTGTCTCGTCTGCCTGTTCGTTCGCTTGGTAGTTGCGCGGCGCGCGAGCGAGTGGCAGGAGCGGCTACGACTCTATCGTGCCTCTTGCTCGTAATCTCAGTAACGTTAGGGGAACAGTCAAGCGACGCTTCTGAAGAAGCTCCAAGTGAGGAGCTTGCGCAAGCTATGACAAGACGCACTGAGCCATTCTGCTCTGTTGGTCTGGGCTTGTTTCCCTGTCCAAGCTTTTGTCAAGGGAATAAATAAGTAAGAGGCATGTTTAATTTCGCTTTTGACTGGAATATCCACATGTCTCAGGCGGTGAGTCTGGCAGAATGGCCAGCCACAAGCCTACGCCATCTATTATTAAGGTGCCAGATGAGCATGAGTTTACGTGTTCGGGGCTTTTGCTTTTCTTTTGTAAATCCTTCTGTAAAGTTTTTGGGTCCTATGTAGCTGAAATCTATCACTTTCAACTATTGGTAGCACGGCCTTTTGATCTCTTTGTGCTCCCGTGTCTCCTTTCTCCATCGCTTCCCGCGCCAAGGCGTGGGTAGGCTTGCTTGATGTGACTGGCCAGTCGGCCCAGTTTAGCGGGATGACTCAAGGTCGGTGGAAGGAAGGCCGTCCTCGACGGCAACCTAATAAACGGCTCATGAGCGCCATCTACATCTGTATCACCGAATTGCACCACCAACCCATCCGTACATGATATTGCTCCAAGAGATTGCCTTGACCTCACGCACAGCTGGAGACTACATTGCCACCTCATCGGAAGAGTAGCACAACAAGCCACTCGGCGCCTTCCGGCCGTCAAGAAACAACACTTCGTCTCAGTCACCAAAATACTCGCCTATTCGATCGTCGGCAACAATATCTAAAATGACTGCCACAAATGGAGGCCGGTCAAAACTGCCCGTCTTGTTCTTGTAGGAGCATGCCACTAAGCTCAATCTCACTGCCAGACTAACGCGACTGCAACAGCGACATTGACAACTGCCTCTATGCGCGAAGTAAGTCACATAGAAATAGTGTGAAAATGCAGGTTCTGACAGCTGAATAGGCACCAAGGTACAGGAACTCATGTCTGATCTCATTGACAAGTACTTTGCCCAGCATCTCAACCTCCCCGACGAGGAGGCGGTGCGGCTGCACAGCGAGTACTACACAAACTACGGTCTGGCCATCGAGGGTCTTGTGCGCCACCACGAGATCGATCCCATGGAATACAACGCCAAGGTCGACGACGCTCTTCCGCTCGAGACCGTCATCAAGCCGAACGCAGAGCTGCGCCAGCTGCTCCAGGACATTGACAGGAGCAAGGTCAGACTCTGGCTCTTCACCAATGCTTACAAGACGCACGGCGAGAGAGTCGTCAAGCTGCTCGGTATCGACGACCAGTTTGAGGGATTGACGTACTGCGATTATTCTGCGGTGCCGTTTGTCTGCAAGCCCAATCCCGATAGCTACAGGAGAAGCATGCGTCAAGCCGGCGTCCAGAACCCTGCCGACTGCTATTTCGTCGGTAAGTTCTAGTTTGTCGGTCTTGAGGGGGCCTATCTGCTGACCGCGTTTCAAAGACGATTCGTACAACAATTGTAAGAGCGCCAAGGCCTTTGGGTGGACGGCCGCTCACTTGGTCGAGGAGGGCATCAAGGAGCCGGCGACACAAGCATCACAGTTCCAGATTAAGCACCTGAGGGAACTCCGCGACATTTACCCCCAATTTTTCAAGTCGAAGTAAATCATCTATTCGCGCTTAGTGTAATCGCATACTAGAATAGCCGAGCTAGAAGAAATGAGATAGACGGGCTGTAATTAATGCAAAATCAGGGGAGCGCCCGCGCAGTGGCAAATTCACTGTGGCCACAAACCAGTCCAGGGCCGGTTCCCGTTAACTCCTCGCTACCCATGTCATGAAAAAGCACCTGTTTTGGCATCAGCATCATGCGAAGTCATTCAAGGTCGTCGAATGCCGCAAATAACCGAGTCCAGCTGCCCAAGGATGGCGTCGCGTTCCTTGAGCGCCTCTTGTCGCTCGGCTTCCGCCCCCTTCAGGTCCTCCTCGAGGTCCTTGATGGCCTTTTCTTGATCTTGTTCGCTATTGTTCAGGCCTGGAAGCAGCGATATCAGGTATTCGATCTGCTGCTCCTTGAATATGAGGTCGCGCGAGAGTTCGTTCAGGCCGGCTGCGAATTCGTCCGCTGGGAGGGGATCGACTATGTTTTGCTGCCGCGTTAGCAGACAGAGCTGCCTTTTTGGTACGCTCAAATGACGAACCTTCTCTCTGCTCGGGCTCGAGCTTCACGTCGCGGATCTTGTCATTCGGTCCGAGAGTTTGGAGATCGTGTCGCCGATGGACAAAGTGTAAGGATGCGACAAACTGTTGCGCGAGCTGCGGACGATACGCGTTAGTTTCTGCGGCAGCGCAGCTAAGGCATAGCCGGCGCATCACTTACCTGGTCAACAGCATCCTGTAGCTGGGTCAGACTATCACTCATTGTGATTGCGCGCTGCTTGAGATGATTGAGGTTCGCTGGATCGGTTGGGCGTAGCTTCTAAACAGGTTAATGCCTTTCTAGCGCCCCACGTAAAGCCGCCAAAGTGCGATATTAGCACTGGTGCAGCCTTGACCGGATCGCGGGTAATAGACGATCCGGCGCACCCAAAGCCAAGCAAAGCCACCTGGTCAGAAAAGTGAATGGGCCAGTTGTGTGATAGGTGTCATCCCAGGAGAGGAGTGACCACATTAAATTTACACTTCCGCCAACCGCACCAGCAGTTGCCTTCTTTTCTTCTAACCACTTGGGTGTCCGCTCTCCGGATTTTACGAGTTGTTTCAATTTATTTCATCGCCAACTCGGAAGTTTCCCCATCTCATTGTTCGCAGAAGCCCCCAACGCCCGCGATCGCAATGTCTGCGCCGCCGCCGCAGCAACAACCCCCCCAGGGCGGCATGCCCATGCCCATGCCCGGCCCGGGCCAGCAGCCCACGCCCGAGCAGATCGCAGAGTTGCAGCGCCGCATCACCGAGGATGCGCAAAAGGCCGGCATGACGGTCCCCGAGTTCATCGAGCACATCAAGCGCCAACGGATGCAGGCCATGCAGGCGGCCCAGCAACAGCATCAACACCAGCACGGCGGCGACGGCCACGACCACGGCCACTCGCACGACCACGACCAGGACGGTGGCCACGGCCACTCCCACCCGCACCAGCAGCAGCAGGGCCAGCCCCAGCCCATCACCCCGGGGCCGCCCAACCCCAAGGCCATCGCGCTCGCCAAGTTCCTTCGCGGGCAGGAGCTGAAGCCTCGCACCGTCATCCTCAACGGGGAGCGCAAGGACATGTTCCGAGGTACGGCTCTCTTTCCCCAGGCAGGCCTCAAAGATGGCGACCCGGCGCGCAGTTGTTGCTAACAAGGAGTGTGTAGTCAAGCGTGCGCTGCGAGCCCTCCAGTCCCCCGCCTACGAAAAGGCCCGCAAGAAGAACCCCCTCCTACCCGAGATCACCGACCGCGCGTCCCTCGAGAACACGTTCAAGCTTCTGCCCCTCAGCATGCTCGCGCTGCGCGTCTCCCAGATCGAGCCCGCCCTCGGCCCCAACGGTAAGAAGCCCAAGCGCGTCAAGGGCCAGTGGAACGTGCGCATCGAGCAGCAGCAGGAGGCCCAGGACGAGCTCTACTACGTCTGGCTCTGGGAGGGCAGCCAGGTCAAGCGCCAGCTCTACGCCGCCCTCGCCCTCGTCGCCATCTTCGCCATCGTCCTCTACCCGCTCTGGCCGCTCAAGCTCCGCCAGGGCGTCTACTACCTCAGCTGGGGCATGCTCGGCCTCCTCGGCCTCTTCTTCGCCATGGCCATCTTCCGCGTCATTCTCTTCTGCATCACATACTTTGCCGTCCCGCCCGGCCTGTGGCTGTACCCCAACCTCTGGGAGGACGTCTCCTTCATGGACAGCTTCCGACCCGTCTGGGCCTGGCATGAGGTAAGCAAATCAGACCCCTTAGATGCTCCGCGCAAGAGGAAATGTCTGGAAATCGGTCGTCTATATGCTAACCAGCCATGTAGACTGAGAAGCCCAAGAAGAAGAAGAAGCGTGCTCAGCAGGCCGGCGCGACCAACTCGACCATGGCCGCCGCCGCTGGACAAGTCGCACCCACCAGCGCGACCACGACCGGTACCGATACCCAGATCAACACGGGGACTCAACAGCGCTACGTGGCGCCCAAAGTGGAGGAGCTGACGGATGACGAGTAATGGCTAGGCGCGCATGTGGAAGTGTGAAGCGGGCTTGTGAGGAATGGACGCAAGGCATACGAAAAAATAATTCGGTTACATCTGATCTTGGCCGAGTGGAGGGAGGGCAGTGGAGGAACACATTTCGAGTAGTTGGAGTTTCTGTATAGATTTCTTTCTGCACCCTTCTATTGCTCGGAACGACGAAAATGGATGCTATTTTGGTTTTTATATATGATATGAAGGACGCGTACTTCACACTGTGGTGAATAACTGTCAATCAGTATATACAATTATATCCATATCGCTACTTCTTCTAACAAAGATCATCGCCTTCGGTCGAGAATCTTTTTCCGCCTAGTTCCTCTGGCAGCCAGTGGTCTCGCTGCCGTTGGCGCGCTTGTAGTACCAGACAGCGTTCTCAGCCTTGGCGCAGTTGCCGAGGCTGCCACCGACGACATCAGCGTCGACGCGGACCACATCCTTGTTCTGGACGCGGCCGATGACGTGGTTGTAGTACCAGACCTCCTGGAGCTGTGTGCGGCCATTGTCGCGGGAGCCCTTGCCGGCCGCGGTCTCGTTGTACTTGGGGCCGCCACAGCCCAGGTAGGGGACCTTGCCGTAGCCCTCCCGGAGTGCGGCCTGAATGTGGGACAGGGTGTAGGCAGTCGTGTTGGAGGGCTTGATGCCGGCGTTGGCGAGCCAGTGCCAGGTAGGCAGGTCCTTGTAGTAGCTGATGACGGTCTCGAAGAACTCGAACAGATCGTCGTGCTCGTTGACCTTGGGACCCTGTGAGGTGAAGTAAATACGTTAGTAAGTGTTATCGCCGTCGGTTTTTACAGCGGAGGTATTGACGACGTACGAAGCATTCGGTCTGGAAGGTAGAGAAGCAGGTGGCGTGTTTGGAGAATTCGTGTGCCCAGAAGACCCAGTTAGGGTCACCTTGGCTGACCCAGTACTTGTTCATCCATGCAAGGAGGTCGGATTTGCCGTAGGACGCAAACCACTTGTCAATGGGCTCGCCCTTGTAGGGGGGGACGGGGGTGCCAGTGGGCGTGCCAGTCGTGGTGTTGGGCGAAGGCTTAGGGTCATACTGACGGCTCAGGTCGCAGTACTGGGTGTAAGAGCCTGAAGTAATAGTTAGAAGCGGTAGGAAGTACACCAGTTGAATCGGAACACACCATTGCAAAAGTCTAGAGACAGTTCCCAAGTTAGCGAACGTCAAAGCCAACGGAGGGCATGTTGGTTCCCCACCAGGCCAGAGACCGTGAACGGTCCAAGATTTCTTGGGCAGAATTTGGCCGTTGCTCTCCAGTCCAGTGTACACGTCCCAAAACTGGGTTTGAAGCTACTCCGTCATCCGTTATTAGTTAATCATGTCACAACCACAGCGACGAAGCCTGTTGTTTCCGTACCACCAAGCCTCCAAAGGTCTCGGAGCAGCAAGTGTCGACCTTGCCGGGAACTGCACCTGCGGAGCAAGAGAGCACAGGCTTGCCTTAAGGAAAAAAAGTTAGCGACCAGTGACACGAGAGTAGCCATCGGCTCGGGAATCTGTTATGGCAATCGCACTCAGAACGCAGGTGTGGTTGTCGCTGGTGACCCCAGGGTACAAGGCGGCGGCGGCGAGCGGGACGAGCGCCGCAGCGGGGAGAATGGCGGAGTTGACCATTGTGGCTGGATGAGCAGCAATTGAACAAGAGGAAGCAATGGGCAGTTCGACGATACCAGTCAAGGACAATCAGGAACGAAAAAGAAGAAGAAAAGACAACGGTCAGACGCGGGCTCTTTTTTTATCTCATGGACTGCCTGCTCTTTTCGTGTTAGCTGGGACGCTCAAGCTGGCCCAGGTTCCGATGAAGCAAGGCGGCCAATTGCGGGTCAGAACTTTTGACGACGCCATCATCATTGCGGAACTTCAGCTAGTGGAAAATGCGAAGAATTTTTGTACAGAGTATCTGTGCTTGCAGCTAATGTGTGGCGACCGAATATTGCTACAAAATCTATGCCGAGCTGCCAATAACGCGCCTGCACAACCACGAGCCAGCACCTGGCGTTGAGGCTGGGGCATGTCCATGGCGAGCACCTGGGGAAATGCAACGCTGTGGTAGGCCAATTCGGGCGAAGATGGCTCACGCTAGCCACTGATCGCACGAACATGGCTGCGCTTCCTCGGTGGCCCAACAGGGGAAGCTTCCACACCTACGGCCATGTCCGCTGGAGACGGGAGTTGCAGAACGAGGTGGCTTGCCAAACAGACGTTAATAGCCTTAAAAAGTTAATTCCCCAACGCCGTTTTTCCTTCATCAGTAACGGCTTCGAACAACCGCGTGGTAAAGTGCCAGATCGATGGGGCTGGTGATATGGGCTGCCCACATGTGCGCCATGTCAGTCAGGTAGTAGCTGCAACTTGATATATTGGTCGTCTGATCCTATCGCGCAGACATGCGTTCCCCTAGTCATTCGCCGTAGTCTTTCGTCAAGTCTTTGTAGAAGAACGTGCCGCCTTTCAACTCTCCTGTGGGGCTGATGCCATAGCCGGGGATTTTGCCTACTTCAGTGTATCCGAGTTTCCTGTAGACAGCTTCGGCTGCGGATCCCGTCTCTGTATCCAGGAGCTGTAAGAAAATGAAAAACATGTTAGCGACATCACGTCGATACCCAGATTGATGCAAACATACAAGCATTGTTCGATGCTGCTTAAGTGCCTCCGCCTCGAGCGCATTCATTAATAATCTGGCGCCTCCTCTGCCACGGAAATTCGTGTGTATAAGCAGCTTCTCAACCATGCATCGAAAACCTCCCGTTTCCGACCATGGCATGAACATCATGACGGCGCCCATAATGTCGGGTCCTTTGATGCGGCCAGAGGGCTCCAGGTTATCTACCAGGAGAAACATAACCCGGTTGCCCTCCGAAATCTCTGCTATCCGGCCCTTCCACCATGACAGCAGCTTCTCATGCGAGAGGGGCGGCAAAAATGTGGCTATTGTGCGGTCCAGCCGGATGCAGGATGCATGGATAGCGGCAAGATACGGCGTCACATGAGAGTGCTCTTTGGCGTCGAACAAGACGACGGACGCCGAGTGCGCCATGATGTGTCTACCAGGAAGTAGCCTCCAAATTGGAAGAGCGGCACGGCGGCGAGCAATGCGCGATATGCGATGTGCTGTTTGCGATCTCGGAGATGGCGGATGCTGGTGAGCAAGGTACGTTGGCGCGCCGCAGCGACGTTTTCGAAACGGAATGCTTGCGATCTGCGTCGGCTGATTGACCCGTGCTTGGAGATGAATTCTCAATTCGATGATATGCTCTGCTATTGGGACGTAATTCGGCACAGATTCTGTGGTTTCAGTCGGCTGCCCTGTCCAGGTTTTGGGGATTTTTTTCGTTCTCGTTGAGGAAAGTGGAGGAGCTTTGGCGGCCGCGTACCTTGACTTGAGGCTAGAAGCGAGCATCACCGGGTAGCCCAGTCCTGTCTCCTGCATGCAATATGCATATAATGGCAACTTCGCCAAGCAGCGATAACATCATATCGAAAAATGTCTAAGATCACCGGAAATAGAATCGAGAAGTAGAGGGGGAGAGCAATGAAACAAAAAGGAAGCTTCATCCTCTCCAGCGTACGACGATGGACCGAGATTCAGTTGTTGCGTTTGTAAGCGTTCTGCTTTGAGGGCAGGCGCTGGCCGACTTTGCCTCCACCAAATTATATCCTACCTACTTTATGAATCAATCCCCATCGATTCTATTCATACTCACCACCTACGATCCTATTTCGACGTTTACTAGTCCCGCCTCGCCGGCGAGGTTGCATCGTATGTTCATGTGGCTTGCTTGACCCTGTACACGTTACCATCAGCCAACGGCGCTAACTAATCTGCTCGACTTTGTTCCCAGCCTTCCACTTTCGACGCTCCTTCTTACAATGTGTCTATATCGTCGTTCGACCTTCACTGCCACGGAAAAGTACAGGTGTTCAGAAATGGAGCCCGATTCCCAGGCGTCGGAAGCCCACCACCAGACGCCCTTCAAGAAGGTCGAGGCTGGGCTCGAAGCGCTTTTCGGCGGCGAGAAACACTCTCATTCCCACGTTGGACATGTCTGCGATCACTTGCACCCTGAGCATATTACCAATCGCTATCACTCTTTTGCGCCGGAAACTACCGGCGATGCGAAATGGTTCGTCGACGGCTGCTCCTACTTCTACGCCGTCTCTCAGGCGCTCGAGCGTGAGGGAATAATTCTCCGTCTTGAGTTGTGTAGTTTGCTAAACTCGTTGCTCAGGGGCCCAGGAATCAATCTATATTCTTGACTGGTGGCTAAGTCCCGAACTGTACCTGCGGCGACCACCTTCCAAAAATGCACAGTATCGCTTAGACGCTATGCTCAAGGCTGCTGCCGAGCGTGGAGTCACTGTCAATATCATCATTTATAAAGAAGTGCAAGCTGCATTAACACTTGATTCCGCTGTGAGCAAACTTCCACAAGTCGCCTTACTAGAACATCCTCTCACAATATTGTAGCATACGAAAAAGGCACTGGAGGCTCTGCACCCCAACATTCACGTCTTCCGCCACCCAGACCATGTCCTCACTGGGTACGATATCAAATCAGAGTTTAAGAAAGCTGTCAAAGATCTTACCCACTTTGAGCTCGCTAAGGCATCGCATGCTGCTATCAAGGCCATCTACGGGGTTACCGACGACATTGTCCTCTACTGGGCACACCACGAAAAGCTCCTCATTGTTGACAGTAGAATGTGTTTTATGGGCGGCCTAGACCTTTGTTTTGGCCGCTGGGATACCAATAGCCACCCAATTGCTGATGCGCACCCGGGCAACCTGGATGCCATCATCTTCCCTGGCCAAGATTACAACAATGCTCGGATTTTTGACTTTTCCGATGTTGGCGACTGGAACCAGAATAAGCGTATGCACGAGAATCATTCCTCCTGTACTAAGAACTCGATTAACTGACGAGTCTATAGTGGACAGAACTCAAAGCTCAAGAATGGGGTGGTCCGATGTGGCCCTCTGCATGACGGGCGGCATCACTGAAAGCCTCGTCGATCATTTCGTCGACCGATGGTACGTCAAGACAATCCGATACCTCTTTAATAGTCATTTTCTTACGAAACAGTAGGAATTACATATATGAATCCAAATACGGCGAAAAGAATGGCGACAAGTATACGCTCATGGATGCCCCAGATCCAATCGAGGAGATTGGGAAGAGTGTGCACCAAGCAGTTGGTTCACTTAGAAGAAAATTCACCAGGGGTCTACGCGGTCTCGGCCGTAAGAAAGCCGCAAAACAAGAAGACAAGCTGCAACTTCAGCTTACTCGCAGGTAAGACCACTCTGCTGAGAGCAGGCGCGTCAATTCATGCTAATTGGAATCAGCTGTACTCGCTGGTCCTCCGGTCATCGCACAGAGCACTCCATTGCCAACGCGTACGTTGATGTCATTTTAAAAGCCCGGCATTTTGTCTATATTGAAAACCAGGTACGTAACAATAGATTTGTGACTTGCGCATATTGGCCCCGCCTCTCATCCTTCCAAGTTCTTCATTACCGCAACAAGCAATAAACAGCATCCCGTTGTGAACAAAATAGGTGCAGCTATTGTTCAAAGAATTCGCCGCGCTCACACCAACAATGAGCACTTCAAAATCTGGGTTGTTATGCCTGCTGTTCCAGCTTTTGCTGGCGATCTCAAGTCCAACGATGCGCTTGGTACTCGTGCCATTATGAAGTATCAATACAACTCCATCTCGCGTGGAGGCCACAGCATCATTGAACGCCTTCGACAGGCCGGCATTGAGGACCCTAGTGACTACATTAGCTTTTACAACCTGCGCAACTTCGATCGTATCAATACCTCTGCCACTATGAAGGAAGCCGAAATTAAAGCTGGGGTTGAATACGAAGAGGCAAGAAAGGAGCATGACGACCAGGTTGGCGCAGGTCGCTTTCCTCAGGGCGAGGGTACGGGTGGAACTAAGTATTCTTACAAACAGTACCAGGAGCAAGCGCAAACGGTGGCAGACGAGACAAAAGATTCCATCGTTGCTGCCTACATGGATGGACGAGACGAGCTCTCGCATTTTGCCTGGGATGGTAATCCAGATGCCGAGATGGATGCATTCGTTAGCGAGGAACTTTACATTCACTCGAAACTTCTTATTGCCGATGACCGTCTTGTCATCTGCGGCTCTGCGAATCTCAACGATCGCTCACAGCTGGGCACCCATGATTCAGAAATTGCCGTTGTCATCGAGAACGGCCCTTCAGTGTCTAGCACCATGGATGGTAAGCCCTACGAAGCCTCCAAGTTTGCTTCATCCCTTCGCCGCGAAATTTTCCGCAAGCACCTAGGTCTGCTCCCTCACCAGGACCCTGAGCAGCCCAACACAAACTGGTATCCCATCACGGATTCCCTCAACGAATATGACTGGGGCTCACCCGCCGATGTTCTCGTCCGCGATCCTTTGCATCCAAACTTCACAAATCTCTGGCGCGGTACGGCAAAGTCCAACACGGAAATATTCCGAAAAGCCTTTCATCCTGTTCCAGATGACACGGTGCGGACCTGGAAGGACTATGACGAGTTCTTCACCAAGCGCTTCAAGACAGCAGCAGACGTTAAGAAGGAGAACAATCCTAGTAAGACGGAGGCTCCGAAGACAGACGACAGCCCCAGTGAAGATGCCACAGAACATGGAAAGAACACTTCGAGCAGCGAAACAGATGGAGAGTTCAAGAAGGAGGAAAATGGGGAGCTACAACAGGCTGACGAAAATGTTCAAGCCCAAGAGCAGGCTCAGGTTGACCAAGACGCCCCGCAACTCGAGAGGGAAAAGGAAGACCCCAAGAAGAACGAGGATCCAAAAACACCTGAAAAGGTGGAATACGGACACGTGGTCCGCAGCGAGTTTCCCGGTGGTATCAAGGAGCTTCGGGAATGGCTCGGCCGTGTGCGAGGCACCCTTGTCGAGATGCCGCTTGACTTTCTGGTCGATGTCAACGACATTGCCAAGACGGGCTTGAAGCTCAACGGTTTGACAGAAGAGATATATACCTAGACGAGATTTACTACGCTTCCATCCCCGACCTATGGAAATACAACAGCAAATTTACTTGACGTTTGGTGCAGAAATTTTGTATTGGCTCACGTGAAGTTTGTTAAAAAAAAAGTCGAAGGAAAAAAGGAAATGAACATGCAAGGTACTGTACAGAATCACACACCAGGCAATATAAAAAAAGTCAAACAGACAAAGTTCCCCCAAAACTCCGAGTTTGCAGATACGCAACGTCTCCGGGCAACAACGCAAGACGGGCCACAACGGCCTGGTCCTTCTCCAATAGACCTTTTTTTTTCTTGCTCTTCTGTTTCTTTCTCATGCGCGTGAAGGCCCCTTTGCCTTGCCATTCTAACCCGTGATGCGGTGATACCCAAAATAAAATAAAAATTGAAAATCAACAACAACACACATTTCTTTCTAAACAGCTTTGTAAATGCATGCGAATTCGCGGTGGGAAAACTCCAAGGCTTTAGTCAGCCTTGGTGTTCCCCCCGCCGCCGAGGATGCCGTCCTTGAACTCGCGCATGCCGCTGCCCATGGAGTCATCCAGGCGAAAGTGGCCGCCGCCACGACGGCCCTTGCGGGTGCGGAGCCACGTGAGAGCGGCGTAGGCGAAGCCGCAGACGCTGAGGAGGGAGAGGATGGGGTGGTCGCGGAGGGTGACGCGGAGGTCGAAGAAGACTTTTTCGATGAAGGAGACGGTCAGCTTGGGCTTGATGACCTGGGGGCCGTAGACGATCTTGTCGAGCGTCTCCATGATGGAGGTGCGGCTGACGAGGATGTGGTTGCCGGTGGCGGTGGTGTCCCAGTACTTGCGGCGGGCCTCGTCGTTGATGATGATGCGCTCGCCGTCCTTGTCCTTGATGTCGATGCCGTACGTGGTGCGTAGCCAGCGCTGCCAGAAGATGCCATCCACCCAGGCAAAAGCCACCTCCTTGCGGTTCGAGCTGTCCATGTTGATGCGGATGGATTTGGCGCTGCGCAGGGCCCGCTCGTCGTTGCGGTCCTCGGCCTCCTCAATACGCATCTGCTTGGCGTCCCGCAACTTTTTGCGCTCTAGCTGGAACTCCTGAATCTGGCGGTCCATCCACTCGTTCGCGGCGCTCTTCATCTCGCGCAACGAGCTCTGGATGGTCTCCGGGTCGCCGTCCTTTCTCTCCAGAATGCCGAGGACGACGAGCTTGTTCTCCATGATCTGGCGGGCGTTGGTGGCTGTCAGTTCGGGGACGAGAGGAAGCCAGACCGACTTCATCCAGTCCAGGATGCGACGGACATCGCGCATTTCGTTGGGGGTGAAAGGCGTGTAGTAGGTCGGGCGCCCCTCGCGAGAGACGATCAATCTCGGCCAGGTGGTGATCTTGAAGCGCTTGTAGAGCTCAGGGTCGTTCGTCTTGACGAGCTTGGCGTGGCCGATGAGGCTCAGGGGGATTCTCTCGAGAGCGGCAAAATCTTCAGAAGTAGCGGCATGATCGTAGAAGTAGACAAAGATCACCTCTTCAGTTTTCTCCAGTTCTTCGAAGCCTGCAGCGTCGATGTCGGGTACGCCACTTGCGAGATCAATGGCGCTGTCGGCATACTTGGTGAAATCGCCGATGCCACGAAGGCCATTGTATTCGACTCGCTCGCCTCCCTTGAAAAAGAGGATCGTAGGGAACGCCTTTGCGTGGACATCCTTGCATAAGCGCTTCTCCTTGTCGCAGTTGACTTCACCAATGTTGAGCTTTCCGCGCATGGACTTGGCAAGCTGCTCCCAGGTTGGCTTCAAGGCCTGGCAGTGAGAGCACCAAGGCGCATAGAACTTGATAAACCACGGGTCATGGGAGAGAGTAACGTGCTTCTGGAACGACTCAGCCGTAAGTGACACAGAGACTCCATCAAGGTTGTAATTGTCGGGTATCTTCTTCACGGGCTTTGCAACAGCCGGGATCTTCTTGACAGGTTTGGGGGCTTCCGTCGCACCGGCTTCGGGCAGCGCAAGTTCCTTCGGGCGGGAGCCGGGCTTGTCCTCCTCGAGCGCCTTTTCAATCATTTCGCTAATCTCGGCGATAGTTCGTTGGCCAGTCAGAGACTTGACTTTCTGCCCATCTTTGAAAAGTGTAGTCTGGGGCCATGCATTGACCTCGTGCTCAGAGCAAAAGTCGCTGTGGGCAACGCAGTTCATGGCGGCGAACTGCAGACCATGGTGCTCGCCAACGGTGCTCTTGTCGTCGCTATTGGCCCCAGATTTCAGGGTATGGTAGAATTCGTAAGTGGTCTGGAATACCGGCGCAAAAGCTATGCAGTGGTGGCAATAGGGGCTAGAGACTGTCAGATGGGCTGCCTGCACGATACAACCATGAGCTCAAGCTCGCCTACCTGTAATGCTTGACAACGGTGAACTTGGTCTTGTTGACGTCGGTGCCCCATGTCGCCGGCGCAAACTCGGGCAATGGGGGAACAGATACACCTTCAAATGTCGTCGGTTCGTTCTTGGTCTCCGTCGCGGCGCCGATGGCAGACGCCGCGAAGAGAGCAAGCTGAAGCAGCCTCATGGTGGGCTACTCTGTGCTACGATTGTACCGGTTCAGCGGTGGGCAGCAATCGAATCGGCGTAGTTGTCGAGATCGAAAGTTTCCGCGTCGCGTTTTGCGAGCGTTGTCTAGAAGGGAATTCCTGGAAAGCAAGAGCAATCTTGGATTGGCACGGAACTGCTCTGATGATGGCAGACCCCAGTCTTGTGGGAACTTGGAGTGCAGCGTTGGTCGCGGCGGCTATGGTTGGAAGAAATGTTAAACGGTGTTAAAAACCCGCATTCTAGAAAAGAGAAAAAGAAGGGCCGTGGGTTCCGTGAAATTAACGAGACCAGTTGAAGCCGTGGTGGAGGATAGAGAATGAAAGAAAGAAAATCGATGGAAGTTGAACAAAAGCAAGGGGACAGACAGGGAGGCATCTGGCCACTCTATCTACCTCTACGCCCCTTCTTAGAAGCCCGCCTGAAGCACGCCGGGGGGTACTGTGGGCCACCAGCGCTTGAAAAAAAATGACTAGCCACGCTATGCGTTGGTACGTAACTTAGTCAGTGTGGCTAGTGTTGCTGTACAATGCTCTGTGCGGCAGTTGGGCCTGTGGCTTAGCTGGCACTTGTGAGCAGCGTACCTCTCGACGGGAGTCTGGCAAATGTTTATGCAAACGCGACTTGAATAAATGCATCACCCTGGCTCTTACTATAAATTCATCCTCAATATACCACAGAGCAGCTTATGCCGGATCTCTGAAAGAGACCGGCTTCCCTGTTATGGATAGTCACAGCAAACGACCTCGCGATGCCGAGACTTCAAGCGGACTCGAGTCTCTTTCGCGTTCAATTAGCCCACCCAGAACAAAGAAGCAGAAGACTACCAAGATTTTCCCTTCTCCTTTTCGTCTTACCTGGATCCGGGACCTCGACGAAGATAGCAACAAGGATGCCATCACACTATTTGACGTCTTAGGCGACCCGTTAATCAGCGAGTGCTGGAACTTTAATTATTTGCACGATATTCCCTTCTTAATGGAAGCCTTTGACAGTGACATCCGAGCCCAAGTCAAACTTCACGTTGTACATGGCTTCTGGAAGAGAGAAGACGGAAATCGCCTGCGTCTGGTTGTATGTGAATCCTCCGAATCAATCGTGTCTACAGTCAAACACCACTACTTTACTCTGCTAATAATCCGTTAGGAAGACGCAGGGCCATTCCCCAATGTACAATTACATGTCGCGCCTATGCCAGAAATGTTTGGCACCCATCATTCTAAGATGTTGGTACTGTTTCGCCGAGACGACACAGCTCAGGTGATTATACACACAGCCAACATGATAGCCAAGGATTGGACCAACATGACAAATGCGGCTTGGATATCACCATTACTTCCAAAACTAAGCAACTCCCGGGAGGAGTCATCCTCGCTGGAAGATATGGCCCAGGGTACTGGGAGCAGGTTTAAGTTCGACCTGCTCAACTATCTCAAGTCATACGACAGGATACGGCCAACATGCACCGCGTTGGTGGAGAAATTAAAACAATACAGCTTTGACGCTGTAAGAGGAAGCTTGGTTGCGAGTGTTCCGGGTTTACATGACGTGCATGGAGAGCCTGGTGCCACGTCTTGGGGTTGGGACGCCATGGCCAAGCGCTTGCAGCAGATACCCTGCCAGGAAGGGGAGTCGCACGTGGCTGTGCAAATATCTTCCATAGCGACTTTGGGCACAAATGATGATTGGCTACGCAAGACGCTGTTCAAAGCGCTGTCCAAGGGGAAACCGGCAGGGACACCACAGTTCAAGGTGGTGTTCCCGACGGCCGATGAGATTCGAGCCTCGCTGGACGGGTACGCATCTGGAGGCTCGATCCACACCAAGATACAGAGCAAACAGCAGGAGATGCAGCTGAGGTACCTACGGCCAATTTTCCATCACTGGATGGCAAACGATGATTCGAAAGCAGGTACGTGAAGTAGCGCGATCTTGAAGGGAGATGTGCTCACATTGATTGGCCTTGAACAGCAGCAGGCGACGTTCGGGATGCTGGCAGAGATAGGGCTGCACCTCATATAAAAACATACATCCGCACAAACTGTAAGAATACGATCGACTGGGCTTTAGTTACTTCGGCAAACCTGTCCAAGCAAGCATGGGGCGACGCAGCCAAACCAACAGGACAGTTTCGGATAGCATCGTGGGAGATTGGCGTCCTCGTGTGGCCGTCGCTCTTCAAGGACGACGCCATCATGAGGGGCTGCTTCAAGAGTGATGTGCCAGAGTCGGCGGGGAGGTCTGGGCAATCGGGAGAAGCGAGGTCTCTGGTGGGACTCCGAATTCCATACAGCCTTCCCCTGCGCAAGTACAGTAGTGGGGAGACGCCGTGGGTGGCAACAATGTCGCACGAAAAGAAAGATTGCTTGGGACAGAGTTGGATTATGTAGGCAGCATCGTGGCTTGCGGGGAAGGCATAGAACAGCCGTGCCCGAGCTCAGTACGGGGTGCCCGTACAGATTCGGGAGTACACAGCGGCAAGTTCAACTCCCGCTGTTGTATGGACACAGGCCAGAGAAAGTGTATAAAACAAGATCCTCAGGCCGGATCATAAGACCAAGACTGTGTCCCAGGGACTAGTCTACGATCAACACTTCACGACAACGTGCAAGGAAAATAGAATCACGAATCTTTGATAGTATTCAGATGAGTCAAGGTACACTTTGCAAATTCTTCTCGGTGCTGCTCCATCCCATCCTCTTGCCCCTAGAAGAATTTCCAGCACTCACGCCGACCGAGCCTGCCCCCAGCGCAGAAGCCGCCCGGACATGCATGCTTAATCACGGAATCCGCGGCGAAAAAATGCCTTCGACCCTCACAGTTGCTCGTGGACCTCGTCGTTCTCTTGACCGTCGGCGTCCCCTTGAACGATGTGGCGCGGAAGGCAGTAAGGCGAGCCGTTTTGCTTGTTGAACAAGCACACGGTTCCCGGCGGGCAGCGACCCGCAAACTACCGAGATTGTCAGCAAGAGGTTTGATCGTGCCGTCAACAAGATACCTACAACCCAGTCGCCGCTGGTATTGCACACGTCCCAGGCTTGCCGACTACTCTCGCAGCGATAGGTAGCGGGCTTGCACTTGTGATCGGCGGACGCTGCAGCGACAGACGTGGCGAGGACGAAGACGGAGAGGAGCTTCATGTTGGCTGATTCTGGAAAATTTGCGGGCGACTGAAGGTAGAAAGTCGATAAAACGGAGTCACGGCGTCGTTCTCTTCAGTAGACTTGTGGAAGCAAGCAATCCTGCCACGCAACCATGGAGAGGGAAGCTGGGTCCTATATACGTCAGCCGCCTTTCAACCCCGCGCGAAGCACTGTCAACCGTTTTCGGAGCTGAAAAGTCAGAGCTGAGTCCTTCTTCTTTGATCTGGGCTGCGTGGCGAGGTTGGGCAGGGCGCGTTGGCTGCAACCGGCATGCCAATGTCTCTTTCAGCTGAGGTTTAACAACGCCACCGAGGCATGCCGTAACAAAATCCTCGCCATGCTACTGCATCCGTCAAATCATCATTCCAGTGTCAAATGGGCTGACCAACACCCCGCCAGCATCGACCCAAATATTCACCTTTGCAGCAAAACGAGGGACGGCTGTGCTACTCATCCACGGTGGGCGAGTGGCCAGCACATCTCACAGCTAGCCCTCATCAGCCAGCCGAACAAGAAGGCGTGCCCGTATCTATGAAGCACATAGTGCCTTCCCGGCATGACATCAGCATCTACCAGAAACCTTTCGTTAGCAAGATATGTTGGACGGCGGAAACACTTCAGTGAGGTTCCCTTACCTGCCACCTCTCCTGGCGGCATATGCAACCGCCTCGCTTGTCGGCCGCGCATCCCAGGGTGTTCTCCGCACAGTCGCACGACAGGGCAAAGTCTTAGGGAACTAGAATTAAAAAGTTTATGTATAGGGTAATGTATTTAAAAAAAAAAAAAAAAAGAATAAGAGAGTAAACCCCTACTTCCTATAGAAACCTGCGGTAGTATCTGTTGTAGCACTCACAGTATATTAAATAATAAGCAGCGTTAGGGCGGATAAATAAGGACACTACGCTGCAGTGCCTAACTCTACTAGTTACTAATTAACCAGAGGCTCTATAGTAAGACAAGTCGCCAGTGTCTAGCTAAAAAGACAGGAGATGGGGACTTTATGGCATTAAAGAGCACATGAGAGCTACCTACATACATGGTATGTACTATTAAATTCGCTATAGTTAGTAGGCTGGGTTTATGCCTGCGTAGAATATAGAGGACAGTCCACCCTGCACGGAAGAGATGCTCAATGCCCTTGTGTCTGGTATGTTTTTTTTTTTTTGGCAAGTTTCCGAGTCAAATAAATTATGAGTCTTTGCCGAGACCAGTAACACCGATTGGGCAGTGTTGCACGTGTGGCGACGGTGTAGGCCGACAAGGCGGCAATGGTTGGGCGACACAATAGAAAAGAAGGGGTTGAGTGAGGTCCGCGGGCACCGATGTCCGTAGCTGGGAACTGTCTGGGGCGAAGAACTACCGATCAGGCTGTCACGCCGATGTGCATCCAAGACTTTCATGGCTGCTGATTTATTAAATTTTGCATACATTTCCCCAGCCAAATGGACCTAACTACTCCCAAGTGACCTAAACGATCCCTAACTAGTGCTTGCCTTGGAGGTAGGCTGGCATGTCGACGGCTGATGTTTTTTTTTTCTCGCTTCGTCCCGTCTATCCCTGTCCCTCCCCTTGCCTGTAACTGTAAACCTTGTTTTTGGAAAAAATCTTCTCTTCCTTTTTTTTTTCCTTGTCCATATATTCCGATCCCTTTGCCACGGCCACCATCGCTCTACATTTCGGGCTCGATAATGCCAACTTTTTCTTCGTCTTTTTACCTTGGGAAGCCTAGTGCAGACCAACACCGACTTCTTTAGTCAGCGCCTTCCTTGTTATTCGTCCCCGCCAAGCCAACTGGGCTTGTTTTGTTTCCGAACCCAAATCCAGACTTTTCCAAATTCAACGTCATCACTACCTGTTAAACACCCGGGGCGCCCCAGCTCCCCCAATTTCATTTTGGATTCCTTGCTTTGCCTACCGATGACCTCCTTTTGGAGTTTTGGATACAATTGGCGCCGAACATCGTGAACCACCCGCTATTACATCCATCCATCATGAGTCTTCCCAGGTCTACCGGCACCGCTAACCGGATCAGCGGTGGTGGCCTTTCCGCCTCGTTTCGAGCTTCTTCCCCGCTCGCCGAAGCTCTCGCCCGCGACATTGCAGAGTGCTCAGATGACGACGTCGAGCAGAATGCCGTCGAAGAAGGTGTCGTCGGCAGCTACGACCACACTTATGGCAGCCGCAGTAATACCATGTATCGCCGCCCCTCCGGTGTTGCCTACGGCGCGTCTCGTCCCGTCTTCGATCACCGTAGCACCGACGAGCCCGCCATGACCCCGCTAGAGCGCAAGCAATCTCGCCATGCCGAACGCAGTCTCCTCCGCGACAACCATATCCTACCACCCAAACACCAGCGTCACAGCCACGGGTTCCTCGCCCGCTTATACCGTCGACTGTTCAGCACCAAGATAGACGCCGATGGGGAGCATCCCAACGGCCCAATCGCCAGGCGCCCTGGTCAAGATGAGACCGCGCCTCTGCTACATGACCATCGTGGCGATATCACACCTACCGACAGCGACAGCGGCGACGTGGAGCAGCAATGGATAGACGCTGTTGCCAGCGGCCGCATCCGCACCACTTGGCAACGCGAGACCCAGACCGTCATAACCTACTGTATCCCCCTCATCACAACATTTGTTCTGCAGTACTCGATCAACGTTGCTAGTATCTTTGCAGTCGGCCGAATCGGCAAGATGGAGCTCGGCGCTGTTTCTTGTAAGCCTCAGCAACCCAACAGTCCCCCCCTCCCTGTCTAATGCGATAACTTGCCTGGCCCCCTTCCAGGGCTTGGCAACAAGTCTCGACACCCTCTGCGCCCAAGCTTATGGTTCTGGCCACAAGCACCTCGTCGGCCTCCAGTGCCAGCGCATGGCTCTCTTCTTGCTCTCCTTGTCCGCCCCGGTCATTGTAATCTGGTGCTTCTCAGAGGAAATCTTGGTGCACCTCGTCCCAGAAGCCGAGACGGCTCGCCTAGCTTCCCTGTATCTCAAAGTCTGTATTGCTAGCATACCCGGTGTGATCCTATTCGAGTGCGGGAAGCGCTTTACTCAGGCACAGGGGCTATTCCGTGCCACGACCTATGTCCTCCTCATCGCTGCGCCTTTCAACATCTTTATTAACTGGCTGCTCGTCTGGAAGCTGGAATATGGCTTCATTGGTGCCCCAATTGCTGTGGCCATCACGGAGAATCTACTCCCTGTGCTGCTCTTCCTCTATATACGCTTCGTGGACGGTCGTCAGTGCTGGGGTGGTTTCAGCCGTCGAGCACTTTCCAACTGGGGGGTCATGATCAAGCTTGCCCTGCCCGGCATGATTATGATTGAGGCCGAATGGCTGGCTTTTGAATTCATGACACTCTTTGCCAGTCGCTTTGGATCGGAATACCTGGCCGCTCAGAGCGTCCTCGGCACCCTCACAACCATCTCGTATCAAATCCCTTTCCCCATGTCCATTGCCGCCTCGACCCGCGTGGCCAACCTCATTGGTGCCGGCCTCGTCGACGCCGCCAAAATCACTGCTAAAGTCACGTTCTGGCTCGCCGCCTCCATTAGCATCTTCAACTTTTCCGTATTTGTTGTCTTCCGCTATCACCTCCCCCTACTCTTCACCAACGACGAAGATGTCATTGCGCTAGTTGCTCAGGTCATACCCGCAGTGGCCGTCATGCAAGTCTTTGACGGCCTCAGCGCGGGTGCCCACGGATTGCTACGCGGTATCGGTAAGCAGGCCATAGGAGGCCCCATTAACCTTGTCGCGTACTACCTCGTCTCCCTGCCGCTGTCCATTGGCCTGGCCTTTGGCGCCGGTCTAAAGCTGGAGGGTCTGTGGATCGGTGTCACCGCTGGCCTGATGATTGTCTCCTCCATTGAGTACGTCTACCTCTGGAAGACAGACTGGAGCAAGGCCGCCGATGAGGCCGCGGACAGAAACGCCACCGGGTAATGACGTACACGCAACGTCCAAAACAAGAGAATGAACCGCCCTTACGAAGCGGGAAAGTCTGCAAACAAAGAATATGAAATTCATCGCCATCATGAAGCGATTTGTTTGCCGCAAAAGCGCCCCCATAGAAGGGCGACTAATTGCATTGCACGGATACCCGTTTAATGTTGATCTTCGCTTCGACAGATCAATCCGTCATCTACTCACGACCTATCTACATCGCATGCATATACGTATCTACAGCGGATTTATTTTGGGAAACGTCACTTTTTGGTATTTTGAGAATTGAAAAGTCGGAATCAGCGGAATTGTCTAGATACACACTATTCATCGTCCATACCGACGAGGTCCTGTTACATTTGATTTTGTATTCATACAACAGTACCCTGAAACTAAAAATCTTAAAAAGAAAATATTCATAACTTCAGCAAACAGATTCCACCAGCGATTTCCGTTGTTCATAAACAGATAAAGACTAGAAGCTCCTAGAAAAGAAGCATGGAGGCATCTCTTTTATTTGGTCCAAACTCCCACTCCACAAGGCAAGACGCCGTTCCTTCTGCTCGAAAAAGCGATAGTTGTATCCATCATTCCCGCCACTGAGCCCTCACTGTATCAACCCATACGCCGCTCTAACCGAGCATGGAGTGAGTGCGGATACCCTTGGGGCCGAGATCACTGGTTTTCACGAGTTAGTCTTCGGGAACACAGGCATCCAAGGGGGTTGAGAGGGGGGGGAGAAAACTTACTTGTAGTCGACGCGACTGAGACTCATCGTGCGCTGGGCCTCGATAGATTGCGCGTCCATGTTGGAGTGCAGGCAGAAAGCGATGCGGGCGGCGACCTGCGCGCCGAGGAACATGGACTCCTCGAAGCCGGCCTTCGTCCATTCGCTAAGGTAGTTGGGCATGGCCGCGAGCTTGATCGACGTCGGCGTCTGGCTGTGGAAGTGGTGGTGGCTGGTGGGGCCGCCCGCCTCGGAGGAGCCCGGCTGCGGTGTACCGCCGAGCAGACCGGCCTGGTGCTGGTTCAGACCGGCCGTGGTGGCCGCCTGGAGCAGCGGGTTGACGCCGCCCGCGCCGGACTGCAGCTGGTGCGGGGGGGCCCCGTTAAACGAGCTCGTGGGCGTTTGGGCGCCGGTGCCTGTGGGCGTCGCCATGTTGGAGGGCAGCTCGGAGGTGAATATTGTCGCCGTGGACGGGGAGACAATATGTCGGGCGTGGAGCGTAGCTAGAATGTTCTCCTTAAGGCCACGCAGGCGTGAGCCGTTGCCAACAAATACAATGTTGTCCCAACAAGGCGGACGCATGTACATGTCGTCAATACCTTGGACTGTGCGGTAAACGGCCGTGACTATGCGGTCAATCTCGGAGCGATCAGCAAACGTAAATCGCTCCAGACCCACTTCGATATCCTTCTTGACGCGCTTCGGCCGGTATTGAGGTGCATAGTCAGACGAGTCGTTGGGCGCGGCATCCTCGCTAGGCTTGGGGGCATCTCCGTTCGTATCTGACACCTTCGGCTCCTCGGGCTTGGGCTCCTCTGGCTTAGACTCTTCCTTTACCTCGGCTGGCGCTGCGCTATCTGGAATCGCAACATTAGGAGTAGCTGTGCTTTCTGTTGTTGCGGAGGCAGCGGGCGCTGCAGGCTCTGTCGTAGCCGTCCCCTCGGCAGGCTTCGGGTCGGTACCGGCCTCACCCTCCTTGGGTGCGTTCTTGGGTAATTTCTGGGGCTCAGGAACAACCAGTTCCTGGACGATTTCCTCGTAGAAGAATGTGTTGTGGGTTCTCTTGCTGTTGGGAAGACGTGCAGGTCTGGGGGGGGCTTCCTCCTGTTGCGCCTTAGGCTTTCGTCCCGGTTTGCCCTTTCCCTCCTTTTCTTTGCGTGCCAGGAATTCTTTTGTTTGTCCACTTGTCACAATAGCAGCCACGTCCAATACACCGTCATCCTCATTTTTCTTCTCATCGCTGCCCTCCTCGTCGTTCACGGTAACATCAGGCTTTGGGGCCTCGGGCGCAGCAACGGGGGCGAGCGGCCTGTTCGCAGAAGATGCGCCGGGCGGTGCGCCAGCTGAGTTTACCACCGGAAGCTCAAAGAGTTTGTCCGCGGTTGCTACGTATGGCAGCACTTCGCAGATGGTGCTCTTCTTCAATTGCTCAGCCATGTCGTATGTGAAATTCTTTGAAGCCAGAAGCGCCTTGAGCCTTTGCGTGAAGGCTTCGCCTCCAGAAAGCTGGTCGTCTGCGATGGAGGCACCGACATCCATGTGGTTGACAACGCGACCATCGTGGATGGCGGTAACGTCAACCTTTTGATAGCCGATATCAATGACCGTCATGTTCGGCCACTTCAGTCCGTATTGGGTGGCAATACCACTGTGAATGATGCATAGTGCAGGCGTTCTTGTCTTCTCGAAGACGTACCGCACAATTGCCTCGGCGTCAGGCCTCGTCCATTGCGGCGATGCCATCAGCATAATAGGTGTGTTGTGGTATGTCGTCGTGAGGAGGCCGTGGACGTGCTCGAGGAAGGCGAGGAAGGCATCCATGTCGACAATGTGGCCGGCTGCAATGATTCCATGTTAGTATTTGCTCTGCGCCTCGCCGGCCCGCACCAATTGAAGTCGCGAGCGATAGATGGGTGACCTACCTCGGATTGGGTACACGGCGCCCTCGTCCGAGTCGACGTCCTCGACCCATTCCTCCTCCTCGACGCCGTCGACAATCTTTTTGCGGCTGTGCGTGTGATACGGGCGCCACTCGTCGCCGTCCTTGAACATGCGCGTGGGAATGCGGTGCGTCGGCAGCGTCAGCTCACTGCAACCGAGTTGCGCGAGCGTCGTTTGGCTGCCGGGGCAGATGATCAGGATCTGCTCCTCGCGCCATTTGCCCGAGCTCGACATGGTGCAATTCAGAAGCGGGGGACACTGGCTCGTCCTCCTCTCAAGTTCAGAAGGGAATTGGCGTCAGGCGCTCGATGGAGGGGGTGGACGGTCGGCAATTAAACGGTCGCTGTTTGGCGTGCGGGTTGGAAGGTGCCGCGCTTGCGTCGCGAGAAAGCAAGTCCACCAAGCAATCGCGAGGCTAGTAGGAGCAAGCTCTGACCAATGGTGGCTGTGGCTGCAAGGAGAGGTTTGTGGCGCAGGGAATATGCTACAAGTCACGTGATTCATCTCGGTACTCTGATAATCTCAACGAAACTGTACCTTCAAGCCATTCAATAAACTTGCTCGCGAAGGATTCATTATATTCACTGCTTTTAGTGAAATCTAAATACGTTGTAGTAATAGTGTGTAATCGTAGACAGCATGATATCCCCCATCCCAGCAAACAAATAACCCTTTCCATCTTTTTCCACCAAGATTTGACACGCCGATGCAGAAACGCATACAAACCCAATAAGACCCTGATATACGTCAACTAGATCATTAAAATTGTAAGCACATTCCAGCCAACAAAAGCAGGATAGCTTCTAAGAAACCAAGCGCAAAATGTGACTCGGCACATTCAAAGATGCGCCATCACCTCCAGTGATGAATGAAATGAAAAGATGATGCAAATGGAAAAAAGAACGCCGATGTATCAACATGAAAAAAAAAAGAGGTAGTTGTCCCAGAACGCCCAGGCACGGCAGAAGAAAGCCGCCAAATAGTTGTTGTTCGCCGCTCTTTTTTTAATCCGTCATTCATCATACCCAATCATATTATAGTAATACAGCTCCTAGAGCAGCGATGCAGTGGATCAGTCGGGATGTTACCATCCTGAAAATCAGCATCGGCACTTTATAAAACAGTGACCGCTGTGGGTGTAACATCTCCGTTGTGGCTGTCGACAGGCTCCAGTGGTTCGATGTGGTCAACAGGCTCCAGCTCCTTCGTTTTTCTGTGCTTCTTAGGGGTCCCTTCATCAGTGAGCCCACCTGACATTGAGCTTTGGCGGTCTGAGGTGGGTGTTGTCGGCGTGGACCCATCGTAGCTCCAGCGGTCATCGGTAGCGCCAGTGTAAATAGAGGAGCTGTGTTTCTTCTTGATGGAGGCAGAGTCGGAAGCATCCGTATGCTCGTGGTGGGGAGTGCTGGGGTGGCTATCACTGTCATCGATCTGGACCAGATTGTTGAAGGCCATCATGGCGGCGTTGAGCTGGTCGTCGGCAGATGACATGCGAGATTCGCTCGCCTTGTTATTATTGCCAGAGAAAATCTCGCGCGATCTACGGATCTCAAGTTTTTGAAGTTTTGAGTCGCTGGTGGCTGAGATTTGGGAGAGACGCATGGTTCGAACAGTAGTAGGCTCCATTATGGCAGCGTCCAGAAGCTCAGAGTCTGAAATATCAGAGACGTCTTCTTCATCACCATCCATGGCTGCGTCACTATCGTCGACAACAGCAACGGTCGGGTGTAGCTTTTTGGGGATGCTGATCTCATTTTCCTTTGCGGCAGCCGTAGCTGAAGGAGAAGGGGACTGAGACTCGGGGGCAGGAAGACGGCTTTCCAGGTCAAGAGCCGCAACAGTAGTAGCATCCACGGAAGCATTACCAGAGTCGCTAACACTCGGGCCATTTTCAACTTCCGGGTGAATGCTCTTGCGCTCGACATCAACAGCAATAGCCTCATCAACATGAGTGTCAACAGGGCGATCCTCGTCCTTGCCATGGGCGTCTTGTGAAATCTGACCCAGATCAGAAGCACGTCTCAGTCTAGATTCTTCGACATCGCTCGTGGACTTGGCCTCATCGGTGACAATATGGGCGGAGTTGTCGATAGCTTCATCACGCAAATCGGCTTCGCTGAACGCCTGGCGCAGAGGGCTCTTAACGCTAAGAGTATCGGCGGTGGTCTCACCCTTAATGAGTCGGGAGACACGCGCCGGACTTCTGCGAGGCAGAGGCGGAGGCACACGCTTAGCAATGGTCACGACGTTGCCCCTGGCCTGAATCATGCGTGAAGCAACAGCCTGGGTTCGCGCAGGCTGAACGGCGGCAACTTCGAAAACAACAGGCTCCTCGTCATCCTCATCCATGTCTTCATCGTCGAATTCTTCCTGATCGTCCTCAGGTGAGGGGGACTGTGACTTGGAGGATGTAGCAGACTTGACATCATCCTGAGGCACAGGGGTCTCCTCGAGTTCCTCGGACTCCTCGGCAATCACAGGCGTCTTGACATATTCCTGGCTAATGTGTGAGAGCGCAGACATGTCGACAGCTGTGTAGTCAACAGCCTGCTTGTCCAGCGACGGACGTTCACTTCTCTCGTCACTGTCGCGCGGAGCAGGACTGGAGGACCGGGTATTCGTTTGAGTCGCGACGTCGGTGAGCTGGCTCTTGATGGTACGATTAGACATGTACGAAGCACGGTTGCTGCGAGCCATGGATTCGATGCTCTGGCGGCTAAACTTGGAAAAGCCCGGGCTCATGGGGCCGTTTCCAAATTCGACCTGGCTACTTGACGGGCGGGGCCGGCTGCCCGCTTCTCGGATTTCGAGGCCGGCCATTTCCAGGGCCAGAATTCCAAAAGGATCGGGATCGTCGGCTTTGGGGACGCCAAATCGGGGAGATGACGGGGTAGCGGACCTTGGTGTTTCTATCACAGCGTCGCCAGGAGCAGGCTGCAAATCAGTCCGCTGGATGACGGCGGGGTCAAAGTCGGTTCTTCCCTCGGCCATCTTGATGACCTCAAAAAGCGGTTCGGTCTCTTGGACATGGCGTGAGACGTTGCCGGCGAGAACGTCCATTTGAGTAACTGGGGCGTTGTAGAAACGCTCGTTCTCGTTGGCTCTCTCAGTTAGAATGCAGCCATTCAGGTTGACGGATTGGTGCTGGCCGCGAGCTTTCATGTAAGCCAGAACGGTGTTGTCAAGATCTTTCCAGCTGATGCGCTTCTCCTGCGATTCGAGAGGTACAGAGGGGCCGTTGATGAGACTGACATCTTCACCGAGGGTAACGCGGGTGCGGGTGATGGTTTCGAGGGCGGCCAAGTTGCTAACCACGAGGACACAGTCATAAATGTCAACACCAATGATAAAACTGAGGGTAGGAGTGTGAAGCATAATGCCGGAGGGGGGAGACCAAGTGCCGTCTGACTTTCGAGCGATGAGGATGCCAGAGCCGCCAGATCCGGTCATCCAAAGGCCGCTTCGCATGCATGTAAATACTGCAATGCCAGCAGCATTCTGTATTACTCGCTTCGGGATTTTCTGAATGGCTTTGGCGGGAGAGGAGGGAGGCTCTGAGGGATCGGATGGCGGTTCGGGGGCATCGGGATCGACGGGGTGAAGGTAGCCGTCGACTAGAGGCAGGGTAAGGGTTAGCATTCAAGGGTATACTTATTGCTGGTCAGGGGTATGGCTGGGGAGGAAGCGCACCACAGAAGGACTTTAGTATTCGAGCGGCCTTGTCGCATTCCTGGTCGAGCGTGGCGGGCCAGAAGGCCTCGCGCTGAATGCGGCCATTTGCCTTGGCCGTGTTGATGGCGGCCAAGGGCTTGGAGGACGCGGGGCTCGAGACGGACCTGTTGCCCCAGCCAAAGAGTCCGCTACCTGTCCTTGGAGCACCCGAGGATGCCCTCTTGTCCCACGAGGGCAGGAAGGAAGAGACGCGCTGCATGGCGGCAGCGCAAGTAAGGGGCGTCTCTCTCTGCTGTCAGGGAGAGGCGGCGCAAACGAAGACAGTGACGAGTCTGACGTGGTGTTGAGGGGACGGTTTGTTCAAACTTGATGGGTCGACCGAGTTGTTAAAAACGAAGGACAATTTGGTTTTGAGTGCGAGAGTCGAGAAGCTGGAACGACGGGAGCAAGTGGGAGGCACGGCGATTGGGAACCATATACGGGCTCCAAGGATAAATTGCATGCGGCGAGTCGCTGGGATTCGCTGAGGGTTAGGCCATTCATACGCCCCCCTTGGCGCATGAACAGAAAAGGCGACAACAGGATATGTTGGAGAGGAAGGAAAACGAGTGATGAAGATGGTTGGTCGGAGGGGGAAAGGGGAGAGGAAGGTGGAAGTAGTTGGAAAGAATGAAGGCTTGGGGAGAGGGGAGAGCAGGGCGTGAAGCAAAAGAAATGGGTGCAGATGTCATTGAAAAGCGCGAGACTTTGCTTAATTTACTAGAGGTTCCTCTCAGCAGGCTAACTATGTATGTACCTAGTACAGGTAGCGAGGTGGTTAGCAAGTTGCTTGGGTTGGGCTGGGAAGAACCGAAGCTTGCGGGCTCTGGTCGAGAAAGGGCGACGCCACAGGCAACTATTCTCGACGCTACCAAGGAGGTAGTACATACTGTACGTACAGTACACACTGTACCTGAGCGGTTAGGTTGTTACGTTAGTACTGGTGGCAGGCCGCTACTCTGAGTGCTGTAACACGGCAATATCAGCTGCACGGGGTATTCATTATTACAAGGTGCTTTAGATATGCAGAGCCATGCCCCCGGGTTCCCTGGAAGAAGGAACGGCAGTCGAGAAGGGATCCATGGCGACAAATCTATCAGTTTCCGCAGTCCATGGCACTAGAAATAGGTACGGATACAGAGGGTATCAAGCAAGGTGGGAGCCGGGGGATTCGGGAGGCTGATTTCATGGTTCGGTGTGGCGCGGCCTCGCCGGATTTGGTAATAAATGATGGTACCAAAAAAAAAAAAAAAAAAAGAATAAAAGGATAATACTATTGCTCATATCAAGCTTATTGACTTTTTTATTTTTGTTTATAATATTCCCAGGCATCAACTGGTATTATACTGGTAGGTGACGGAGGGGACCTGGCAGTTGACGCTCACTCCAGCAGGCTCCAGCGCCACATTCGCCTGGCTCAATCCCCCTTGCAGCCTCAAGTCCCCTGTAGCCTGTAGTAGCCTGTACATACATAGTAAAAACTGCGAATTCGGCCCTCTGGCTCAATTGTTGGCACTGGTCTCAGAGACTATTCCAGACATGCACCATACACGCACACACACACACATACATAATGCTGCTAGTAATCTGCAGGTTGTTTGTTTGTTTGCCTCATTTCAATCTCCCACAATGCTCTGTCAGCCCATGGTACGGCTAGACGTCCTCACTCACCTTGATTGACCCTTATCCGCGTACCATACATTCCCGTCTCCCCTTCATACCAATTCACTTCTCCCGGCATCTCTTCCAGCACGTTAACAATGCCCGGGTTGGGGCGTGGCGGACCCTTGGCCGGGCCTTCATTTCAAGTTAGAACCAGGAACATCGGTCGCATTCCATACAGCTCTGTCGCCATCCCAGTCAGCCCGCCAAACATCTTGCACACACGCATCCCAGCCTCGCCTCGTATACCTCCATCTCTTCTCCATATCCGGTAGCTATTCATAGCTGGTTACCGGTATACTACCAGCATAGCCTCGCGGGTTCTTGCTTCATGTATAATGACGTGGGCTGGTCGTATCGATTCCGGCCCAGCCCATGCAGAGAATAACAACCAAGCAAACCATTATCATGGCTTTCCCAGTGTCTGAAATGATTTTCTCTCGATCCGCTTTTGACGTTCGAGCAACCAACCCAAACCGGTTAAATTTCGACATTAAGTTTGCGCAACCCCCCAGGCCGAACAAATGGACGCCACGTCTCCGCCTTCGAGTACCAGTATGTGGTGTGTATAGATGGGACCCTTCGAGTATGAATTTAAATGGGAACAAGAACTTGAACAAAGCCAAGAGGCGGTTGTCACCAGCTTTTGCCCACATTCTCACTGGAGGTCCATTAAACAGGAAATGCCAATTGACGCGCGTAGCTGGAATGGACCAGCGCGAGTTCCAACGTCTCTCATACCAATACGTCTATCCCACTGCCACGTTGCTGCATTATTCACCTCCCGTTTCTTGCGCCTCACGGCCCATCTAATCTACCTTTCGCATTCCTCCCGCCCACTTGTCCTTGACGAATCGCGGTGCGTTAGTACCTGACACAGCGGTCCCTTGTCCGTGTCCCATTGTAACCTACGTGATGACTTCCCTCCCTCTGAAGTGGGGAGGGAGGGGAATAAAAAAGTCCATACTCGTACGAGCGAGGCAGCACCTCCCAGCTTGGCTATTTAGATGATTTCCAGTTCATCGCAACCTCTGGCCTGGCCAGCCCTTCCCCGACTGGCTCGGCTCTGCGCCGCCTTCCAATCACGCCACAACGTGCCGCCGGGACATTTTCATTTTATTCTTCTGCGTTAGCTTCGCAAATGAACAGAGAGGGAGCTGGCGAAAACGAAAGCCCTTGGACTCGAGCCAAGGCACCAACAAAGACCAAGAGCCCGGACCAGCTGAAACAGTTTCTTCTTTGCCGTTTTCGGCCATGATCGCAGAAGCAAAAACCCGGCAGAAAAAGAAAGCAGCCAACCCCAGTTCATCTTTTAAATTTTTCTCACAATTCACATCTGCAAGCTTGTTCCCAGTCTCTGTGTCAGTGTTGGCATCCAATCAACCATCCTTCCTGGTATCCGCCTCCGTACAACTTGACCGAGATACCCTCAGACTACTCAGCACACACAAAAAGAAGCCCCCCCAAAAAGCCAACTTGTCCCCTTGTCATCTCCCAAGAAGCTTCATACCCCTGCAGTCTGCCAACCCTGCACGTCCCACCATGATCTTATTCCTGCAGCCTGAGATGGAGAGGCCCGTGCCTCGAACATCATCCTTTGCCCACGGCCGGATCGACCGCCAATCTTGGGGCCAGCGGGAAAATCAAACAAGTGCCTGCCTCGTTTTTTTTTCAAGGTCATCATGCCGCCTTTTGTGGTGGTAATGGTTTCAAGCAACCGCCCTTGTTTCCTGCACGGGTCGGATCAACTCAACATCGGGTTATTCTTCCCCCAATACTTTTAACTGTAGCTTCTGTCTGTTACTCTTGTTATGTCTCTTCTTTTTGCCCGACCTCATTAGACAACAACGGCACGATCCTCTCACCAAATGACGGAAGTGCCATCTGCATACTGGTAATCCCCGGCCAGCCAACCAGCCTTGAACCAGCCCCCTGAAGCTACCCAAGCCGCTAACTAGCCATGGGTCTTCCCCCAAACTTGACAAGATTTGCATGCCCTCTTCTACTCTCATCAAGGGTCTTTTCTCGGCAAGGGCCATGGTTCTCAGCCTGCCTGGAAGCATGTTCCGCTTTCCATCCCATAGCTCTGGTTTGGCCCCCATCACCACATGTTGCTTTGTGAACTCTATATCCGTAACGGGCAATCAGCTTTTTTTTCTTGGCAATATACAATATCACATTTCTGGAGCCTCGATTCTCTCCAGGCCGATAACTCTCGTCATTTTTGGCATCAGGTTCGAGTCCGTGCCATTGCGCCGTTGTCCAAGTCAGCAGCCGCCCTCCCATCATATATCCCTTGCAGCTTGTCCCTATTCCGCGTCAACTGCCCAATTCTGATTTAAACTTTTGCCTTGCAGCTTTCCAATTTGTCAATTTCAAGTACACCGCCTCCCTGCTTCTGCGCGTTTTCCCCGGTACTTTCTTTTCCTCTCCATGATGCTGCAACCACCCCCTGTCACTCTTTGCATGGCCACTGTGCGGCGTTGAGTGCTTGCATATTCGTACACACAACGGCCCCTCGAACACAACGAGGTTCATCCCGTGAAACCTCCCTTTTGCCGCCAGGTAGCAGCAGATTCGCAAGCGAGCCGGTCGTGGGGCTTTCGTCTCATATGTATGCAACCGCCAAGAGTTGAAACGGGCAAGTGTTGCAGCCTTCCCCTTGTCACCGTCCGCACGACATCGGTCACGATTATTTTTGATTTGCAAAGATGATCGCGAATGTGCGGCTGATAGCCCAACAGATGGAAGCGAAATTATGATTGCATGTTATAGTACGATGCCGGCTAACATGAGCAATGCAGCCCGGCTTCACACAAACGCTGCTTTGGTGCGGGGAGGATGACTCCGACTGATAACGCAAAGAATCATTCTCAAAGCTAGATCATCGAGAGGATCGCACTGATTGGGATGTTTGGGATGGTGTAGATGTTGGAACTGCGTCACGGGGGCTCCTGGGGGCGAGACAGCACACTCTCCAAGGCCAAGATGCGATACATCTTAACCTTCACACATCCAAACAGAAATTAAATATTTGCGCATAGACATTGCACAAGTGCCTAACTATATAGCGTGGTCGAACGTAATTAACTCATTGGATGAAGATGGGCCAGCATGCCTTCCATGCTCGCAATTTCGATGCAGAGCAGATATGAGATGGAGGACATTGTCCAGAATATCGCATCAGCAATGCAAAATAAACGCACAATGCACCAACTCGCCATGCAACACTCAAGCAGTAAACGACGACAACATAGTCGCCACCAACGTGGCATTCTCACCCCAACATGTGCCCCTTCCACTCCAGCATCGGGCACTCGCCGGCCACAGCGAATACTTCTGCAGCGGGCTCCGAGTCCACGGCCGGCTTGGCCAGCCGCTCGCTCCCCTTCCTCCTCATACTCTCCCCAGCGATGCTTTAGGCACCTCCAGCGAGCGAGCAGAGCAAGCAAATTATCCGCGGCATTTGTGAGCGGCTCGCCAGATACATCGTCCTCCAGGAGTGGCCTCGAGCAATTCGTAGATTCGAGAAACGAAGATTTTCGAAAGACTGTAACGAGATTCAGGCTGCTCTGAATGTTTGCAAGTTACCAACTACAGCACATAGCAGCGGTTACTTATCGAAACGACCGGCGGCAACTTCATTTTATCGCCAGTGAGCGCGCCGTCGAAGGCCCAGCGGCAAGGAGCTGGGAGCATCTGTTACCGCACTAACAGAGTTCGCCGGCCTGCTGCCGCAAACATGTTAGCAAAGGACCCGCTCCGTAAGCGCCCGCAGTGAAATTTCGACCCCGAGCCGCGAGGGGCGAAAGCTGGTTGCCGACGAAGGGTCCTCTCTTGTCTCCCTCACGTCAACGGCTGACAAAGGCCCATCATCATCACCATGCTCAAGTACGTCATTCCCGCACCCTCCGCTTCACCCCAGCCGCTAACTCTCGCCTCAGGGCGTACAAGAACCTCTCGCCCAACGCCAGGCTCGGCGTCGGCGTCGCCATCCTCGCCTGGGGCGCGGCCGGCCTGTACCTCTCGGACCGCGCCGAGGAGCGCTTCGGCCTCACACCGACGGACAGGGACCGGGAGGCGCTGCGACAGATGACGCCGCACATCGTCGCGGTCGACAGGGAGGAGAAGTGAGGGCATTCCGCAGGAAGGGAGGCGAGTTGGCCACTTGGAGCTGCGTGTCACGACAGCGCAAAGGTGACACGTCGCCGTGTATCATCATGTATCATCATCGTCATCGTACTGATTCACATCATTTCATTTATGTAATTGCCAGTGGCACAACAGATTATGTTATCAACTTTTTTTGCGTCTTTGTATTTGAATAACTGAAAATAAACTAGCATTCATTCCACTCAAAAACCAAAGCTTTTTTTGGTTGTGCAAAAGAAGCCAAGTATACTTGAACACGTTCCTCTTCTCCCTCGTAACGGTTTTTTGTCCCTCTTCTTTTTTTTTCATTCACATAAATACCACAAACAACCTCAGTGTCCTCGAACGACCAAAAGCCATATAAGCAAGCAGAGAGGTAGTAACAAAAACCAGTAAAAGTATCAATGAGCCGCCCCAAGTCACGACAGTCGCGACAGATTACCGGGAACCTTTTGCGGTCACATAAACCCTTCCCCGTCTCTATCGTGATCAAAAGAGAGCAAAAAAACAGAACAATAATGTCTAAAAAGAATTGTCAACTCCCACCCCGTCTATCGGTAGAGAAATGCGTTGTAGAACCAAACATCAACCAGGACAGCCTTGTGAGGGGCATTCAGGAGCTAGAGGTATCAAGCCAGCACATGACTTTCCAACTTCTCTGCCTATCCGATGGATGTGAAAAAAAAGCCCAACCATGAGTCTCAAAAGACTATAATATAAATCAGTAGCACATAAGACATGGAACCAAAACAAAACCAAAACAGCAGCTCGCAACGCCTCCAAATGCATCAACCTCCACGGAGCCTTGTTTCATAGCGCGATATTCCTAAGCGACGTATCTGCATGGCCAATGATCAATTCGTTCATCGTCTTGGCCTACTTCGTTTGTTTGCTCGTGATCCTGCTTCGTCGCATCGAGTTTTTGCGCCAAGTCGTACACGCTTGTCGACAGACCGCAACAGCAGTCTCTACACCGAATGACTGTAAGCTGTCCTGAGCCCGAGGCTGAGGCTTAATAGAGCCAGAGCCTGGAGGCGTGCCGCAGCAAGCTCAAACAGTGGTCGCCCAAGCTTAAGAGCGGTTTTGCGCGCCGGCGCCGGGAGGGAACATCTGAGCCCAGTCAAGGCTGGACTGAGGGGCGTTATTGGAGGAGCCATACATGGGCATGCCACTCTGGCCGGGAGGGACATTGTAGCCGTGCATGCTCTGTCCATTCATGGGGTTGACATCGCCTCCATAAGGCTGAGAACCACCCATGACAGGAGGAGCCATGCCACGACGATCGCCGTTAGCGGGGTTGTCCATACGTCCCATGCTAGAGGAGCGGGAGAGCTGGTGTTGGTGGTCGCCAGGCATGCCATTCATGCCATCCTGTACAGGAACCATGCCGAAAGGATGAACCATGCCATCACCCGGCATACCATTCATCTGGCCCATGTCGCCCTCGGGCATACCAGCAGCCTTCTGAGCCTGGGCATTCTTCTTGACATGCGCCTGAGGATGGGAAAGGTGCGAGGCTCCGGTCGGGTTACCGCGACGGATGGAGCACTTCTGGAAGTGGCGCTTGAGAATATCACTGCGAGAAAAGGTGTCGCGGCAGAGAACGCACATGTACGGACGGTCACCGGTGTGGCGCAGGAGATGACGCTTCAAGTGCTTGGCGTGGAGGTAGGTCTTGGTGCAATGAGGGCACGGGAACTTTCCGTCCGCATCCTTCACCGGGATAACCGTGTTCTTTGCGGCCGAGGTGCCGGCGGCGGGAGCAGCAGGACGTCCAGGCGCGCTGGGCAGAATTCCTCTGCGGCCCTGGGAGCCAACAACGTGGGTGGGTTGCTCGTTCTCGGTGAGAACGCCATTGCCAGGCATGAGAGAGCCGGGGCCGTAAGGCGAGCCCACGGGGTTCTGGCCCATGAGGCCGCCAGGAGGCATGGGACGCAGAACAGGAGGGCCGCGGTTACCACCAGGCGGCGCAGGCGCAATGGGCTGCGGGTGAGAGGCAGCGGTGGTGGCGCCGGGCATCATGGGCTGCGAGGTGCCGTAGCCAGTGTGCGGCGGGTAGGGATTCTGAGCCATCGAGTACATGCCGGTGCGGGCGCCGGCCTGGGTGCTCTGAGGGTAGCTTGGAGGCAGGTTGTGCGCAGAGTTTGGCGTGTTAGGCGTCCCGGTGCGCGGGGTGTGCGGGTTGCTACCGTATAGGGGCTGCATGGTGGTGGTGGATGGCTGCAACGGCGGCAACGTCTGAGGCAGAGGGGAACCTGGCTGACCCTGATGAGGCGAGAAGGACGCTGGCGAAGGGTAGCTGTGAGGGTTCGAGGTTCCGTTTATACCATTCGTGGGGTAGGGAGAGTTATCCATGCTCTTGCGCGCAAAGACGCGTCGGGAAAGACGTTCTTGGGAGTTGTTTTGGGGAAAAAGGGCGACCGGTTGTCGAAGATTATCGAAGGAGAAGCTGAGTGCGACTAGCAAAAGTACGCTGACAATGGAAGACGCGCGTGGAGGAAAAAAATGCGATTGTGGTGCGACGTGTCGACGTTTGCACGGGAAAAAGGACACGATCGGTGACCTGACGAGACACGGCTCAGAGTCGATGGCGATGGTAAAAACAACCGAGTTGGAAGATCTCGAGTTTGGTTGATTTGGATCTCCACGCGGTGATGGTAAGAGAAAAAAAGCGGCGGCGTTCCAGAAGAAGTGGATGAGGCTCGTTGAGGCACCTACGAGGTTATGTTTTTGGAGGGTTCAGAGTGGAGAAAATGGGCCCCGTCGGTTTATGTACTCTTGGGAGTTTTTCTGTTGCCCTCAGGACTTGGGGGGGCAGAGCGACGAGTACCAGTAGCCGGCAAACCAGGCAAGTGAGCGATGGGAAGAGAAAAAATATTGAAAGGAAAAATTTGGTCAAGGGAAGGGGGGAGGGTGAAGGAAAAAAAAAGGGGGGTGCAATTATTGGCAACTGAACTGACTGGGAGGTGGCCGGGTGCATTGGCGAATGGCGAGCAGTAAGAAAGGTGTGTGTGCCTGCGGTGATTGTGCTGGACGATGGCGAGTTCAGTGATGTGAATTGGTCAATTTGCTACAAGTTTAGTGTGTCTGGTTTCGTTACGTACAGGCATTTGCAGCAGCTACATGAGGTACCTAGAAGCGCCTGTTTGCAGCACATCATCCACTCGTTCTAGCGACCCCAGCGCTGGCAAAACTCCCCCTCCAGCGCTACAGTCCACTGTGGACATGCCTATCGGCCCCCGGAAGAGTTGGTCCTCCCACTGTCACGTCCACTGTCGCATCCACTGTTGCGTCCACTGTCGCTCTTGCTGGCCGGCGTGGCTTGCTCTTTCAGCCCTCTGAGTGGCAAGCAATGGATGACCCACACCCGACAGCCTGGATATTTTTTTTTTTCCGTTTTTTCTTTTTCGTTCCCTTCATTTCCTTTTTACTGCAACCAGAATAGGGTTATGGTGATGCCGAGAGCAACCACCACCGCCTCGGATCTAGCTGTGTTAGGGTGGTTTCCTGCGGTATCTGTCTGGAACTAGACTAGGAAGATGGCAAAACAGAAAATGAATATCATCGTAATTATAATAATAGTGAAATCAAAAGGGCACACGCAAGCCCGGCGCAACCAACCACCGCCGCCGCCGGCCGCCGTTCGCCATTCGCCATTCGCCGGCTACCTGCTTCGTCCAAGCCTAAAACTTTTCTGGGTCCTTCACCCCCCAGCTAAGCAATGCGAGTCGCGCGGCTGGGCTGGCACGCTGCCAGCGTGTCTGGAACCAACCAACCACCACTGGCTCGGGAAACTGAGTTTGGCCATGACGAACCGAAGGGAATGTAAATTTGAGGGAGAATCGTTTGTTTAGTAATTACTTAACAAGCGAGTGCTTCTTTTTCTTAGCCTTCCGAGGTTGTTTCTTTGTGAGGTGAACCCTGGCTTCCTACTTGATAATAAGTGCGCAGTGTTCTGCCATATCTGGTAGCAGGGGAGAGTGCAAACGGCCGCCCACTGTGACAAGAGGCAACAACTTGCTGCATAGTATATCATGATATTATTGCAAAGTAATAATACACAGATTGCCCGAAAGCATTATTTACAGAAAAAGTAACTACGCATCGCTAGTAGCAAGGGCAGCAGCATGCATGTCCCAAAAGCCGAGTGACATGTCGCCTGCTACAAAGCTGTCGAACCGCGTGCGGTACGCCTGTAGGTAGGAGATACCTTGGCAATTGCACTTCTCCGACCTTCACCGGCTGCACATCCAGGCCACACCGAGGTAATTGGGCAGGGAAGGAGGTACCTCCTACCATTAGCGGTATTACTATTCATAAGAGGGAGGTATCACTGCTCATTACACCTCTTCGAGTCAATGCGCTTCTTACGTTCCGGATTCCGAAACGGAATACGGGTACATTTTCATGTTTTTTACATGGCGTCTCACCTGCGCCTGCAAGCCAGGTCACGAGAACGCATCGCTTTTTTTGTCGACATTGACTGAGTGCGTCCATCGCCACGCCAAGCTCACCACCATCACCATCGCCTATGCCTCACTTGCAGTAGTGCTTGTGGACATTTTGATCCCAGTCCCTTTTTGTCTTTTAACATTCTTTTTTTTTTGCCACTTTCGGTTTGCTGACCATGCCCTTGTGTTCACGATGACCCTAATTGTACGTATGTACAGTGTCCGATGAGAGCGAGATTGACTCCCTCTCACCACCGTAGCAGCAAACACAAAAATACGGTCAAAAAATTCTAGGAAAAATCTTGATTGCGCTGCCCGTCGCAACAATTACACTAGACCAAACGAATGGCCCAGGATATAGGCGCGGTCTGAGCTGGGTACTGGCGGTCGTCGTCGTCGTCCACCTGCCAGATCAAGGAGCCCCGCTGGTCCTCGAAGGAGGGGGTAGAAAGAGGGGGTGGCCAGACAAAAAACTTACTCGCGTCGCCTCATCGTGCGTCGTCGGTGCCTGTCTGTGGAGCGCGCGCGCCCCGAAATGAGAGCGATGAGATTGATTGGCTAGAATGCTCCAATGCAGTTGTTGCAGTACAGCAAGAGAAAAAAAAACTTACTCGTCAGAATGACGGTGAACTAGGTGAGCTGCTGGCAGTGGTGACCTGGCCGTACAGTACATTTCGGCTCAACCGGCATATACATGACAACACAAAGAGATGAACTAACTAAATCTGTACATCCCAACAAAGAAGAAAATTCAGGAAAATTTCGATCAATCCAGATACTTGGCTCTCTCTCTGCCTGCCTGCATGACAAGTCAGTCGGCGGCCGTTGTCCTCGTCTGTTCTTACTCGTGCGCAGCACTGTCGTCACGTCACGCAAACAGGGCTGCTGGTCCGTCCGCAACGTACCAGGATGGATCCATAGGAAGCTCTGCAGGGGCCTCGCTCGCCGTCTCTGTCCAACTTGATCAAGGCCCTTGAAAATCATAAATAACCAAAAATATTCCTTAACCTTTTTTCTATGGTGGGAATTTCTTGGCCGCTTTTCTTCTCCCAGGGGACGTTTTTGGAGACAAGCTCCGGGTGGTCGGAGTGCGTGGGCTCGCATGCCATTTGTCCGGTTTGACGGCAATCCAGACAACGGTTCCCCATCCCATCCGCCTCCCCAGGAAGGGAAACCCGACAGTGGAACAAGCCAGCCACAAGGAATTCGTTCAGTTTGTTGAAACAGAAGCACCGTTTGTACGCCCACTTCCCAGCCATCACAAGAGAGGGGCCGCCAGCAGAACAAAAAAGTGCGGTGGGGGACAAGACAGGTACGACACAACTTACCCAAGCCCAGTTTCCCCGTCTGGTTAGTTAGCAGAGAACACCATGTTCCGCATAGTTGGTTCAGTGGATGACTTGGCTCTGCAACTGCTACTGTCCCATGCTGGCCGGACGTCGCGGCGGTAGTTTCTTTGGAAATCTTTATTCAGCGGGGAGCTTTTGCTCGCCCTGTCTGCCCTCACTCCAGCCGTCCTTCCAGCTGGCCCCCCCCCCTCCCCTCCCCATCTCCTCCATCTCAGCTTTTGACTGATGAGGCGAAAAAAGAGGGCACTTGGCATAATAAAGACTTGGACATCTGCCCCTCCTAGATTGTCCAACTTGAACGAAAAGGCTAACCTCTGCTGTCAGTCAAATGAGAGAGGTACAGTGTGCAACTTTCCCAGTATTCACATCACCCGCCCAGAGACATGAACCAAACCAAGAAGCAATACGAAATCACGAGCAGCTAAAAAGAAACACCCGGCAAGGTGGCGGCAGGGTAAGTCCATTACCTCATCGATGTCAGGCTCTTTTTTACGTCGCCAGTATCGCCGAGAGCCCGACACCGCCAGCGTCTTTGCCCTCCTTGCTCCCCTTCTCATTTCCTCCGAATCCGTCTGCGCTAGGCCTAGTGGGATGATGTGCTCGCTGGCCATGCCATCCTGCAACAAGGGCGTCGCGGTCTGCAGCCCAGTTGTGATAGATCGCTTATTGCCAGACCAGGGGGCCCTGGTCGTAGACTGGCACGTCTCTCGCCCCAGCAGACGCCCGCGTTGAGCCAAGCAGCCTGCCTTTTTTCTCCTTCGCCCATTCATTCATTCCACAGGCAGATCTCGCGGTATCCAGTTTGGGCGCGCTATTGATCCACCGGTGGCACGTTGTGCCAGACAGGAGCGGAGCAACAGTCAACAGGCATGAACCCGGCTGGCAGACACTGAGACTCGGAACCAAAAACAGGCCAGGACGTTTGAATTCGATGACCTTGGTGCTTTCCAGTATTGACAATTGTGCTGCCTACACACCACACCAAGGACGTCCTCGATGTATCCGTCTGCAGCCCCGTCTAACTCGGAACCTCTGGGCACCTCCGCGGAGGCAAGGGTCGTCGGCCTAGTAATAAAATAAAAAGTGACAGGCTGCGTACGATACGTCGTCGAGTTCAATGGCGCTGCAGAGGTCGGAGCAAAAGCTGTTCTTCGTCAAATAATATCTGCACCCCTGGGCATTGATTACCAGTAGAGTAATACTGTGGTCGACAAGGAGAGCAATTCGTCGTCCAAAAAATCGACAACAGCAATAGCACGTCACTTGACGATTCTGTAATCTTATTATACTCTTCCTATGCCTTCAAAAGATGTCATCTCGACGGATGGATACGTCCAAGGACTATTGCAAAGTGGCGCCTCTACACCCCAGTCAGCCAAACTTGCAAGGGGGGTAAAAATTCAAACATCACCTGAGCAGCGGCAGTGGTAATAGTTGAGCGGGCATATTGCTCAAGAGTGTCAGGTTTCGGAGCTCGCCCCCAAACTGTCGTGAGCGACAAAACACCCACGACGTAAAGCAATGTCAGGGTTCTCTCTCTGCGTTTTCATCCAGA